CAATCATTTACATACCTACTCAGTAGTAAATCCCATTAAGTTCAATGAGACTTACACTTAGGTAACTGCATAGAATTGCTGTCTGCTACCTATCTAGCCAATCTTGATTGGATTAGTCTCAAGAGACTACAAGTTGTGGGGCAAGTTTTTGAAAAACTGTATTGCCTGTAGTTTCTGTAAAATATGTCACTGCCTAAAGAGAAAAGGTTTCATTTAACTGTGAGAAAGATGGAATTCCCATTTATATGGTAAGGGATCCTGGATCCTGAAGTAAAGACTAGAGTATACAAGGATATGTCTTTATTACCCAAGATGTAATCTGTGGATTTGTAGCAAAAATCCAGCAAAGGACCAAACATTTAAATTATAACCAGACTAAAATATCTAGGATTCTGGATAGGATAAAAACTAATAGAGAAAATCCAGAAATAAAACCAGAAGAGAATTTGACCATCTGTAGTTTGGCGGGTGGTGCTGTGGTCTAAATCACAGAGCCTAGGGCTTGCCGATCAGAAGGTCAGCTGTTCGAATCCCTGAGATGGGGTGAGCTCCCGTTGTTTGGTTCCAGCTCCTGCCCACCTAGCCGTTCGAAAGCACGTCAAGTACCGCTCTGGCGGGAAGTTAAACTGTGTTTCCGTGCACTGCTCTGGTTCGCTAGAAGTGGCTTAGTCATGCTGGCCACATGACCCAGAAGCTGTCTGCAGACAAACGCCAGCTCCCTCGGCCTATAGAGCAAGATGAGCGCTGCAACCCCAGAGTCGTTCGCGACTGGACCTAATGGTCAGGGGTACCTTTACATTTACATTTTAGTTTGGCCTCATACTGCATGACTGCCTTTTTATTAGAACTGGGAATGACCTGGCCCACAAATTTTGCATTTGTCTCCTGGTACCATGTCCCTGCTCCTCCCCATTCCTTAGACTCCAGCCTAAGAGAACAAAATTTGTAAGAGAACAAAATTTAAAACAGGAATGCGACTTTGAGGAGCTTTCCCAATGTTAGGAAAATATACTTTAATTATACTTCCTCATTTTCCTCATCTAACTAAAATAGTTTTTGAGGAACTGCAGGACAGCATTGTTTCCTCGTGATGCCACGCAACTGTAGGGATCAGAACTCCTGGCAGTTGCTTGCCAGCCCAAAGATGTGTAGTCACTTGTGCTTCAGCTCTCAAATGAGTATCTCCTTGTACTGGGAGGGAAAATGACACTTCTCTTTTCTAAATAATAATAATAATAATAATAATAATAATAATGTTGAGAATTAGCACAAAAGAGCTGCTTCTGTAGCTCACATGGAAAAGCATAGTGTACTTGGGATTGCCAAAAATGCTTTTTACAATGTACCTCAGCAAAGACTCCTGAGTAAGTCTAGCAGTACCCAAAATCAGGTGTATGAACTGTGCAGTACAAATAAAAGCAGCCACAGTTTTAATGGATAAAAAGCTAACCATGCAGAAAAGCCCTAATTAGCCAGCTTCTTGCAAGCAGAAGCAGACGGCTTGTGGTTTAAAAACCCTGTGAGCAAATAAACAATTGACTGCATAACCTGTGGAAAAGGCTTAGCAAGCTGAGTAGTGTTCATTTTCTGCTTACCACATGTCCACAAATGAATGTCACCCATGCGACCTGAAGTGGAGCTGACTCATCACAACTCTACCCTCTCATGTGGGAAATAGCATATTCCCCCCCCATACACATACTTTTGTGTGCTCTGAACCTACAGCGGAATAAACCACTGTTTCCTGAGGCTAGAATGTCAATTGAATAGGACAGGGCATGTGACTCCTGTATTGTTCTTTGTAAGAAGAGAATTTAAACTAAAGATGGTGATATCCAGCCATTCAGGACTATGTAAGATTTTAAAGAAGTGAAACTGAGGCAAACAGTCAGAAAAACGACTGCCTGAATCACACATATTTTAGCTTAGCATTATGTACATGAGCCTTAGGCTTGTGTGTTCTCCTCTCTTCTGGGGCAGGCATAAGGAAAAATCGTAAGTTTTTTCTCTCATTTTCAACTAACTGTAGTTGTGGTTTGTTATATGCAAGGTTCATAACTATGGTTAATCTTAACAATGGTTTAGGAAAGCCATTGACGTTGGATTGTTTATTTAAACCATAGTTAAAACTAACCACAATTTATCTGGGTTTGCCTATGACAAACCATAGCTAGCTGAAAATAGTAGCAAAACTCCCGAATCTCCTTATAGTCACACCAGAGGAGGAGGGCAGATCAGGAGCATGAGGCTCATTCATGGAATGCTAAATGCATGTACTCTTTGTACACTAGATATTACCCTCAATCTCTAAGCATCTCATAGTTTATTTTCCTAAATTACTGCAATGACAACAACAAATCTTTATTACGGTTGTAGACCAGCGTATAAAATACTGCACTTTGACGCAGTTTTCTCCTCAAGCCAGCTTCACTTATTTTACAATGTGTGGTGAATTCCAGGAGGAATTATACGATGAAAATGTTTATTGGGGTAGTCATACATTCCAAATATCAGGTGGGGTATCACAAAGGAGCACCCCACTTCCCATCCACCGCCACTACCTGCCATCTTGTCCTAATTCTGTTGATTTAGAACTAAGACTGCCTTTTAAACCATGTTTGCTCAGAAGTATGTCCTATTGGATTCCGTGGGGCTTCCAAACAGCTCCCTCCCTCCATGCCTCTCTTGCCAATAACAACAGCCCATTCTGCACAAGATCACATCAGTTGCAACAGCCACTGCTCACTGGAGGAAAAAAATAGATTGCTGGCTTTTTAAAAGGTGGTAGTAGGTGAGTTGTCTGTAGGTCAAAAGAGGAGCTATAAATGCTAAGGATAGGTTTAAACTTTACTTCTGTTGTGTTTCACTTAGACTTTTCTTCTCTTAAGGTAAAGGTAAAGGGCCCCTGACCGTTAGGTCCAGTCGTTACCGACTCTGGGGTTGCGGCGCTCATCTCGCTTTATTGGCCGAGGGAGCCGGCGTACAGCTTCCGGGTCATGTGGCCAGCATGACTAAGCCGCTTCTGGCGAACCAGAGCAGCGCATGGAAACACTGTTTACCTTCCCGCCAGAGCGGTACCTATTTATCTATTTGCACTTTGACATGCTTTCGAACTGCTAGGTTGGCAGGAGCAGGGACAGAGCAATGGGAGCTCACCCCATGGCAGGGATTCAAACCGCCAACCTTCTGATCGGCAAGTCCTAGGCTCTGTGGTTTAACCCACCCGGGAGTAAATCCCATGGCTGCAGATGGCAGCCACAGAAAGATGGTTTCTAGTGGGGCAGAGTTGGAGGGATAAAAGCTTCATCAATAGGAGTGGGGTGGGTGGGTGGGTGGAAGGCTGGTGGGGATGGAACCACATCAAATCATAATGATGTGTACAACACTGTGCAAACTTGACTCGAAACACAGTTTTAGGACACACACACTGAAGCAAACACATTTTTAAAAACTCTGACATCGGAAATTTCACGCTACCAATATATAGGGTATGCAAAAACTAGTGGGTGCATATTTGAACCTCCCAGGACACACTATAGCTGAACTTAAAATGTTCATTGGGCAACAAAGGAACTTCAAAGGGAGACTGCAATATGAAACTACTAAATACAATCCATTGAGAAGTTCAGTGCTATCACTTGTGGAACAAATCAGGACAAAGGATTTAAAAAAAACAAAACAACCCATGCAACATATGTTGATTAGCTTGCCAATGCCAGGATGTCTGTGTTGTCATCAACAACTGTTGATAACGTAATTATTGGCAGCTGTACCTTTTGGCATTTCCTTTCCTTCTGATCTCACTGTCTATGCACACACCCAATGCATAGGGATACCTGCAACTCAGGAGATAAATGAATGTGTTTGATGAAGTGGGCTGCAACTTTATGCCATTACAAGTATGATAAGTCTTTCAGATGTCATGAGACTCTTTGTAGTTACCCCACCGCTCTGCATCTGATTCTATATTTCGTTTCTATAGTGCCTTCCTGCATTATAGGCAATTTTTATCTCAAACAATTTAATCAAATGAAAATAAGGGTTTTGTTGTTGTTTTATTTTTAAAAAAGAATTATGGTGAATAAACCTCCATTTGATATAAACCAGGATGGAGGTGGTGTTCTGGGTGGAAGACCAATATCACTGAGCATAGGCTTAGTCTAATATTTGCACATGCTACATTTATACGTTAATATTGTTTGTGAGCTTTGTTATTTGCAAATGTTACTTGTTAAGCAATTTCGTTACGTAACTTGTTACTTGTTACCTTGCTATTTGTTACTTATTAAGTCACCGGGGGGTGGGTTGTTGTATCCTGAAAGGTGGGGGATAAATAACGGTAATAAATCGACGACAATATTTATAAGCCAAGAACATGGGTGTAGCCAGGATTTGTGTTGGGGGTGGGGTGGGCAGGCTTCATGTTGGGGGGGGGGAGCAGAACCTCAGTTAGTTAAGTATTTTTTATTGATTTACTTGATCTGGGGGGGTGGGGGAGCTGCCCCCTTGCCCTCCTGCACCCCCCTTGGCTACACCCATAGCCTGGAAGCTAGCAGAATTGGGGGAGGCCAGGAGGCCTGGCCATGAACACGTCTCCCACTCCTGTACTGTCTCTTGAGTGCTAGGCAACTTCAGAGGCAGGAAAGCCATTGTTTTGTACACAGCAAAGTCACTGTTCTCCCGGCAAAGGACCGGCCACAGGGAGATAGATATGCATCTATCTGCCTCTGGTTGCGGCTCTCCAAGTTGGGGAGGCAAAGCGTGCTAGTATTTGGATAAAAGGCACCTCAGCTGCCAACAAAAAAGGGGTGTGTGGCACTTGAGGCCCTGGGGGACTAGAGCAGGCTGCACCCTTAGGTTTCTAGTGTGTGTGTGTGTGTGTGTGTGTGTGTGCGCCTTAACTGTGTGTGAGTGCACAGCACAACACTGACCTGCTTCTAGGTTCCTTCTGAGTCATGCGGAGTTAAGCTAACCCCTCCCACCCACAGTGCTGGACCGTTAAATAGCCCCGCCGAATGTGCCCCTCGCAGAGCCAACCGAAGCTGAGCAAAGGAGGCTGGAGAGAGAGAGAGAGAGAGGGGAGAGCGGGAAGTGGGCACAGGAGGCAGTGATGGACGAGCCAAAGGGTAAGGAACCAAAATAAGTCGCTCTGAATTGGAACAGGGGGAAGAAAAGAAGAAGAAGAAAGAAACCAGGCATCCCCCCCTCCTTTCCCTCCCCCACCCCCTACTCTCCCCCAAAGGAAGAAACTGAAAGGCGGCGGGGGGAGAGAAGGATTTTTTTGCTGGCAGCTCTGCCGGGCTGTGATGTCAGCCTCGACACACTCAGACAAAAAAGTTTGAGGAATTCATGAATATTCATACGGAGGGTATAGTCATTCGGATTTGCCATTCAAGAGGGAGCTCGTGGAAGCGTCTTCCTTCCGAATGTGTCTCCCAGCAAGCAGGGAGGGGGCGCAGGCTGCACAAGCTCCCTGGGGAACCCTCTCTTTTCGTGTGTGTGTGTGTGTGTGTGCGTGTGTGTGCGTGTGTTGCTTCCCGAGGTGATGAGTTCACCGTTAAGGAGATTTAGTTCAGTCCCTGAAACATGCAGGTTTTCTGCATTCCTTCCAGTCTGTAAAAGTGGCATGGTTTTTTCCCCTGCTCCTAGTTTGCGCTGTGTGGGAAGCGAGAGATGAGAGTGTGTGTGTGTGTGTGTGTGGTTGTTTTTGTAGCAGAGAGAGGGCGACCTTGCCTCGGGAGGTCAGGAACCAATGAAATGAACTCTGGTAATTGGGACATGTAAGGTGATGACATGGAGCAGGGTCTCCCACGCAGGGTTGTTGTCATCCTTGATTAGAATGAAGGAGATGGAGAAGATTGTACTTGTATGTATGACCATAACCTGGTAAGAGGGTGTGGGGAGGACACAGCGGTGCCTTGGGGTGTTTTTGCTCAAGCAATTCAACTGTTCTTTCTTCAGCACACCGGCTACTTTGTGTTATCTTTGGCACTCCATATTGCATTAATCAAAATAATGTGTGACACAGATTCTGGGAGAGACGCTCCGATGTGCTTTTATGTGTCTAGGGTTGTCACTCTCGGTGTCATCGCTGCATCCAAGAGGGAAGGATTGTAGCTTAGTGGTGAAACATATGCTTTGCATGCGAAAGGTCTTGGGTTCTGTTCTTTGCCTTTTCTGGTTATAGAGTCAGGGAGCATAGGGCAGGGTCATAGAATTGTAAAGTTGGAAGGGATCCCCCAACGATAATCTAGTCCAACCCCTTGCAATGCAGGAATCATGGCTAAGGAATCTTTGACAGATGGCCGTCCAAACTCTGTTTAAAAAGCTCCAGTGAAGTGTCCACAATCTTCCAGGGTGGCCTGTTCCACTATCAAACAGCTTTTACAACCAGAAAGTTATCCCTAATATTGAGTTGGAATCTCCTTTCTCATAAATTGAATCCATTGGTTCAGGTCCTATCCTCCTGAAAACAAGCTTGTTCCACCATTCAGGTATCTGAAGATGGCTATCATATCATCTCTCGTTCTTCTCTTCTCCAGGCTAAACATTGCCAACGACCTCAACTATTTCTCATACGGCTTGGTTTCCAGACCCTTTGTCATGGGGAAAGCTTCTTTGCCTGGGACCCTGGAGACCTGTTGTCACTACTGGGCTAGATCACCAAATTCTGATCTAGTGTACAGCAGTTTTCTACCTATGTGCACATGCGCAGCAGGGGTCACCAACGTGGTGCCCTCCAGGTGTTCACCACATCTCCCATCATTCCTGACCATTGGCCAGGCTGGCTGAGGCTGATGGGAGATGCAATCCACAACCCCTGCTGCTGCAGTCACTTGAGAAGGGAATGCAAAGCAGCTCAGGCTTTTCTGGCTTCACTGCTGTCAGAGCAAAGTGGCTTTTGTTTGTTTTGCAGAAAGTGCTGGTGGAAAGCAGTGGCTGCATCAAGGGACAGGTTTGAGTTGTGGAGGAGCTGGAAAGCTGTGAAAGCAGAAATTGGTCCGCCGGTAGTAACAAATGTACACAGTGACACTCTTCATAGGAATATAGAGCAGGCATCGGCAAACTCGGCCCTCCAGATGTTTTGGGACTACAACTCCCATCATCCCTAGCTAACAGGACCAGTGGTCAGGGGTGATGGGAGCTGTAGTCCCAAAACATCTGGAGGGCCGAGTTTGCCTATGCCTTAAATAGAGGGTAGCATCATTTACCAAAGCAAATGGAATGTGAGAGTTGTCTATAAGTTGCATTGTTGATAGCAGTAATCTCTTTTCCCTGACGGAAGGCTGATTCTTGAGTCATGACTGTATTGGGGGTTTCTTCTGCTGGCAACTCAAGTTGGGCTGTTACAAAATTGTCAGTTACCTTTCCCACACATTATATGTTTTTCTTTGTTGCCCAAAAAGTTGTGCCATTCGGCTTGCCTGCAGCAGACGCAAGAAAGCCTCTTCTCCTTTTTTGTGGTCTCCTGGCTCGTGGCCTTCCACTTCCCCTTGGGACAGGAAACGGAGGAGCCACGAGGGGAAGCTTTACTTCATGCTGATGGGGTTGCCCTCTTTAAACCCTCTCCGCCATTAGTGCGGCAGAAAGGAAATCCAATTTGCCTGGAGTGACACTACCGCTGCTTCTCCCTCCCACTCCTTTCTCTCCCCAGCAATCACCTTAGATAAGAAAACGAGAAAGTCAATCTCCTCTTCCCAATATGTTGCTCAACAGGTACTCGTAATAGTCAGAAGTTGGTTTGAAGTACGTACAGTATTCAGAAAAAGAGTGCTCATGTATTTGAGGAACATACTTTGCTAACCTCTTCCTGTAGGTTCTGGGGAAGAGTCTTAACTTCTATGAAATCGCCCTTTGAGTGATTACTTCTGTGTGATGCGGTAACCAGAGGATAACTGTTGTATGACTGACAAAGTTTGAGATGGGTGTGAGGTTCTGTTGATGAAATCACGTCAGCTTTATCTGCCTGTTCCTGGATCAACTGGCCCCCTGATGGGGTGTGGGCCCCTTTGCAGATGCCGGGCAATGCCAACCCTTGACAGCAACCCTACTAGTTACGCCCATTATTCCTCCTCCAGAGGCCACTGCATTTAGAGACTGAGGCTCTGAGCAGCTGGGAAATGCATGTAGGAAAGTAGTGTTGATGTACTTAGTGCAAACCATGGTTCCTTTTAATGTATGGTTCAAATCTGAGATTTAAAGCACAGGGCTTCCTCTAAACAATCCCAGAAACTGTAGTTTGTTAAGGGTATGTCAAGATGCTGTCAGTGGCTCCCGGCTGATTGCCCAAGAAAGTATAAAGACAAGGAAAAGTTTATTACAGTCCTTTTTTATTTCAGTCTTTACATAGAGAGGCTGTAGAACCCAGCCTCTTGGATAATGGTGTTGTCCTGCGTGAATCTCCACCCCCCTGTCTCTCCTGCTTCCTCATTCATCACCATCATCACCACCTCCTCTACGTTTGCTGCTAAGTGCCCTCTGTCTTTGAGCTCTTCGCTCTCCTACTTTTAAGGTTTGCCAGGTTCTGGAAGATGGAGGGTCTGGAAAGCTTTCTAATGACAATCTGTCAGCCAGGTGTTGCTCTGGCTCTCCCATGATTTCCCAACTTTTCTCCTCATCCGCCTCAGAGCTGTGACTTCTCTGAAAGGGTCAGGATAGGGAGGTGGTCTCCATCATTCCTCCTCTGCCCAGGGTGCTGGGAATCGTAGCTCTGTGAGGAGTAAGCAAGAGTTCCTAGGATTATTTGGGGAAAGCCATGACCCTTAAAGTTGAATAAATGTGCTTTCAATGTATGCTGTGACTGTGACCTTTCTTCACCATAATGGTCATGCAATACCAACTGTCCAGTGAAAGATGCCCAATCAGGTTTCTGACAAATCGGTGAGGGTAAGACCCAGGACCTAAAGCAAGATAAGTCTGAGCCCAGAATCACAGAGCAGGAGGGGATCTTGTCGGCTCCCTGGTTCAACTTGGTGGATGCAAAAAGCGCAGCTCTAGAGCATCACCAACAAATACTTGGCTAGCCTCTGCCTGAAGATTTCAGTGCAGTTATTTGAAATGATGGTGGGCTTAAGGGAGGCTTCACCTCCTTGGTTGCTTAGAGCACAGAACAAGCAAACCTTAGAACCTCTTGTCTACAACAGGGATCTATCAGGTCACGTTATCTGTTTTACCATGCTGGTTTCTAGAGACTTCCTGAAAGTCTGGCTTGTAAATCCCCTGTCTCTTTCCTTCGGTCAGCTCTTAACGATGATGATGAACAGACAGGTAAAAGTCTTGTCAGATAAAATTTCCAGTACTACTATGTTAATAACAAGTCTCGTTACTGAGCTTTCAGACCCTGCATTCAGGTCCCACTTGAGTTTGAACCCTGTCAGGTCTGGAGATGGGGAAAAGGAAAACTCACCATCAATTGCATGCAACTATTCTTGGTCACCACTGCAGAGCATCAGAGAAGGGCAGGAGAAGTATCTGCCTCAACTGGTTGCTGCTTTCAGGAGGAAAGCAAAGAGGGCTAGATCCTGTTGGAGTGGTGTCTTCAACATAACTGTGCCTGCCAGAGTCATACTGTGCCTGTAGGAGATGCAAATTGTGTGTTCCTGGGTGGTCTCCACAAGATGCATCTTTGTGGACAGTACTTACTCCAGACACCAAGCAGAGAGTGTCTCGTAGTATGTGGTGAAGTCAAAACTGCCTTCTTTCTCCACATGGATATGAAAGAAGCATTTCTAGAGAGCAAGAAACTCCCCATAGCACTGAACAGCAGAACTCAAATATGCTAAGTGTTTGGCAAACCATTTCCCTAATTGCTTGTGTCTGACTAGATGTTACATAGTCATCATACAAGTGTTTACTGCATAGTCTGCTTCCCAGGTTAGACAACCCACAAAATTGTTATCTTGTTCTCATCAAGTCCTTTGCAAGAACCCAAACAGATTGGAGGTTGGAAGAGGCTGATAAAGTCGTGATGATGCTTCTCTTATATAAAAAAAATTCTTTTCCATGTTGGAATAAACAACAGAGGCTGTTATTCATGTTCATTATCCAAATGACAGGGTGTCAAATGTCTCGTTTTCAAGCAGAAGGCAGAGAGAGATGAGAAAGAGAGGAGAGGCTGAGCTAAATTCAAACGCTTTTTAAAAACCCTGTATATCCCTCCCCCCAGCTTTTCAGAATGATAAGCCCACAAAATATCATGAGTGGAAGGAACACACCACCATTTTCCAAAACCCCTTCAGCAGTATGCAAAAAAATATAGAATTCACATTATTTTCAATTTCTGCAATGTGAAGCGCAGCTGGAAAAATTTAGCATTCATTTGTCTTTTATGAGGAAGGAGCTGACAAGAACTTTGCCATGCTTCTTAGCATACTTCAGGAACATTTCATAACAACATTGAAATGTAATGGAAATGTTGGCCGGGTTCTTAAAAGAGCCGACGTTGTGTCCCATTACAGTACAAAACAGTATGGTAAATAAACCCACAAAAGTTATTAGCTTGCAAAGTTTTATAGTGGCCCACTATGAGTCCAGCAGCGTGCATTTTCACATCACATAACGCATTGCGTAACTATGGTGTTCACTCCCACAAGAGGCAGGAATGGCCACCAACTTGCTTAGCATTAAAAGAGGATTAGACAAATTCATGAGAGATAAGGCAATCAACAGCAAAACCTGATGACTATGTTCTTCCTCCAATGTCAGAGACGGTCGGCTTCTGAATAGTTCAGGATCATTCTGCCCCACCCTCTGCTAGTCCATTGCATGTTCCTTTCTCTGTAGGTAGAACAGAAACCAAGCAGGCTGGAGAAGGAAGGATGGGGCAGTGTCTCCCTCCATTTCTCTCTCTCACCTGCATGGAAATCCTGAACTCCTTTGACTGCCAGACAAGATTTTAAATACAAAGCTGTTAAAAAATGCTTAGAAATGGCTGGGTGCAAAGGGACCCTGTAACCTGAACTATCTGAAAGTGAGCTGTTTGGAAAGCATATGTCCAGAGGCAGTGCGAGAAACTGCAGAGAAAGAGATCTTTGTTGATGCTCAGATCTTTGAAGGTGTGCCTCCTCTTCCCCCATTCCCTGGAGGATAGGATTCTGATTCACTCTCTAGAGTCCGTTACAGCACACCACCGCCGGTCTATAAACCTCATCCAAGGAGCATACGCATCTTGCATGACATAGGGTTATATCACCCTGTCCTCATGTCTAAAGAATTTAGAACACACATGTGGGGATTTTGATGATGGGGCCTGTGATGAAACGGCATGCTGCACAAAACTCTGTGTAAACAGCCAGGGCTAACAACAAAGTAAGGAAAGGCATATTGCTAGCCCATGTCTTCTCAGGAGGACTCAGGATGCAAATACTCAACAGGAGCCTCAGCTCCATACATGCGATGGGTGACTACAGGGCCGTCTTTACCTGGGGGTGCAAGGGGTGCAGGGCACCCGGGAACCGAATTCAGTGGGGCGCCAAATGTATACCTACTGTATACATCCCTGCCTCCCTCCTTTGTCGTTCTGTTACTCCGTAGCGTCAAATATTCCCAAGTCAGGAAACAGAAAGAAACTTTCGCCCCCCTAAAAAAAAGGTCAACAACTTTTGCTTCCCCCCTCCCCCAAAAAAGCTCAAGAAAAGTTAATTTGGTGGTGGCTAATCTAAATTTGGGGGCGCTGGGCAGATCTTCACACCCCGGTGGTACATATGCTAAAGACAGCCCAGGGTAACTATATTATCTAATACTGAAAGAGGACTTTGTGGCGCCAGAGACAGGGGACACAAAATAGAAAGCAGTACTTACTCACCCCTTAGTGAGAATCTAGGCACAGGAACTATCTGTTGCATCTGCTGACCATTGCTGGTCATTGTAAGTTCCTGCGGTTGAATATACACACCAGACATTTAATGTACTTGACTTCCTCCCAGAGAAACCTGGGAACTGTAGTTTACCCTCACTGAGCTACAATATCCCGCATCCTTAACAAACCAAAGTTCCCAGGATTCTTTGGGGAAAGTCATGTGCCTTAAGTGTATGGTGTGTATGCAGCCGTGTGGCTCTTCAGGCAGTCCAGCAGCTCTCCTTGAGGGGCAGCAGCAAGGCCTGCAACACAGACAGCAGCATCAATGCCCAACCTGAAGCCAGCTGTTCCTCTGTGGCACAGTGGTTTAGAGCACCATTGCTGTTTTTGCCCAGGGGGGTGTTCAAATGAATGTCCCACTTACATGGAGGCCACATCCATGCCATATATTTAAAGCTCTATTGTACCACACTTTGGCTTTCACCAAAGAACCCTGGAAACTGCGGTTGTGAGTTGCTAAGAGACTCCATCCCTGCCACAGAGCGGCATTTCCTAGAGTTCCCTGGGAAGAAGGAGTGATTGTTAAACCACTCTTGAGAACTGTAGATCCATAAACTGCAGTTAACAAACTGCAGTTCCCAGGATCCTATGCGGAGAAGCCATGGCTGTTAAAGCAGTATCATAGAGTTTATGTTGCCTCTTGTGGGTGTGGCCTCAGAGGGGGAGCAGGGCCATGCCCCCCAGCTGTGTGTTTGGTGAGGATGAGAAAGGGCGCTTCTTGGGCACTGACAAGTCTCTTGGCACACACATAGGAACTATGCTCATACTTGTTCAACTCGTGTCCTTTGAGGGTCACGGCTGGTGTGTGGTGGAGCTAGCCTGTGCTGTTTAACTGAACCCCCTTTCCTGAAAAATACTTCCTCTGGAAGGACCTGAAGTGTTGGAACAATTGAGAACAAGTCGTTGCTGTTGCTGTTGCTGCTGCTTCTTCTTCTTCTTCTTCTTCTTCTTCTTCTTCTTCTTCTTCTTCCTCCTCCTCCTCCTCTTTGGTTTATCACCTCCTTCCAGTTTTCTGGGCTTCAGATTAGCTGCCAGTCTCACCAAGGTGATTATCAGAAGCAGGTTCCTCACAACTAACAATTCTGAGAGCCTGGGAGTTGTACCTGCCAACATTAGCATGTGGTGTGCTTAACACAATGAACCATATGCCCTAAGAATAATTGTGAGCAAAACCAAACAAGTCAATGATATTGCAAATAGAATTGCTTTCAAACATTATCACAGACCAGAACAGTCTATCCTCTGTGGGTAAATATACTAAATAATGCCCCTTATGGGAGTAATCCATCTCTGAGCTCTTTGTTCTTGTCCTAAAATGAACCTTTTAAATGAAAACAATACCGTGACTTTCCTGAGAACTAACATTCAAAAACCGCCTGGGGGCTGAACAGAGAAATATCTTGGCCCTTTTTAACTGTCCACCACACGTTGTTATTATTTATTATTATTATTACAAATGATTTTGTACTGCTACGGAGTGGGCCTCATCGTACATGAAACGATTAAAATGCTTGCAGTGTTAACTCCTTGTTTTTGTTTATATTTAAAGTAACCTTTAGCTTAATGCTACAAGAACTGCCAGTTTAAATGTCTGCATAACTCAGCTATTGTTGCAATAATCCGGACAAGCTTTGTTCTTCTTACGGTGTCTAATGACCACCTTTCAGTCTCCAGGAAGCTTCCGCTCTTCCTCTCCAGTGGCTGAGCTGAAACTAGGGGTATTTTGCAATGGTGTTTTGAAGTTTGTTAAATTCTGAAACTCCACCTCTAAGCGGTGCTGTAATTTGAATTGTGAAGGAGTACTTGCAGATTTTAGGAGTACTGAAGTTTGCGCTCATAGCTAAAAACATCTGTATGCTTGGCACCCCTACAGGAAAATACCATAAGTTATTAGAATCAGTGCTACCTTGGACATAGAAGCTATCTATGTAGACCCATTCCTATAGCCACAGACTTACAAGTGGTGCAGGAAGCCCCTTTTCTCAACCAATAGCTTGTCCCTCCTCTGTCCCCTTCCAGCAGGATTATCATAAAAATCCTGCAAAGACTGCCCCTTCATTTTTACAACACATCCATTCACACCAAGTTTTTATTCTGATGTCTTATCATTTAAAATATCGTATACTGTATTGCAGTCACACTGCATTGTTCTCAGCCTCCCTAAGTGTGGGAAGAGTAGGATACAAATTAATAAGTGAAATAAGGCACCATTGCAGAGCTGTATTCTGCATATATTCTAGTATGCACACTTGGTGTTGCAGAAATGGAAGCTGGTGCTCAGTGGTGCCACAGAGATTGCCCCATTTAAGATTCGGAAAGAGCCTGCAGAGTGAGACATGCTTGCTGACAGTTTGATGGGTAGCTCTTAATTTGAAAAAAGGGACACAGCGTGAGTATTGTTATTTGGGACATTTAGAACCAAATATGAAAAATGCACAGCAAACAAAAGCTATGGAAGTTTAGCATCTGGTGTCATATGTTAGGAACACTTTGGTCAGTATTTAAAACTGCTTATATACCACAAACCAATAAGGTGATTTGGATTTAAGTCAGTTTAGTCCTTTGTTCTTGACTGTATTCGAGTCTTGGCACTCTAGTACAGTGCATCTGCAACAGCCCAACTGGACTCCTTCATCTGCCCCAGCTGCAACAAAACATGTCTCTCCCGTATCGGTCTTGACATCCAGCAGCTTGACCTCACAAACATATACGCACCAAGGGGCAGTCCTCCATTGTCTCCTGAGACAGAAGGATGCCAACAAAGGATTTTCCTTTGAGTCTATGGTGGTAGCAGAAAAGACTACCACCACAGAATCAAAAGAAAATCCCCCAGACAAATTAGTCCACATTACCTCCTGCAAAATATAACACTGTGTAAAATGATGTAAAGAACATAGTTTTAATGCGGAAGTTCTGCCATTTTCCCAATGTGATGCTACTAACACTGTCATTTTATCTGAAACATATTACACCAGTACCCGGCACTTTTCAAATAAATTGTGTTGGCCCCCATCCCTCCAAACTTGAGCTGACCCTGAGAATGACAAATTAAGCAAATTAACTGATTTAATCTCTTGCCTTCCTATAAGATCCAGCAGTTATTGCTGGAAATCATCCTCTAAGGAGACAATTGGAAGAGGATGTATGAATGAGTGAGTGAGTGGAGACAATGAACTCAGATCACCCATGCAGTGCAGACACGCTGATTATTTCCAGCCCTTTCTACTCCTGTCCCAACAGCTGTAGCTGATTATACTAAGTCCCATTTCCTCACCAGACTTGAACACAGTTACATAAAGCTGCTATGTAGGCAGCAGCAACTTAATCTCTTTGATGCCCCTAATAAGGTAAGTATGCTTGGTCCAAATGTGTGTACAGAATTTCTGTTTTGGGCAATCACATTCCTGAGCTTTTAAGAAGAACTAGAGGTGCTTCTTGGAGAAAGGTCAATGCGGGGGGGGGGACCCCTTTCTGCTCTCTTCACAGAAGAAGCAGTGTTTGCTTTTCACTTTTTTAACGTTTGCCATCCTTTGATCAAAGATCAGTTTGTTAGGTGGCCTGCATGAGGCCCAGGAAAAGGTGAGTTGGCTGTCCTAGATAAATGCAGAAACAACTTTTTGCACGTGTCATCTCTGTTATCTTGCTGTACCAAAGGGAGCACGCTACTGACTCTGATGTTGCTGCCCCATTCGCCTCCCTTCTGTAACCTCTGATGCTGCCTTATGGCACATGGAAGAAGTGCATCTGGTGCTTGCTCATGTAGGAATGAGAGCACGCTTTCCTCTGAACTTCAGCATCAGGAAGGTGCTGTTTTAAGTGGTGTTGATTATCATTAAGGATCAGGCAGCAGTACTAAAAAACAGGGAACTTTATTTAAACAAGCTTTCTTTAACTCCTAAACTGTCTCAGACCCTCGTCCTCTCTTTCTATACTTTCTGGGCTGAAACACTTTCTGGTAGCTGCCCCTGTGCCTTCCCTCTGTGTCACCACGTTTCTCTCTCCCTGACTGCTGCCCTAACCCTCTTACTTAGTTCCACACACTTTGATACAGGTGCAATCCAACTTGGAATGCTGTATACAGCTCTGGTTGCCTCACCCTAAGAAGGATGATGGAGCCAGTGTGGTGTAGTGGTTAAGAGCGGTAGACTTGTAATCTGGTGAACCGGGTTCGCGTCTCCGCTCCTCTACATGCGGCTGCTGGGTGACCTTGGGCTAGTCACACTTCTTTGAAGTCTCTCAGCCCCACTCACCTCACAGAGTGTTTGTTGTGGGAGAGGAAGGGAAAGGAGAATGTTAGCGGCTTTGAGACTCCTTCAGGTTGTGATAAAGTGGGATATCAAATCCAAACTCTTCTCTTCTTCAATGGGAAGGAGTAATGTTGCAGCTTTTGGGGCTTTTTTTGTTTAGAGCAGGGTTTCCCAAACTTGTGTCTCCAGCTGTGTTTGGACTACAATTTCCATCATCCCTGACCCTGGATCCTGCTAGATAGGGATGATGGAAGTTGTGGTCCCAAAACAGCTGGAGACCCACATTTGAGAAACCCTGCTCTAAACTAAACACCACTGGCATGAAACCCTCATAATGTTGTCCAGAAGGGGGTCCAAGCCTTGGTCTGAGAGAGTCCCACCACCACCATCAGTGTAAGGGGAGAGAAGTTTGTCATCTTCTCCATGTGCCCCGAACTGGTTTAGCCCCCTCCAATCAGCATGGCCAATTGTCAGGGGTGATGGGCGTTGTAGTCCAGCAACATCTAGAGGGCACCACGTTGACTGCCTCTGCTGTAAAGCTTTTAAAGCAATGTGTAGTTTGGTCCTCAGAAACTCATAATGTGTGCAGAACTTTGACTCCTGTGTGCCTTTTGGAATCCTGGCTTAAGATTTCCAACTTCCCTCCTTTGTAGTGCTACCCTGGCAACTTTCCATTTTCTCGACCTTGTCCTATTGACAAGGCCCCCTTCACTTGGAAGATAAGAAATGAGTAAGAACTGGGCAAAACAAAACAAAGCATCATGTTTCCAAAAAATACAACTGTGCGCCTTCCTACCCCCACCACCTTGTTGTGAACAACGATGGAATTTACTGCAGAGGGAAATGGATGGATTTAGGGGGGAAATGTCCAGAAGAGTTTGTGAAGGACAGAAAGATCAACTAACAATAGTTTCCAGCATAATATTTTGAACAAATGTTCCCCACCCCATGTGGAAAGTGTTAAGTCGGGACTCTCGTTCCTTGGGACTCTCGTTCCTATGGTAACTTTTGGTATGTTTCCACAGATACCACATGTGCGACATCTGTGGAGAGGGGAATCAGAATGACATCCGTGTGGGTGGGAGAGTTATTAGCACAGGGATGTGGAACCTGGTGTCCCCCAGATGTTGTTTCAGCGGCGTAGCGTGGGTTGTCAGCACCCAGGGCAAGGCAAGTAATTTGCGCCCCCTAACCCGGGGCAAGGCAAGTAATTTACGCCCCCTAACCCCTAACCTGCCGCCGCTGCCAGCTTCTTCTTGCTGCTGCCTGGTCTGGTCTGGTGTGGTTCTCTCCCGCGCTCAGCGCTGCGCTGGGCGGCCGCTGCACTGTCCCTCCCCCAGATAGTCCCTCGCTCTCTCTCCGCACCGCATGCCTGGCACCCATCCCCTCCACAGTGGGCGGCGACCCAGCAGCTCGGATCGGATTCGCACAGCCAGCACTGCAGTGAGAGACAGTGAGTGAGCCAGGTAGGGGCAGAGAGCTGCGAGTGCGAGCGCCCCCCCCAGATGTTGCGCCCGGTGCGGCTGGCCCCCCCTGCACCCCCCACGCTACGCCACTGTGTTGTTTGACTACAGTCCCCATCACTCCTGATCATTGACCATGTAGGCTGGTGCCGATGGGCCTTGGAGTCCCCTCCATATGGGGGGATCACAGTTTCCCCACCCCTGCTTTAGGGATATACCGTAATCCTATGTACACTTTGCTGGGAGTAAGCCCCATAACACATAGTGATCAGCAGCAATAAGAATACTCTTATTAGCAACGAAGTCTGTTGCATATTTACTTGGCTTAAACCAAGGGTAACCACTGAGGTGCCCTCCAAATGTTGCTGTTCCCATCACCCTAGATCATGGACTATGATGGCTGAATCTTGTGAGCGTTGTAGCCCAAAATCTGGAGGCCACCACATTGGCTAGCCTTAGCTTAATCCTTCCCCAACCCAGTGCATACCAGATGTTTTGAACTGCAGTTCTTATCAGCACCAGCTGGCCTCGCCCAGTGGTCAAGGATGACAGGGAGTTGTAGTTCAGAACACCCAAATAGCACACCAGGGTGGGGGAAGTCTGCCTTAAAGCAAAGCTGGGCAGACTTCTGGCTTCTCAGATCCAGTTTGCTTTTTACTTGAACCCCACGATTTACCAAATGGAACCAAGTGCTAATGACATACAGAAAGAATTAAAGATCAGTAGGACCAGTGGTGGCTAGTGCCTATTGAGACTGGTAGGGCAGAAGGCAGGAAGTCAACAGTAGGTAGAGTCAGAGCCAATGGCAGGTGCAATCGCAGCCAAGGACAGTCAGAGCCCACTGATTCTAGTTTTGCTGTAGATGAGTTCTACAACAGTGAGAATGAGGAGTAGGAAGCCAAGAGGCAGTGTTGCTTCCTGGGGAGTTTATAAGAGGGCAGGCAGGTGGGGACTGGCTGGTGGTAGGATGGGGTTTCACTGCTCCATTTGCCCTATTGAACTGCCATAGATCTTCATCCACTTTCTGCCTACCACTGTCTTAAAGCACTTAGCTCTGTTTCTTATTGGAACTGAAATACTGCACTGGCCATTATTATTTTGGGGTTGGAAAGCCAGTTCTAGAAATGTGATGAGCGCCGGCACTGCCTTTGTTCCCTCCTTCTCAAAACTGGAAGTCTGCCCACATGAATTAGCCTGAAATCCTGGCTGAGACTGGAATCTTACCTTATCAGTGTAGTGTAGTGAAGTCACATAATAAGTTGTTTTTTTAAAAAAAAACAACCAACAGCAACCTTCCCAAACCTCCCTTACTCCCTTTGTGTGACCTTCCTAACGTAATCAGAGCAGGAAGTTACTGGCGGCAGCAGATCTTTGAAACGCCTCATTCCTTAATTTGTGGGGCAGTTTGTTTGAATGTTAGGGATACTCAAAGAAGAAGGAACAGCCCACTGAAAAAACTATTATAATTCTGTGTCTTATTTCACTGTGGTGTGGAAACTTTCACAGAATATGGACTTGCAATAAAATAGTGAAAGTATCCTACTATGTAACCAAGATTGCAGGAGACACAGATTTATGGCCTAGCCACAATGTGAGTTTCCAAAAAAGAGGCACTGTTTGAAATGAAATTAATCAGAACAAATGGTGTTACGGCCAGGAAAGTTTGTATATTCTCGAGCTGAAATATTAATAATGGTAAATACAGAATCAATCGGCAGTGAGCTTTTATTTTCAGAATGAGACTAGTTTCCCAAGAAGAACTTTTCAGGGAGAAAAAATAGGCAATAGATTTAGATTATGTAGCAAAACCAAGTACTCATTCTCCATTGATTCAAGAGCAAAATGTTGGGCGTATGCTGTCTGTGTCTCTCAACAATCTTACATAACTGGGTGTAGACTAGGAAGAAATCCCATCTTGTCCAAATCTCCTTGAAAGAAAGGTGGGATATAAATCTGACAAATAAGCCATTTGTCAACATGACTTCTCCAAGCTCTAGGACTTCTGGTCTCTTTTCAAAACACCATCACTGCACCTGCTACTTGTGGACAACAAATGGGTCTCTGTGTAAGAGCTCATTCACAAAAAAGGAAAATCCATTTCATTTGGCAACCTTTCCTCAATATCTTCTCTCCCCCCCCCCCCCCCGCACACTTGAGCTGCTGTGATGTGGGGCTTCCTTCCACACTTGTATAAGGACTTTCATCTGGTGCCCTACAATAGGCTCTTGTCCTTGGTTCCCCAACCCCTACCACTTCTTGTTTAAAAATACTTCAGAACTTTTTGTTCATGATTGTTTGGAATGGAAATATGAGCAATATGGAGCACAGAGCAGGATATTCATGCTGAACAACATCCACTGACCTCCTAAGTTTCTAGGAAGTCCCACTATGGAAGCTGACCTCTTGGAGATCAATCTAGGCTTTAAAGAGCAAAGTCCATGGAGAAGAAAGGCAGACTGGGGTGCGGCTGGTTTCATTTCAGCCTGAGGGTTTGGAGCTTGACTTGGGGCTGCTGGGCTGGGTTCTTCCCGTTACAAGCCATTAAAGCTCAAATTCTTAAACTGGAAATCTGTTTTTTGATGGACAGGCTGCCTGAGAGATTGCCTGGACTATACCACGCACATGGAAAATTGATCATCTGAATAATTTGTCATGATGAGGACAAATCATGTTTTTGCTTGCTGTTTCTTGAGCCACATTAGGAAGGTTTGTGGTAGTAGGCAAAAACACTCCTTGGACTCCTTCTTTAAAAAACAAGTAGCCTTTTGCATTTATTTTTTTCCATTGGCACACCTGTGCAGGAAAAAAAAAGGTGAAATGGACAAGTGCATTGAAAGGCATTGTGTCTCAATAGCCATAATTTACCATGGTTGCCAAGTGACCATTTTATTGCAGTGCAGTGCAGTGTATTCATAGGAGTTGTGCTATTCACTTCAAACACATTATCACAGAGGCTATCCGGAGTTTTTCACCATTTGTTAGGCAACTTGTTTTTAAAAAGGAGAAAAGTGGAGTTAGGAACCAGAGAAGAGCAGGTAGCAGTACTCTAGGCAAGTGGAAACCATGGTGTGTACTAGAGCTTTTGCCAAGGGACCAGAGAGGAAGGATATTGTGTGTATATTCAACACAATTGCACATAAAATGTGTACAGGAGAAATTCACACACCAAAAAAGCTGATGAATTGTCATGACTTTTTAGAAAATTGCGAACGGATGTGGAAATGTGGAAAACTGAACTTAAGACTGGAAAAATGAAAAACTGAGAGAAATCATAAATGACATTTGCTGGACTAGTTGGGTCTTTGGTGTGTTCCAGTAAGATTCTTCTTACACCAAGAAGAGATTCTTGGGGGATCCTAACATTCAGAAGGGAAGTAAGGGAAGAACTTCCATTTATGGAAACATTATTTTATGTACACATAATTCCTTTTCCTCTTCCAGGTTCTTACCTAGGACTATTTGCTCAGGCTTTCCATGCCCAAGAGAGACAAGTGACAGTGCAGAACTGCTGGCTCTGAACCCTTGCTTCAAAACATAAAAACATGGAAAATGAATTAACTTGAGAGTGAGATAAATGATTGTTGGATTGTGTAGCCTCTGCAAGAGTGTATAGAACTGCATAGGCGGCTTTGCCCTTAGACATTGCTAGATCCAATAGGTTTCCAGACCGCTCTGGCGGCATTTTGGAGGAGTTGGCAACTCTCCTCTTGGAATACCCAAATGACTCAGGTGGTTGACATGGTTGCCCCTGAAAGCTCTCTCCTATTGGTTCAGGGCAGCTCCCTGGTTCTCCAGGAATCTGCTAGAAATAAAACTGTTGTAACAATGACTACAGGGCTGATGGCAAAACACCCAAAACAAAACTGACCAAACACTACTTGAGAGTCCATTTGAAAGCCTGTTCCATGATCGCATAGGCAGCAATTAAATCTTAGCTTTTCCACCAGCTTTGCATCTGTACAATGCTATCCAGCACAGCTATTTCTGATTGTCAAAAGGGCCTCCTCAGCTTTTTGCTGTCAAGAACCATACAAACACACAGTAGCCCACAACAAGCCTTAATTGCACTACAGACAAAGTTGCTCACCTCCTCTCAAAGCTTTGTACTGGCGATCCCCTTGGCCTCTGCAAGAGTGGATCTACACACAGGGGAAAAACACGGTATAAATAAGTCAGAAATTACAATTTCCCCCCGTGTATAATACGCCCCCGTGTATAAGATGACCCCTATTTTGGGGGACTCTAAATTAAGGAAATGGAGAGAGATTGGCCAGAGTTCTTAAGCTTTTTTTGGGGGGTGCTGACAATCGCTCACCTGCCTGACCACCCGTGCCATTCGCACAACTCGATGAAGCCACCGATCTGCCCATTAGCTGCCAACAGCCACCAATCGCATGCACACTTGCTGCAGCAGCAGGCATTGCTGCAGCAAACAATCACCCACCCAAACACTGCTTAAAATCTCCTGCTCACGGCTAACACCAATAACACGTCCCCCTATGCACTATCCGTGTATAGGATGACCCCCAATTTTTAACAGTTCTTTATAATAAATAAACCTTGTCTTATTCACAGGGAAATACGGGAAATCGTTATAAGAAAATAAACACTATGCAAAAATCTATGCCATACATAGCCCAAGTAGATCGCTGTGAATATGCTTTGCCTGTGGTTGCCCTTGAGTGCGATTCAAGCCAAAGGACATGTTAAGCTATTCATGCTGCTGCTGCTTTTAAGTGTGCTTATGCTGGTCTCTTTTATTTTGAAGCAAAAACAACCAAGGGTGAGGGGCAAACTGGGGCAGGGATCAGTGTCCTGTGTTGGTTCCTGCTGAAAATTGCCCTTCCCCAGTTGCTATTGGCTCTGCGCAAAGCGCTGTTTACTTTATGCTCTGTAAATTTGTCCTTTTAAAAAAATATGCTACCACCACATCTTGCATCAGTGAATTCCACTGCTAAAAGGTTTCTATATCAAAGCAGTAGACACAGAAGTATCGGTGGGATTTTGCAGGCTTCAGAGTTGACAAGGGTTCTGCCACCTCCATTGTCAAAGTCAGTTGTGCTCCGTTATCTTTTTCCATGTGACATGCCAGCCGCAAGACATATGTCAAATGCATCTGGCTGTCAACACCATCTAAGAAACACTGAGGCTAACCATTTCATTTTCCTGAATGGGCTACTCATAACGGAACCAGGGGGATGGAGAATGTCATTGATTAAGCCCATGTTATGAAAATTGGGAGATTCCTGACAGTGGTGAAGTTACGTAAATAAATGATCTTTCTAGGAGGGGGTTCTTAAGATGGTATTTGGGTATTACTATCCTTTCCTCAAAATGTGGGAAGCCTGTTGCATCTGGGGGCCCTTTTGCTGATTCTGCTGTGTGAGGTCTGGGGCCTCTGCCCCAAAGTCCTGCCCTGATGTTATCGCTGCTGCCAGAGTTGCTGCCTGTTGCCATTGCTCCAGCTTTGTGTCTGCAGGACTTGGGGAGATGCAGCTGGGAGCTGCTGTCTGCACTGTTGGAGTAAGGACCGAGTCTGTGGGACCGTCTCCAGATGGAAGGAATGCGCTTGGTGCTGATGTGGTGAATGGGGGATTGTCAGGCCGAGCTGGCTGGGTCACAGGGAATTCCTGTCTGTAACCTTCCCCGACGACATTTTGCCAGAAATAAACCCTCAATTTGCTGCCAACACAAACAGAAAAGCTGGGATTCCACGCTGAGCACAAAGCCCCTGTGTGCTCACTTCCGGGCGGTGTGATCCTCTGTGGGAAAGGGGACTGGGATGTGGTGTGTCTGTGTGTGGGGTCGTATCTTAGCTGTTCCTTCACTATAGAAACGGGTGCAGCCTCACAGCTTGGAATTGCAGCCTGCCAGTCATATTCTGCTTACGCACAATACATTTCAAGCTCAAAACTTCCCTCAAAGCACCCTAGGAACTTTAGTAAATTACAGCACCCAAGGAACCTTTGCTGGAAGCTGTGTGCTGTAAATGTATGGAATGCACGAGGCAGGAAGGATGAGCAAGGGTGCTCTGTTTAACACCAACCTCAGCTTTTTGTCACCTGTACTTGGTCTCCAAATGTTCAAAACCCTTCAGTTTCTCAAGGTTTTCTGTCAGGAGAAGAAGCTGATGTTTTATTCATTTTACTCCTGAGAATTTCAGGCTACAATCTGTTTCCCACCTGAAGGGAAGAGGAAAATGAAGGTCAATGGTTTCCGTGGAGCCCTGAGCACAAGCTTGTGCCTTAGCATCAGAAACAGAGAAGGTGATGCATGAATAATAATTTGTTGTTGTTTAGTCGTTTAGTCGTGTCCGACTCTTCGTGACCCCATGGACCAGAGCACGCCAGGCACTCCTGTCTTCCACTGCCTCCCGCAGTTTGGTCAAACTCATGCTGGTAGCTTCAAGAACAGTGTCCAACCATCTCATCCTCTGTCGTCCCCTTCTCCTTGTGCTCTCCATCTTTCCCAGCATCAGGGTCTTTTCCAGGGAGTCTTCTCTTTTCATGAGGTGGCCAAAGTACTGGAGCCTCAGCTTCACGATCTGTCCTTCCAGTGAGCACTCAGGGCTGATTTCCTTCATAATGGATAGGTTTGATTTTCTTGTAGTCCATGGGACTCTCAAGAGTCTCCTCCAGCACCATAATTGTACCCTGCCCACCTGACTGGGTTTCCCCAGCCACTCTGGGTGGCTTCCAACAGATATAGGAACACATAAGCTCTACTGTCAGGGGCAATATGCCTTTGAACATCAGTTGCTGGTAATCACAAGTTAAGAAAGCACTCAGGTCCTGCTTGCTGGCTTCCCATAGGCACCTGACTGACCACTGTGAGAATGGAGCGCTGGACTAGGTGGGTCTGATCCTACAAGGAACATCTTATGCAGTGTTCTTAAGCTCTGCATTGAGAGCATAGCTCCAAGTACTTGCATATCACAAAGTGGGGTTCAGAAGAGAATGTAAATGAGAAAACATGCATGCAAATGCTTTATCTCAGGAACAATGGCTTCAATACAGTTTTTCAGCTGAAAAACTACTGGTGAAATAATACTGATTAGAGAACACTCAAAACCCTGTGCCTTCTTTACAGATTGGTATAGCTTAATTTTCTATGCAGATGGAAAGCATGTAGGCAGGAGACCTTGTTTCCTTTTATGGAATGATAGCTAGAGGTTCCCTGCTTGCTGCGTTTCTTTGTGAGATATCTGCACGTTCTTATTTGGTGCGATTGTAATGAGATCTCTCTGCTGATACTGTTTGTAAAAGGAACAAAATGAGCTGTAAGTCTGCCTTCGGTTCTGTTAATGTTACTGTTTGTTAAATGAAACTGAATATATATATATATTTAATAACCCTTGAGAGTGTGTTGAAATGTGATCTGATTGTAAAAGGGATTGTTGTGCTTCTGTTATATTTTCATATTCATCCAGGTGCTTATCTTCGAATCATCAGAGCAAACGTAAGCACTAACTTAATTTGAACAAAAGCGGAAGGCTGCTCACCAAATTACTTTCGCGGTGGACCTACCACTTTATTTCTAATGTTGTGTGTCCTGTATGTTCCTGTAATTTTTTATACTACAAATGTTCCAGGGATTTATTATCCCACTTTTGTCATGTTATAGAGCAAGCCCCTCCAGACAGCAATAATAGTGTAGTACTGGGGAAGCATAGCAGAAAAACTAATATAGCAGAACGGTGTGTGGATGGGCCAGTATAAACCCTCCACTAATGCACTATAATTGCACCAGTGACGTGTTTCAGAATACACACAGACACACACAAACCCCCCACATATTTGGAAGGGCCCTGACTCTCTGCTCAGTTAATTTGGTGAATCTCTGATTCCAGCCAGACAGGGAGTGTTGATGTGCAACTGCGGCACTTAAGCCACTTCCTCCTCCTCCTCCACCCCACAGGCCCAATGCCCAGTTTCCTCCTATTCTGTTGGACAGCCAAGGAGGTGGCTTTCCGCCACCCTGGGATTTCCCTTTGCTCTGGAGTCCTCGCCTGATTTAATCATTCCGTTTCCCAGCCTTTCGAGGCGTCGTTACCATGCTAATTGCCATCCCCGGCCAGCACCACGCAGCTCCAAGGACAAGAATAGATTCCACCTCTGTTCTCAGTGGAGTGTGTGTGTCAAAGGGGTGGGTGGGAAGGAAGACACTGGGAAGCATTGTACTCTCCTTCAAAGGGTTTAAATTTAGTTGCCTTATTTGTTGCTACAAATCACCTCAGCCAGGGGCCTCAAATGCTGCCTGCTTGGCAAAATGCTGCACTGTGAACCATGATTCCCAAAATGAGAGATGCTTAGCTTGAGCTGACCTGGAAGTCCTGCCCTTTGTGTCGGACGTGTGGGGGTTAGTTAATGGTTATAAAGGCACCTCAGAGGTCCTCAAGTCCAACTCTCTTTCAGTGCAGGAAAGAGGCCCTCCAACTGTACCCAGAGGCTCTCTCTTCTTTTATTACTTAACACATGCTGAATCTTGACTTTGTAATATTGCTGAGTCTAAGTTGTGGCTAATATAAAACCCAGGTACTCCAAACCAACAGAGGTGGCTCTGATACCTTTAGGATAAGAAATGAGAACTTATTTCAGTATTCCCTCTCTCAGCCTGGTAACATATGCATGTTATTTTTGATCTTTTTTCTCAATGGACTTCTGCTTCTGTATGATAATCTTGAAGCCTATATATTGTATTCATTCATTCATTCATTCCTTCATTCCTTCATTCCTTCATTCCCCACCCATCTGGCTGGGTTTCCCCAGCCACTCTGGGCAGCTTCCAACAAAGATTAAAAATACATTAAAATGTCACACATTAAAAACTTCCCTGAACAGGGCTGCCTTCAGATGTCTTCTGAATGTCAGGTAGTTGTTTATCTCTTTGACATTTGATGGGAGGGCGTTCCACAGGGCGGGTGCCACTACCGAGAAGGTCTTTTGCCTAGTTCCCTGTAGCTTTGCTTCTCACAATGAGGGAACCACCAGAAGGCTCTCGCCATTGCTTTGCATAGTGAGGCATTCCAGGTGCAGCACTAACCAGGATTAGCTTGCAATCCTATATCACAGCCTTCTTCAACCTGCTGCCCTCTAGATGACCTCCAGTCCCAAATATTTGGAGGCCAGTTGGTTGCAGAAGGCTGTTATATACATCTGCAGTCAGCTCCATTGAACTCAATGGAACTTTGTTCTGTGTAGACAGATGTAGATTTGCACTATGAGTTTCCTTTGGATGAAAGAGCACTGGGGAAAATGGTGGCATACAGTAGTTGCTTCATTTACAAAAATGCATGCATGGTATAAGCAAGCAGGAGGCACTCCTATGAGGTGGGAGCTCCTTCCATGGTTATTCATCTTCAGGAAGGCATCTCATCGCTCTTCCTTTCTCTTTGCCTCCATGTTCAATAGATTTGCTCCAAATGAGCACTAAAGAGTAGTTTTCCCAGGGGAAGCAGCAGGAGAAGAGGAAGTGTGGATAAGCCCACCGTAATCAGACAGCAAACTCATAACCAAAGCTTTTTAAAGCCAACTAACACCACCTTCCTCTTTTGTTGATGGTTTCTATTTTCAACTTTTATTTCCTATTTCCTCTTTGCTAGCTAGCAAAACAATATGCTTGGTATCTAAGGTTGCAACAGCATGCTCTAACAGCCAGTATTTTGCAACTGGGTTAAAATAAATTATACTTATTAAATATACCACACACCAGTTGTTCTACTGCAGGGGTAGCCATATTGTGCCCTTCAGATTTTATGGACTACAGCATACATTGGTCACGCTGGCTGAGGATTATGGGAGTTGTAGTCCACAACGTGGAAGAGGTTGCATTGTCTACTCCTGTTCTATTGCATTAAAGCTCTAACTCTGCCATTGTGTACAATAGGACAACTGCACTGACTTCAGACTTGCTGGCAGGAGAAGGAGGAAAGGAGAATCATTCTTCCCATCTTTAGGCTTGTCCTTAATGGAAGATTCTAATAAGTCTGAAGTATACTTATTAACAAATAAAGCGTTAAGTTAATAAAGCATAACCATTTAACTTATTATGGATTTTCAAAAACCCATGACTTGACAGTGCTGCATTCACTGAATGTGCTTCAGTCCCTGAAAGACATTCTGGCAGAATCTGCATCCATTTCAAATTGTTGGCAGCAGTGTAATCAGACTGGAGAGCCCAGAACTGATTTGTTGTGGAATTTTAGAACTCCAGGAATAGCTTCTGCAGAAACACAGAGACCAAAAATAAAAGCAGAGCCGGGGAGGCTTGTGCAGCTGGGCAGAGATCTAGCATCTGGACTAGCAGTGGGGTGAGTGGCAGCTGATTCCTGGCCAGCTTTGCCGCGCTGTGTTCCAGCGTCAAAGAGGAGTGGGATTGCTTCCTTTTCTGTAGCTGCATCAGATCAGGCAGTGACAATCAGCCTTGTGGTATAGCTGGCGAAAGGGTGGGAAAAGTGCAGGAAATTGTGGCTAAAATTATCAAGGGGATGGAACAATTTCCTTATAAATAAATATTACAATGTGCAGGGTTCTTCAGTTTAGAAGAAAATGGTGAGCAAGGAGGACCACCAAAAGAGGTGTGGGAAAAGTGGGTAGAGATAAGTTTTTCTCCAGCTCTCAATAATACTGAAACCCAAGGTCATCCAGTGTAGCGGAATGGTGGGGGATTCAGGAAAGACAAAAGAAAATGCTTCTTCATATATCACCTAGTTAGGCTTCGAAATCCTCTCTCGCAAGATGTGGTGATGGCCACTAAATTAGACGTGCTGTAAAAGAGGATTAGATTCATAGATCCCCAGTTGCAGTGGGGACCATGAATGGGAATGGACTGCGGTGCTCATTCGCCACTTGCTTGCTGGCTTCCTGCAGGCATCTGGTGCCACTGTAGGAAAGCAGGTTGCTGAACCTGATGGGCCTTTGACTGTCCTGATCCAAGAGAGGCGTTCTTATGCTGTGTGGTTTGTAATGCCGTCTTCACTTTGCTGCGATTGCAGGTGCCAAGCTGTGCAAGCGTTTCCATCCAAAATATGCTGCCATGGGATTTCTTTTAATAGTGGCTATAATTGCTTTAATCACTGTGGCTGTCACGCAGAACAGTTCTGCCACCAAGAACAGAAAGGTAAGTCACAGGAGAGCCTCCTGCGGAAGCACTGTGAACGGTTTAGGCCAGTGATTCCCTGAAGGGCTAATACGAAAAACAAAGCATGTTGGAAATAATCTCTCCCTTTCTCTGCCAGTTTCCCGGTAGTGGCAACATTTTGAGGGAGGGAGCAAGGATGCACTAGGGTTCTCTTATGCTATCCATTCTGCAGCTACAGGGCAATCCCAGAAGGTGCATCATTGCCCACAAAGTATGCTGCTTCACAAGTGTCCTGATTTCCTAGGCAAAGAGGAGGGTGGGTTACCTGGAAGCAACTTTGAATAATATAACCTGCATTTGCAAGAAGGATACCTGTTCCATTCTTCTTATGGGTGATCTGCGAAAAGATATATGTATTTTTCAGAATAGAAGAGTAAAGAGTGCCTTCAAATTTAAGCAAAAACGAAACACTTTTGCTCCAGGTTTCAAAGGTTTAGGAAGCACTGGCTTGAGTTCTTGAGCTACAAGTTACCATGACTCTTCGTGGTCCCTCCCTGCTGTGCTTTTATGGTCTGGTTGATTCATCTTGTCTACCAAACGTCTTTGCTGCAGAATTTATCCTGCCCTGTTCCCATGTCAAGTCAAATACCTTCCTATTGGTCACAATACAAAAAACCATTAGTGGTAATGTTAGTAATTCCTGCAAAGCCTGCTGAGGGTAAAATTCGGTCCAGAGACAGGTGCGTCTTTAAAAACCTACCGTGGCTTCTCATTTTAGGCCTGAGCATCTTACATTCAGTGCAGATGGACTTATGTCTGAAACCACAATCATGTGGGCAGATCACTCAAGAATTTATAAAAGGTCCTAGTTTTGAGTAAAGGCCATATTTGCACATCTGAAGGATGCAATGACTTGAATCTAATTTATTTGCAAATACAACATTGATTGCAAAAAGACAGGAAATGAGAGGGATATGTTTGCTTAAAACACACACACACACCTGGCTTTTATGGTAGCTAGGAGAAACAAATTATAATTAAGTGCTTAAACAGAAATGCGTCTCCATCACATCTTCCCAATATGCTGAGTTTTATTGAGCAAAAATTGTGGTTTTCTTTCTTCTGCAGTATGGGATTGTGCTGGATGCTGGTTCTTCTCACACTAACTTGTATGTATATGAATGGCCGGCGGAGAAGGAGAATGACACAGGAGTTGTGCAGCAGGTGCATGTCTGTGAAGTAGATGGTAAGAAAGTGGGAAAGTTGGGGCTAATAGGATGTTGAAATGATAGTAGAGTGAAGAGGGTAGAACACAGCATGCTCAGGAAAACACCAGACTAAAACTAGCTGACAAAAGTTCTGTGTTTTCTCTCCCAGGTCCAGGAATCTCAGGATATGCTGACCGTGTGGGAGAAGTTGGTATCCCCCTAAGGCACTGCATGGATAAGGCAAAGGAAATAGTACCAAAAGAGAAACACCCAGAGACGCCAGTTTACTTGGGGGCAACAGCTGGCATGCGGCTGCTGAGGTACCAAAGAGGGATACAATCTGCGCTCTTTGAAATATCATGTTCGCTAGGGGTGAGATCGCAAATTTCAGTTTTCAAAGGTTTCTTTGGAGTTGACAGGGATACTCAAACTTGGCCCAGTTTGTCTTTTCTTCCTCTCACCCCTGGGAAGATTCAGTTACATACCGGCACCGCACAGTGTCTGCATTTCACAAACATGTCATTGCTGCGTTCAGTCCCTTGTTGTTTGCTCAGTTTGGTCCATATACAGTGGTACCTCAGGTTACAAACACCTCGAGTTACAAACACTTCAGGTTACAGACTCCGCTAACCCAGAAGTAGTACCTTGGGTTAATAACTTTACCTCAGGATGAGAACAGAAATCGCGTGGCGGTGGCATGGCGACAGCGGGAGGCCCCATTAGCTAAAGTGGTACTTCAGGTTAAGAACGGTTTCAGGTTAAGAACGGATCTCCGGAACGAATTAAGTTTGTAACCAGAGGTACCATTGTAGATGACAGTTCAAACCGGAACATGTATCTCTGCCTGGACACACTGATGCAAAGTGCCTAATTTGCTCTGTGTGCTTGGATCCCCAGCTTATAAAAGCAAGTGCAGGAATCTCTCCATTTCCTTCACTTACTATTGTACATTGTGATGCCCAGAGGTGTTGCCATAAGCTTTGGATAAATCAGGTTCTCCATAATGGCCATCATTCACTCACACAGCTATTCTGTGCCCAATCCACAGTGCTAACGCTGCAATAGTTATGAAGATTATGAAGGCGACTTGTGCAAAGCCTCCTGGTATATCAGGTGCTCTTTGTCAGGAAGCTATGTGTGCAATAGAATGAAGGCTGCTTCTGATTATGATTAGATGTGATTACAGGGGCTTCGACTGGATGACTTTTGGGTCCCTTCCAACTCTACAAGTCTATGATTCTGTGATACGTTTTTTTTCCTGCTCCTGTTTGTAAAATCACATGGAAGTAGTATGGAAGGAGCCAGAAAAGGGCTGAAGGTGCCAGCCCTAGAGCATTGTTAGATAAGCCAGATATAAGCAAGATCTGCACCTTGCAAACCTCTCAGGTCATTCTTCATAATCTGCATGTCATATCCAAGCATCTGCTTTATCCATTGTCACAAACATGCACATCTTATATCATTTCTTGGCCACCTCCCAACATGCACTTTTAAAAAGCCAAAGAAGGAAATGGAACTATCAGACATCTGGCCTCAAGTAGCAGGGAATGCTGGCAGATTAATTTGTTTTAAATTGATGAACTGCTCTTTATCCAAACAGCTTCCAGGGCAGTGCTGAATGATAAAAATACAATATAATAAGACAGCACAATGTAACTCCCATCCCTCTTTTGTACATGCAGACTGGAGAACGAGAACACTGCTAAAAAGGTCCTCTCTGCAGTGGAGGAGACCCTGCGCTCATACCCCTTCCGTTTCCAGGGTGCCAGGATCCTCACTGGTGAGGAAGAAGGGGCCTATGGCTGGATCACCATTAATTACCTGCTGGGCAACTTCAAAGAGGTAATGCGCCATGCCAGAAAGGAAACACTGCTCCCTGAAGCTTGGCCATGCTTACTTCCATTTTAATAGTGATGACTCCTTACAGCAGGGACGGCAAAACCTGTGCAAAACCTCCTTACAGCAGGGATGGCAAGGGCTGCATGCACCCCACAACCTCATTTCATGGCGGTGGCAGAGGAGGGGGGAGGATGGAAGTGGCAGAGAGAGAAGGAAAGGGATAGCCCATCCCTTTTGACTCTGGCACCTGCCCACCAAGCAGCACATATCCCTCAAAAGATTGCCCCTAAAGGATCATGGCTCTTGTAAACAAAACAAAACAAAACAAAACAAAACAAAACAAAACAAAACAAAACAAAACAAAACACTCTAGTGCCATCCAAACCACAAAAACAATTGTTAAGTATGGAAATATAATTCATTGCTGCAAAAACAACAAAGCATCTTGTGCTGCTTTTTAAAGATGCACAGATTGACTGTGGCACATGCTTTTGTTGACGAGAGGCCTGAATAAATGGGCTTCAATCTTTAAGGTGCCACAAGACTCTTTGCTGAAATACATATTGCTAGAATGCTGAGTTAAGAAGTCTCCAACCTGCCCCCCCGCAATTTAAACAAACTATTGTTGGCCTTCCCATACTGTATCTCATACTTGAATGATCCTTGGTTTCTCCCAACATGTCTATTCCTTACTAACCCACCTCTTGCCTGTGCTAGCACACCTCTAACCATCTGATTCCCCTGACTCCATGCTTCCATTTTCCTGGGTCGCATCCTGCGCCGCATTTCCCACAAGCTGGGTCTTCTGTCCCTTGACAAGCTCATGCAGCTTCCTCCCATCTGGTGTGCTCTTTTTGCAGTCTATCTGGCCAAAATTCCTGCCCCGCATCTTCTTCAGAACTGGAACCATAGGGGCGCTGGACCTTGGTGGAGCTTCCACACAGATCACCTTTGTACCAGACCAGGAGACACTGGAGTCACCAGCAGATACAGCAAACTTCTATCTCTACGGCAAACAGTACACTGTGTATACGCACAGCTTTCTGTGTTACGGGAAGGACCAAGCACTCCGGCTCAAGCTGCTCCAAGACGTTCTGGTAAGTTCGGGGTGACTCTTAAGCTGCACGCCCAGCTTCCAAGTCTGTTGTGTCCAGCTTTCATCAATCTGAAGATTATTCTGGTTGCAATCGTACTAAACCAGAAGCAGTAGAGCAGGGTGGCGGCAAGCTCAAAGCTGTACAGGAACATTAAGAAGAACAGCAGACTGACTCGCGCTGTCTACCAAAGCAGCCCTGTCCCACTGCACCTACGACTTCTTCACTTAACAACTTACATTGGAGTGGGGAACCTTGTCCAGCTGCTGGGCCAGATCCTACCTCCCCCATACTCCTTGGGCCACTTTGGCATCTTTCTGAATTCAGGCGACAAGTTTAAAGGGCCTTGTTCTCAGCACCAATCAGCTGATTGCTGCAGACGCTCAGTCCCACTTTGCCTGTTTACCTGCAAATGGACATTCTTCCTCTGCAGGCTAGAAAAACTGTCTGCAGAGCTTCTCTACAAAGGACACATGTACACCTCTAGGTGGAATCCAAACAGCATCTGCCAACTTTAAAGGGGTATGCAGTCAGCTCCACTCAGTGCTGTTAGAGAGCCTCAGTTTCCAAGGGATAATCAGGAATGCCATGTAAGCTCCTGATTGCTCCTTTGCAGCCACAAGTTCCAGACATCACAAATGTGGTGCAGATGAGTGTGGTTTGGGGGAAATAGCCTTGCAGGTCAAATTAGGATCCCTGCTGGCTGAAACTAGCTCCTAGTCCAGAGGTTCCCAATGGCTGACCTACATGCATGTTTTTCAATATTTTTCCTGACATATTTCTTTCTGGCCATCCATTGGTGTTTTTGTTTTGTTAACTTGGTAATAAAGTAAAAAAGCAAAAGCAAATATAGTAACAATATGGATATTACTTGCTGTGAGCCCATTCCTGCCTAGATCCAGGCTTTTCATTGTCTTGTGTCATAACTAGTTGCCGGTGTGTGTAACTACCCATCCCACCCTTTTTCTTCTTTTCACTGCAGGATTCATCGAGTAGCAGAATCAGAGACCCATGTTTCCACCAAGGATACGAGAGGACTCTTAATATTTCTAACCTGTGCAAAAGCCCCTGTACAGCTCCAAACATCACCCTACCCTGCTCCTCACAGCTCCAAATTGAGGGCGATGGAGATTATGAAAAGTGCCTGACAAGCATTGAGAAAATCTTCAATACTGTCCACTGTCCTTACTCCAGCTGCTCATTTAATGGTGTTTTCTTGCCTCCAGTATCTGGGGATTTTGGGGTGAGTACATATAAGCACCTGCCTCTCTCCACCAGGCAGAAACTGGTGGCTTTACCCTGGAGGAAGGACTTTTGGAGTGCAATTTGCCTGTGGGCTTGTATTTAAACAGTAGCCTGGTAGCCATGATGTGAGCAGGAATTACATGGAGGCAAAGGAAAGACGGATTCTTTCCCTTTTCCCCTGACATTTTGCTTGGTTTTTCTGCTAGGTGCACCAATTTGTTATCTTCCTCTGTCTGCCACTAGGTGGCAAAGTCCAGCTGAGCTACACTTACCATACAAGAACATGAAGGTTTCTTAAGATTTCATTAGCACCCAGTTAAAGCAACAGATTGACTTAGCACATGGGTAGGCAAACTAAGGCCCGGGGGCCGGATCCGGCCCAATCGCCTTCTAAATCCAGCCCGCGGACGGTCCGGGAATCAGCGTGGTTTTACATGAGTAGAATGTGTCCTTTTATTTAAAATGCACCTCTGGGTTATTTGTGGGGCCTGCCTGGTGTTTTTCCATGAGCAGAATGTGTGCTTTTATTTAGAATGCATCTCTGGGTTATTTGTGGGGCATAGGAATTCATTCATTCCCCCCCCCCCCCAATATAGTCCAGCCCCTCACAAGGTCTGAGGGACAGTGGACCGGCCCCCTGCTGAAAAAGTTTGCTGGCGCCTGACTTCTTGGCATAGAACAGCTACCTGAGCAGAAGGAGAGAAGGCTTGCTGGGCATGAAGCATGGGGAGTGTCCATGGGGTCTACTGCTATTGGATGGGATGGGAACTCACAGCGGGAAGTGGTAGAGCTTAGTGGTAGAGCTTTGCATGCAGAAGGTTCCAGGTTCAATCCCTGGCATCTCCAGGTAAAAGGAGCCTGCACCCTATGATGTAAAAGGCAGAGCCACTGCCAGAGTAGACAATATTGAGCCAGATGAGTCAATAATATAAGGCGGCTTCCTGCCTACCCTCAGAAAATACTGGGTCATTTATGTTGGAGACAGCAAAGAACTGTTGATAATAATAGCTGATTAGTTAGTGAGCTAGAGATTACCTATCTCTTCTGCTAAACATATCCAGAGTAATGTACACAGCATAATCATGAAACCATACGCATAATCATAAAAGTACATGTACAAGCAAACAAGAAAGAGTGTTTAACGCACCGCCACAACCTAAAATCATCCAGGGTAGAAGATAAAATGGCAGCAATAAGCCTAGATGTTAGGCATAAAAAGTCTTTCAAAATAAAGATGTCTTCATTTTTGGTGAGAGAGATGCACAGGAGGCAGCCCGATTGACTTTGTTTGCTAGGCCATGTGGTGTTCTGTCTCTATGGAGAGCCAAGGGAGTTGTAGCCTTCTAACTTTTGCCCCGGATTAGATGAAGCGGGAGTTCATTGTCTACAACCCATAGCCAACTACAGTGGTACCTCAGGTTATGAACTTAATTCATTCCAGAGGTCTGTTCTTAACCTGAAACCATTCTTAACCTGAGGTACCACTTTAGCTAATGAGGCCTCCTGCTGCTGCCACCGCACAATTTCTGTTCTCATCCTGAGGTAAAGTTCTTAACCCGAGGTACTACTTCCGGGTTAGCGGAGTCTGTAACCTGAGGTGTTTGTAACCTGAGGTGTTTGTAACCTGAGGTACCACTGTACCTGCAAATCTCTCTCCCCAGACTAGTGAGGACTGATGGAGGCAGAGCCCTGGGCTCCATTTCATTTGAATTTTTTGCAAACAAGTTCATGTCTTTTGTTCTTCAGGCGTTTTCTGCTTTCTACTACGTAATGAACTTTCTAAATGCGACAAAAAAGCCTATGGACCAAGTAATAGAAGAAGTAAAGAACTTCTGCTCCAAACCCTGGAATCAGGTATGTCATTTCCCCAAACTGGGAGGAATATGAGTCTTGACTCTGAGGAGGTGTGGCTTCCATCTGGCATCAGTCATGGTTGGTTTGGTGGTGTGGAGCCACGCACCCAACACCAGCATTGCTGTAGCCTTCCTGGGCAGATCTGCCCTTGCCACTGCCCCAGCCCTGCTTAGGCAATTTGCAGCACTAGGAGAGTTGGGAGGGCAGCTCTTCCCCAGCACACCAGCTGCTACTGGCCTTAGTGATGCTTGATGCACCAAATCCAAAATCACATTGGCTGTAGAAGAGAAGCCCCACAGCCTCACTTGTCCTAACACAAGATCTGCTGGATTTAAGAGCTGTATTTGCCAGTATATATACGTGTTCATGGAAGACAATCTTACTTGGCTACCAGTGATCACCAAAGAATATACACATACCAAGAGAGTGATTGCAATGTTTGTTAATTTTTGATGCTATTATTGTGAACCCCTTTAAGCTCAATATTTGTTGCTGGAAAAGCAGAATACAGTGGTATCTCTGGTTACGTACTTAATTTGTTCCGGAGGTCCATTCTTAACCTGAAACTGTTCTTAACCTGAAGCACCATTTTTAGCTAATGGGGCTTCCTGCTGCCGCCACGCCGCTGGAGCCCAATTTCTGTTCTTATCCTGAAGCAAAGTTCTTAACCCGAGGTAATATTTCTGGGTTAGCAGAGTCTGTACCTGAAGTGAATGTAACCTGAAGCGTATGTAACCCAAGGTACCACTGTACAAAGATTAAAGCAAAATCACATCTATCTTTTTATCTATCTTTCTGTTGACACATGAAAGGGAACTTCATGTAGAAACACACAGCTCAGTCATGGTTGTTCCAGGGATGGTTGTATAAATCTGAAAGATGGAGCACTTTGCTTCCAGGAAAAGGAAGATGCCTGGAAATAAACTGTCTTCCTTTCTCTCTGTCCAGGTGAAGGCTGAATTTCCTGCAGTAAAGGAGAAGTACCTGAGTGAATACTGCTTCTCAGCGACTTACATTTTCTCGCTGCTCAGCCAGAGATACAACTTCACCAAGGAGAAATGGCAGGGCATCCACTTCCTGGGGAAGGTATCTCGGCATGCAGAGACAGGAGCTGGGGAATGGCGGGGTGGTGGTGAGTGGGAGGGCTGGGAAGCACCCCTTCCTCACTGGTGGAGAGGGAGCCGCATACAGGCCCGCAATACCTCAAGGACCGCCTCTCCCCAAATGAACCAACCCAGACTCATCGAACATCATCTGAGACCCTTCCTCATGCGCCTCCTCTGCAAGAGGCCCGGCGGGTGGCAGCACAAGAACAGGCCTTTTCTGTGGTGGCCTGCCATTTGTGCAATGCTTTCCCCTGGGAAGTTCGCCTGGCACCTCCAATACATAGGCAAAAACATTTCTCTTCACTAGGGGTTTGGCTGATTAGCATTCTCTTGCTTTTTAAATGTGTTTGTTGGGGGATGTGTTATTGGTTTATTTTGGGGGTTTTTTATGTATTTTGTATTCTTCTGTTGTGAACCGCCCTGGGATCTTCGGATGAAGGGTGGTATACAAATTTAATTACCATATTTTTTGCTCTATAAGACTCACTTTTTCCCTCCTAAAAAGTAAGGGGAAATGTGTGTGCATCTTATGGAGCGAATGCAGGCTGCACAGCTATCCCAGAAGCCAGAACAGCAAGAGGGATTGCTGCTTTCACTGTGCAGCGATCCCTCTTGCTGTTCTGGCTTCTGAGATTCAGAATATTTTTTTTCTTGTTTTCCTCCTCCAAAAACTAGGTGCATCTTGTGGTCTGGTGCGTCTTATAGAGCAAAAACACGGTAATCGTAATAAATGTGTCACTGCCCCCATTCCTCACTTCCCTTAGCAGTTCCTCTGTGCTTTACATCTCTCCTGCTGCTAGTGACCCTTCCCTTTTATTTTCGTATCTATTTCAGATTGGCAGCAGTGACGCCGGGTGGACTTTGGGCTACATGTTGAACCTCACCAACATGATCCCTGCGGAGCAACCCTATACACAACCGCTGTCTCAGTCTAGCTATATTACCCTCATGGCCATCTGCTCCATTCTGGTGGTCTGCCTGCTCGTCATAGGCTACGTGAGCTATCGCAAACCAAAGTGCCTGAAAAAGGAAGTAATTTAGAACTGGGGTTGGCCTAGCCCACAGCAAAAACACAGCAAAGACCACTAGAGCCCAGTGTTCTGCTGAAATGGCTGACTTTGTACAAGGGCCTTCTGTGCCACTTACTCTAGCCACCAACAGATGCCAAGAGAGCAGCGTGCTTTCCTTCTGTCATCTTCCCCCATCCTGGAGATCCGCCTCCCATCCTGATCCTTGGTGGGGGGAGGGGAGCTGATTGGTGTGGGGCTCACATGCCCTATGAAGAACACCTGCTTCTCTCAGGTCCACCCCTCTGTGCATTGCCTCAGCCCTAGGAATGAAACATGTGGGGGAGGGGGGGCACCAAATCAAAAAATGGCCTGCTGGACAACGCAGGGACAGATTCTAGCCTGGAAGGACCAGCAGCTCTCAGGGTTCCACATCCTCTTTTGCTCCATTGGAAATGTCAACAGTCATTCATTTAAAAAAAAAAACACCTCCCGGCGGCACCTGTCACGTTCATGGCGAATCCGCTAGCACTTGCCATGTCATTTCCTGGGGAAGATCCCCTCTTCGAGACTTTTGACAAAACAGGCTGTCCACACAACTAATCGCCAGCCAGGAGAAAGCAGCGGAACGCACCCTATCCAGAGAAGGGCTCAGAGCAAAAATGTGTATTTCACAGAAATTAGTCTGTGAGAGAGGAACTCTTCCCCAAAGTGCCATGGCTGCTACCTGGGCAATAGGCCTTGTGCTTACTGGTCGACTTGCCTGCTAATTGAATGGATTAGTCAAGGTGATCCGCAGGCGGCCGCTCCCTACGGACTGTGTGGATTCTGAACACTGAGGCCTGACGTAGCACACTCCTCCTAAAGCGTCCTCCTATGTCAACAGTATAGGTCTCTGGGAACAGTTAAAACCCAGCCTTGGCATCCTGGTCCAAATGAAACCAACTATTCACTTTGCACACATGTGTACAGCTCTGTATTTGTATTAAATATTAAAGATGTTTTGATTAATGCCAGGGTAATTTTCTTGTAATTTTCCAAAGGAGGTGGGATGGGATGGTGCTATTAGAAGGGAAACCAAGTGACCTTCAGAGAAAAAGGAATGACCTCACAGTCGGAGCAGGACTTGACCATACCTGCCATAGGTGGCAAGGCTTATTGTATTTATAGTTTCTCAGCAAGGAGAAGAAAAGGGGTGTGGCGGTTATCTTATTCCTTTTCTGTTGGCCAGTAATGTCATGAATCGGTGCAAAGGACTGGGAATTCAGCATCCCAGTGCTAATGCACAAAAAGGTGGTAAGATTGATTCCCACAATTGCAGGCTGAGGGCTTGTCCAGACTTCTACTTCTCCTACTACATTCCCCCAGGAAAACCTGATCTTTACCACTAAATCGGTACAAACGCCAATTGGGTTTTCTGCAGATAAATGTTTGCTCTGATTCAGCGTTAAGGAGTGGGTTTTCCCAGGGAAAGCAGTGAGGCAAACAGAAAACCTCTGGGACATGTGCCTACAAAACATGGGCCAAGCGGAAAGCCATTTGACCCATACTTTCTAGGGACAGGACAAGCAGGTTGGTGAGCCCTGATTAGCCATTTGGATGCAGCCTTAAAAAAGCAGACCATTTCCCCCCTTGATGATTTAGAAGCTCAGTAGAAAGGCAACAACTGACTGTAGATGAACAAGGAGACTTCCGGAGAGGTAGCAGTACATTTGATCAATGCTTTGTTTTATCCCATCTGATTACCAAATAAATGCAAGGTCTGAGGATTGCAGTGCTACAATCTCTGTCCAGTGGGTGGGTGGGTGTGGCTGGCCCTGTAGGCTCATCAAGCAGCAGCACTTCTGGGGCATGTGCTATGTGCCAGTCCCCTTCTGGGTTTCAGTCCTCTGCTTTATTACTTGAAGAGAACTTAAGGTCCCTGACACTGAGTAAATCAGAGACAAGTACTGTTGCTGTACTCCGTCAGGGTGATCATTTGGTATTGAGCTATCTTATCAAAGATGATGCTAAATTGTTGTTTTTTAAATATAGTAAATTTCTATTATGCATCATATTCCTTGTGCTGAATTTCACCTGAATTCTATTTTTCTGTGTCAAGTTTTCCTTTTTGCTGTTGACCTTTGGTTTCAGCAGATAAGGTATTGACTGGCAGACTGACTGAGCTTTACTCAAATGTGAAAGAGAACTATTGATTACTCCCAGAAAACAATCTCATCCATTTATCCATGACCTGGGAAGACAGCCTTTCCACTCATCCCCCCCACCCCATCCCCCGTCCATTATCTGGAGAATGATAGGAGAAGGGAACTAAAGTGATCTTCATTCCAGCTGAGATAGCTAAGGGAACCAAATTAATAATGATGAACAACATTGTTGAAAAGTCATAATAAAGTTGTTTTAAACTGGCTGGCTAAACTAGGTGAGGGTAACCGATGGGTCTCAAACCCTTGGTGAGTTAGGAAGTCCCCCTGCATGTGAAGACAGGCCCTGGAAGATTTAGTGGATGAAACCAATAGTGGGTCCAATGTCTGAGAAGCTGGTTACTGCACATGCAGTAGATGGAATTGAGGCAGCCCATCTAGGAGAAGGAAAACTCTGATCCTTTGCTCCCTTGCGGCTATACTAATCCATGAGAAAGGCTTCAGGAGCAAACCTGGAGGAAAAATCTGTACCCATTGTCTTGCAGGACAGAAGAAAAGGCTAAGGAGTAAATCCTTTACTTCAAGGGAGACAGAGGCACAGGTACAGAATGTGCTGCCCTCTGTCCTTGGCCACATTCACTCTGCAAGGCACTTTATTTGGAACGCTGTTAGTTTGCTGCTTCTTGTTTTGGCATCATTAGTCCATGGGGCTGTGGCTTTTCAAACCGTCTGCCATACCAGGGCTTAACTTCTAAAAACAAAGATGTCAGGGCCCATGCCGGCTGTGCTTTGGAAGCCCTGCGCCTTAATCCTGAAAAAGTGGTGTGACAGGGTGCAGTTCCTCAGTGGAGACGGGGAGGCACTCTCCATGCTCAGAGGCGCTTTTCTTTATAGTCCCAAGTCTCAGGTCTGGAGCTGAAAAATGGCCACGTCCTGGCACAACTGGAGCCCTCGGCAGAAGATGCCTCAGCTCCTGAATGCGCCCCTTGTTTGTAAGAGTTTGATCAGGTTCCTCCTGGCCTGCAATGAGAGCCAGGCAGCTTTAGGCCCCTGTTTACCCTCGAGTTAATGAATGAACAGGAATCGGCACAACTTTCCAAATGTACAGAAGCTTGGAAGGATTCTGGCTCCAGGAACTCTTTGGGTGGGGGGAGAGAGACAGACAGACAGACAGAGAGCACACAAGAGCTCCGAGTTGTAAATTCTTCCTGAGCTGTGAGGGGCATTCACTGAGATAGCCCTCCCACCATGACCATGGCAGGTGCAGTGGGCTGGCACTTGGCTGTGAAACTGGAGAGAGCTGGTTTGAGTTTGCACTTTAGCTCCTGGTAGGCAGGGAGCCTGGGCTGTGCTCACATCTCCTCGGCGCAAAGAGCTGCATGCCGCCCACCCGCAGGAGGATGTCTCAGTGGCTCTGGATCCTTGGAAAGGTCCTGCTCTTGGCGAGGGTGGCTGCCTCAGTGAACTTCTTCCATCACCGCTATGAGGAGCTGGTGCAAGCCCTGTTTGATGTGAAGGGCGCCTGCCCATACATTACCAGGCTGTACAGCATTGGGCGCAGTGTCCAGGGCCGCCACCTCTATGTGCTGGAGTTCAGCGACTATCCTGGCATCCATGAGCCCAGTAAGTGTTTTCCTGGGGTTGTAACCCTTTCCTGCGGCTGAGCAGTTGCTTCTTTGTGTGCTTCCAACCCATGCCAAGTTCCGGAGCAGTGAGATTCAGTGCTGCCCTGGCTTCTAACCAGGAACCCCTGTGGCCAGCAAAGCCCAGCCCCACGGCACTCCTAGCTAGGGCAAGCAGAGACTGTGGGGAGGAGGAGCTGTGCAGGATGCAGCCGTGTGTCAGCTGACAGAGACTCGCCATGGCGACCTGGCATGTATTTCTTTTCGTCTGTTGTTCATTTTACACTTGAGGAATCGAGGGAGAGAGATGTGTCCAAAGAGCAGTCCGAGGTCTGTGGCTGAGGTAAAATTTAAATCCAGCTCCCTGGGGTTCAAGTCCAGATCACTACCTGCTGCGCAACTCTGATTCTAGGAAGAAGAGCTGAGGGAACTGGTTTGAAGTTTATGGTTAACCTTGGCTGGTGAGGGAAACCTCCATTTGGGGCTGCCTAGCTTTTCATACTTCTATGGCAGATGTGGCTTTGGTGGAGCCTAATGCCTCTGGAAGAAGTGAGGGATGGGGTGTGCACTGACTTAGGTAGATGCTGAGGCCAATAGCCAGGTGACGACAGGCACCAGAGTCAGACAGAGGCAAGAGTTCTCAGGTTCTTCTCCAAGTACCTCTTCCATCAGAGGTGAGATGATAATCAACAAGAGAGGGGAGGACTTTTTTCTGACAATGATGCCCTGGTTGTTGAATGACCTCCCCAAAGAGTTTCATCTGCTATAATATTGCTAACATTTCAGTGTCGGGCAAAAGCAGTTTTATTTACTCAGGCATTTCAACTGACACGAACTGATTCTAACTGATCAAGACTTTTTTTGGGTGCTTCCAGGCAAGTTTTTATTGTGGGAAGGTCATTAGTATCAAATGGTCAGCCTGTATTCCCCCTCCCCTCACCATTCAGCCCAGCATTTTGTCTACACAACAGCCCTGCAAGGCAAATTCTGCTAAAAGCCAGTGAGCTTCAGGCTGAATGTGAGGCTGTGTTTTCTCTCTCCAAGCTCAGCAGAATACAGTGTTGGCTAGGGGTGCTTCTAGATGGGTGCTTAATTTGCAAGCAGGTTATTGAGATATTGCAAATGGGCAATGGGATCATTATAGCACCAACCCCATAATAAACACCCAACAGGAGGTACCATAAGAATGCCTGCAGGCCATCTGTTTAGGTAGAGGATAGGAACACAGGAGAGGGACAAGGAGCTGAGGAAGAGTGGATAAGAAAGGGAAAGGGCTGTCTGCAGATGGCAAATTGCACAAGAGGTGTCTGGATACGTTAGGATTCCCTTTGACCTTGTTTTGTTTCCTTTGGGACTGGGAAAGTCGTTGCAAGCACGCTGCCCTTCCATTTCTCCAATGTGCAATTTAACTGTCTTCTTCACCCCATAGTGCCATCTCTGAATGTGGGGTTGAGCAGCAGGTAGGGTCCTTTTGCAGCCTGAGGAAGCCCTCGCCCTCCTGTACTCTGAAGGCTGCTTGTCTTGCATATGGAGTTAAAGGGGCCGCTTTATGGGGGGAGTGGTTTTAGAGAAAAGAATTTGAGGCCAGGCCAAGATGAAGGATTGATTTGATTTTGCAGTTCAGTCTAAAACCCCTCGAGGCTTTTGAAGTCTGGAATGTGACATAGCAGTGAGAGGAGATGAAGGAACTGGGAAGGGGAGAGCTGGCTGTACAAAATAAGGGCATAGAGAGAACCTGACCTTTCTGATTTGAATGGACCCTCTCATCAGTCCTGAATCAAAGAAAATGCTTCTCTCCCACCCCAAAATTTACACCACTCCCATACAGGCCATTGCTTCTTGCAACTCTCTTGGGGCACGGATTCCCAGGGGTTGCGCCACCCTGACTCCACAATTCTTTGCGGGGTTCAGCAAGGTGGAGAAGAGCCACAGCTCAGTGACAGAGCTTTGTCATTATCAATGGCTTTGCATGCCAGAATATCAAGGTGGGGTTGGGAATCTCCCTGGTCAGTGCCACTGCCAGTCCATGTAGACAGCATCAAGCTAGGTGGACCAATGGCACGAAGTGGCCTAAGGCATCAGCAGTTGTCTATGACTCTGTGATACAGTAGATCAGCCTTTCCCAACCAGGTGCCCTCCAGATGTTTTGGACCCCAACGCTCATCAGCTGTGCTGGCTAGAACTGGTTGGGGAAGCCTGCAGTAGATGGTGGATGACCCCCACAGAGAGACTCTTCACAGCAGCACAAAAGGGCACAGCTAGAGTTTAATCCCTGTGGGACATGAATGGGGAACATGCGCCCTAGCCTTCTTCCCAGTGTCTATGCTTTCAGAGCACCAGCCAACCCTGGGTATTATTCCAGCCACTGTTCTAATATCAGCAAATCTATCACTTTCCCAGTGGAGCCAGAGTTCAAGTATGTGGCAAACATGCACGGGAATGAAGTGCTGGGCCGGGAACTGCTGCTCCAGCTCGCAGAGTTCCTGTGTGAACAGTATCGGCATGGCAACCAGCGCGTCACGCAGCTCATCCATGAGACGCGCATTCACCTCTTGCCCACCATGAACCCAGATGGATATGAGGTGGCAGCTGCCCAGGTACCAGGCAAGCATCCCTTCCTTATCTCAGTAGCCATGGTGATGATGGAAGAAGGTTGTCTGAGGGAGGCAAAGGGAGGACTAGCACAGGGGAAAACATGCAGGAGGTGGGGTCATGGAGGACAAGTCTATCAGATTCCATTAGCAGCTCATAGCCGTCATTGAACTTGGATCCAAATGAAATCAATGGGTTAAGATAATCATGATTTAAGTTGCATTTATTTCAATGGGAACTAAGTTCACCTAACTTAGTCTGGATCCAGCTCATGTTTAAATTACTATAATTATTTCTAAAGTTGCATCTATAGATATGAATTAGTATATGTACATTTTAATCCCTCTTTTAATGTCCATTTTTAATGAATAAGTGTATGGGTTTTTTAAGGGTCCTGAGCTCCTGGTCTTTTGCTGGATCTTTTCCTCCTTCTAAAAACTTCTGTGTATGTGGGTATTTACTTTATTTACAGCAGGGGTAGCTAAGCTATCACCCTCCAGATGTTGTTGGACTACAACTCCCATCATCCATGACCATTAGAAAGACTGACTGGGGCAGATGGGAACTGGAGTCCAGCAACACCTGGAGGGCCACAGGTCAGCCACCTCTGCTTTACTGGGCACTTTGTAGAACACAGTGCTGGTGAGACCCCAGTCACCCTCCCACTTAATTTGCCCAGAGGCAAATTAGTGTCATGAGTCTGTGCCCCAAGATTTTTTTAAAGTACCTAGCAATGCTTTTGCCTAAGTGGTCAGCCTACACACTGACCCTTCATAGCACAGTAATAGCCAAGCTAGTAACACTGGGGATTTTTTTCTTAGGGATTTGATTTAGTCATGGCTTCTAGACAAGTTCTGTGCCCTTCCACTGCATTCTGGTGATGGGCAACCAAAGCAGGCCGAGATGCTTAGAAAGCTCATTTAATGATACTGGACTTGTTTCATCTGTCAAGAGTGGTACTAACAGCGGAGCCCCATGGGCCAAGCCCCAGAGCTATTGGTCTAGCTATTGTGTTGATTTATTTCCACTCTCACTGGATTTCTGATGAAACTCATGCGGTGTCAATATATATTCCCAGAGCTCCTTGATTTGAATGCATTGCTTTCATCTCTGGTACTGTCAGTAATTCCTAGCCTTTAAATGCCAGAACAGAAACTGTACTGAACAGGGCCTGGAGCACTGCCTAGTAAAGTATTTAATCTCACTGGAGACCCAGATTGGTCATGCTGCTATTCTCATTACTTTTTCCTTTATTGGGCTTCCCCGTTCCGTTGTCTAGGGGACAAATAGATGCAAGAATTTCTGACCATAAAAATATGAGGATTTGCTGCTGGGAGGGGAGGCGGGGGATTCTGTGGATTCTGAGCTATTTTGAGTGCAACAGTCTGTTGTAAAGCAGCAAATACATCAAACTCTAATCTAATTTCAATGATGGTGGCTGCTGATAATGTTAAACAGGGTCAGAAGATGCCTGCCAGCTGGGATTAACACTCAGAAGCCCAGAGATTTTTGCATATCCTTGTGTTTCCTGAAATTCTCATTGACACATACACCAACAAAAGTGGCAAGGTGGGGTTTGGTGTGCACTTAGCCATGCCTAGGACTCACATGTTTACCATTCATTCTTCTCTAGAGCCAAAGTCCCTTAGGATACCTCGTTGGGAGAAACAATGCCAATGGAGTTGACCTTAACCGAAACTTTCCTGACCTCAATACTGTCATGTACTACAATGAGAAACAGGGTGGACCCAACCACCACATACCCTTGCCAGACAACTGGAGGAGTCAGGTAACACATTACTGTAGACTCACTCAATGCCTAGTCTGCCTGGGTGTGCTTCACAAAAACAACACTCGCTTTAGGACACCCCTCCAGGGCTGTGGCAGTTCAGGTTCCCCTCTCTAAGATCCTTCTCTTCTTCTTTTGCCTCAACTCCCACATTAGTTCCAGTGTTGCTACATCCAATGTCCATCTCTCAGTTTACTCCCAATATCCAGCACACTGGATGTTCTGTTTCAGTGCCACCGACCCATGGCTGCAGCAGGACATATGGGGTGCTTGGGTTTTATCCCACCCACCAATCCGACCAGTGAGGGCTGTGAAGTCCACAAGGTTGATTTCTTGCAGTGATGCAGAAGAAAAATTTATTCCCCTTGCCATATTGGCAAAACCTATTGGTATTTTGCAACTTTCTGACTAGTTGCAGGACCTTAGCCAGACCTAGCAGAGTAAACGCAGAATCCACGGAAGCAACTGGCAACTTGGATGCAGACAGGATAGACGAAGCAGGAACCAGGAACTTTGAAGTTAGGTGTTTATTATACGCAGTGGACTATTTACAGGAACAGAACACGGATCTTTAGCTAGCTCTCTCTGACACGACTCACAACTCCTACGCTCACTGACACACTGAACCATTGAAATACTGAACTAACACATTCCAGTTAGTAGGCCATTAATTATAACTCCCTTGAGAGAGCTTGACCAATCAGGGAGCTATCTCCATGTCTCTGTTATCACCAGGCAGACTTACTCCTTCACATGACCTTCTGGCTGTCTGCCAAACCTTAATTGCCTCTGTGTGAGTAGTGACACATACACAGTTTCTCAACATGCCATTCTCTTGGTCTTTCACTAGGAGCCAACCTACCCATTAAGGAAAAGCATGTACTTCCTGGACTGTACCACTTCACAATGCAGATAGGGTAATCACATATTTGAAGATCCTCTTCATAAAAACCTCTCCTCAGCCCATATAAAAGTGGCACATTCCAGCCTGGCACACGCCTATGGCCTACTAGGGAGGACTCACTCCTGCCTCCATTTTAATTTCCACAGGATGCAATACATCTGCTATCACCATATAGTAAACATGGGGGGGGGGGGCTGGAGGGGAAGACCACTGAAGGTGTTTTATGTGGGCCACCCTCAAAAACCTGGCCATGAACACATTAAGGGGAAGGCCATGCAAGAACCTTTCTCCTTGATACGATAGCTTTCCAACACCAGGTGACTTGACATGGCAGAGCACTCAGTCATGGAAGTCTACCTCTACATTTTGAAGGGGTATGGTCCTAGCAGGACTCTGCCCCATGTTTGTACCAAACTGGGAATGCTGGAAATAAGGACGTGGTTCTTGCCTGGACTTCCCTGCTTCTCCCCCTTCGCAGGTGGAACCAGAGACTTTTGCTGTGATTCAGTGGATGAAAAGCTACAATTTCATTCTCTCGGCCAATCTCCATGGTGGTGCCGTCGTTGCCAACTACCCATATGATAAATCCCAAGAGCAGAGAAGCCGGAGCTTCTGGCAAGCACAGAACAGCCCCACTCCTGATGACAGCCTCTTCCAGAAGGTGAGTGGTAGCAGACATAATAGCCACGGCACTTTCCCTGGGTGCTGGATTTTGTTAGCTCTGAACAGTGCTGGAATGTAGGTCTTCTTGATGGGAAGCACAGGGAACTGATGTTGCAAAGTCTGTTTACAAATTAATGAATTTGAATCTGGATTCTGCCTGTGCCCTGCAATGCTTATGAAACTGAGTGGGTAGGGACTTCCGGGGTGGCGCCATCGGCAATGGCGGACTCCCTCTGAACTGGAGGGACTAGCTCCGCGTGAAACGGGTCTTTTCCGCTACGGCGAAGCGGGGACCCATTTAAAAATCACAGGCGGATGAAGCCTGTGACCATGGGACTCGGTGGGCACCCTTAGCGCCCCCCCAACTCGCAAAGGAACCCACTAATGGGCTCCGGAGTGAAGAGGGGGAAGTGGCGCGGTGCTGTGAGTCAACTGCTATTTCCGTGGAGCGAAGCCGCATAGCCGTTGCCGGAGAGCGCTGCCTTTTTCCTGGGACAATTTGGACTCTAAAATAAGCACCCGTGAGTACTTGAACTCTGAACAACTGGACCTTAAATAAGGACTTGCGAGCAGAAAGGAATTGGATTTAAAAATTTATTTCAATTTGGTACTGAACGGGAAGGTCTAAACAGGAAGTCAGCCTTCCGTTCTTTTGTAGACAGAATAAAGCAAAGACAACGTAAACTAGAGCTCAGATAATCGCTTTTAAAGGATTGGATTTCACCATTTAAAATTGTGGAACCCCCCTTCGACAGCAGGAGAAGAAGGTGGATCTTTTTCGGACTGTTTAAAGTGAGTTTAAAATAAAGTAACTTTTCACCGTCCTGATCCTGGAGCGGGGTGTCAGGACTGACGTTTGAAGCTCATTGACCAAAGACAAACGTTTTTGACAGATAGCTAAAAGAAGAGAAACATAGTGATTCCGCTGTTTCCCTTCGCATTTTAAAGGAACAAATATTGACAAAATATCTCAAAAAGGAAAACTTTGTTGCAAGAACAAATAGAAGTTTTCCCCCTAGAGGGAGACTGTGAAACTGTAACCAATTCCAGGGAGCCGGCAGCTGTTACAGATTACAATCGTGGGAATAGACATTTGACCTTGCAGGACAATGTATTCAGAAGCTCTGTTGTGTGCTTTCTATAAAACAAATGCCCTACTGGAACAGTTACATGAGAAGATGAATTTGATGGCGACTTCGACTAGAAATTTTGAACAGGCAGTGGGAAATTTTGAACAGACAGTGGGAAAATATGTGGAGCCCACCCAGGAATTAAATCAGGAGTGTGTCCTGACAGAACAGGCCCAACAGGAATATGAGCTTTCGGACTTGACAAATGAACTTGGAAAAAGCCAGATTTGGAAAGAAAAAGTTTGGTTTGGCTTGGAAATGGGGGGCTGGATTGACCCCCCTATGCTGGGATGTTTGGACTTTTCAAATCTGGCAATGGGCCGTGAGATGTTTGGGATTGTGGGGGCTCTTAATTTTGGAGGGTTTTTGAAACATGTTTTTAAATACCATATGGAATTTAGTGTTGAATATGGAAAAGGGGCTGATCTGTCAAGAAGGGTCAAAAATATTGCCAAGCTGGAGTTACCACGAGCAGGAGACAAGGGAAAACACAGTTACAAATATGAAGAAGAGCTGCGGAAGGGACATGGAAGAGACTTGAGGGCCTCGGATATAAGGTTGCCAGGTTAATGCGCTAGATCGATGGGATAATAAGGACTGACAAAACCCGGGACCAGGAGGAAGGGACGCTGGATGAAGATTGGATCTGTTTCTATTTCTTTTTTTTTACTATTAGGACTGTTTTATAAAATTGATGAATGTTAGAAAAATGTTGGAATGAAATTACTCGGCTTTAGTAAAGATGCTTAAAGAATTATGAAAGAATATTATGGTTATGAGAAGTTGGTAAGGATAAGATTTAAGCTTTAAGTTTCAAGTTTTTTTTATATATATAGAAAGATAAGATTAAAACAGTTTAAGGTAATGTAATGACAGAATATTATGAAATATGGAAAGGATTTGCTGGGATAATTAATAACTAGGATACAAAGAAAGGGAGGAGGAGGAGGTCAAAGAAAGAAGGTAATGACAGTTGAGGATTTGAGAATAATGAATTTGTTTTTAAATGTTCTTAAATGTCTGTGGTGTATTTTTGTTTTTTTCTGTTTTTTTTCTTATTTTGAATTTGTATTCGTATTGTTGGAAGTGGTTTGTTTTTCCCCTTTTTTACTTTGGTAACCATTTTTATTTTGTATTTTCTTCTTTTTTTATTTTTATTTTGTAACATTTTGAAAATCTCAATAAATATCTAATGAAAAAAAAGGAAAAAGAAACTGAGTGGGTAGGAATCTATGACTAGCTTGGCACTTTCTTTACAGCTGGCCAAAAGCTATTCATATGCCCATGGAACGATGCACCAAGGCACAAATTGTGGAGATATCTTTCCTGATGGCATCACCAATGGAGCCTCCTGGTATTCGCTCAGCAAGGGTAAGGCCAAGGGGGAAAGGCAGGGGCATTCAAAATAGCCCATGTAGGAGGAATGGGGGATGGAGAGATTGGGAGAAGAGGAAAGGGAGAGACTCAGCTAGGTAATTCTGGAGGGAAGAAACAATACATGTGACCCCATATGGAAATTCTGTACATTGGAAGAGGAGATGAAGAGCCAATGGTGCCTGTGCCTAAAGAAGCCTGTTTTGTAATATGTTTGTTTTTCCATCTGTTCCTGAAATGTGGGGGTGGGGAACCTTTTTCACTCTAAGGGGCACATTCCTTCATGGGCACCTTTCTGAAGGCCACATTTCAGTGGCGCACAGGGCCAGAGTCAAAGTGAGCACAGAAAGGGATGTGAAATTTACCTTTGTAACGTGGAAAACATTCCAGCCCTGCAAAGCTCAGACATTTGTACACACCAGAACTTACGCACGTCTCTTTACCTGGCCCCCACAATCCAGCAAGGGGCTGAGGTGATTTTATCAAACAGGGGAGGGGAAACTTGCTTCTTCTTATGCATGTCGGTAGTGGGTGCGAAAGCACTGGATATAAATGTTACCTTTGTACAGCAGGCTGTTTTCCGCACAAACTCGCACGCCCCTCTCCATCTTCCACCCAGGTAAGCAAGAGGCATCATCAGAGGACAAGGGCATGTTCTCCAACCAAGCAAAAGCAGAGCCAGGAAGGGGTGTGGCTTGGGGAGAGTCCCAAGGGTCAGACTGAGAGGACTGGAGGACTGCATTCAGCCCCATTGTGGAACAAATCAATATCCTCATCTCTTTGCCTTGCAGGGATGCAAGATTTCAATTATCTGCACACCAATTGCTTTGAGATTACCCTTGAACTGAGTTGCGAAAAATTTCCACCAGAGAGCAGTTTGGTGTTTGAGTGGCGGAAAAATGCTGAAGCACTTATCACCTACATAGAGGAGGTAATAAAGCTGCCAGGGTGTCATCCTGCCCAATCCCTCTACAAAGTTGTCTCATTTCCCCCTGGATCCATTTTTAAAATATGGTGTTACATTGACTACTTTCCAGTCCTCAGGTGCGGACGCTGATTTGGCAATTTGTCAGTTTTTATTTTGCCCATTAGCTAAATTTCTCATCAGCACTACCTGCCTTAGTTCCCCAGACTCACCTCCAGTGCTCCATGGCAGCTGCCTTATGCCCAGTGCTTTTTTTTCTTTAAAGAAAATGTTTAGGGGTACTTTAATTTTCCTTACTCATATTGAAATACTGCTCCTCAATGAGACCAAACTTAGATGCACAAAATGTTTAGGGGTATGCGTACCCTGCATCCCCCCAGAAAAAAGCGCTGCTTATACCAGACCACGACCAAGTCAGAGCACTTGTCCATCCAATTGAGTACAGTGGTACCTCAGGTTACAGACGCTTCAGGTTACAGATGCCACTAACCCAGAAATAGTACCTTGGGTTAAGAACTTTGCTTCAGGATGAGAACAGAAATTGCGGGGCGGCAGCGGGAGGCCCCATTAGCTAAAGTGGTACCTCAGGTTAAGAACAGTTTCAGGTTAAGAACAGACCTCCAGAACGAATTAAGTTCTTAATCCAAGGTACCACTGTACTGAAAGTTACAGGCAGGGCTTTTGGCAACCTTATCTGGAGATACCAAGGATCTCTTTGGGTCTTTTGCATTTGGAACGTGTGCTTTATCACTGAGCTAGAATGCATCACTTGTGGGGTGTGGGTCAAGCTCTGTTCTCAGGAGCTCTTCTTCTTCTTCTTCTTCTTCTTCTTCTTCTTCTTCTTCTTCTTTGAATTTATATATACCCGGAGGTCTCAGGGAGGTTCATAGAGCTAGGCAAGCCGAACCACTGCATTCTGGATCTAGGCAGTGTGGACTCCCTTTCCCCAGTTCTAAGGGTATCCACTTATTTGTTTGGTATTTGTGATTTGTAGGTTCACCAGGGCATCAAAGGTCTGGTGTCCGATGACAACAACAACAGGCTCGCAGGTGCTGTCATCTCAGTCAAAGGAATTGCCCATGATGTCACTTCAGGTCGGTACCCAGCTTGACACAGGCCAGACTATTATCATAGGTGGTAATTAAATGGCATTGCTGTATTTGTATGTCCCACATTTATAATCTGAAAGAAAAACCTTCATATAACAGCCAGGTATACTTTTGTTTTGAAAATGACTCTCTTCTGCTTTCTGCATTACGTTAACAACATTCGCAGTGAGCCATTCTGGAAGACTAAAAGGGGTTCTGAGAGTCTGTTGTGAAGATATCTATTCCTTGTGACCAAGTGCCCCACGCAGGGGCTATAAAGGGTATAAGCTTCTCATATAAAAACAAGCAAAAACAAAATAGAAAAGGCCATGAGTTATGTCCAGTGCTTTTTTTCTAAAAAAAAAAATGTTTACGGGTACTCTCATTTTGACTCAAGAAAATCACCATTTTATAGTTCAAATTGGGAAAAATAAATACAATAAATGGGCAAAAGTACAAAGATTCACAAAATGTTTAGGGGTATGCATATCCCTGTGTACCCCCAGAAAAAAAAGCACTGGTTATGCCTATAGCTTTATGGTCTCTTAAGCAGCCAGTTTCAATATCTTAGTAGTCAAAGAGTTCATCTAGTCCAACACACACACACCGATGCAGTAAATCTACTGCTGTAGCAGTGGGCCATTGAGCTCAATAAGAATCCCCCCCTCATTGAAATTTTGGGGTGCTAACCCCTGCCCTTCCCTGCACTTTCTGCAGGGAAGTATCAGTGATTTCCGTAAGTGGAAATATTGTGAAACAAACAAGCAAGCAAGCAAGCAAGCAAGCAAACAAACAAACAGATAAACTTGTTCTCTGGCCTGGCAGAGTACATTGCAAGTTTGAGCTGTGTTCATAGTGAGTGTCACCGGGCAGATACATAATTCAACACTTTGTTAGAGGAACAATCAGGACCAACTGAACCCTGATTCTGGCCAGGGTTCCCCCCCCCCTAAGACTCCCTAATTGTGGGGTTGAGGCCAGGCAAGTCAAGCCCAAGTGGTGTCCTCTGGCTCTGCTCTCTATACCTTCTCAGCCCCTCTTTCTCTTTGGTAGGAGAACATGGTGACTATTTCCGGCTGCTGCTGCCTGGGACTTACACAGTCACTGCATCAGCGGATGGATACCAGCCACAGACAGTGACGGTGACAGTGGGCCCAGCTGCACCCACGGTGGTGAGTGTTGGGGAAAGGTTAAAGGTGCCAGGTTCTTCTAAGCTGGGCCTTCAGGCGTGAATTAGAGTAGGGCCACCAGGGAGATAGTGGGAAGAAACCTTCCCTGCACCCCTATGAGAGTTGGGTCATGGAATTATGGTTAATAAAAATGTGGAAACATTGAGAGTATGGGAAAGCATTAGCCCAGCCCAGCTTCAGAAGTTCACCTTCTCTTTCAGACTGGTAAGAAGAAGACCTCCCAGCATTTCCCTTAACCATTGCCCTACTCAGCCCTGTCTACGACCCGCTCATTGGATGCACAGAAATCCAGGATGGATAGTTTAAAGCAGACCACTCATGTAAGGTTGCATCTCTTTGTGCTCCAGGTGCCCCACTAGAGCCTTGGCTGAGAAAACCATGCAGCTCCTACTCCTCAAGCTGTGCTACCTGGGGCCATGTCAGCACCTGACATCCTTAGGCCAAGGCCCCAGTTCTCCAGCACTGACACTGCCCTATGCCCCCCTTTTAAAAATATTAATTCTATCCCAGAGTTCCAAGTATCCAGGTGGCTGATATTAGCCACCATTTAAATTTTCCACATTTCTCCCCACCTAGTGTTACCTTCAGGCATTTTAGGAAATTAAACTGGCTGCTAGCCCAGCACTGCTCAGAGCACTCTTGTTGCCATTTAGAAATACCCAGCCCCAAATCTGGAACTGGTAAAGTACTAAGTAATGTCTGTCCAAAGATATAAAATAGTTATTGCATCTTTTCTTGGCCCACCCCAATTAAAGGCTGTGGATGCTTTTTAGTTACACAGCACTCTTAACCTCAGCTCTAATTCTGTCATTCTGTAGAACTACAAGTAGCAAATAGCCTCTCTAAATTCTATTAAGCTGCTTTGGAAAACTGTATTTGAAACAGGGGGTGTAGTTAGGGAGAATGAAGGCCTCCTGTCAGTCTGCAATGGAAAGTTGGAGAATCTCTAGATATGTTCTTCACCCCTGACCTTTTGCTTTGCTATTTATTTGTCCTCGGGACCTTGTGTAACACAGTTGTGTTTTAACTCAGCAACCATATTCCATACAAAAGAAGGAAGTTTGGCAAGTTTCCATTTTTGGCAGTGCTGGAGTGTGGGGGCTGGGCGTTCTTTTTGTCCTGAGGTGCTAGAATGGTCATTTCTCTGAGTTAATTGTCCCTGTTTACCATCCCCTTGTGACTTGGGGCTGGCACAGGACTGGGCTTTCAAGACTAGGAAGCCCAGGCTGATCTCAGTGAAATGAGCCATATACTTCAAGGGGCATTTAACTGTGATGTTGGGGAAGCAAAGGCAGCCTAACACCCCCTTCAGGAGAGCCTACTCAGTCACTGAGCTGCCTTCCAACCTCCTGGGCCTTAAGGCTGCATTCTGCCACTCAAACAGCCTGCAGCCCTCCTGCGACTCTGTGGAGGTGCCCATCTTCTCTGTGAGCTTCTGATCTTCCCCAGCTTAGCCCCACCCCATTTCAAGAGAGGAGACAGCCAGATTTTCTGGAATGCTCTTAATGCATTTCTGATGATTTACTGAGAGGCTCCACTGCCAGGGAAACCCTCACCCTGCAAGGGGGTGTAGCATATTGGGGGCGGGGAGTGGAGCGATGAAGCAGTGCTGTGAATCAGAGATCGGCTGAGCCACCTGCTGGTGGAAGGAGAGATGGAAACCTATTGCTGACTTTCTGGATCCCTAGCCAAGACCTCCATGTCCCATCAAAGAGTAAAATAAACACTTTCCCCCTTAAACTCATTGAGCTTTGTTACTGGCCAGGCCTTGTCACCCGTAGCAAGCCATGTTCTTGGCTTCAAGCATTTAAAACATAGCATTTAGTGTATTTGAGGCCATCGCTGAATCATGGACTGTGTAGTGGTGGACTTGAATACTATGATGCCCTGTATGAGGCCAAGATTTGGAGCCAGCCCCCCCCCCCCCGTCCAGCCCTTGCGCTGCCTTCCCAAAGGCAAATAAGGAAGTTCCCTGCTTTGGGAAGAAGGTGTGAGGCTCTGGCAGGGTGCTAGAGCCCTCCCATCTCCTTCCCAAAGCTGGGAAAGTGCTGATTAGTCTTTGAAAAGGAGGTGGGAGGACTCCAGAACTCTATCAGAGCCTCACAGTTCTTCCCAAAGCCCAGTGCCTCATTGACTGGGCTTTGAGATGGCTCCCCCCCAGCTCAGAGCCCAGTTCGTGGCACCACTTGCACAGCCCAGTTAGAGGACAGCAAATAGGATACAGGGCCACCCTAGTATCAGCACCTCTGACATTGCTGAGTTGCTCCTCTTTAAATGGACATATCCTATCTTGGGATGATTAATTTTACACCCGTTTTGGATTTGAGCTTACTTGATTAATCAAGTACTGTAATTAATCAAGTAACCAATGCAGGAGTCACATGATACAGGAGGTGGCTTTGCATTGAATGGCAGCATGGACTCTAGTGGTCTTCTCTCTTCCAGGTGCATTTCCAACTCAGACAGAGCACTGTGGACAGCCCTCGTGTACAAAAGGCTTCTGACAGGGTCCCCAACAGTAAAGCCCTGCATAAGAAGGTTGTGCCACGAGCTGCCCAATGGGAGACGCCACGGTGAAGGCAGACCTCGGCTGGGTGAAAGCTGGTGGAGATATCGAACATGAGATGTCAACAAGGCTGACTGATGAACTTTCCAAGATCCATCTATTGTGATACCCATAAACATGAAATGAGCCTAAACCTTCTTGTTTATTAAATGGCTAGTATTTAACTGCACTATGGACAAAAAAAAACCTCTTCTAGTAAGGGGTGGGCAGGCACTGGAGCCTTCTGGTCTATGATGTGCATGCACAGGTGACAGAAATACCTATACACTTGTCATGGTGGAAAAAGGTCAGGGGGGAGTAGTGATTGAAGGGAGGAACCAGAAAACATAACACCAAAATATTCCTTCAAGACTACCTACTAGTTCAGATCAGTGCTTGGAAAGTTCATTTTAACAAGAAATTCATTCCATTTCACCCCCTCCTAAAAGGAATTAGTTACCATTCAATTTCACTCCCTCCAAAAAAATGGAGCTAATTCTGTGCTGGTTCAAGTCTCAATTCATATTTTCCAGCCTTCATAATTTTACAAGCTGCTTGCTAAAATATATATGACAACATCAAGATACACACACAGTGCAATGTGGGCAATTTTATGTATTTTCCCCAACAAGTATTATTTTAAAGTTTAAACAGCATCAGTTTTCAGATATGTAAAAATGGTAAATGCAATGGCCATAATCAAACACATAGTGCAATGAAAGTCCTGTATAGTGGTACCTCGGGTTACATATGCTTCAGGTTACATATGCTTCAGGTTACAGACTCCGCTAACCCAGAAATAGTACCTCGGGTTAAGAACTTTGCTTCAGGATGAGAACAGAAATTGTGCTCCGGCGGCGCGGCAGCAGCAGGAGGCCCCATTAGCTAAAGTGGTGCTTCGGGTTAAGAACAGTTTCAGGTTAAGAACGGACCTCCGGAACAAATTAAGTACTTAACCCGAGGTACCACTGTATAGCATTTGCACAACCTCAATTGCGCTCCTCAATTGCATCAGAATGAGAAAGACCATGTTGCCCTCTACTGGCCACTGAATATTTTGATCATTGGTATGGAAGGCTTTCATGGGATGCTTTTAAGGTTCCTGGATATGTAAATTAACTTTTCAAATGTTTCCAGTATGTCGTGTTTCCTTCTATTCAAAAACAAAAAGCAAAAGCAAAAATAACAACCTTGTGCCCCTCCCTCTGATATTCTGAACTGGAGGTGCAACTATATTGGCTCATATGAGGACAGTGTGAAGCCATTTGGATGGGAGACCCAAATCCCAGCAATTTCATGCATCAAGTATTCACTAGTGTTAACTGCTATGATCATTTATAAGCCATTATACAGTGCAGTAATTTATATACCACTTTTACTGGTAAGTGCCTTATAATGGTAAGCATAGCAGGCTTTGTAATCTGTATAATGCTTGCTAGCCTTGGAACAGTGTTAAGATGCAGGCCCTTATTAGTCACATTTTGCAGATGTGGAACTGAGGCTGATTTGCCTAAAGTCATATAAAGGGACTTTGGCTATCCACTGCACCACACTGGCTTTCTTGATCAGTCACAAATTTATTTGATAACCCAACTCAAAAATCTTTCGGGCTTCAGAATTTCCAGATTACATATCTTGGAAAGGATAGGGAGTCCTCGTACCATATTAATTTACTGCAGATGAGAACTCATTTGGAAAACACAGAATGTAAAACCAGTCACAGTGAAACTAGCATTAAAAATGTATGAAAGAGAGGCCCATCTTTTACAAATTACTTTCAACTTTTAGAACCTCCCAACAACCATCTTTGGAGCTCAGTGTTCTTTGAGAAAAAGTCTTCAAAAACCACACTTGTCAACGGTGCGAATTCCTTCTTTTAGCAGCAGCAATGTCCTCTTTGTTTCCCAAGAGGTCTTTGTGCGATTGTTGCCTGCCCCTAATTTGCATAGGTGTCCCACATTCTCTGCAAATAGTGTTAAACATTGCAATATATAATGCAGAGGCTTTGGAGGTCAACCCTCTTGGAAACACAGAGATTGCTGATGCAAAGCATTCTTGTGTCACGGTCCTTTGCCTTGCTTTGTTCCCCACTTATCCTTCAAATGGTTTCAAAGAAATAAAAACAGCATACACAAACATTTACAACAGGCACACACTGTACATAACTGTATACCTGATGAGCTGGATCTGTCCTTACGAAAAGAAACAAAATGGTTTGTTCCCACAATAAGCTGTGGGTGAGATCCAACACAGTGCAAGCAGGTTCCTGCTTGTGCAAGGGGGCTTCTCCCTCTCCTACTTCCTATAGCCCCCCCATGCACCCCCAAAATCTGCTTCAGAGGGCTGGGGGAGCCCATCTACTGTCATCTACTCTTTCCCATATAATCAGCCCAATTATATGACTCATCCGGAAGAGCTCAGTCATGAGTGTTCACAATAGGAACAATGACCTACTGCAGGGGTGGAAGAGCTGACTCATGAGTGTTCACACTATGCACAATGGCCTACCGTACTGCAGGGTTGGGGGACCTTTGGCCCTCCAGAGGCAGCTGGCTTCCCATCAACCCCAGCCAGCACAGTCTATAGTAAGGGATTGTGGGAGCTGCAGTGCAGCAACATCTGACAGGCCACAGGTACCCCATCCTTGACCTATTGGGGAATGAAAAGTGTGATAAAAAGACCTTTAGCTGGGGGCATTACTTTATAAAAATAAGTATTCAATGGAATAAATTGCATTGGACAGGCCTTTGAAGCCTATTGTGTCTAATGCATCCATCGTCCAAGGCAGTGGAGGAAAGGGGGAAACCAAGAGAGTTAGCAGCAATGGCAGTGATGGATGTGGGTGTCATCGCAACTACACTTTAGGGATAGTGCAGCAAACCCACTTCCCCCCTGAAATCAGACAGTTTGCAGTAAGGAAAGTGACAGGAAAGTGCACTGGAAGGTGTTGCTCAATGAACAGATAATCTAGAAGTGACATTAGAGAGCTAATATACGGAGTGTTGTCCCTGAGCCAGTTTTGCTTCTGATGTCATCTGTTTTCCTTTCCACCTGCTTCGGTTTGGTGTTATCACAGTGAAACTTACTTCTGAATCATGCATAGGATTCTGCTGCGTTAGGTTGCATGCCTGCTGCTTATAGGCTGTTCCACCCTTCTTTCTTTTTGAATTTCTCCATAAATGGCAAGATGGCCACTACCCTCCCATATCACAGGGTAGTCAAATAGGGATCCTTAAGCCCAGCAAAGGAAAGAAAACAGATACACAGTGGTACCTCAGGTTACAGATGCTTCAGGTTACAGACTCTGCTAATCCAGAAATAGTACCTCGGGTTAAGAACTTTGCTTCAGGATGAGAACAGAAATCGCGTGGCAGCAGCAGGAGGCCCCATTAGCTAAAGTGGTACCTCAGGTTAAGAACGGGTTGAGGTTAAGAATGGACCTCTAGAACGAATTAAGTTCTTAACCCGAGGTACCACTGCATTTCTCATATTTCAGACATAGATTACAATCAGGGTTCTGTTCTGTAATAAATTTGGCACCATGGGCAACCCAGTTTTGAATGCTAAGACTCTGCATTTTGTGTTGTGTGCGCACGTATGTGCAGAACATGGTACCAGGCACAAATGTGCAGTTCAGGAACACTACCATTTTAATGGAATCCTGCCAGGCAATGCATAAATGCCTTGAGTTGGCATTTGCTGAGAAAGGCAGACGTTGATTTCTGGTCTCAGTGAAGGAAGTAAATAAATAATGTGATGCATCTGAACTTTGCAAACTACCTGGAGATGCCTGGAACTGAAGCTGGGACACTTCTGCATAGAAGACAGATGTGCTACAGCTGAGCTATGTCACTTCCCCATTCTGCCTCTTCCCAGGCTCCTTTCTGGTTGTTCTCTCTGAAGCAGCAGCCTTCCACGCAGCGTAGCAAACCACTTCCGAAAGAGAGCAGGCTTTAAAAAGCAGCTGGGGAGCAATGGCATAGGCGGGGGAAGGGAGGGAGCCTCTTGTTCAAAGAAAATAGTCAAAACCCCCACGGGGCATGTCTGAGATCCCTGCCACAGCTGCATAAAGCAAACTTGTCTACTTGTTTAACTGGCTTGTGCAAGATGCGATTTCTCCAGCGCTTGGAGAACGTGCAGCGTCTTTACTGCAAAGTTTCGAATTCCTGGTGGAGAGTTCTCGGTTTTAACGGCAATTATACATTTTCTTCCCAATTCATTTGGGACTCGAAAAAGATGGTGAAGATACATCCCAGCAGTATGGCAAAGGCGGATGCTAAAGAAAAAGGGAAAACACAGGGATCCCTTCCAAGATTTATAAGCGCTGGGATTAGTTTTCAGTGCAAGGCAAAGAAACTCAGCGCAGGGAGCGGAGGGGGGCACAGGGAGCGGAGCATGTGCAGAGTGCCCCCGCGCCCCTGGCCGGCCCCAGCCCGCCGCCCCTGGCCTCCAGATCTCCAGCAATGGACACGCCTCTGCCTGGTCCAGTGCCCCCTGCCCGTGGGAAACGGCTGCCTCGCTGGCTCCGAGAGCGGGATTCCGGCCCCAGCTGCACCCGCTTGCTGGAAGGGGGCGCTCAGAGCACAGCCGGCTGCGGAGGGCGGCGACTGGGGCCGGGGCGGAGCTGAGCTCCGGGCCGCGGCGGCTCCTGGGGGCCGAGGCGAGAGGGCGATCTGCCGGGGCTGCGACGGCTGCAGGGACCGCGCAACAGGTAGGGGCCGAGAGGGAGACATCGCGACAGCGGGAAGGGCCCGGCCGGGGCGCCCCCTTCCCTCCGCGCCGTCGGGGCTTCCACTTCGTTCCCGTCCGCCCGAGAAAGCGCTGCCCCCGGGGCTCGTGTGGAAACTTCTCCGACGCGGCCCCGGCTCCTCCCTCCGCGGCTTGAGCTGCGTGGGCAACTGGTCTCCCCATCCGCAGCGGGAGATCGCGGGTTGCTATCCTGGCCAGCTCCCCACCCATCCCGCCCCGTTGGCTTAGGGACGCCAGGCTGAGCTTCCGAGTCGGAGGAGGTTTCCCTAAGGCAGCACGCGCGCCCAGGACATCACCATGGTTTCCCACAGTTCCCCTGGGTCCAGGGGTCTTACGCCCTGGTAGTCCTCCTCGGTCCTGGTCTGGATCGCACCTAGGCGATCTTGCTTTTGGCTACTGGTCCGTACTCCTAGGAACACTAGTTTGCTCCCCGCCCCCAGGTGACAACACCCTATATAGGAATTCTGGGGACAGCATTGTTATTTAGCGGGTCTGACTCTGGCTACTCATTCCGACCCTCCTTCACCCAAGTACAGACGACCCATGACTGACATGTCCCTTAGGGCGGATTTCAGTATGACAGTTGATGCTCATGGGGCGGCCTTTTCTTACAGAAGGAAAAGTTACATCAGAATCTTTTGGGTTTTTTGGGAAGTGTGTGTGTGTGTGTGTGTGAGAGAGAGAGAGAGATCCTATGGTTAGACTCTAGAAACAGGTATGTAGAGAGATGCTCAAATATTAGAAGCAGGAAGGGCTTTCTTGTTGATTGGAGATCTACTACAGGCTATTGGGTAACAGCTAAATTCGACCAAAAAAGGTCAAAGAGTTTGTGTGTATGGTTTTTTGTTTGTTATATGTACAGTGGTACCTTGGTTTAAGAATAGCTCTGTTTACGAAGTCCGCAAAACCGGAAGTAGTGTCCCGCTTTGTAAACTTTACCTCGGTCTAAGAACAGAATCCGAATGGTGGAAGGACATCGGCGGTGGGAGGCCTCATTAGGGAAAGCATGCCTCGGGTTAAGAACGGTTTCGGTTTAAGAACAGACCTCTGGAACGGATTATTCGTAAACCGAGGTACCACTGTATATTGAGCTGCGATTGCAAGATTGCAAGATTTAGAGCTACAGTTCGTGAACCGAACTGTAGAGTTTGTGAACCGAATAGTTTGTAACCAGGGCTGTTTTTAAACGAGGTACCACTGTACTGCCATTTCTTGTCTATTATTAGTTGTGATTGTGCATACTTCTTTGTGTATCTGCCCTGAATCTTTGGGATGGGATAAGTGAAACATTTCAACAAATAAGAGCATTCTTCTCCTGCCCGACACAACAGTGCAGCCTTCCTCTGGATTCTTCTCACTCCCAAGAACCTCCCTGGAACAAGTAGGTGGGTCTCTTGAGCCCTCCATATTCCAGGCAATTTGCCTTTTAACATAATGGGATGTACATTGAGACCACCGTGGAGTTCAGAGTTGAATTCATGTTTTCCAGGTCACAGTCCAGCACTCATGGTTTGCACATCGCAGGATAGCAAATCTTACTGAACATCTATCATGTTCTAATTAGTTTAAAATCAGTATTTAAAATGTCACCTAATTGATTCTTGGGAATAGCATGGGAGAGTGCAACTTAGATACATATCTTTCTGCCCTGGAACCCACTTCACACATTACCAAATTCCTGCACGTCAATTATGTGGTCCTCAAGTGCAAAAGTGATCCCACTTGTGTGGGAATTGCTGTGTGTAGATGACGCATGTGTGCAGCCTTGGCATCATACTGTGGCATCTGCCAGTGCTCAGGTGCCCTGGGAGGTCCTACTGGGGCTGGCACCCTGGGTAGCCCACATACAGGCCACCTGTTATGGGCGTCTCAGTGGAGTGCTCCTGCAGTCACTAACTCCCCCACACTTACTTATGGGGATATGTGATAATCGTAGCTGCTCCTTACAGAGTCTCTTCCTACATAAACTGACCCTGGACTCTGCACTCATCTTCCAAGAGGTATGGAGGGTGGCAGCACGAGAACGGGGCCTTTTCTGCAGTGGCTCCTTGTTTGTGGAATGCTCTCCTCAGAGAGGCTTGCCTGTCACCTTTATTATACATCTTTAGATGTTTTCAACCAGGCCTTTGGCTGATTAATATTCTATGGCTTTTTCAATGTGTCTGTGGGAAGGGAGGTTATTGTTTTGCTGTTTTCTTTTACTTATTTACTTGTTTTTATTCTGCATTTTATTCTTTGAACCGTCCTGAGATCTTGTGATGGAGGGCGGTATATAAATTTAATAAAAACAAATAAATGAAAATAAGCCAGGGCCGGTACTATCATTAGGTAAACTAGGCAGCTGCCTCGGGCACAGCGCTCAAAGAGGTGCAGTATTGACCTTTCCGGAGCATAGTTTTATATAGATTAGTTTTTGTTAGTGTTTGTAAATTTCTGATAATATTGTAGTTTTATATTTTGAAGAATTTTATCATTTGTACAAGACATCTGTTTTTGAAAACTGAAGTTAGCAATTTTTTTGAGTGCTGCTGCTGCTGCAAGTAGTTAGCCTTCCCAAGGGTGCAAAATAGCTTGGCACCCCTGCACTGGGGTCAGCCCCCTCACTTACAACCACAGGGGGAGAAGCTGGTGGCAGCACCAAGGTTCATCCACAAGTTTGTGAGGGAGAGACTGTGGCATGGGGACTGCAGTTGGCACTGGGGGTGCCCACCTTGAACAGCTTGCCCATGCCACCCAAAAAATCTGAAGCCCGGCTTGCGCTTGTGTGTAGAATCATCGCATGCTACTATATGTGACTTGCATGTAGGAATTCTACAACCTGTGAACAGAGCCTGAGTGACTTCAGTTTTGCATTCCTTGCAATGCTGCTTTTAGTCTCTATTCATATTCCCTGTGCTTGTCATTTCCTTGGCAAAAGGGTGAGGAAAGGAGCTGTAGCTCAGCCGTTGCTTATTCAATGGCCTAATATTTTAATCTAACTAGAAAAGGATCATAGCAGCGTATAGGATGCTGGAAGAGTGAATTCTGGGTTTCTTAAACCTGAGTTTCGGAATTAGGGAGCCTGCAGTAGTCTGGAAGGGATAGGGTTGCAAAGAGATGTAGGCCTCACCACAAAGCTCTGCTGAGTGCGTTCCTCAGAACAAGTTTCCTCTCGCTGTGGAAAGAACGGTGTCACCGGCGCCCACGTAAAGCGCTCTCCTCTGCGTTTGCGTGCAGCTTTAGCTGGTGCTGGCCTTACTTGGCTCAAGCTGTTTCATAAGAGCTTGGGGGCATTTCTGCCATATGGACCTGCTGCGAAGAGCAGCTGTCAAGCCTACAGGGTGGGCCACACCAGTGCTGAGAACAGCAGTACAGCTATTTCCTAAATCTTCGCAGCAACACTTTTGCCAAGATGCCCTAAAGTAAGCATTAGGCTTTCAGCACCGAATAAGCAACATTGCTTATTCATGTCCTTACGGAGATCAACGCTCTGAATGTTTGCAGCAGTGCCATTCTTAAGGATATGTGCAGATGAAAACATTTATGTCATTAAAAGGTTTGTAGAGCCCCCATTATATCATGTGGCCCATCATCTGCAGTGCTATAGGCACTTACCCAGGAGGAATTCCTACTGACTTCAGTGGGACTTACTTCTGAGTAGATAGCCATAGGATTACGCTTTGTCCGTTGTTAAATAGGCACTAGCCTTCTTGCAACGTTTCTTGTTTTATCTGAACAAATGTCACACAGTGTCCTTCATCCCAGCTATTATCTGAACCCCCACTTCCCTCGTTATTAGGGCCCTTTTCTCTATTAAGGATTTACAAGGGTCTACTTATAGTCATGTGGGATGGGGGTGGCGCTGTGGGTTAAACCACAGAGCCTAGAACTTGCCGATCAGAAGGTCGGCGGTTCGAATCCCCATGATGGGGTGAGCTCCTGTTGCTCGGTCCCTGCTCCTGCCAACCTAGCAGTTCGAAAGCATGTCAAAGTGCAAGTAGATAAATAGGTACCGCTCCAGCGGAAAGGTAAACGGCGTTTCCGTGCCCTGCTCTGGTTTTGCCAGAAGCAGCTTAGTTATGCTGGCCACATGACCCTGAAGCTGTATGCCGGCTCCGTGAGATGAGCGCCACAACCCCAGAGTTGTCAGCGACTGGACCTAATGGTCAGGGGTACCTTTACCTTTTACTTATTTGCCACAGCCATCTTTCTTTTGTTTGTGTAGAAGGGAGGGACTTTATTTATTTCTTATTTAAAATATTGCTAAGCCATAGCTCTCCCAATGCAATGCATGAAAAAGAAAACCCAGACTGAACTGAGCCCCCTGGCTAGTTTCATGATCCCACTGATCCGTCTCTCGCAAGTTTCTTCTCCCTGCTCCCCTTTTTTGGCACATGCTGTAAAAGTTGTTGCACTGCACTAAACCACATTTTTGTCTTTGTGTTAAGTCTCTCATGTCTGAACTCAACACACAACGTGTTTTCCATTTCCCCTGGTGTTGTCACCCGCAACTTCCATAAATGTTTTCTCTAGTATGCACAAGTCATTTGGGTGAATTGTACTGGCCCGGTGCTCTCAAGAGCCTTGCCTACTGTGTCTCTCCGTGGCTTTCAGATTTTGACTGCAAAACTACTTATTGGCATAAAGGAACTGCTCATGTGCTACATAGGTAAAGTTTTTGATTTGATTCCCATTATATCTGAGTCATACATTGGAGAATTACTGCTAGTCATAGCTGACAGTTCAGAACTAGCTGGCTTATGAACATGCTGTGCTCCTAAACCCTAAGTATACTGACTTGGAAGCCAGTTGGGGCGGCTGATTTTCTTCCAGGTAAACAGGTTTTGAGTTATTGTGTTCCTTTCTTATCTTTTCTCTTCTCCCCCATCCCCATTTTTCCCCTTTCTTTTAAGTTAACCCTTTGAAGTGTTAGGGGATTTGACAGTATTGTTGAGGGTACTTACATGTTATTAAACAGGTGTTCAAAATAGTCACTTTGTGTTGCACTGTGTGTTTATAACATGCCCCACCTCTCTCTCTGATTTTTTTTCTAAGTGACTTTCAGTACATGGCGGTATGCGGAGATGTTTTCTCGCCACAAGTAAACAAGCTCTTGAAATGCAGGCTGTGATCTGGGGTGTAAGATCCACTGAGTGCAGTGGGACTTACTTCTGAGTAAGCGTGCCTAGGATTGCACAGTCCAGTTGGTTTCACCATGACCTTGATTTTGTAGCCATTGTCCAATCAGGACTTTGAGAAGAGCCAGCACACAAATTGGCACTGAATTTTGTCACCCAAAAGCTACAGGCAGGTCTGTGTTCCTAAGTCAGGTGTAGGTAGCTCCATCTGTAGATTTATGGTCAGTTGTTTTTAGTATGGTTGAAAGCTATACCATTGAGCTTTCTCACCAGAGTGAACTCAGGTTTTCATGACAGCACAGGAGAGGAGACTGCTTTAGAACTATGCAGGACGAGGAGCATGGATGACAAAGCTAGTTCTGCCTTGAATTTGGTAAATCCTTCCCCTGCTTATCATCAGTAGCTTCCAGTGGTTGTACGTGCTGATGTCACCTGTTTGTGGTGTGGCTTTTAAAATCCAGGTGATTGCAGATGGGAAGGGAAGATATAATTTGTATCTAGGAACATGTGCTGCCTCTAGGCAAGCTCCAAGAGCCTCCAAGAGCCAGTTATCAACAGAAGTAAAAATATATACTGCTCCATAATGCTTAGTTTCATTCATTGATGTGATTGTGGGCCATGTGGCTGGTGACCCACCTTTTTTGGCTGAGCTGGCGTTTCTCGTAGAGTCTTGCCTATATGGAAGTGGTTATCTTTTTCTGAATGCTCTGTCATGGGCACAAAGTACAGTTCAGCATTTCACTCTCGGTCTGCTTCAGGATTGTTTGCAGTGGTAGTTTGTACCTGTGATGGAACACTCATCTTCACCACTGACACATCGGTGCCCACGCAGATAGAAACTAAGTGGCAGGCTTTGTACCCAAAAGTTGAAGAGAATAGCTTCTCAGTGCATTTCAGGAACAGAGCCAAAATATATGTATGTTATGAACTAGCCAAACAAGCTGCTGCAGACTCAGAGCGACACTCAGAGAGAGCCCAAATTTAAAGGCTAAAGGCATTCCTTGGGATATGGTCCCTCATCGGTGCTAGAAGGATGCAGTGAAGCTGCCACATGAGGTAGGCTTTGAAGATGCATGATTTGGCTTTCTTAAATATACTGCCTAGGGTGGATGGTACCTTTTGAATGTTCTCTGTAAACGAATAAGGATGACAGGGACTTACTTGCACCATCTTTCCTGCTTGCATCAAATCTGCAGCTGAGGATCTCCCTTGGCATCCTCCAGTTTCTAGCAGCATTGCTGTACAGTTGAGTCATCAGCCCCTCTGAGAAAATTAGGTCCAGTTGTATGGAGCGGAATATCGGTGGAATGGGGAACATAGGCTTCATTGTACTTGTGAAACCCTTGATTTTCTGGTTTTGGCACTTAAGTGATGCAAGATCTTAGGTCTGACTTAGCAACACATTTGGTATTAATTTTGTGACACAGAGCCTGATGGGAGATTATCCTAGCACTAGTAGCTGCAAAGGAGCACTCCCTCCTAAAAGTTCCAAGTCTGTTATTACGATTTATGTATTGAGGGGGAAATTGAGCCATTATTTCCCCGGGTGGGAAAATGTCCTTATCCCGCATGAGACTCTGTCACTGCTTAGGACTCCCTGCTGTGGAAGAGGCATCTCCCTTTGCTATTTCTCAGGCCTGTGTCTCTGTGGCCTTCCTATCTAGGTCAGTGGGGTGGGCTCAGCCATATGGTGAGTGTATCATTGTTCCTTCCTGGCAAAGTGGTATAAACTGGGTTTAAAAAAAGATAACTGGACAAATAAAAGCAAAATAAAAACAAGAGTCAGTTGTAAGAGCCAGGATGGATGGGGAAATGTAGCCCTAAAAATAAGCATTTCTAAACATGAGACTGCTGGAGGTAGGAATGTGTAGCAGGGCATAAGGGCTCTCTGTTGGTGTTGCCAGACATTCTGTGTGTTGTGCTGCACTTCCTCAAATATCAGGATCTGATCAGGAATGAAGACAAGATATTTGGCATCAAGGTACCATAATCCAGCCCACTGGCTTTGCTGAAAGGTTGCTGATTGGTTGGGATAGGTAACTTGTAGGACTATAACTCCCACCAGTCCCAGTTTATGAAGGCAATGGTCAGGGAGGATGGGAGCAACATCTGGATGGCACTTGAAATCTATAAGGAGGTGCCTTATACAGACTTTGGCCATTGGTGCAGGGGCTCCTGGGTGCTCTAACCCTTTCCTTCAAATACATAGGGAGTTGAGATCTTCAAGAATTTGGGGTCATGGTTAGAGCACAGGTGGCTGAAGCATCATGCTGAAATTAGCTGGACTTATTCAGTCCATTTGACTCCTGCTGTGTTGGTTAATGTGGCAAGCAATTCTTTCCTATCTATCAGTCCTGGAGTGTTGACCCAGGAGTGCTGTTGCTGTTTTTGCCGATGAAGGAACAGCAGATGCCCCCAAATATGGCCCACCCAGAAGGGGAGAAATCTACAGGCTGCTGTGACACATTTGTGAAGCTGTTTCCTCTCTGGTCCAGCTTGGAAGCCACAGTTGTGAGAGTGTCCAAGTCAGAGGTCTCCTTGACAACCTCTTGTTGTTGCTGCTTGGATCACTTTCAGCTTGTTTTGTTCTCGGATGTTGACAGGATACTTGGAGAACTGCAGGCGTCCGCTGTTGCTCCAGATTCAGGCCCTTGTCTTTCAGTGACAGATGGGGTTGGTTTACAATGGCAGTTAGCTGAGGTAAAGAGAGATCCTATGTCCTGTACAAGAGGTGATCAAAACCTTCCTTTAAAAAAACAACAAAACATCACTTTAATAACCTCTCCAACTGCTGCCTATTCTATAATCTCCCCTTTGGGGGAGAAACCATCAAGCAGGCGACAGCAATACAGTTTCAGGTACTTCTTGATGATGCCTCAACCCAAGGGGTGGTTTTTTTCAGTGGGAACTCACCAAAACTCAGTTCTGGCGCCTCTCAGGTGGGCACCATTGCCATTAGAGCAGAATAAGGGAGTCGTTCTTGGTGAGTTCTGGCATGTCTTTTTCTAGAAATATAGCCCTGAGTCCAGCATTATATTTCCAACCATGGCTATCCAGATGACTTGTGCTAGAATCCCCCCAACTTGTGGTTCCAAGTGCAGTTTGAACAGCCGCACGTTCAGCCCTGGTTGTAGCTGGCTCTTTCATACAGCTTTTGTTTAACTTGGCTGCTCAGGCCATGGGCTTGGCTTTCCCATACTGGTGATATATACTGCGCTGGCTTCCTTTCTGTGCATGCTGCAGCATGTGGCTGGGATTCCTTCTCCTCCAGAAGCACTTAAAGAACAAGAAAGATATCTACACCATGTTGGACACTGAGGGGACTGGAAGCAGGAGAGCCTTGCCACATGGAGGCCTGCTAAGAGAGTAGAGGCTTCTAGCTGACTTAACAGGCCTCCCTGTACTGCTGTGTTAAATGGATTTCTACTGTAGATCCATTTCCCTTTATCATCTCTGTTCAGTTGCAGATCTCCCAGAGGTAAAGGGGAGCGGTGCTGGCAAGCCAGCAAGGCGTGTGACTCATCCGTGACCCCAGGCCTGTGGGTGGGTGAAAACGCTTTCCCTTGGATCGTTGCCTCCTGCTGCAGCGTGTGCAGGGCTGTTACACTTGGCACGGATATGGCTGGCCAAGGGGAGGAGGCTCAAAGCACGGAATCTGGGAACAGTTTGCTGTTTGGGACAGAAGGCAGGGCTGTCTAATGATGCAGCCCGGATGGAACTGGAAGATGGTTTCCTCCCTCCAGGCATAAGTTTAGAGCAAGGCTTGGCAGGCAGATGTTCCTGAGAAGACAACACTCCGCTGTCATCCCGGTCGTGGAATAAGCAAGCCCTTTTGAGTCAGCCCGCCAGAAGTGGAGGAGATCTTTCCAAGTGCATTAAAATAATATTGCAAGGGGAAAAGAATCCCAGGTTTCTGCCTGCTTATTCTCCCCACCCTCACTGCCAGAACTAGGGATGGTTTGTGGCAACACTGGAAGTGTTGCATTTGTGGTGGACCCTCTTTCTCTTATTTTGCAGACCTTACACACGAGAGTGTGGTAGGGAATGTAGAGTGTTGTTGTTGCTGTTTGCTGCCCTTTTAACACGTTCCTTCCCCATGGCGTATAGTAACTGAAGGAATGTCCTGGCATTATCTCAGCAGGCCTCCTCCTCCATTTAGGACATTCTTTACTCATTAACACCCACATGCCTTGTCCAGCTGACTGAACTTTTTTTAATCAGGAGCATCACCAGGGCTCCTTCCTCAACATTCATCATGCTGCATCAGCTGCTGTGAAAATGTCAAACCAGAAGCTGCATCTTCACCTGGGTGTATTATGGATGAGGGCGTACCTGAGTCTAGTGGCACTTGGAAGACAATAGCTATTGCTATTATGGATCAGAACCCCTTGAGTGCAGGGGAATCAGCGTAACTTATGCTTCATGGCAGGCTTGGAACTGCTCCCAAATCCAGTTATTATCATTAATTTGTTTGTTTTATTTATTAATTGCTTTCCACAAGGCATGCCAAAGTATCCCCATTGTCTCAAGCCCCAATTGTTTTCCCCCACCTTTCTTGACAGTCACAACAAATTCTGTTCTGAGGAAGGGGATATGATTCTTGTCAGTTTACAGTAGTGGAGGAGACCTTTCCTCCTTGGAAAGGGAAGCTGCTTATGCCAAGAGCCAGCTATTGGTCCATCTAGCTAAGTATTGTCTGCACTGAGAGACAGTGGTTGTCCATGGTTCCAGGCAGGAATTTTTCCTAGCTCAACTTGAAGATGTCAGGAACTGAATTTTGGACTTTTGCGTGCTAAATATATTCTCTACCACTGGGCTGCAGCTCTTCCATTTATATATAAATATAAATAACTATCTTTCTCTGCCTATATCTCATATCCCATATCTCAATTTAAATCTATATCTCTACAGTATGGTGGTTCCTTTCTCCTTTCTTTTTCTACCGTCTCAAATTCCAGATCTTTTATCCTATCCTGTTTTAAAGTCTGTCAGATGCTTTGCTGAGTGTTTGTCCAAATCTGCCAAGGACTCCTCTTCTGTCCTGGATTGCACCTTGTGATGTTGGGCTTTATTTGTGACAGGTTGTGTTAATTTGTGCTCTGCGTTTTAACACCATTTAAACATTGGTTTCTCTACATTGTAGCATGTTATTGCAAAAAACAAACAAACAACTTTTGGCTTGTGCAATTTTCTAGGCAAGACAGACACAAGGTGTGGCTTGTGCTTAATCATCCCTCAGTGCAAAGTGGGCTGAGATTTCTTAGCATGTAACAGATTCCTGCATTAAGACAAATGGGCAAAGAATGTCTTTTGTTCCTGCCGTATAGTGAATAATTAAGGTTTTGCACGCTACTTCATGGAAGTGTTTTGTGTTTGTGGTGGTGATTTCTAGACGCTCATGAACAAGGATTAGTGAAACTGAATGGAACCCTGTTGGGCATTTTAAATTGTTTCAAAGAACTTCAGGACATTAATTTGAGAGATTTCAGCTGTGTACACATTGCCATCTTAAAACACAGATAGAGCCTTCTTTTTCTTAATTCACATCAAAGCTGACTTGGGCTAAACTTATAAAAACTCAGTATTTCATAAGAAATGTCAGACTAGATACAGGACAGGTGTGTATTGCAGCTAATGTTGTATGTTCCAAACCACTGGAAGCAGAGTAAACTGAAGTGTGTACACAGCTTCACAGGCATGATTCTTGAGAACTTGGTCTATACAGTTTCCTTCTTGACAACTGCAAAACACAGACTTCATGGAGGGATGTGGGAGCTATAAGAACATGCAGCTCGCAGAAATTTGTTAGTTTGCTCCTTTTCCTTCTACAGAGCAGCAGCAGCAGCATTTTATTGACTTTGAGCTCAGATCCGTGATATTGAAGGATAAGCATTGCTATTTTGCAGCATTCATTTGTACTGAAATGGTAGAGGTACAGTATAACATTTAACTTGCGTTGCTTCCTTAACTTGCTTTAATAGACAGCATTTTGCATCAGAATCTGAAACTTCATCACCCTGTTTTGCAAGTGAGCACTTCTCCTTTTTCCTGGGGTTTTGAGATACAGGAGACATGCAGGAAAATGGTCCCAGTCACTATTGATGCTCTAGGATAGATACCTGTAGCAAGTCTACAGGTTGGTGGGGTGGGAAGTGTTGATCTGATGTGCTCCACAGAGGTCCGGGGAAGAACTCCGTGTACATATTCTGCAGCCTGGGAGTATCATTTGAAGTGTAACCTATGGCATGTTTCTGGGTTTGCCTGGGGCTTAAACACTGGGAATTGCCAAGGCAGCATTTCTGAGAAATGCCAGCTTCACATTGTTGCCATGAGTGAAGCTGCTAGTGCCTGATAATAAAAAAAACCAATGCCATCAGCAAAACATGTTTGCTCCCTCTAGCTCTTTCGCTCATCCATCCTGTATTATGGGTTTATGCGCACACTTCTATAAAAACAATCCCAATTGTTCCTCCCCAAATCTAAGCACCTAGTGTCCTGGACATTGCTCTGAGGTGCATGTTTATCACAGGGGGGGTATTTGGGTTTTTTGTGGGGGGTGTAGCATACGGTACTCTTCATTGCCTGAGAAAAGGCAAGTGTGTCATTTAATGTGTAACCATGTTTTCTGTGTCTGTTGATTTCTGATGTTGGTAGCAATGGGGAGTAGAATCATAGAAATATAGTGTGGGAAGGGACCCCAAAGTTATCCAGTTTAACCTGCTCCAATGCAGGAATCAAAGCTGTGTCAGTATATCAGCTTTCACAATATATGAGGCTCAGGCAATCTATATTCCTGGCATAAAGGGCTTACCCCTGCCCCCATTAAGTGCCCTGGGATAGAGCTGATTTCCTCTTTTCTAAAGGTACTGAGCATAGGGTTTCCACCTGACCTGAAAGGGCATCTGGCCCTCCTGTGCTTTTAACAGCAGTTTGATGTGCAGAAACAGCAGACAAGCTTTTTCATAGTGTTGGGATCAGCCTTACCATCTGCTAACATCTGGTGATCGAGTTGCTGTTGCAGGTGCAGGAGCAGGAACCCGTAAAAAAGTTGGTCACCCTACTAGGGTCAGGAGGAACCCCCCCCTTTTTTTTTGAAGTGGCAATATAGGGGTTTGCTTCCTGGGTTTTGTATAGATTGTGCCTGTCACCATTTGCACATAGCTTGCTGGTCGTTGGCAGCCCAGAGCCCAGTTTCTGTGCGTCAGGGAAATGCTAAGTTTCCGTTCCATCTTGCCGTCCCTTCCTGACAGGAATTCCTCCTTCTCCTGACCCTGCACTCTTGGTTCCTTTCACACAGCCTGATTCTGGAGCTTGGGGGAATGGTCCAGAATGGCTACCCCCCTCACTGCCCACCACTTCCATTGCCTTCTCACAACAAACTTTCTGGTGGTCTGGTCATTTGGAAAATGCCAGGCCAAACAGTGCATCTTTCGGAGGAGGAGCCTGTTCAGTGGTGGGACTGAAGTCGCTTGCTTGATTCTCTCTTTCCTATCACAGTATCCGATCTGTTTGCACACCATCTATGAACGAGGGTCACTCATCTTTCTTCTTTTTATGATATTTGTCCCAGCTGATACTTTGGACTTACCTGTGCAATCCTCCCTTTCCTTTTTAAAAAAAAAGAGAGAAAATAAAGTCCTGATAGTGCTGTCTGGATCTAACACACAGTCTAGAGACTATGAATGTTTTCAGAGTGGCTTTCTAGCACCAGTGTTGTGCTTCTTTCTCCCCTCACATTGCTAAAAAAGAAAGTGCCTGTCTTGTTTGTTTCATTTACAAGTACAAAATTGTTTGGGGCTGGGGAGAAACACCTCCCCAGCAATGAAGTCCAAATAGATACTTGAACTTGACCTATTTGTATGCTTGCTTAAATGTTTATATATGGTAAATGAACTGCTAATTACGGTATATGTACAGTGGTACCTCAGGTTACATATGCTTCAGGTTACATACGCTTCAGGTTACAGACTCCGCTAACCCAGAAATAGTACCTCAGGTTAAGAACTTTGCTTCAGGATGAGAACAGAAATTGCGCTCTGGCGGCGCGGCAGCAGCGGGGGTCCCCATTAGCTAAAGTGGTGCTTCAGGTTAAGAACAGTTTCAGGTTAAGAACAGACCTCCGGAACGAATTAAGTTCTTAACCCGAGGTACCACTGTATATCATAGAATTGTAGTGCTAGAAGCGACCCTGAGGATCATGTCGTCCAGTAATGAAGGAATATGCAGCAGTCCCTTACAGGGATCAAACCTGCGGCCTTGGTGTTATCAGCACCATGCTCCAACCAACTGAGCTAATTATTACTTTCTTAGTGTTATGTTGCTGTGATATTATATGTCGTATTTTGTACTTATGTAGTATTTTGTACTACAGCTAGACTTTGTTTTTTTGTGTAAACTGCTTTGAGCACAGATTTACTTGTGGGAAATGTGAAATATAAATACATTGACAAGGACGAATGGCCCTTCCTGTAATGCAGTTGATGGAGAACAGCCCTCTGAGCTGGATGGCATTTTACCAAGGAAGTTAACTGCTCCCTGTGAATTATTGAGGCAGTTTGGACTGTAGGAGAATCTTTGCAGGAGGCATTGCAGGATCCCAGGGCTTGGTGGAAGCTGGGTCAGATTCAGTATCAAGAACCTGTACCAGATAATCATAGGGACGTAGTCAGCCCCCTTATACCAGATCAGGCTCATTGTCTTATCTAGTTCAGTATTGTCTGCTCTGACTGGCAGGGCCTCTTCAAGCTCACAGGCAGAGGCCCTTTCCCACCATCAGGTACTGTATCACAAAATAAATAAATCTGGAGGTGCCAGGATGAAACCTTCTACATGCAAAACAAGTGGTCTTCCATTGACCTATGGTTCCCTACCCCCACTGCTTCCCAGTCCCTAGCTATACAACTGGCAGCTGTGTGTAATTATAAGATATGGAGGTTGCCACCCAATCCATCCAAGGTCAAAAGTGAAGCTGCAACAGGGTGGAGGAACAGCTAAACTCATCAAGAACAAACTTTGAAGGCAAAGCATGGGAAAAATGAGTGGGGAGGGGCTGAAGGTCAACATACAAGAAACGTTGAAAAGGATAATAGATCACAGAATCATAGAAGGGACCACAAGGTTCACCTAGTCCAACCCCCTGCAATGCAATGCAGGAACCTTTTGCTCAGCCCACGAGCCTGTGTTTAAGAGTCTCATACCCTACCAGGTGACGTAAGCAGAAAAGAAGGGTAGGACAGAATCAGGTCAAAAAAACAGGAGTCAGAATGGACTACCGTTCAGACAAAGTCTAACTTCTTACTGTGAAGTGTTTGTAGAGAATGAGGGTCACTACCAAGCACTGGCCACAGATATTTGTAGGAAAGGATAGCAGTCTAGTGGTGGCTCCATTCAGTCCTGTTGAATGGAGCTGGCTGAGAAGATAAAAGCATATGGAGCTCCCTTGCACTGAACTTGAGATACAGGATGGCCACACGGGTTTTGGGTGCAAATGATTGCAATACTGCACAAATGTGATCTCGTATCTGAGGAATGGGAAGCATGTGTCCCTCCAGATGTTATTAGACTCCCAACACCCAGAAGCCCTGGTCACTGTGGTCAGGGACATTGGGAGGTGTAGCACAACAAAATATGGAGGGTCATACATTTCCCATTGTATCCAGACTGATGCAAACCTCCATGCTACTTCTGGAGTTGCTTAGTGTTCCTGAATCTCTGCTCCTATGTAAAATTCCCCTTGCAGTCTGTGACATGACATAACTGTTTCCCAGGCCTTGACTCTGTATCCTTTCGTTGCAGATCCCAATGATGGAGGCAGGCTCTGTGGTACGGGCTGTCTTTGACTTCTGCCCCAGTGTCTCCGAAGAGTTGCCGCTGTTTGTGGGGGATGTCATAGAAGTGTTGGCAGTCATAGACGAATTCTGGCTCCTTGGGAAGAAGGAAGGAGTCACAGGTGAGAGTCAAAAGGCCTGTGCTGGGCTCATAGGAATGGTTGGATTAGAAGCAAGCCAGCATGAAGCAAAACTCAGGGTGTGTGGGGATTAAAGCTATGTAAATGCCCCCCTTCTATTTGGGAGCTTTGAATATACCAGCCAAGTACCAGAAACAGGCCTCAGATATCTCCTTGGTGGCCCCAGCAGTCTCTCCAGAAGTTGAGAGATAAACAACACAGTTAAGGAGTTGAGGGTCAATTTTGCAGTTACTAACACACTAGAATGAGAGCTCCCTGTGTGATATGCATTTGCAGTGCCATGAAGGAAATGGGCTCGATTATGAACTTGGTGAACTACACACAAATGGAAGATACTATACAAGCAGCCGCCACATGAAGTGGTCTGATGTGGCCTCTGTATGCAGTCATAAGGTCTTCAAAACCTTCAGCTGGAACCTATCATCTATGTCCAAAAGCTTGCTTTGCTCCCTTTTCTTAGTTTCCTTCAACAAGCCAGCCAGTCTAATAAAAGATGCGTGTCTCAACGTACTCAGGGTTCTCATACTGTGGGATTAGCATGACAACAGGGCCCAGAACAATATAGCAGATGGCAAAGCAATGAAACCAGCAAGCCAGTTGGTGTCCTGGTTGCAGTGCTGGGTCTTCCCTTGAGAGCCACCTTTTGATCTGTGCCTTGAAAAGGCTCATCTGGTGTCTCTGCCAGTGGAAGTGCACATCTCCCCTGAATGTGCCAGTTTTTGTCATTAGCAATTGGCCACTTGGGGAGAAGTCTCTTGCCCTCAGCCCTGGGGAAAGAAGAAGATGCAGTGCCAGTCCCTGCTCTCTCTCCCTCATCATTTCCACTTCTCTAAGCTTGTCCACATTACTGTGGCATGATCAAAGTGGCTGCTGTCTTGTCAAGTTGGCAGGATGCAGGTCACTGGAGCTTGAGAATCTCACTTCTCCTTTTGTAAATCCTTAGACTGAGCCTGAAGCAAGCTGTATAGCCGTCCAGCAACTGCCAGTGTAAATGAGACGTATCAGAGAGAGAGAATGCTTCATGGCCAGGAGAGGGTGCCATTCTCAAGCTTTCCTTTCCCTCTCCCTCAGGACTCTCGTCCTGTGTGCACCACAGGGCAAAGCTTAAAGCCGGATCTGTAATAGCAGTCCTGTCTTTACTCCTTCCATTACAAAACATGGAAGTTTTGCAAGGCCTTCTTAGCTGGAGGTAACATGTCAGCATAGAGGGATTTTCATCACTTCAACTCAAAATCCTTTCAAGTTCCAGCTACATGCTGTGGAGTAATCTGTTCAATGCATTAAAATAAAATGGATCATTTCAACTTTGTTCTCAATGCTGAAGTTTAAACTGGAGTAAAATAAGTCTTATTCATTGGAGAGAAGAGGATCCTGCAGGTCTGGGATCCTACAGCTGTCTAGGTGCTAGGATGTGGCCTTTGTATTGAATGGATTCTGACATCTGGATCGGCCTCCTGGCTTACCAAGACAGGCTCCCAACTAATAATAATAATAATAATACCAGTCCATCACCATAAGAAGTCCCAGAGTGGGTTACAGCTTAAAATTCAGTATTAAAAACAGTTAAAACAACTTACAGTCACAGGAATAGGGTGGATTCATTAAAAGAAAACACATCATGATGGATGGGTCTTTTATAAAAGATACATTTTCCAAGAAAGAACATAGCATATTAAACAAGGCCATTCAGAAAGGTTAGTTCAAATTAAATCTTACAGTTTTCTTTGGAACTCTTCATTTGGCTAGATGGAATGGGGAAATGGTTCTTCACCCCTTTTGAAGATTCCTGCAGAACTTGAAAGCTTACATGCTATTTTGTGACGTTTTGGTTGGCCTAACGAAGGGTGGTTCAGTGAGAATTACAGATCCCTGGGCTGGATCTAGACATGTCAAAGAAGCGATTCAGTTAAACACATTGTAAACTCATACTGGAAATCCAGTTGGGAAAGACTAGACTCCACAGTGCCATCTGGTGCCACGGTGTTATAGTGCATATACAGTGCATATAAAACTCTCTTTCTTTACCAATCTTGCTGAGTCCCTGGAAAGAGATGCTTGCATGTCCTAGAGAACAGTGGGATGTATTGGTGCAGAGGCACTTGTGTAATCTGTGTCCACGGGAACATTTCCCTGCTATTGACTGGGTGCGCGCTCTCTCTCTCTCTCTCTTTCTCTCTCTCTCATTCTAGGACAGTTTCCCAGCAGCTTTGTGGAACCCATGGAAGTTCCTGCTTTGAAACAAGGAGAAAAGCTGTTTGTTTGCACCAGCAATTTTACTTCCCAGGAGCCTGGCAGCCTCAGCTTGCAGAGAGGTACTGGTGGAATCCATCGGGTAGTCAAAGAGGGGCCTGTTCAGCCTTGTCCTTCTCTCCAAGAGCCCCCTTCCTAGTGTCTTCTTCCCCAGAACTCCAGCTACAATGTTCCAAGGCCTTTTACTGCTGGCAACTTCATGCTCCTCTGCACTTGCCATGCCTGGGGTTGAGCTCTGAGCACCTAGGACAGCATGAAAGTGCCCAGAATAGTGGCCATGGCCCACCGTTCCTATCCCTGCGATGCCCATTGTTGGCAAGTGCCGTCGAGATTGCTGTGAGCCCTTGTGGCTTTGGGGTTACTTATATCTCCTAGTGTTAGAACCCTGAGGGGTTCTAAGCAAGGGGGTGCTGTAGGTGACACCTTAGAAATCCCCTGACTTCATATCCTTTATCCCTGCAGGAGACCTAGTGATTCTGGATGGTTCTGCGTCTTCTCCTTGGCCCCAAGGCCGAAGCTGTTTGGGAGCCAGAGGCTTCTTCCCCTCATCATGCGTGCGAGAACTCTGCCTCTCAGCCTTCGGCCCTCGGTCGCCTTACGGCACCACCCTGGAGATGCCACCCTATGCCCTGGGCCAGGCCCGAGCGCTGATGAGCCTCTCAGCCCAGCTGGAGGAGGAGCTAGACTTCCGGGAAGGGGATATGATTACCATTGTGGGGATCCCTGAGCCTGGATGGTTTGAAGGAGAGCTTGGGGGTCGCCAAGGTATCTTCCCTGAGGGGTTCGTAGAGCTTTTGGGTCCGCTAAAAGCTAAGGTTGGTCCAGAGGAGCCTGGGACCTCAGAAATCCACAGTGTTAATGGGGTGAAAGGAACATACCCTCAGCCTGAGGAGAAGGCATGGAGTGACGGTGAGGAGTTTCTGGGGCCTTATGGGATCGCTCTCTATCAGTTCCAAGCCCTGGAGTCAGCAGAGCTGGACTTTGAGGTGGGAGACAGGATTCGGATTCTGGAAGTCCTGGAAGATGGTTGGCTGGAGGGGGAGCTTCGAGGGAGACGTGGGATCTTCCCTCACAGGTTTGTGAGGTTGGAGGAGAGCAGTCCTCCAGCTAGGGAGAAATGGGAATCCGGGTGTCTGCCAAAGGACATGGACTCTAAGGTGGTCAGCACCCCCAAAGCAGGTCCTCCTGCCATGTGGGAGGAGCCTGGACAGAGCCTGGCCTGCACTGAGGAGAAGCCTGGCCACCTTGCGGTACATGAAGACCATTTGGACTCTGAGCTCAAAGAGAATGAAATGCTCAGCCGCCCAAATGAAGGCTGCCTGGAATCTTTTCCCTCAGATAGGTCAAGCTCTCCCTCTATGGACCCTATCCAAGCCGTAAATGGAGTTTCCTTCATACCTCAGCCTGCTCTTCAGCCAAAGGGCCAACTCTGTGGTCAAGTGAGTAACGCAGAGTCCAACCAGAGCTCAAGGACCTCATGGAGCCACTCAGAGGCCTGCAAGCCCTTGGAGTGGGACAGAGAGGCTCACAGTCCTTCCCACAAGAACATGCGCTGCGAGGACTTGGCTGCTTACGTGGACATCCAGCGGCGGAAGCCCAAATCCCGCTCTTCCAGCTTCAGTGGGACACATGAGGGCCTGGACACTTGGCCTGTCTGTCGTGGTGCTCGGGCCGAGCGCTCCCAAGGGGTGCTCCATGGGGAGAGCTGTGGAGACCTCGATTCCAAACTGACAGAGCAGCTGGCTCAGTTTGAGCAGAGCCTGGCAGGCCCCATTAGCCATGGCAGCTGTGGGACCCCCCAGCACGATAGCACCTCCCGGCACTTTTCCATCCTGGATTTCAGCTCTGAGAAGGACATTGTACGTGGTTCAGTGCAGCACACTCCACCGAGGAGGAAGGTGCTGAGGCCACCGCCTCCCCGGCCTAGCACCCCAGTCTCTGCCTCACTTCATTCGCCTGCAGGCCACAGCCCCCAAACTACACCTCCCTCTCAGGCTCTGCCAACCTCTGTGAGACCGTCCAGGCCAGCGCCGCTTCCACCTCCCAGCAGCCAGAGGAGGAGCCCAGCTCCTGCCAAGCTGCAGCCAGGGAGCAAAGAGAGACAAGGCAGCAGCGACGAGCCTAGAGGTGCATCTCCGTGCCACTTCCTGCTGAACCGTATCCAGGAACTGGAGCGAGAACTGGATGTTTACAGCAAGACCCGTGCAGAGCTCAGCACAATGCTGGAGCAGCCACAGGGTGGGCTTGGGCGAGCAGAGACTTTGGAAAACCTGGAGTTTTGCGACTGCAAAATGTCCAGCCTGCACTTGGAACTGCAAGAGCTGAAAGGTAAGTACAGATCAGTTCTGTATTTATCAGTTCTGACGTGTAGAATGCTATGCAATTTGCTACCAGTAATCCAGTGTGTGAGGACATTACCACTTGGGCTTTGGGGAAGATGCACTTAAAAGAAACCCTTTCTCAAATTCTTTGAGTGAAAAAAGGATTAGGCAAATTTGCTTGCGTGTGGATAGTGTCATCGTATAGCTTAGCCGCTAGGTGGCACTGGACTTACTGGTACCTGGGTGGAGTCAGGGGCTTTCATTTTGCTGTTTTTTTCTTGTTGGAGAGAGAGGATAGATTTCTTGCCCAGCTTCCTGGCTGATGTTTCCTCTAAGCCTCCCACAACTGCATGATTATTGTCCCCCAGGTTTTCTCCCTTTGTTCTTTGTGGTCTCTGGGCAGACCTGTACTTGGGTTCTGCACCTGCACAGACATTGTTTTGAAACTTTCTGCCGCTGGACTAGCATTTTGACAGGCAGTTTGCTCCTAAACTCAGTGCATATGCTCAAGGAGGTATGGCTTCCCTCTTCTCACACAGTTCCTTTTGACCGCTGCAGAGGCAGCATAGTAAGAATGGTCTTTCTCCTTGCTTGAGCTAGACAACAAAAAAGAAAAGAAATACTTATACAGTCATACCTTGGGTTACAGCCGCTTCAGGTTGCATTTTTTTGGGTTGCGGACAGCCGAAACTTGGAAGTACCGGAACGGGTTACTGCCGGGTTTCGGCGGTCACACGTGCACAGAAGCACTAAACCGTGCTTTGCGCATGCGCAGAAGCGCCGAATTTCAACCCGCACATGCGCAGATACCCAGACGCGGGTTGTGAACGTGCATCCCGCACGGATCACGTTCGCAACTCAAGTGTCCACTGTATATATATTTTTCTTGATTGTTTTTATTTTATATTGTTCCCTCTGTCTTTCCGGTTTTTTTAATGATTCTTATTACATTTATACCTCACTTTTCCTCCAAGTAGCTCAAAGTGGCTTACGTAGTCCTCCCCCTCCATTTTATCCTTGCAACATTTCTATAAGGTAGGTTAGGCTGAGAGATTGTGACTGGCCCAGTGTCACCCAGTAAGCTTCATGGTCAAGTAGGGACTAGAACCCTGGTCTCCCAGTTCCTAGTCTGACACTCTAACCACTACAACACACTCATTCTCCAAAATACCAATTTTGTCTTTTGCTTCCCTCCGTTACTTGGCCACCCACCTCAGGGCACCTCTGCCACCTTTTCTCAGGGCCTGTAGTCCTGCAGGTATCTCCTTTCCACAGGTGTTACTCCACTTGAATGAGTAAAGTGCCTCGCTGGCAGACACAGCCTGTGTCAGCTGTTGTGAGGTGAAAGGCAAAACATGCCAGCACCATTGGCGGTTTACAAAACAGGGCCACCAAAATCAAAGAGTTTGTCTCAAGGATGCTTCTCTAGGAAGAAACGGGATGCTGAAGTGGAGTCCTGTGCATTTTCTTGTCCTCACTCTGATCCTGCTGATGGCATTGCTTTTATTCTCTTTTTGTGGGGAGGGGTCAGAGAGAACTGGAAAAACAGGATTGAGTTATATGTGAAAAAATGTGCTGAGGATATCATAGTAGTCTTGGTAAAATATGGGCAGGGATCCAAGGGGAGTGGCTGGTAATTGTGTTTCGTGACCCTTGAAATCCCTCCCCAGATATCTCCCTCCCTCCCTCCCTCCCTCCCTCCCTCCTTTTCTCTAATTAGCAAAAACTGCCAACATGGTTTCAGGTTTTTCTCTGCATTCTTTTGGAATGAAAACTATTGGTTGCTGAGGCTGCTAGGTTCCTGCACAAGCTGTTGAAGTCTGCTGGACTAGGTTTTTTTGTCCCTTGAGCTTAATATTTCTCATGAAAATTCCTAGATGCTTGCAGTATATTTCTCAAGTTACCGGGACTGAATCTGTGAAATAGTGGCTTGACTAGGGGCAAATACTTTTGACCTGAAATGTGAACCCTCTTAGAGCCTGGGGCTCTAAAATCATTGGTTTCTCCAGGCTCTCACGGATCAAACAATACAGTCTTGTGATGTATGTGTGGAATCAGAACAGCTTTAAATGTGTGCGTTTTTGTGCATTCTTGAGCGACCCAGGGTGACTGTATATATATTGATTTTATTTATATGTAAGTTGGCTGTATATTAATTGATTTTATTTATTTAAGGTATTCAGGCACCATTTAATCCTTAGCATTTCTAAGTGGTGTCCATAAAAATAAACCATACAGAAAATAAAGCAGTAAAACACAGAGCACTACCTTTAAAAACCAAGGGTGGCTTTGTTTCTCCCACAAGCAGATCAGACGTGGCCCAGGTAGGTCCAGCCTATAGTTCCCCAGTGCCTGCATATCCCCCTTTTCCTTTGCCCCAGGGAAGCACTCCTGAGGTGTGGCCACTTAAGCCACAGGCTTTCTGTTTCCGTGTGTTAAGGAGCCCTGAGAGGGAGGGAGGGAGAGAGAGGTCACTGGCTGCTGCCTTCAGCATTGGAAAGCAGAGAAGCCGGTTTGGGCAGGGAACTTGTCCAATCCACAGCTCTCATCTGTGGGACTCTGGTTATTCATTACTTGCCAGCAGGTGGGTGAGGCTGTCTGGACTTGCTGCCTATTGGGTACGAAGGTTATGCTGCTTCTCTGTTGCTGGTGTTTAGTCAGCAGAGTCCCAGGGTGAGGTGTGGGGAGAGGTGGGGGAGTGGATGTCGCCAAGAAACTGAACCCTGGGGAAGGGGGTGGGGGCACGCCAAGAGGAACATGTGCACCTACCCCGAGGCAAGGAGCCTCTGGTTCCCCAGCTGGGAGTATGAGGACTACAATTCCACCGCCAGGAAAGGAGATGGTGCCAGAGGAACTGGCCAGAACAGTGATTGTGACTGGGACAACAAGCGCAGGAGCAGAGAACTGTATGGCACCACCAGGCCAGTGGGCAGAGCCTGTGGTCACTTCAGGAAGGGGGAGATCTGGTACAGAGACCGCGAAATGGCCAGAGTCTGCAGGGACTGTGGGGAGGAAGGTGGACAATATACCGACCGGAGGAGGAGAACCAGGAACAAGCTGTACAAGGAGCACGAGGCAGTAGGCAATGGTCACCTGGAAGAAGCTGGCTACTACACAGACAGTGAGAAAGCCACCCGAGCAGCCTGCAGGAAGCCCTATAGCTGGTATCAAGATGGCTTTTACGTGGATGCTGGCATCAAAGCCTTGAGGAACGTGGATGCTTGGGGTGCAAACAACTGGAGACAAAGTGGCAGCGACAATGACTATGGGAAGGGAGATGGTTGGTGCACAGCTGACCAACGCTTGGATGCGGACTTTAAGAAGGCAGGTGACAGGTACGTGGAGCACAGCAGAACACATCGGAAATGTCAGGAGGAGGAGGAAGAGGAGGAGGAGAGGTGGTATGTGCTGCATGGAGACCTCCTTCACGATGCCCAGAATTCTGGGAGGACATTTGAGAACAGCACTGTGGATTGTAGAAACATCTCTGCTGGTCCAAAAGACCAAGTGTCCTGGCCGTTAGGATGCGAGCGCAGCAGTGTGGGGTTGGCGCCTGCCTGTGAAATGGCCAAGCCACGTAATGTGGTGGACAAGGACTCTGGCGCAGCGGAAACTGTGACTGGCCAGTCTGGAGCACCGGGACTGCAGGTGTGGAGAGGTGGATGTCCAAGGACACGCACAGGGCGGTCAGACTGGAGCCTGGACTGGGAGGGTGAAGCCTGGCAGCGGAACAGCTTGTACCGGCGCACGGCTCCCAGCGCCTTGAGGCACCACGTCAAAGAAAAGCAAGGTACGGTAGGTTGGACAGGGTGTGGTGGTGATAAGGCTACATGTGCTTGGATTTCCACACCTTTTCCGGTCAGCCAGCCCCATGTGAACAGCAGGGCTTTGGATCACAGCCTTGTATGGTATCAGGTCATTGGTCCATCTAGTGCAGTATTGTCCACACTGACCAGCAGTGGCTCTCCAGGGTTGCAGGGAGGGATCTTGCCCATCCCTACGTGGAGATGTCGAGGATTGAACCTGAGATCTTCTGCAGGTGTTCTGTCATTGAGCTACAGCCCTTCCCTACAGCAGCACTTGAAAAGAAAACACCTGTTATGTCAATCATCTGGGATATTATGAAGGTTAATTGTTGTTTTCTCAGTGTGTGCTAATTGACAGCCTTCTCCTTAGGCTCTCCTTTGTGGCTGTGCCTTGTTTTTCCCCTCTTGGGCTGGGCATTTGCCAGTTAAGTCCCTTATGCTAGGAATGTTTGTGCCGTTTTGTTAGGTTTGCAATGTGCTGTTGCCCTGCCAGGGGCTCCCTGCTATGCTCCCTGCCCAGGTGTGAGCCTGGCTTCCTAGATGCTCAGATTTCAAGCACAGGGTTCGATCCTAGGCAGCTCTTGGAAACCAGCCTTTGCATCTCTGTTATGCTGTTATGTGGTGCAAGAGTTACTGCACAGCTTGTAAGCTACTCCTACTAGGGCAAGTGCAAACATGGCTGTACAGCACTGAGAAACCAAGGGATGGATTGTGCACTTTCCTGGAATTTTGTGGAGTGACACTCGTGCGCAATTCCAGGAAAGTGCAGAATATGTCCGAGTGGGATACTCTTGCTGCAAGAGGTCTTGCTTTAGTGTCCCTTGGTTTCTCAGTGCTGTGGTGGCCATGTTTGCACTTGCCCTAGTAGGAGTGGCTTACAGGCTTTGCAGTAACTATTGCATATTTGGACTAGCCATTTCTGGAACATAGAAATCTGCCTTCTGCTGAATCAGACCATTGGTCCATCCAGCTCAGTATTCTCTACTGACCAGCTGCAGCTCTGTAAGATTTCAGGCATGGGTCTCTCCCAGCCTTAGCTGGAGATGTTGTGGATGGAGCCTGGGACTTCCTCCATGCACAAGAGATACTCTACCCCTGAACTACAGCCCTTCCCCATTTTGGTGTGGTTAGTTTGTATTCCTTATGAAAGGTGGCTGAATTGCAGTGGGACACATTTTCTGTCGGGTTCTACTCCGCATCTCAAGCTAGCAGCATCTTACAGCTTCTGTGGAAGTTGCCTCAGGTCAAGCAAGGTTGTTGTTTTTTCCTGTGTTCAAAAGCAGCAGGAACCACCCAGTTGTGTTCTTCAGCAATTATGCTGAAATGTGGGGTGTATATGGAGTGTTGCAAATGAATGTTGTTGCTATTATAGCACCATCAGTGTGCATAGTGCTTAACTTTAGCAAAAGGGAGGCTCTTTCCCTCTGGGTTTGCACATCCCTCGCCCTCCCCAGCAGACTCCTTTTGGCCTTTAGAGTAGCAAGACAAAACTTGGCACAGTGGAAAACTGGTGGGGCAGGCTTGCTGACTGCTGCTGCTGCTGCTAGTGGGAGCCTCTGCTGCTCAGTGTTCCTGCAGCCTTGTCATCAGCTGGACCCTGGGCTAGAAAAGGGAAAGCAGAATTAGTTGTCATCAGGCAATTGATAATCTGTACTAATAAACAAGAAATCTGAGCTAAGATACCCCAAATTCAGCTGAAATCCCAGATTTAAAAAACTGAATTTTGCATGCAACTGTGTACATATAAAGCAACTTTGCTTATTGGAGCTCATTTATAATGCCTCTGCTAGTCACTGGGGAGTGCTAAATAGCTACAGATAAAAAGTTTAGATTTACCTGGACCTTCAACCTTGCCTTTGCAGGACTTTAAATGTCTGTGGCCTCTTTCAGTGGGTGGGATGTGTTTGTTAGTACTATTTTGTAAAAAGCTTTGAGACAACAACAACAACAACAACAACAACAACAACAACAACAACAACAACAACTTAATATGAAGGACATAGAAGTCCCAGTCACTGACTACTTAAAGTTTTACTTGATGCTCCTTCCCTCTGTTCAGGCACAGGAAAATTTATTTTTAGCAGCCTTAATGTCTAGAAAATGCCTTTCCAAAAAACCTAACTTTAAAGGATGATGGAAGTAATCAGGGTGTTAAATTTGGTGGCCAAACCAAATTCTGTACTTTGCAGAATAAGCACAGACCTTGCTATCCTGGAGAATCTCTAGGGAGTAAAGCCGGTGGCTGTAGCAGGGAAGAGGGGGCTGCAGATGGAGTCGGGTGGCTGGTGCTGAGCTCAGCAGATAAGGAACCCACAGTAAACAGCGTGGAGATTCTGTGTATGGTTGGTGGATGCAATAATATGTGGGATTTGTTTGATATGCTGCAGACGCTGTAGAGTAGACCTGTCATATGCACCTTTGGTCCAGGCAGGGCTGGGTACCACTTAATGAACTTTGACTCCTGACATTCTTCAAGGGTGAACAAAAGGTCAGAAAACAGACACACTTACAAGAGAGTCCGCAATACACTAATTAGAGCTGTGCAAATAAGGATGCCGGAAAACTTAAGTCCCTAAGCCAAGCTTAAGGAACTTCTGCCCCTCCAGATGTTGCTGAACTACAACCCCCATCAGGTCCAGCTAGCATGGCCAATGATCAGGGATGATCAGAACGGCAGTTTAGTGACATCTGGAGGATCAAAGGTTTCCCACACTTGTCAAATATCTCTTTTCCCCCTATCCATTCAACCCTCCCACTGAACAAATACGTAGAAAACAAGACTGCTGAATGTCTGATGGCCGGGCTTGATTAATGCTGTATGTAAACACGTGGGTTGGATACACTTTGGGGAGCCATGGCTGACTACAGCTTCCTGGTACAGTGGTACCTGAGGTTAAGTTCTTAACCTGAAACTGTTCTTAACCTGAAGCACCACTTTAGCTAATGGGGCCTCCTGCTGCTGCCGCACCGCCGGAGCATGATTTCTGTTCTCATCCTGAAGCAAAGTTCTTAACCTGAAGCACTATTTCTGGGTTAGCGGAGTCTGTAACCTGAAGCGTATGTAACCTGAAGCGTATGTAACCCGAGGTACCACTGTACGTATTTAGCTTCCAAATGTTATGTGTGCTCACTGAGAGAAACACAGTGGATAAGTGACATAAGTGGCTATTTACATGGCGAGTCTGTCTGTCTTGCTGATTAAGTTACATTTGTATAATGCACCTTTCCCTGCTGATCTGAGCAATTGAGGAGAGCTGGTCATGTTACAAAGACCTAATCAGGCTGCAGGGATCATAGTTTAGGTGCCATAGATGATGGTGCTTGGTTGTGAGAACCCCAAGAGTACACTCAAATGCACATCATTTGGACAGTGTGAAGCCTACTCAACACATTTTGTTCAGTCTTGTACAATCTTCTCTCCAGGATTAAGCTCAGTTGCTGCAAGAGCTGGGTGGGCATTTTGCTAATTAGCTGGAACTTATGACCTCACAAGCCCACCTTCCCGTAATTCCCTTCCTGGAGCAGCTTTTCAGCTTTTAAAAAATGGGGAGGGTGGGGAGAGTTAGGAGGGAAATGTAGTTTTAATTGCATAAATATACATGAGATGCTTTAGCAAAAATAAAGGCAAATAGCCTCACTGGAAACACAGGAGGAAGAGATGGAAGTAAGGAGGTCTCAGGGTGTCATTTCTTCTGCATTTTGAAACAAACAAATTCTGCCATAGGCAGATAATACAATTCTTCTGTTTTATTGCATTTCTCCAAATTCAATGATGCAGTCCTCTGATTCTGGATAAAATACATAGTGAAGCATGCATTTTAAGGTGGAATGTGTAGTAAAATACCTATTTTATGAGGGAAATACATTCAGAAATAATGCACATTTTTGTGTGTAAAAAATAATAATAATCACAGATTGACATGGAAATAAATTGTGAATAAATATGTGCTACAGACACAGACAAGAAATAGATGCATTCCTCACTTGGTACCATGCCAATGGCTGAATCAGTGTTTGAGTTACTGATATGTCTGCCTATCAATTGCTTTATGAATGCAGGAAGATCGCCAGCCTGGCTCAGTGGGAGAAAAATCCATGCTAAGTCTGTTTTTTATTTGTTTGTTTCTTAAAAGTTTGTGTATGCCTTTAAAAAAGCCAGGAGGAAAGGGCTTGCGTCCTGTCTTGCTTAGAAAGAAATTCTTCAAAAGGGAATTGGTGGTCTTGCCTGTCAGCAGCCCATCTTCTCCATCTCTGTCTCTGCTTTGACGATCAGTTATATTCAGAAAGTAGTCAGAAAACTAGCTTCAGGCTGCATGATGACCTCAGCCCTGGCTTCAGGCTACAAAAAGGCAGAGGCCAGCCTCGTTGCCAAGATTTGCCATGTCATGCATTTTTTTGAGGGCTCACATACATATGCTGCATGCTTGAGGTATCAGAACCATGGTAGGATGCACAGAGTGCAAGGGCTGCACTAGCGGAACTGAACTTTCCCCATCTCTCATCTCCCCTGCAGCGCACCCCGCCCCCAACTCAGCTCTGGAAGGTTGAGGGGCACTGGAGAAGATTTGGGGGGCACATTGGGCGAGGAGAGGAAATGTAGCTGCTGCTGCTGCTGCACCAGTGCTGGCTCTGCTCTATATACAGCCCTCTATGCTTCATGCTAGGCATATCCCATTGTGAGGAGCACTGCATATCTAGCTAGCCTTCCCTTTGGCTTTTCCCTGCCATGCCACCGATTTTCTTTAAGCAAGCAGCTTGGTATCTGCAACCTGAAGTACAGTTCTCGCCCTTCCGATGTTTGCAAAGTGTTTAGGCACTTCTTAGTCATCCATTGCTGGAGGAAAAATGCAGAAATGGTGATTGGTTCTCCCCGTGAGCAAATGGGTGCAGCCCTTATCGGTCCTTGCTAGACTAGCTAGTGGAAGTTGGCGGTTTTAATCTTTTCTCAACTAAAGTTTAATCCTTCCTTAGCTGTCTGTCCATCTGGCTCCGCATTGTTTATATTTTTCTGTAACACTTCACTAGTCCAGCCTGGCTACAAAAGGCCCAAAGAGGTTAATGAATATAATGCTTAAGTATAATGCTAAGTTCTCTCACTTCCTGAAACAAATCAGAAATCCAGAGGCAAGGTTACAGGGTTTAGTTTTCTTTGGAGGCTTATGCTGTCTGTGATCTCTTTATATACTAATATACAAGCTCAGGTTTTGTAAACAGAGAAGCAGGCTCCTCAAAACAGGCTGCCCAACTACTAATCCCGCATCAGGCTCTAAGAACAAATGTGTGGACCCCTGCAGCTTTCACAGTAGTTTCCATCCAGCTGAACTCCAGCTTTAACTGACTTTGTCTTTCCCATATTCAGACATTGCTTCTTCCACTCTCAGAAGGGTCTCCCCTTCCAAAGTCTGAGGAGAGAGCGTTCCAGTCGACAAGGAACATTCTTTTGTTGAAAGTCCCGGACTATCCATTAGGTTCAGGGGTAGTGAACCTGTGACCCTCCAAATGTTGTTCAACAACAACTATTATTCCTACCTATTGGGTCTGATGAGAGTCTAATAACATCTGGAGGTCCACATGTTCCCTAGCCCTGTTTTAGCTGTCTGGTGATAGACCTGCTCACAGTAATCAAGGCAACCAAACTCATAAACATAATGGTGCAGGAAGTGCTCAGGGCTTTGGTTAGTGCTCAGTGTTTAGATTAATGTCAGTCGAAGCCAGCTGAGAATGTGGACATAGCCTATGAATAAGTTGGGGTGATTCACCCAGATGTTGAAAAACATAGGGGACAATATCAAACCTTGTTGTCATGATACACCATGAAGCATATCAGCAATCTACCAGTTATGCCACCTGGAACTTTTTCCTTGTTTTTTTAATGATTCAACTCTCCATGACATGAATAACTCAGTGAGTTTCAGAGTTGCCGTAAGGTGATTGTGTTGTGTCATTTAGCTCCATGAGTTTTTGGATGAAACTGGTTATCTAGAGCAAGCGTGGGCAACCTGTGACCCCCAGCTTAATTTCATGTAAGTGGCAAGAAGAGTGGGTAATGGGGGAAAGGAGTGGCAGAGAGAGAGAACGAACAGGTGCCCCACCCACCTTTGGTTGTGCCCCTACACACTACCAGTTAAAGCCCCTGACAGATGTCACCTGAGGGAATGCAGCCTATTGACAGGGAAGAGGCTTCCCATCTCTGATGGCTTCTAGATACTGTCCAGTTGACCCATGCAGGGCCTTTTGGTGGTCATTCCCCTTTTGTGGAACCCCCTCCCTAATGCATTTCAAACATTGCAAAACAGTTAAAAACACCCAAAACATTTTGAATATCTGAAAACATTTAAAACCAATAAAATGCAGTTACTGATTTCAAGGTTACTAATGTTTGCCACTCAGAGCTCCTTGGGGAGGAAGGGCAAGATACAAATGTAATAAATAACTAAGTCCACGTTTGGTCCTGAAATCTCCTTGGTCATTTTGGTGGATCTTCTAGGCTTAGAAATAGACAGGGAGAATATAAGACTGTTGATTCCTCTCCATCTCTCAGCTGCTTTCAGAGACCACTTACATTGGACTTTGGGGTTGTTTTTAATTATCTGGCTCATGGGCTGTCTGACAAGATTGGGAACTGGAGGCATACTTTGCTGTGGTTCTGTTTCTACTTATCAGGCAGGTCCCAGATGATAGTGTTGAGTGACTGCTGCTCTGCCCAGCCTTTGTGTCCCTCTTGGCTTTGAACATCTACATGAAGCTGCTGGGAGGAGGAGTCAGGAGATTTGGAGTGAACCTGAGGCCTTCCAGGTGTGGCTGAACTTCCCATAATCCCCAGTGGTTCGCCATGCTGACTGAGGCTGGGTGTTTGAGGCCAGTGACATCAGGAGGTGAACTTCCTTCCTGAATGTGGATGGTGAGGACTCTCTGACTGGTGCAGGGAAGAAGAGGGAGTGGGTGACAGAACAGAATATTCTGGAAAAGGGTGTGCCTGGCTGTTTGGAACCCTGGAGCATTTTGGAGTGCCTTCTTTCATTCCAGGTCCCACATGTGTTCTCATGAATTTATTACCCCAGTATCTGAGGCAGGAGGCTCTTGAGTCACAGACCAGGGTGCCAGCTTCAGCTATTTATCAATTGTCTAGTTCTTCTACACGCCTCCCACTGTAATCTCCTGAGGCTGTTTTTGTTTTTTGCTTTCTCTTCTATTTTGCTCCACTGCTGCAAGGCAACAAAGCAGCGAAGTCTGAAACAGAAACTTGCTTTCATTTGGAAATGGCGGCATCTTGTGTGTCACACCAATGGAATGTCCTCTGTCCTCTGGGTCATGGTTTCCATGTGCTGGCCAGATGCCCTGGGAATTACTTTCTGCAGAGGCAGCAGCGGTTACTGTGCTGGGCTGCCACGTTGTTTCTGGGTACTTACGCACCACACAGCCTCGTTGCGCATTCCAGCAGCGGCCACACCTTCTTGGCCTGGATTTCGCAAACAATGCACCTGCTATTGGATGCTTGAAAAAAGGAGGGAGGTGAGTGAGAAGAGGGTGGGCAGGGCAGTCAGTCAGTGGCTGAGGCAGCAACAACAGGGGGCTGCTCCTGCTTGGGCCTCTGAGGAGCCCTGTTTGTGCTCCCCACCCCCAAAGGCAACATGTTCTTGTCTGGGCCAGGAGACTCCATCAGCTTTTTGTTTAGCCAGTGAAATGTTTCCTAGGTTCTTCCAGTAAAAGGGATCTGCTTTGTTTTCTGCTGCCTTGTTTTCTGGCAAGATACCTGTGCCATCAAGGAAATATATTGTGCAATGATGAGCAAAACTGCATCTGTTTATTAAGCATGCATCCTGATTTGCAAGGAGACTAGACGATGTTGGCTCTCCATTCTGATTTGTTCACAGGGAGGTTAGATGATGTTGTATCAAGCAACATCCACGCTTGTCCACGCTTTCCAGCTCATGTTTCTGTCACTTTGCTTATCGCAAGTCTGCTCTTCGGGGGAAGGGGTTTTGTTGCACAGTATGTGATTGAATCCTGTCCAAAAATAGTGATAGCTCAGAAGCACCCTGTCATACAGCCATCAAAGGCACCAGAGTCAGCCAGATGAAAGGCAACTTGGAGGTGTGCTCTCCCTCTGGAAAATGTGAAATATCTTGGGGCTTGAAACCCTGCAGTTCTATGTGTGGCATTGACACACATGCACCCAGGTTATTGCTAGGCACGTATAGTATAAGGCATTGGCCCGTAACACAAATTTGTACAAATTTATATGTACCATGAAATTAAGGAAGTGAGTGGCTGGAATCTCACCATTACTGTCCTCTGCTACACACCCCAGCTACTCTATAAGTAAGTTTTTAAGAGTGGGGAGGACAGGAGAGATGCAGCCTGCTGCAAAATACCTGGGGTTTGGGCTCCCTGAGCCAGCCACTAACCTTGGACAGCTCAGTTGGTTAGAGTGTTGTGCTGATAATGCCAAGATTGCAGGTTCAATCCCCATATGGAACAGCTGCATATTGCTGCATTGCAGGCAGTTGGACTAGAATGGTCCTCAATAGCAGGTACATTGTTTGTGAAATCCAGGCCAAGAAGGTGTGGCCCCTGCTGGAATGCGCAACAAGGACCATTCTCTACAATTCTATGATTCTATGTCAATGTCCCTGGGCCCTTTTGAGGAGAGGATTGTGGCTCTTCCTCCACAGCTACTGAAAATCTATCTGAGGACCTTGTGGTGCACAGAGTTATTTTGCCTATCTGTGCCACTTCTCCTACGAGCGCCCAGATGTAGAGAACATTTTAGCTATTGCTGGAGAGCCAGCACTGATCTTATCATGCAGATAGTAACTGTACCAGAGAAGCATGATGGAGGGCTGCAACTCTGGATGGAATTTAGTGCCTCTCAGGCGAAGAGCCCAGATATCACAAGGCCCCTGGGACTACAGAACCAAAGAGCAGCCCGCTCTGGTCCCATCTATCAGCCCAAGGGCTGCTGGGTTGTGTGAGCTTGGGAGCGCATGTGTATTATTGCAACCTGTTGTAAGCAACCTTGTGAACTGTTTGATTGAAAGGCAGGGTGCAAATCTTCAGACTTAGTATCTTGCCCCCTTATTTTGAAGCTATGGAAACAGGCCCAGGAGTGGTGGGAGATGCAAGGTTTGGTGTAGGTAAGCGAGTTGCTGAGCAAGTGAGGAGCAGTCCATGGATGAACAATGCGCTTGTGTAAAGCACACTGTAGCACTGTGATGCCTCAGTGCCTTGCGAATTCTGCCCTTTTGGGATGGCCTTCTTCCAGCCCTTTGTCATACTATTGTGGAATGACGCATTAGCATTTTGGGCTGCCTCACTATGCACAGCAGGCTTGTGGTTGAAAGGGCATGCATGTGTGTTCCTCTGCCAAGAACAGTGTTTGTCACACAGGCAGTGGGAGTGGGACTTACAATGCATGCTGATCAGCTTCCAGCCCAGGGAGAACAACAGCCCAGCCAGAAGCAGAGACTCAGAGATGGGCTCAGCTCATCAAAATTCAGCTCACGCTAACAGAATCGTGAGATCTGGCACCCAGATCGGGGTGGGGGACGTCAACCCTGTTCATTGTGCCAGCTGATTATGTGCCCATTGGGGCTGGCTTTATTTGTTTACCTCCTGTAAACTGTTGAGAATAAATGCATGTTGTTGTTTTTTAAGACCAGTTTAAACGCAGAGGCAATGGAACATCTTTATCTCATATGAACAAGCAAAAGTACACAATCTCTTTGAATTCGGGGAGGGAGATAGATCGCTGTTGAGAAGTGCCTGTTCTGCAGGTGGTGGGGCTCAAAATATATACATGGAACGAGTTAATTGGAGGGAAGAGGGAAAGCTTGTTCTGCTTGATAAAGTTTTCTTCAGCAGCCACAGAGGGAAATGCATGCCTTCCGTTGGCATCCCTGCTTACTACTGTATTGTGAATTGCTTGTTTGCCTAACCAAACATTGCACAAGTGCCTCTCTCTCTGCGCGGTGGTTGGAGCTGATGGGTCACAAAGGAATGCTGCGGGAAGAGGAAGAGTCTGCTGGATGTTTTCCCTTTAAAAAAGAGCAAATGCCTGGGAAATGCCAGGCCTGGGGGTTGCTGGGCCCCAGGAATCAGCCTGTGAACCTGAGCCAGGGGGCTGGCCGGAGTCAAGACAACAGCAGGTGAGATAGAAAACCAGGAGCCGGCTCTGCCCTGCCCAAACTTCCATGAGCTGCGCCAGACTGGATGGGCACCTGTTTTTGTCGCCTCTTCCCAGTTCCGATTCGATTCGCCCTGGGAAGAGGGTTGCTATTGTCGCCTCCCGGGCAGGCAGCCACGCCCTCGTTGTGCCCCAGATTTGGCCGTGATTGCATGGAAGGGCAAAGACGGCAGTGGGTCACGAAGACGCAGGTATGGGCGGCGCTGTTTTCCTCCTGCTGCTGCTGCCGCCAATTTCCCGGCCGCCTCCTCCTTTTTTAGCTTTGCCTTGCGGTCCCAGGGGTGCTGAGCTGTGCAAGGACCTGCCTGGCACCTGGTCCCTTTTCTCCCGCGTCCTCCCCTTTCCCTCGGCGCAACAGCTCAGCTGCCTAGCAGGCTGGCCTTCTGCTCGCTCTGACCGCAGCAGACTTTGCGCCAAGAACCAGCCGGGGGGACTTTAGGAGCGCAATCCGGAGCGGGGTAGCCAGACTGGGGAGGCGCCTTTGCAAAAAAGGAGGGAGGCTCCTCCTCCACTCCGGATTCCCAGCGCCGGGCTTTGGCTCTGCTCGACCCCGGGTGGCCGCTCCTACCCTTAAGACCATTGAGATGCTAATACCCGAAGTGCCGGGGGCCGTGGGCTGGGCTGGCCGGGGTCAGCTTCGTCCGCCTACCCTGCCGGTTGCGTACGTGATGGGCCCCCATCTGGAGCAGCAGCAGCAGGTGGGGCCGCGGATGACTTCTGAGCTCGGCTTGGTGAGAAATTTGGGGAGGGAGTGGCGGGCAGGGGTCGGAGATGGGTTATGGTTGGGGGTCCCCCTCTCGACCCCTCCCCAGCTGCTGCTCTTATCCTGCGCGGTGCTGGATCGGAACCGATCCTCTTTCTCCCGCACCTGCTTGGACGGCTCTTACCCTGAGCCACGCCCCCTCTTCTCACCTCTCTCCTGCCGCCGCGGGGAGAGAAGTCGCAGCCTTCGCCCCACGGACGCGGCGTGGAATGCTGCCCCTCGAGTTCGCCGCGAGTCCGCAGCCGGCGGCAAGAGCTTGAGCTCTTGCACGGTTTTCACTCTGCATAACTCCCCCCTGTTGTTTCCTGATCCTCGTCTATCGCCTTCCCGAGCGCTTTGTGTCCCTGCCAAAGTGGGCTCTAGCTGTCGAAAGTTCACCCGGCAGTGCTTTTGTGTACAGAACTCCCGTTGTTGTTGTTCTACTGCTACTACGAACTTCATTGCTATTGTGGAATGAAAGGTTTGCTCCAATTCCTCCTTAACTTGCGCTTTTCCTAACCCTTCCCCATCGCGTGGTTCTAAGAGTGGCTAGTAGCTCCCCCTCCCCTTCCAGTGGACGTGGGTGCCTTTGTTTAAAAATCTGGGAAGGCACGCCAAGTGATTTGGGGGCTGGGGATGTCTTCTGGCTTAGCAGATGGTTGCAAAAAAAAGGATAGGATCTCCCGTTGCCCATTCTCTCAAGTCACCTAGACAACAGTGGTGTGTTGAGTCTTGCAGTAGTAAACACAATTTTAGTTTTACTGGATCAAACCGATGACCCTGCCAGCTCCATTTCCTGTCCCCCAGCAGGGCAAATAATGAGCCAGTTGCTTCAGGGAGCTTTGTATGCCTTCTTCTTGTGCTATTACAGTAGGATGCTGTGCTTGTCTGTTCAGAGGTAAGCCCCCTGGAGTTCCCTGGGACTTACAGGTGAGTGTGTATAGAATGGCAGCCTTAAAGTACCTGATTCCAGTCCATGGGCATGTGAAAGAATCAGGAACATTCTTTCCCCTAATAAATCATGACCCCTATAGCAGGGGTCAGCAACCTTTTTCAGCCATGGGCCAGTCCACCATCCCTCAGACCTTGTGGGGGGTCGGGCTATATTTGGGGGGGTGAATGAATTGCTATGCCCCACAAATAACCCAGAGATGCATTTGAAATAAAAGGACACGTTCTACTCATGTAAAAACACACTGATTCCATCAGGCCGGATTGAGAAGGCAGTTGGGCCACATCCGGCCCCTGGGCCTTAGTTTGCCTACCCCTGCCCTATAGCTTAAAGTGACAGGTGAACAACTCTGCCTGTGAATATGTGGTGAGCATTTGCTCTAATTATTATAGCTCTCAATGTTTTGAATTTTTTGTTAGCTTGCTTGGATCCTTTAAAAATTCAGTTTTGTCTGTTGCTACTGTTGGTGATTGTGCCTTCTGGTGGCAGACAGTTCCATAGGTCAGCTGCGTCTGAGAGATACCATGTACTAATTTAATTTATAACTGGTGTATTGTATCATTCTAGAGTGATATGAAGAAATGAATAAGCTCCTTGGTGTATTTTCTTTTTCCAGTCTTCCTATGCCAATGCAGTGCTTAAGTGGAAAGGCTTAAAATGAACTTTGTATTCTTCAGAATGAAACCTTATTCTCTTACAGTGCAATCCTATACATGTGTACTCAAAAGTAAGTCCTACTGAGTTCATTGAGGCATATATATTGCAAGCTAAGTGGGTATAAGATTGCAGCCTTAATCCTCCTTTTTGAGCCTGAGGGTTCAAACTTATGTGTGCTTCTTTGAGAGCAATGCCTGTTGAACTTTGTGTACCTCGCCTCTGAATCAAAGGATTGGGTTGTGAGGAGTTCTGATCTTTTTCTCACACCTTTTTTTGTATGACATACATTGCAAACTCCTGCCTATTGTTCTTATAATAGTTTGTTTACAACTGGTGTAGCATGGGGTGACTGAAATGTTGTATGAGGGCGGAGCATGTATTGCTTTTTAAAACCTTTTTCAAATTACCTCAAATGTTGGGAACAAAATAAGCTCTCTCTCACACACGTATATATGTATGTGTGTTAATAGGTACTGTATTTTCCGCTCTATAAGACGCATTTTTCCCTCCTAAAAAGTAAGGGGAAATGCATGTGCATCTTATGGAGCGAATGCAGGCTGCGCAGCAATCCCAGAAGCCAGAATAGTGAGAGGGATCGCTGCACAGCACTCCCTCTTGCTGTTCTAGCTTCTGGCTTAGCCCCTCAGTCCCTTCCCCCACATCCCGGAAAAGCCCCCAAGAGCCGCGCTCCTTTTAAAGAGCTGCGCGGAGCATGTGTGCGGTTCTTGGGGGCTTTTCTCCGAGGAGGGAGAAGGGCAGCCCGTCAGTGAAAGGGAGTACTGAGCAGAGCCTGGAATGCATACAGGCTCTGCTCAGCGCTCCCTTTAAATAATTTTTTTCCCCTTGCATTCCCCCTCTAAAAACTAGGTGCGTCTTATGGAGCGAAGACGCAGCGAAAAATACGGTATACACATACAGACACAGACACACACCATGTCAGTCCATTGGCCCATCAATCTGGCAACAGCTTTGTCGGGCTTCAGATGGGATCTCTCTCACCCTACTTGGAAATGCTACAGATTGAACCTGGACCTATTGCATGTGAAGTCTGTGGTTTGCCACTGAACCACAACCCCTCCCTCAGATGTTTTACTTGCCTTGTGGTGGCTGCAGTGCATTGGATTGGAAAAAAAAAATCTTAGCTGAGCAGCCCACAATTGTTGCACAATTTTCTTAAGTAATACAATTAACCCAGTCAGAAATATGTAGGGTATAAAAGCATGCATTAAAAAATGTGTTGGTTAGGCAGCCTCTCTTCTGACTGGCTCCGTCATGACATGCCTCTATTGGAGGACTTGTACCTTCCACAGATATCGTGTCCCTGACTTGTGGGATGTGTGGCCATGCAGCTGTGGTCATTCAACTTGATAACCTCTTTGTCTAACCTAGAGTGTAGCCAATGTGGTATAGTGGTTAGAGTGTTGGACCAGGACCTTGGGAGACTGGGTGACTTTGGGCTAGTCGCTGCCTCTCAGTCTAACCTACATCACAGGCTTGTTGTGTTACTAAATGAGGAGGGAGAGGACCACCTATGCCACCTTGAGCTCCTTGGAGAAAGAGGTGGGATATAATTGCAATAAATCCGTAACTAGCACAAAGGCAAGGGGGCAAGTTATTTCCCTTTCCCCTCTCAATTACGTGCCACAGCCAGTTAGTCATCACTGACGGAAAACCCTGTCCTCAGAAGGTGGGAGACTTGCCGGAAACGTGGGTTTTATTGCTCGTGTGTTTCTGGCACTTTCCTCCTACCCTGAAGCCAGCAGTGAGGAGGCTGTCCAGAACTAAAAGCCTCTTTCATCCACTAGGAAGCCGGCTGATAGTCATCTGTAGGCTGGATTTGGCCCATGGACTTCCAGCTTGCCGCTGCTGCTTTATAAGGAGCTGTTGGCTCGGATGCTCTGTCCTGATCCCATTTGCTTCTCTTTCAGAAATGACTCTGCTCTCCTCCCAGCCGGCATCACTGGAGTCTGCGGCCACTGCAGCCACCACTCCTAACCCAGAGCAAAGGATGTTGGAGAAGAGGGCAAAGGTCATTGAAGAGCTGCTGCAGACAGAGCAGGATTACATCCGGGACCTTGAGATGTCTGTGCAGATGGTCCTGGTGCCGCTGCAGGAGGCACAGGTGGGAGTGGCCAGTTTGTGGCAGCCAATGGTGGGCTTTCAGTTGACTTTTCTTTTTGGCCAGGGATGGCGTGTGACTTAGCAATATTTGGAGCCATTGGATATGGAAGGTTGGGCTTAACCAGAGATATCTGCCTTTAATTCTAACCATACTGTTTCTCAGCCTAACCTACCTCGAAGGGTTGTTGTGAGGAGGAAAGGGGGTGCTATATGCACCCTGGACTCCTTGGAGGATAAAAATGAGATAACAGAATATTGTGTGAAATGGTGGTGCTGATGAGTGATATTCCCTGGAAGGTGTGGTGGGTGCACAGAACAACTGTTTAGGTCTGGGATAGAGAATCTATGACCTTACTGAATTGTATTAATCATTTTGATGAATGGTGTTGTTTTATATTTTCTGATATTTTGAATTACTATAACTTCAGTGATTTGTTTTAACCATGTTGATAAATTTGTTGCTGTTTGCTTTATTTTATGTTACTTTGTTTAATAGTACAGTGATTGTAAGGTTTATTGTTTTTTTATTTATTGTTTTGCTATTGTGATTCTTGTGAGCCACTCTGAGCTCAGCATTTGTTTTTGCAAAAAGCGGAATAGAAATATTAAATCAAAATCAAACCTGTGGCTCTTCAGATGCTTCTGCCATCCCTGACCATTAGCCCTGCTGGCTGGAACTGATGGGAGTTGGACTCTGGAGAGCCACAGGTTCCCCATTTAGGTGACGCTTAGGAGCTGGAAGGGCCTCTTTCAAGCCTGCGGGTGCTCATGCTGGCAGTGCTGATGTCAGTTTGTGTATATACTGGGATGTCACTGAGCATCAAGACCTGGAGAACTCTGGTGTTCTCCCACAATGTTTTGTATCTTCAGAGAGAAGGAAAACTGCCAAGGACTAGCTCATTCGTGTGAGCAGGGTGTGTCCTTGGGAGCAGCCTATCTGTAAATAAGAGTCCTCTGTGAAAACAATTTCCTTTTGCTTCAACACACTCCCTTGCTTCCTAGGTGCCACAGGTAGACTGTGAGGGGCTGTTTGGGAACATCCACGGTGTCATTGCCTTCTCTAAGCAGTTGCTGAGCACCCTGAAAGCTGCAGATGCTGTTGGTAGGTGCTTCAACCAAAACTTTGGGGCATCTCTGACCCTAGGAATAAGAGTGGAGCAAAGGATGCTGGTTAAAGTGGTCATAGACAAAGGCAACAGTTCAAGTGGTCTATTCCAACAAATCCAATGCCTGGGCCTGACTTCCCTTTGTTTCCTTAATCTATAACCAGGCCTCTTCTTTTGAGGTCTCCTAGCTTCAGTAGAGCTGGGATAGAGTCACTGTTCCTTTGCCAGTCTACAGCCTGATCTGTATGGAGTCTGGCATATCAAAGTCCATTAAAATCAGAGGTTAAGCATGCCTCACTCTGCACAGTACAGCCCAAGGCAGGCGTTGCACTTTTTCTCTGCTTGCAAACAAGAGTAAATCCAGATGGCTTGAACAAGTGAATCAAGCTATAGGAAAGGCTTTTTAATGGGTCACCAGTCAATAGGACATGAGGTGAGAATCATTCCTTCCTGCTTTGGGGGCTCTAAATATGGCAGTTGCTTAGCCTTCAGCCTGTTCTTGGTTTCTCATTTCATGGTGTCCAGGATGGAAGAGGAGAAAGCAATTTGCTGGTGGGTGTAAGCAAAACCCACCCTCATACTCATGAGCCACATACATTTGTTTATTTTTATTGATGACCCAATAACACAGTTCTCTGAGCAGCTCGCAAAGATAAAATGATGTAATACCATATTAAAGATCACGGCGCAACTGCAGTGTAAACATTTCCAGCAGAAAGCAACATAAAACCCAAATATGCAGTAAGTGAGATAAAAAGTCCGATTTTAAAATCTCTTTTTTAAAAAACCTGGGAGAATAAGATCTTCATCTGGTGTTGAATAAATTGTAAAGAAGGTGCTACTCACCTCACTTTACCTGCCTGGGCCACGTGAAACAGGGCCACTAAGGTTTGGGCAGATAGATATCAGAGGAGGCAGATCTTTGGGGTATCCTGATCCCAAGCCCTTGAGGGCCTTATACATAAGAGTATCTCTCAATATCAGTATAGCCATGGGTATGTAAAAAGGCAGAGAGATGTGCTGTTGAGTGCCCATGTGTAAGTGTTGGGTGACACGCTGTCTGCTCCCCCACCCTTCTGGATTGGCTGCAGTGTGGGAAGGGAATATTGTTACTGGCTGGCCATTAAGAGCCATTTCCATCAGGAAGAGAGCTGCTGAGTGACATGTGCCTTTTCTCCCCCGAAGGGCCAACATTCCTGGCATTTCGGGCTGAGCTGGAGGATGTGTACAAAGTCTACTGCCAGAACCACGACGAGGCCATTGCCCTTCTGGAGGCCTATGAGAAGGATGAGCGGGTCCAGAAGCATCTGCTGGAGTCCCTGGAGAGCCTCAGGTGAGAGGGCAGCTGCCCAGGCTCTTTTCTCACAATCCCACCCAACTGCTGTACTCTTGACACAGAGGGATAATTTGGCCCTGATCCCCTCTCCTTCCCGGTTAGAGCAGAAGAACCTGCTTGTTTGTCACTGGACTCCACTGGTTTGTGCTGGGAACAGAATTTCAGATGCTGCCCAACCACTGAACATTTCCTCCAGACATGACCCTCAACCAAAATAGCGCAGAAGTCTGGAAGCTGTGGCCCTCCAGATGATATTGGTCTCCCAATTCCCAGCATGGTTCATGGTCAGGGATGTAGTCCAGCAACATCCTCAGCTTCCCATTCCCTCCAGGCTAGGAGTTTCCTAGCTTGAGTGCATCTAAGGCTGTTGCTTAGAAGGTGGAGATGGCAGCAACCGTTCTAATGCTTTTTCTTATTTTATTTTTTTCCTGTCAGGAGTCTGTACACTGAATGGTAAGTGACCTTTTTATACCATCAGTCTGTTTCTTGCTGTTCCCCAGTTACGTTCTGTGCCTGATTTCTCTTTGCTGTCCATACCTACCCACAAAAAATGTACAGTATGAGTAAGGGTTTGGGTCAATCATTCAAATCTTTATTACGGTCATACACCAGAATACAAGGGTTTCAGTATTTGTGCATCTCTGCCTGAGGCAGGAGCAAGGAACATGTCTGGGAATGGGGTTCTTACAGGAGTGGGAAGAGAGGGCTGTAAGAGATTATAAGGGGTTCAGACTGCTGTGACCATCTTGGCCTGCTCAGGATGGGGAAGGAACTGAGTGAGATGTGGGGCAGGAATGCTACTGGGCTGGCTGGCTTTTAGGGAACAACTAGTCAACCATCCAGGTATTGTGAGTTCAGCTAGAAGAGGATGAAGAAGTGAGTGAGTTTGGGACGAATGAGATGAGCTGGTTTTATGTTGTCTGATGATATATAGTCTTTTGGGGGAGGAAGACGGGTGCGGCCTGTCTAGCCTCAGTATGTGTCCCAAGGTATTTATTAAATAAATGTGTAGGCTACCTTTCAAAATATGAATATCTTTTCAAGGCGGCATAGGCGATTTAGTAAAAACATTTTTAAACAAAGCATCTCACACGTGCATGCTTATGCCAAAGAGCAGTTGGAAGGTGGGGGTTGGTTTGCCTGGGGTGCAGTGTTTGTGGGGTGAGAGTGTGGGTGACAACATACGGGATCCTCTGTGCTAACTTCCCCACCCCTTTTCTCAGGGGCTGCACTAACTACATTGACCTGGGCTCCTTCCTGATCAAGCCCGTTCAGCGTGTGATGCGCTACCCGCTGCTGCTGATGGAGCTTCTGGGCGCCACACCTGAGTCTCATCCTGACCGTGCTCCCCTGGCAGCGGCTGTCCTTGCTGTCAAGGAGATCAACTGCAACATCAATGAGTCCAAAAGGCGAAAGGACCTGGGTGAGCTGTGGGGCAGGGGAGACAACGTGGGGAAAGGGGAGGAGCAGCACAAGCACCCGCTTGAGACAAGCGAGGAAGATGGAAAGCAGCCGAGCATCCCTGTGTGGAAGAGTTGGGTACCGTCTATGGAGACTGAGTGTACAGCAGGCTGGCTGTTGGAGGGGGGGGGAAGAGATTGAGAAAGGTGAAGCGCCTTCTAGTGGCTGGTGGGAGTAATAGCAAAAGTCCATTTGGTTTAACCCAGTCATGCTTCGTTGGCAGGATGCATTATCCAGTTATTGCTCCGTTACAAAGAGACAAATGTCGAAAGGCAAATGAGCCACTTACCTCTGGTCTTTGGAAGTGGTGGTGTACTGTGGGCTAGGAGTGAACTGACAGAGGATTGTGTCTAGGCTGAGAGGGAAACTCCCCAGGATGGCACAGTCCTTAATGGATCTTCTGTACTCTCAGGGGATTAGACCAAGTGACTTTTGTTGTCCCTCACCACACCCTGTTATTCCATGACTCTTGGGAGCTGACTCTTGCTTCCACCGCTCTCTTTCAGTGCTGAAGTACCGGAAGACTGATGACGACAGCCTCATTGAGAAGATCTCCAAGCTCAACTTCCATTCCATCATCAAGAAATCGAATCGCGTCAGCAGCCACCTCAAGCACCTCACAGGTTTTGCACCGCAGGTAAATGCTGACTCTGGCTACATGTCTATGGGGATCCATCACAAGCTCCACGGTACCTATCAAGTCTCCTCCTCCTTCCTGTTACAGCTCAAAGATGAGGCTTTTGAAGAGACCGAGAAGAACTTCCGAATGCAGGAGCGGCTGATTAAATCTTTCATCCGGGACCTTTCTCTCTACCTTCAGCATGTCCGGGTGAATAAACATATTTGTAGGGGATGGGACAGGACCTTGTAAAGAACTGGGGACTGAGGGGATGGAGTGACTAGCAAACTTGAGGGTCCTGCCTTGGCTAGCTTTGGGCAGAAGTTTCTGCGTCACAATCTTGGCTCTGGTTGTGGCCGGACTTGCAGGGGTTGCTAACTGCTTTAGCCCCACTGACGTCTGTGTCTCTCTGCCCTCAGGAGTCTGCCTGTGTTAAAGTGACAGCAGCACTGAGTATGTGGGACCTGTGCATGGAGAAAGGCAGTGCTGAGTTGGAACAGTTCCAGAAAGTCCACCGTCTCATCAGCGACCAGCTCTTCTCTGATTTCGTGAGTGAGGTCTTTGCTTCCTTCCTGGGTCAGGTGTTTCCTCCTCCTTCTGGGCACAGAATCAGTTGGCTGCAGAAACAGAAGGAAAAAAACTTTGGAAGAGGCTAGAAAAATATTTCAGGATGAGGGAAAAGCAAAGCAGGAGGTGGGGAGGAGGAAGCCTTTCAGGGTCATGAAGCCATTGGTTGTTGGAGGAGAGCTTGTGGCAAGGAGCTGGGATAGAAGAGATATTGCAAAATGGGCTTTCTCCTGAAATACATATGGAGTGGTACTGGGCAGAGCAGGTGCCCTTCTGCCTTTGTTGACACTACAAACAAATGTGTATTGTCTTCCTCCTCCTCTTCCTCCTCCCAATGAATTTTCTGCAGCAAGATAGAAACAAAACCCTTCCTTCCTCCAGTACAGCTTGTACTGAAACTATAACGAAATAATGATTTGCTACAGAAACGTGTGGGGGAAAGAGCATGCTATTTTGGTGTCCTTGTGCCCCTTGCAGAAGGAGCGCACAGAGCGGCTGGTGTTCTCCCCTCTGAATCAGCTGCTGAACATGTTTGCCGGGCCTCACAAACTCGTGCAGAAACGGTTCGACAAGCTCCTGGACTTCCACACATGCACGGAGCGGGCCGAAAGGCTGAAGGACAAGCGGACCTTGGAAGAACTGCAGTCGGCTCGCAACAATTACGAGGCCTTGAACACGCAGCTGCTGGATGAGTTGCCCAAATTCCAGTGCTGCGCCAAGGAGCTCTTCACCAGCTGCCTGCGCGGCTATGCAGAGGCCCACTGTGACTTTGTGCACCTGGCGTTGCAGGAGCTGCAGCCTCTGCTTTCCGTAAGTGTGCAGGAGAGGCCAGGACCGTGCAGGCTGCCCATCCTGATTGGAGACTAGCGAGGGTCAGAAGGAAAGAGCATATAGGGCTGCCTGATTTGCTGCCCCGTTGCATTTGCACTGTATTTTCAATGAATGCACTTTCCAGTTGGCGTGGAGGAGGAAAAGGCACACACTAGGTCAGCACAGTGCTCTTTGAAAGTTGCCTTCTGTGCCGGGATTTCATATTGGCTGTTGCTTTCTCTCTCTGGTGCCTTTGGACCTTCTATCCTCAAATCCCCTCCGCTAGTCCAATGGTTGTGAGTGACCGTTGTGCCTTATACAATCTCTGAATTCCCATGAGTTTATTCTTTGCCCCAGGCTGTAAATGCCACTGGGGGAAATGGCAACAGGAAGGCACTGTTGAGCAAAGGAAGCTGCCTTTTATACTGAGTCAGACCCATCGGTCCATCTAGCTCAGTATTATCTGTGTTGACTGGCAGTGGCCCTCAAGGGTTTTAGGCTGGAGCCCTTCTCAACGCTACCTGGAGATGTTAGGGATTGAACCTGTGACCCTTTGCATCCGAAGCGTGTGCTCTGCCCCTGAGCTATAGCCCCTCTGAAATGGAAGGCTCCTTGGGATGACGGTCTTGACACAGGACATAACTGTTGATAATGGGCTCTATTAGGAAGGAAAAGAAGGCACCAAGTCCTGGGTTTCTAGAGCTGTCTCTGTGTCTTCCCTTCCTGGAGCAAGGCTTCATAGTGGCCTGTCTCTTGTGCCTAGCCGGGCTGCCCATTTCCACTGTTCTGACGGCCCTGCTGCTCTCCTCTCTCCTAGCTGCTGCAGGTGGTTGGCAAAGAGGGCAATCTGGTTGCCATCTTCCAGGAAGAGCATAGCCGTGTCCTCCAGCAGCTGCAGGTCTTCACTTTCTTCCCCGAGAGCACCCCCGCTGCCAAAAAGCCCTTTGAGAGGAAAAGCCTGGAGCGCCAGTCAGCACGGAGGCAGCCACTTCTGGGAATGGTGAGCAACTGTGGGGGCAACGATGGGCGGGGGACTCCTCTCATTCAACATGGGCACTGTCCAGTGGTGGGTGGCCTTGGCTTGAGGAACCAGGGCCAGGCACAGAGCACTGTGTGTCACTGTGTCACGCCTTCCCCATCACTGTTTGGTGCTGTCACTTCCCTTGCAGCCCAGCTACATGCTGCAGTCAGACGACCTCCGCGCCGCCTTGCTATCTCGGTACCCCCCAGACAAGCTCTTCCAGGCTGAGCGCAACGTCAACGCCGCTCAAGAGTTGGACATTTCATTGCTGGAGGGTGACCTGGTGGGGGTCCTTAAGAAGAAGGACCCCATGGGCAGTCAGAACCGCTGGCTCATTGACAATGGAGGTGAGTGGAGGCCTCTCTTGGGCTCCAGGCAAACCGTGGGACACCTCCTGTCCGGAGGAGCTTGTTCTGTATCTATTCTTTAATTTGTGCGGGTTCCACACTCCCACCCAATCTGGCGCTAAGTGCACTTATTTTAATTTCTAAAGGAACCACCTGTTCTTTCCAGATATCAATCAAAGTCATTCTGGTAGAGCTTCAAATTCCTCTTTTATTGACAGCTGCTTATCACTCTCACTGGTGGCCTCAGGAGCTATATTTACTGCTAAGCAGGCTGCTGAGTCCCTACAGGCCCCAATTCTTTTCCTTTCACACGGCTTTAAAAATGCCACAAGTATTTTCCTTTTTATGCGCGCACAGCAGCAGTGCACATTCTCCACCTCCCCAGTTCAGTGTTGGTCCAGTGTCCACAATGATACAGAAATCTGGTGTTGGGAGACACCTTATGCAGCTGTTTCCCAACGCACTGGCCATGCCCTGTCTGTGCTTCTGATTTCCGACCTTCCCTCCACAGTGACCAAGGGCTTTGTGTACAGCTCCTTCCTGAAGCCATACAACCCACGATGCAGCCACTCAAATGTTTCTGTAGGCAGCCATTCCTCAAGTGAATCCGAGCACAGCGGCTCCTCCTCTCGTGGCAGCAGCACGCCAAGCAGCATAGTGAGCAACGCATCTGCAAACAGCCCTCAGAAACCTCCGCAGGACTCGGGCTTCCAAGGGGATTTAATGAGCTCCCTGCAGGCCCTTTCAGAGGTGGATGCTGCTGAACAACCTAAGACTGGTCCTGTAGACTCTGCTCAGCCACCCCGGGCCATTCCGGCATCTCGCCGATACAGTAACCCCGACCCACACAATGGGCTTCCGGCCCGGCCCAAGGCCAGGGCGACACCTTCGCTGGAGAATGGCAACTTGAGGCCGAGGACCAGCGAGTCTAAGGGGAACCAGGTGAGTGGGGAAGAGGCATATTTCTGTCTCTGTTAATGGGCCATTTCTAATTCGACTGGCTAGCTGGCACAACCAAGGCTTCCTCTGAAAATGAGCATACAGTGGTACCTCAGGTTAAGAACTTAATTCGTTCTGGAGGTCTGTTCTTTACCTGAAACTGTTCTTAACCTGAAGCACCACTTTAGCTAATGGGGCCTCCTGCTGCTGCCGCGCTGATGGAGCACAATTTCTGTTCTCAACCTGAAGCAAAGTTCTTAACCTGAAGCACTATTTCTGTGTTAGCGGAGTGTGTAACCTGAAGCATATGTAAACTGAAGTACCACTGTATTGGAAGCCCAGAGTGAGTTCTGTTCCATCTAATTCAGTACAGCTAATTCTTGGGACTTTATATATTCATATTGTATGGGCTAAGATATTTTTAGCCCGCTTTTCAATTTGACAACAAAATTCCCAAAGCAGGTGCTCTCAGTGTTAAAAAAAAAGGGGGGGGGGAGGAACAGCCTGGGACTTGTTCTGTGGGGCTTTGAATGGTGCAGCATGTTTCTTCCTACTTTTCCACTGACCTCCTCCCCGTTCTTTCTACTTTGAGGTCTACTATGCTGTTTACACTTTTACGGGACGGAACTCAAATGAACTGAGTGTCACCGCCAATCAGAGACTAAGGATTCTGCAGTTTGAAGACATCACGGGGAACCAGGAGTGGTGGTTGGCAGAGGCACATGGGAAGAGGGGCTACGTGCCGTCCAGCTACATTCGGAAGACTGAGTACACGTGAAGGATGTTTGTCTGGAGTTGCCAGAAACTGCTGCCTTAATCGCTGTTGGAACCAGGCTGAAGAGGGAGGCCTTGTGCTCTCCATCCCCTTCCCCTATGGTTTCAATTGGATACATTTTGGGGGAGCCAAACCAGGTTTCCCGTGAAGTTGAATGAAGTGCTTCCACAGGGTTCTGCTGGTTTACCCTAATGAGACTGAACCTCTCTGTGCCTGGTCCTGAGGGGCAGTGCCCCTCGCCTCAAGCATTGCCGTGTGGAGTTTATTCCCCTTTGAAGTAGGTGTTTAGTCTCCTTTGACTAACAAGTTTCAGACTAGCGGCTGATTATGCAACTGTGAGGCATCTGGCAAATGGTAACCCAGGGGGCTGGGTGTGCCCTGTCAGATCAGTCTAAGGATCCATCTTACCTGCTTCCCAGTAACCATCCTCACGCTTCTAGGAGCCCACTAGCAGAGCCTGCAGGCAATGGCCCCTCATCTGCCCATTTGTCCCCCAGCAACTGGTATGCAAAAGTCTGCGCTGTCTCTGAACTTAGATGTTCCATTAAGCTATCATGGCATGAAACAGTTGCAAGACTGAAGATCCACTACAGGCTGGCCTCTTGTTCAGTAGTGGATCTAATACAAAGACAGGTTGCAATTTTGTTTTCCTACAGACTGCAATGTTGTATGCAAGGGTGCTGGAGATTAGCTACTGAAAACGAGAGCGCTTCCTTTCTCTCAGTGTTACTTGGCATTGGCTGTTGCAAAGTGCATAAGGGCTCCTTCACGCAGCTTCAGGTGGGGTCTGGTGGCACACCTTGGATGCTGCTGCTGTGTGTGTGTGTACATACGGCTAGGACCACCTTGCCCCAAGTCAAGAGGGGTTTTTTTTTGGGGGGGGGTATTCCTGCTCCAAGATAAAAGAGCAGAGAATAACAGCTGCATTGTGCCTCCTGAGCTGCTGTTTTGTAAATAAAAACTTTTTCTGACGTATCTTGAATGATTCATGCACAGTCCCCCCGTTTGCGTTACCCCTTCTCCTTGTGACAGCAAGCAGCTTGCCTCAACTCGAGCACACAAACACCAAGATTGTCAGGAACAATCAAATATTATGATGGTCCAGGGATGAATGGTAACGGTACTGGCAAAAATGGGAGATTGACCTATAAAAGTAAGAGCCACTTATGCCTAACTTTCCTTTGTGCCAAGGAAAATCCTTCTGGAATATTGGGAAGGGTGGGAACACCCAATAGCAAGAAAAGCAAATTTGTATTTTCATACTTTGCTTCTCCAGTGCCTGCTGCATCTGGGGGAAAGTCTAGGGCCAGGAACATGCAAGAAACGTTTGTCCCGCTTCAGTGATTATTGTCTGTTTTATTGTATTTTAAATACAGCGTAAGATGCCTCAGGAACTTTGGTCAGTAGACAGGGTATGAAAACTTTTTTTTAAAAACCCAGTGCACCCCACATTTGAAACACCTTGTGACAGCAAATTTAAAAGAAGGGTACAGAGACTGGACTGTTTGGGACAAGATTCCCAAAGAGTTATTAGTCAGCACCTTTCCAGCACTTCTCCATGTACTAAGTGTTGTGAAGTTCTAATTTGTCACCTAAATCCTCTCTCCACCCCACCTCCAAATGAAGGTGTGAAACCCCATGCAAGGAGGAGGAAACAAAAGCTGCCGGTATCCCCAAAGAAACATGAATCTGGAAGGTGATGCATTTTGGGGGCAGGGGGGCGATAAACGGAACCAGTTAAGACTAAACACCACCAGCTTGTTTTTGCCTACTTCATAGCACGGAGAATTGTATGGGAACTTCTGCGCTGTGTCTTGAAACAAAGGAGGAGTGGTAGAGCTTCCGTTGATCTTTTCTATCTTGGAGGGCGATAGTAAAAGTGCACCCCTTCTGCAGAACCATGGCTGGCTTATAGGCGGTGCTTGAGTTCGGGGCCAAAGAAAATATCAGGTAGCTGTCTGAAGATACAAGCTGGTTGAGTGCAGTGTGCCCAGAAACTGTATGATGATACAATCTGTGCTTCAGGCATAATATCACTGCTGGTACAGACAGTGTTGGCACCCAGTCAAAGGTAAAAGTCCAGGAAAAGCTACCACAAGGATGCGTGAAGCTGGCCTTGGTCTTGCTGCCCTTGCCTCTACATGGCAGTGTTCTGGCTTCCTACAATTCCAGCATCCTTGGCCATTGCTGCAAAGATGCTTTGCTGTTTAAGCAGATGGTCAGGGCTGTCAAACTCCACAATCCTTCCCGCCTGAAGCACCATCACCCTGGAGTGGAGAGAGAGACATTTGAGATTGAGCACAAGCACCCATATCTAGTTGCACACAGCTCCTAGCACCTTCCAGGTTAGCAATCAGAAACTAAGTGGTGTCAATCTGTATGGCACCAAAAGAAAAGCTGACACCAGCAACTCTAAAACTGACCCCGCCATCTACATTTCTGAGGAAAAGAAGTGGAAACTGCAACAGGGTGGCTCCAGAGGAGGGAGTTTCCGGAATGGAAAAGGGAAAGTGGCCAGAGGGTGGAGGGAAGGATAAGAATCTCTTCAACTGATCTGGGTAAATAATTATTGGCATTGATGGTCAACCTGGCTTGCGTGGTGGGGTTGAACGTATTCCATCCCTTAATGATTCACCACTTCACTTTAAAAAAATATGGGAGTCACTGAGCTAATAATGCATCCAATATTTTATACAGGGATTTCTGTGTCCAATTGCTCACCCTGAAAGGTCATCATCCTATCACAGGAACTTTTGTTTTGCTGAGTTGAGTGGGAAGCACAGGCTGAACCATTGTCCCAAAAGGTTGGGCTGATGGAGCCATTGCAGCTCCAAAGGCTTCTCTGTTTTGTTATATTCTCCTTTGGAAGTATTGGTTACTGTAAAGCAGATTTAATGAGGTCATCGCTTTCCTTCCAGATCTGCTTTGTAGCAACTTACGGCCCAGTCTTGGATGCCAAATGTTGTTAAAAGGTTTCTAGAAATCCATTGTTCTTCTTGTTGTTTATGTGCTTGCAGCTAAAAGCCAACCTGAGAAGGGATTTGCTTTCCCAGGAAAAAATTGACCTGCACAGCATTTACTGTGCTTTTCAAGCATTTGTTTAATGCAGGCTTAGGAAAACAACAGGCTTACTTTCTAAAGTTTTATTTCACTGCGCTGCATGCTGAGTTATTTCTCTTGTTTGACTATCAAAGAAAACCATTTGTATGCAGTAGGCCTCCGAATACAAGTTGCTGGAAACCACGGTTGGAGAGAGTGCCGTTGGGCTGAGATCATGCTTATGGGTTGTGGGCCAACAGGCACCTGGTTGGCCACTGTGCGAACAGGATGCTGGACTAGGTGGGCCTTTGGCCTCATCCAGCAGGTTCTTCCTATGCTCACTAACCTTCTGCTAGAAAGCTTTTCACTCATGGACTTCAAAAATTGGCTTTCTTCAGGATTGTGTGTCAACGTATGTAAGGATATTTAGTACAGGCCACAAACTATCTGGATTTAGATTTCCAAATGTGTTGTCAGTTCTAGGAGCACCAAGTGGAAGTTTTAGTGGGATGATTACTGAATGACAGTTTACTCCATGCAATTCCACTGTTGCTGTAGGTCAGTGTTTCCCAAACCTGGGTCTCCAGAATGTTTTCAGACAACAACTCCCATCATCCCTGACCACTGGTCCTGGTAGCTAAGAATGATGGGAATTGTAGTCCAAAAACAACTAGAGACCCCAAAGTTTGGGAAACAAGTGCTGTAGGCGCTTCATCCATTGTGGGCCGAGGGAACCTTTGCTGCTTTTTTCGTGAGACCATGAAGCCCTGAACCAGGGTATGATGAGAGAATGCCACTCCAAATCACGCCAGATTTCACATAGCGTGCCCACAACCCCACAAACTGTACCTGTGGCTGTCCATAATGGTGTGCAACCGATGGGCAATGGTGAGCACGGTGCAGTCTGCAAACTCGCTCCGGATTGTCTCTTGGATCAGGTAGTCAGTCTCCATATCCACAGCTGCCGTGGCCTCATCCAGAATCAGGATTTTGGATTTACGGAGGAGGGCCCGTGCCAAACAGACAAGTTGCCTTTGCCCCACACTGTGGAAACAAGATCAGCCCATTACTAGCTAAATGGATGCAGCTGCCTGCAAGGGTCTAGTGTAAGTACCATCACAGCCCATGCTCTCCCAACAGTCTCCCAACTCTCAGGATGGGAGCACCGCACAGCAGCCCGTATTACCCTTCCTGTACCTCAGGTTGTCTCCTGCTTCGCTCACTAGATAGGACAGTCCTTCAGGCAGGCTGTGTACATAAGACTTCAAGTGTGCCAGCTCCAGAGCATGCCAGACTTCTTCATCCGAGTGCTGGTCAAATGGGTCCAGGTTCATGCGCAAGCTCCCCGAGAAAAGAACAGGATCCTGTAGGTGCAGACACGAGAGGCTTAAGGCAGGTACGACTGGAAGCAGCAGCATGGCTAGGCTGAACCAAGGTGGTGTTCCTCCTTTCAGCCACACTCAAGTGCTGAACAGTGAGCTACAGTATGGATAGGGTGAAGTAGGCAAGGTTCTTCAGCATCCCATCTCTGGGATCCAAAAGCTACGGTTTAAGCCGGCATGGATGGTCTTCCACGAGGGATGATCTTGGTCTGCAGCCATATATGCTTTGGGGATGTAGAACATTCACGATGGGCCCTACAAATTAACCCCTTCTATTCATGCCCCCTTGTTCCACTGTGTTACAAAATAGGAGGTGGTACAGTGGTGCCTCGCAAGACGAAATTAATTCGTTCCGCAAGTCTCTTCGTCTTGCGAGTTTTTCGTCTTGCGATGCACGGTTTCCCATAGGAATGCATTGAAAATCAATTAATGCGTTCCTAGGGAAACCGCCTCAGACCAGGTCCGGGGACAGTCTGTCCCCGGACCTCTTCTGAAGGCTGGGGGCAAGGGCTTTTCTTCCCACCCCCAGCATTTTAAAACCCCGGGACAGCGGAGGACTTCTCCGCTGTCCGGGCGATCTTAAAATGCTGGCGGGCGGCATTTAAAATCACTCCCGGGACAGCGGAGGACTTCTCCGCTGTCCGGGGCAATTTAAAGCCCCTGGGAAGGCAGGCAGGGGGACAAAGACTTTGCCCCCGCCAGCCTTCAGAAGAGGTCCTGGACCTCTTCTGAAGGCGGGCGGGGGCGAGTCTTGCTCCCCGCCTTCAAAAGCCCTCCGGGACAGGCAGGCAGGGGAGCAAAGACTTCGCCCCCGCCCGCCTTCAGACGGTCTTCCCCCCCCCCCCGCCCGGCGTGGGACCCCCGTGCCGACGGGGGGCGGCGGGGGGAGGTCTTCCCTCCCCACCGCCCGGCTTCGGAGCACCGTTCCGCCCCCGGGCAGAGGCGGGAGGTCTTCCCTCCCCCCCGCCCGGCTTCGGAGCACCGTTCCGAAGCCGGGCCGAGGCGGGAGGTCTTCCCTCCCCACTGCCCGGCTCGAGCACCGTCCGAGCCGGGCAGAGGCGGGAGGTCTTCCCTCCCCCCGCCCGGCTCGGAGCACCGTTCCCGGCCGGGCGGCGGCGGCAGGTGTTCCCTCCCCCCGCCCGGCCCGGAGCACCGCTCGGAGCCGGGCGGCGGCGGCAGGTGTTCCCTCCCCCGCCCGGCTTCGGAGGGAGCCTTCCGAGCCCGGCGGCGGCGGGAGGAGGTGTCCCCGCCCCGCCGCCAGGCTTCGGAGGAGGTCCGAGGACAGTGGGGAAGACGCGCTGCGCTCCCCGCTGTCCCTGAGATTTCCCTATGGGCTGTCGTCTTGCGAAGCAAGCCCATAGGGAAATCGCTTCATGAGCGCCTCCAAAACGGAAAACCCTTTCGTCTAGCGGGTTTTCCGTCTTGCGAGGCGTTCGTCTTGCGGGGTACCACTGTATTTGCCATCTCATCAATATAGCAGTGGAGGACACAAGTCTAATAAGGCCTGCTAGACCGTTTTGTCCAAACCATGTGCACCTGATGTCATATATGACCTCAGCTGAGGGGCAAGTAAAGACAGATTGGGTCAAAAAGTGGTTTGCAGTGCATGGCACATTGAAGCCCTAATTATCGCCTGCTTCTTAAAGGTAAAGGGACCCCTGACCATTGGGTCCAGTCGTGACCGACTCTGGCGTTGCGGTGGTCATCTCGCTTTATTGGCCGAGGGAGCCGGCATACAGCTTCCGGGTCATGTGGCCAGCATGACTAAGCCGCTTCTGGCGAACCAGAGCAGCGCATGGAAATGGCGTTTACGTTCCCGCTGGAGCGGGACCTATTTATCTACTTGCACTTTGACGTGCTTTCGAACTGCTAGGTTGGCAGGAGCAGGGACCGAGCAATGAGAGCTCACCCCGTCGCGGGGATTCGAACCGCCGACCTTCTGATCAGCCAGTCCTAGGCTCTGTGGTTTAACCCACAGCGCCACCCATGTCCCCATCTGCTGCTTAGGGGGCTGTGAAAGATTACTGAGGGTTTTAAACCATGCACAGCATGCATGCCCCTGAATAATGCAATTTCAAACCATGTGGGCAAAAACTGGCCACCTGATGTCGTCCATGTGATATTCTCCACCCCTGTCAGCCAGAGTGGGGAATAACAGCATGGGAAGCCCTCCACCACGGGAATCAGCAGCATCAATGCAATAAGGGAGGACACCCCACACAGAACTTGGTATCGGTACTCCACTCCCTCCCTCCAAGCAGCCAAAGCCTGGCCTCAGCTCCTTCAAGCCAGGTTTACTGGGTGTCTCACCTGTGGGATGATGGTGATGTTCCGGCGGAGATCATGAAGTCCAAGCGTTGCTATGTCAAGTCCATCAATCAGGATTTTGCCTCCAGCTGCCTCCAGGATGCGAAAGAGGCAGTTGGTGAGCGAGGATTTTCCAGCCCCAGTTCGGCCCACGACACCAACCTGAAGCAAGAGCATCTCAAGGGTTAGATAAACCAAACCGCTTTTATTTCTCAGTTATCCTTTCCTGGTTCATTCATCCAACTAGACAGGATGTTGCATCTCTGCTCCGGTTCCTGTCGGACAGGTCTGTGTTGGTTCTGAACTTTGAGATAAGAGAATTATTCTTGGAAGCTGAACAACCTAGAGGTTTTCAGGTCCATGGGATGCAGGCTCGGCAAATAAAGGACAGTATCTGCTATGTGACTCCTTTTTTCTCCCAATGTGTGCTGCTCCCCTTCTCAGTAGCCTCAACCAGCTGTTTACCTCCCCCCCAGTGCCTCACCTTCTCTCTGCTCTGGATCTCACACTTGATCCCATCGAGAACCAGCTCCAGCCCAGGCCGATACCGCACTTGGTAGTCTATAAATCTTATCTCTCCATTGTTGGGCCAGCCAGAAGGTGGTCTCTGGGCTGTTACCCATGGTGCCTGCAGGAGAAAGAATGGGCATCACACAAGATATATTTGAATCATTGGGACCTCTCCCACAGCACAGCAATCTTGCAAACCCCATCCCACATCGCCACAGCTCCCCATACCTCATTTTCCACATGTGTGTATTCATGCACTCTCTCCACAGCCACAATGTTGGTCTCCAGCTCCGAAGTCATCCGCACCAACCAGTTCAATGTTTGGGTGATCTGCATGGTAGTGGAACTATCACTAAAACAGCCTTGGTCCTCCAGCCCTTCCCCTTCCCTGCCCCATACTTAAGAGAACCCATTGCATCCCATTTGCCCACATCTACAGACACAAGGAAGAAAGGCGCAGGAGCATGTCTTCTTATGAGAATCCCTTTTTAAAGGCACAGTGGCCTCCTCTCACACTCCCAATAGGAAGGCTTACCATCATCATTACTACCATTTATTAATTAAATTGATATCCTGCCCTTCCTACTGAAGGAATGCAGGGCAGCAAACACACAAGTGATAATTAAAACATCTAAAAACAAATTCTAGTACAGATGCAGACTGGGAAAGGTCTCTATTGAAAGAGTTGAAAGAGATAGGCAACAGAGATGGTGCCCGTCAAATATTTAACAGGAGAAAATTCCAAAGCGTACTTGTCATAACAAGAAAGGCTGGGTTCCTATATTGTGTGGAATAGACCTGATAAGACGCCATCTGCAAGAGGCTCTCACCTACAAAGTGTAGTGATCACTGATGGGGTACATAAGGGGATATTGTATTTTAGGTATACTGATCCCAATCTGTCTATACCAGCACCTTGAACTTAACCTGGCACCTAGCTTTGTAGTGAGTAGCTCTTGGGCTTCATGACAAGACTCCATCTCTAATACACCTGATGGTTTATGAAAACAAGTAAAAAATAAATTGCAAGAAAACCCCCAAATTAGGCACTAGATCCCAAGCTTGTGTATCAACGCGCCTTACAAAGTCCCAGTATAGCTATTATTCTGGCCCCTTGTGGCCTCAGTCACTTACATTGAGAGCTGAGGAGACAGAGAGTCCCACAATGCCACTGTCCAAAGTATCCTTAGCAAAGACTGCCAGTAGCGCTGCAAAGAAAACCACCAGGTTCCCCACAAATTCTAGGCGCACAGCCAGCCACCTGTAAGGAGGAACAAATGCGGAAGGGAAAGGTAAGTGCTCCATCAGTACCGCAACCTGCAGCATCTCAAATCCAGCCACTGCCATTGAGCAGAAGAGGCGTTCCTGCTTTCACTTCAGAGTCAAATTTTAACACTTGGCTTCTGGCAGTGATGCCTAAGCACAGCCTCCTGATATCCCAAATGCTCAGCCTGTACCAGCCCACTTAGAGTCATGTGAGAAAGGAAGGCATGTTACTTTGAAGTAACCTGGATAAGCTGCACACCTAGAGAGTCTCCACCAGGCCAACAGAAAACTGTACAGTACTTTGCTTTAGGCTTTGTAAAGTGAAGGTAAAGGGACCCCTGACCATTAGGTCCAGTCGTGACCAACTCTGGGGTTGCGGCGCTCATCTCGCTTTATTGGCTGAGGGAGCCAGCGTACAGCTTCCGGGTCATGTGGCCAGCATGACTAAGCTGCTTCTGGCGAACCAGAGCAGTGCACGGAAAACGCCGTTTACCTTCCCGCCGAAGCGGTACCTATTTATCTACTTGCACTTTGACGTGCTTTCGAACTGCTAGGTTGGCAGGAGCAGGGACCGAGCAATGGGAGCTCACCCCATCACGGGGATTCAAACCACCAACCTTCTGATTGGCAAGTCCTAGGCTCGGTGGTTTAACCCACAGCGCCACCCACGTCCCTTTTAGGCTTTGTAGTAACACCCAAACTAAAAAAGTACACCTGCTGGTGTTGTCTGAGGACTGGTGGTCCCTTTTTGAGGACTGGGGGCACCTTTTCAGTTTGGGGGCCACATTCCCCTCTGGGCAAAGTTGCAAGGGCCACGTGCTAGTGGTGCACAGGGGCAGAGGCAAAGGTGGCCAGAACCATGGGTGTAAAATTTACCTTTGTACGGCAGGCTAGTATCTATACACACTCCTACACCCCAACACCCATCCTCCATCCAGAGAACCAAAGGCATGGCCAGAGTTCAAGGACACATTCCAGCCTGGCAAAAACCATTCAGGGTCTGAAATGGAGTGAGGGAGGCGTGTGGCCTGGGGAGAGGTCTTAGGCACAAAAAGAGAGTCCCAAAGGGCTGGATTTGGCCCCACAGCCTGAAGTTCCCAACTCCCTGATTTAGAGAATAGGCCAAAACCTTCCACATCACAGCCTCACCTGTTGGAAACGATCCAAGAGTACACAGACTTCTGGTTGATGTCCACAAGCTCCTCGTTGTGTTTCAGGAAGCGTTCCTGGTGCCCGTAGGCCCGGATGACAGAGAGGCCCGACACTGTTTCGCTGAAGTGGGAATAGATGGGAGACCGAGTGACTGAGTCCAAACGCCGCAGCTGGCGGGAGGTGGCCACATAGAACCGCTAGGAGGAGAGAGATGCACTAGTTGATAGCCACAAGGAAAGCAGAGACCTCCCAGCCTTACCATTATCCCTCACTCCTAAAACCATTGCTTGCAGCAGACCCTCCAAGTGTCCCTATTTTCCAGGGTCAGTCCCGTATTTACAGAAGCCATCCCATTCTGATTTGATTCCAGAATGTCCCACTTTTCCTTAGGACGTCCCTATTTTCAGAGAAATGTTGGAGGGTATGTATGCAACCCATCCCTGAGCCAAGGAGATAAAGTAACTATATAACCTTTAGAAGACATCTGAAGGTAGCCCTGTATAGGGAAGTTTTTTTACTGGTTTTTTTTACTGTTTTTTAAAATGTTGGAAGCAACATATGGGCAATCTAGTCAGATGGGCAGGGTACATATAAAATAATAATAAAAATTATTATTACTATTACTATTGAATAGGATGTCCCTATTTCCATTGGATAAATGTTGGCAGGTATGTTGCAGCTGTTAGTTCATATTTAGCCAATGGGAGACTAGGACTATGCCATTCTACAGTTTCAGAGGTGTTTGGTGAGTCTGCCTTCTGAGAGGAAATGCTAAATCAATTCTGGGGCTCAAGTTTTGCTTTATTATACCCAAGCATCAGTTTTCCAATGGTGTTAGCCATAATCTGTTGTTCACTAGTAAGCCCATGCCAGGAGAGCTTTAGAAAGGTTTGATGGAGTCACTGTTTCTGGTGTGCTTTAAGAACATGGATTTCGGAGGGCTGGCATCTGCAGTGACTTACAGCGCCTGTTTGTAAGCACATTAAATGCAAAGAAGCCTGTTTGGGAAATGAAACCTATCTGATGGTATTACATTGGCAGTTTTACATCATTCAAAAATAATTAATACAGGGAGGAAGTCAACATAGCAGCTATGGAAATTGTTCCATCAGTGAAAGTATTTCAGCTTGCCAGACAAAATGTCCCCCTCTCCTCCTCTGTGTGCTATTCTGGGGGTTCTCCTGATCCCAACAGAGCCAGTTTTGGGCAGAGGAGAGAGGCAAAAGTCCCATTGCACTAGTGGAAGTCCTTGCATAGGGTTCTACTAGTGGGACTCATTAGTTGAATCCTGCCCACAGTTGGGTATTTTAGAAGGAAGAGGTATGCAGCTCCTATGAAACAAGAAGCAGTTTAAAGAAAACAGTTTGCACTGCTGCAAGCTGAAAGGTGTGTTCTATTCTGCACTTGGTCTTGTGGTCGTTCTCTTCTTTCAGCTGGCAAGAGCATAGCTCCTTCCAGTCACTGACATTCTGGATAGCAATATAGTTCTGCTCTAATATTGAGGATTTTGATCCTCTGCACTTTCCTGGTCATCACAGAACTAAGGGTTTGACCAAGTCTCTCTCAGAGGAGACCCACTGAAATTAATGAACCCAAGTTAGTAATGTCCATTAACTTCAGTGGTAATGAACAGCAAAGCAGGTAGGTATTGGAGCTGAAGCCCCAGGGCTCAAGCAACAGTTCTGAATGGATGCAACCTGGCAATAAAAGGAATGTTCGCTTCCAAAGAGGCTGGGCCCCAGCTCACCTGAAGAAAGTAGTATATGATACCCAGAGGCAGCATGACAATTGCAAAATAAGGTGTGGCCAGACAGATTATAAACAGAGTGCTGAAAATCCCCAACAAGCAGTTAATCCAGGAGCGGAATGACATGGGAATGCTCTCATCCACAGTGAAAATGTCCTGCAGGGGGCAGAGAGGAGGGAGTTGACAAAAGAAATGAGAGTTGGAAGCATCATGCTGTACAACCTAGATTCACGAGTGGCCAGTTATGAATGAGAGTGCTTCAAAACCGAGCTGGAAACAAAGGTTTCACTTTTAGGTCTATCACTCTCACTTACATTTATTTCTACCATTATTATTATTATTATTTCACACAATCACTTTATGCAATGCTCACACACACTTTTTATGTTTTAATAGTCTTTTATGATCTGTATTATGATCTGTATTATGTTTTATATGTTTCACTTCTATAAACTGCTTGGGTGTTCCCTGAATGTAGAGTGGTTTACAAATTCTGAGATGGGGGGGGGGGCATGAAATGCCAAAGTTCTTCTAAACTTCATTCAACCAGTGCCCTTTTCTACTATTATGAACTTACTCAGGTTTTCTCATTTGAATTCTCTCTCCCTAACTTTAAACATTTTTCTCATTATTCTCCCTGACCTACAAACTGGTTTTATTGTTTGAAAGTTCCACTGGTACAACCATAGACGCGCACCACACCTTTTCTTTGCATTATGAGCTTTCTGCACCCATTTCATACATCTCAATGTATAAGATAATGGAGACCTCTGTGTGCACCGTTAGACACTCAGGGCTGATCAGTGAATCGCGTTCTCTGCTCAAGGGAGGACTGGTGGTAGGAAACTCCCCAAGTGGAGCAAGGCACACAGGAGTGGAGGTGGTGGAGGAAGTAAATTGTAGCTGGATTGGGTCTGAATTCTTCTAAGAAATTATGCTTTTTTTCTTTTCCTTTTTTAGTTTTTTATTTATACTTTTCAAATTTATACATTTCATTAGTTCTCCAATCAATTTAACATTTCAAAATTTGACTTCTTTCCCCCTCTTTCTGCGGTTCCTTAAATTTATTTTTTAATATATTCTGAATATCCAAATTCATTTAACTTGCTCATTTAATTATCTACTGTAAGTATATACTCTTATAAAACTGCAGGTTATTACAATAATCCTGCTAATGTTTTTATCTGTTTACAATTTATCTGTAAAGATTCAATATTATGCTTTTAAAGTATTTTTGTTATTTATATCAGTATAAATAGTTCTTTACATACGTAAGTCTCCAGAAAGGTTCTTGCAAAGAACTTTACAATCTAAATTGATAATGGAAAAATCTACAGGGGCTAGCAGGGGGAGAGAGAGATTATTTTCCCATTATCTTGGTCCCACTGATTAAAAAGAAACTTTTTTTTAAAAAACCACCCAATTTACTGAAAGCTGGCAGACATGTGTCATGGCTGGTGATGGGAAACAGACCAAAGTTACACAAATTATAGCCCAGGGAAACCTAACCATGAAAGGCACCCATCTTTTCTCTGCCTGTTAACTTCTTCATGTTTACATGATTTCAGCTTGAATCCCCCAACCCCAAACTTTTTGGTTCGCTTAAACCAGGACTGCAGTGCATAGGGTGCAATGCTGCTATAACAAGGGCAACTGGCAAAAGTGTCTGGAAACTATTTCTGCTGCTGCACCTTGAAGGGATGGTCCAAACCAAGGGTGGTGCCAATCTGGTGCTGTCCATATGTTGTTGGACTCAAGCTCCCATCATCCCTCACCATTGACTGTGTTGCCTGGGGCTGATGGGAGCTGAGAGTCCAGTAACACCTCCAAACAGTTATACATCTGCAGTGAGTGCATGTGCAGTTGTGCAAGGAAGGCTGGAAGCTAAGCCTGATAGGATCCCACAAGAATCTCAAAGCATCATCAGCATAGGTGCCCCCATTCCCAACACACTCTCAGCAAGTTATAGCTTGAGGCACTTGCCAATTCCTCCTGGCCCAGTTAAAAACTTCGGCAACTACTTTTGAGTCTCTGCAAGCCTCGCAGAGCGTGAGCTCATACCTTGGCAAACCTGTTCACGATGCGGCCTGTTGGCGTTGTGTCAAAGAAGCTCATGGGCACACGCAGGATGTTGGACAGCAGCCGCTCGTGTAGGACCCGGGAGGCCCGGACAGCACCGTGGGCAGCAAGAAGGGCTGAAGTCAGCAGGAATAGAGCTAGAACAAAGACATCCATTGGTAAGGACCTGATGAATAGGGAGATACTGGCATCAACAGCCTTAGGCCATATGGTACTAGAGGACAAAGATAGGAACCTGTGGCCCTCCAGATGCTTTTCCTGACAACAACTTCCATCATTCTAGATCACTGGTTATGTTGGATAGAGCTGGTGGGACATGACATTCTGTTCCATGACATCTGGAAGACCACAGGTTGTCCATCTCTGATCTAGGTGAATTATGGTGCAGTTCCATCTGCCTTGGTGTTGTGCCCTGATGATATCACCTGTATAGACCTCTAGTGGTGCCCTCTGCAAAATGCCACCCTGGATAGCTGCCCATGTGTTCCCAGTAATGGGTCTATTGCTTTCAGCTGTGGGTCCAAATTTCGCAGGTCTTTGGACCTTGAAAACTGCTACCAGCTCAAGAACAGAGCTTCCTACACTCAAGTGGAAGCTGCGTCGGATGTTCTGCTTCTGAAAAACGTTCAAAAACCGGAACACTTACTTCCGGGTTTTCGGCGTTTGGGAGCCGATTTGTTTGTCAACTAACAGGGCAGTTCCTAGCCACTCTACATTTCTCGAGTGGTTCTGTTTTTCAGAGACTTACACTGGCCAGCACCCAATGCCCCATAGATTCCAATACGCAGGTCACGTTGATAAGCTGGGTAGGTCTGGTTCGCGTACTTTGCAGCATCATTTGTCCACTCACTAAGCCACAGGTTGGAGCCAATCGTGGCTACAGCTTGCCCTATGTAGGCAAGCAAGACCATTGTTGACAGGCACCAGCCAACAGCACGGAGGTATTGCAGATACATGCTGAACTTCACCTACAAGGCAGAGGGTTGTTATCAGACACAGAGTGCCGTAGTGGGTGATCATTGCACACACTCTGAAATAGCAGCCCTTGAAAACCTCTTACGTTCCAGCATATGCTATGGCATATGACTCAATTAACCAGGAAAATAAGCAGGAACAGTCCAGTAGTCAGTATATAAGGACACAAAGACTGAACTGTTCCTTGGACGGGCAGGGCGCAATAATGGACACTGCAAAGGCTCTTAAAATTGAGCGGCAGGTTAACAGGAAAGAAAGAATTTAACAAAACCCAAAATAGAGGGCACTATTGTATTCTCATTTTTTTATTTTTCTGTTCGAACCGCCTGGGGATCTTCAGAAGAAGGGTGGTGTACAAATTAATTAATTTATCAATCAAAACAGCATTACTACACCTTTTCCTTGGGGGTAATGGAATGAGGAGTCCTTCAACTAACCTCCTGCAAGGTGGTCATTCTCTGTTCCCCATCTAGCTCTGGGACAGGGTCTCCACAACCCTCCTCCCTTCCATCTCTTTGAGACCCTCATTTGTCCTAATTATGAGGCAGGAGAACATTTTGACCCCTCCCTCTCACCTTGCCGGTTTCCATGGCCTCCTTGTCAATCAGCCTCTGTCCTTTTATCTCAGCCACTGGCTTCTTCTCCTTCAACTTCATTCGCTGTGACATCGTGAGCGACCTGTGACTGCTGTTACTAAGGCTAACACAGGAGAACAATGATGAGGGACAGAGATTCTATCGTCCTTCCCCGCATGCTCTGGGCACTGTGCTGCCCTGCCTGCCATTTTGTTTTTCTAAAGTATTTATACCTTGCCTTTTAGCCAAAAAGGGTCTCAGAACAGTTTACAAAAATCAGTTCTAAGACGGTTCCTGCCCTCAGGGTGACAATCTAAAAATACACGACACATGAAACCTGTTGTCTGGTGACTGGTGCTGCAACCCTTTATCAATCTAAGAGCACATTGGGATGACCCAACATCCCAGTTCATCGTTTTGCCCTGTATCCACCCAATTTGGTTTTTCTCAGGCCATCAGAGGTGACTGAGATCAACAAGGATTCTGGAATAAAGCTGAAAATCTGAGTATGCCCAATGAGAAAAACATCACAGAACTTTGGAATCAAGGCAGCTGCAGGGTGAAACTCAGCAAAGTATCAGCTATGCCAAGTCCAGAGAACCTGTGCCCACCCACCCCAGATGTTGTTACAGTATACCTCCTGAATGGGAGTGACAACATTTGGACGGCCACAGGCTTCCCATTCTTGAGCTACACAGAGACAAAACAGTTCTGATCCCAGGCCCTGCAAGCCCTATGAGGATGTTGATTGGGCAAGTGTGTGAAAGATGAGGTGACTGGATGTGGTGGTGCTGAGAGAGTTTTTTAGCCATGTGAGGAAAGATGCTAGGATCATAGACAAGTCTCAAGGAAGGAATCAACACTTCCCTAGGACTTCTGGTTTTGAGGGGGCCCCTTTGGTCCCCACCTACCCCAACCCTAAGGCCTTGCTCAATAGCCTTAAATAAATTCCAAATGGAAGAAAGGAAAGGGAGATATTAGAAAGACAGGGAGAAAGATGGGGAGAATAGGAAGGCAAATTAGCAAATAAAGTGGCTGTGAGTTCATAGGAGGCCTAACCTGCGGATGAAGTCCTTTTGGTGGACACTGGCCTCACTCTTCTGGGACATGGTCACCACATCAGTTGGTACCTCCTCAGCTCCAGGTTCAGTGTCCCCATCCAGTTCTAGGTCCTCTTCCATCCCCACTAAAAAAAAAGTCAAGACCATGGCATGAAACTCAGGAAGGAGGCAAGTTCAGGAAGAATGAAGTCTGAAGGTCACTATATCAGGTCATTATCTTAGGTGGATCCTGCCCCACAAGAGTTGTCTCGTTGCTGTTCAAAATGGAGTTTTGATACATGGAAGTTACAAATCATATTTATGGCACCACCTTACTGTGACTCACTCCAGAACAAGATGCATACTGGACGGTCACTTTGATCAGTGTCCCTCAACCCTGTATACAAGGAGTGAGGAACCTCTGGGCCACAGGCCAATCTTAGCCTGCCAGTGGTACCACCTTGGACCTCAAGGCCATTTTCTCAAAACCATGTCAATCAGCTGGCATTTCTCTGATGGGTGCTGCAGGTGAAGTGCATGCAGCCAACAGCAACAGAACCAGTTCCCCACAGGAAGGTTGGCATGCACAACCAATGCAACAGGATTTAGGAGAGTTAAATCCTGCTCCATGTGTCAGGATTCAGTTCAACTCTCTTCCTAATCAGGAAAGGGTTTACACTGAAACCCCTGCTAGAGTGGGGGAAACCTTCGTTTCAATGCAAACCGCCTCCCTGATCACACTACTAAATCAAATATGTTTTCTTCTGTTTCAGCAGCACCTTGCTTTATTGTGAAGTCAGGCGACAGGTGAGGAGCCCAGCTCACCTGTCAAATTTGGCTTAAAAGGCCAATCCTGATAAGGTTCCCCCACCCCTGCTGTATAATGTAATGCTTTCTTACCTGTAGCTTCCTCTTCAGGACTGTTTTCCTGTTGGTTTCCATATGTGTTGAGCAGCTGAGCAAATGCTTTACCATTAGCCAGTAAGGTGCTGTAAGAACCCTGTTCGGAAACAGCTCCAGCCACCAGCACCACAATGTCATCCACTTGGGCCAGGAAGCTTAGGCTATGAGTCACCAGGATCCGGGTCTGTGGCACAAACCAGCATATCACAATTAAGGAGGTAGTATCAAGAAGTTGTATGGGACGCGGGTGGCACTGTGGGTTAAACCACAGAGCCTAGGACTTGCTGATCAGAAGGTCAGCGGTTCAAATCCCTGCGACGGGGTGAGCTCCTGTTGCTCAGTCCCTGCTCCTGCCAACCTAGCAGTTTGAAAGCACATCAAAGTGCAAGTAGATAAATAGGTACCGCTCCAGCGGGAAGGTAAACGGCGTTTCCGTGCGCTGCTCTGGTTCGCCAGAAGCGGCTTAGTCATGCTGGCCACACAACCCAGAAGCTGTACGCCAGCTCCCTCGGCCAGTAAAGCGAGATGAGCGCAACAACCCCAGAGTTGGTCACGACTGGACCTAATGGTCAGGGGTCCCTTTACCTTTATCAAGAAGATGGCACCCCCAGCCACTCTGTACCCTGGACCCATGACATTATATCAGGAAGGCTTCTACAGGAACACTGTGGACTCACCTGTCTCTCCTTTACAAAAAGCCCACTTCACTAACTTAAACTAACCTTCCTGAATCCTCCTTCTGCAAGCTTTGAAAAAACAAATGTTATATCTATTTCCCCATCGAAATGGCCACTCCTCCTTCAAACACAGGCACCAGAAACCCCTCCCAGCAGCTACAATTTCTAGGACACAGCTCCAGCCTGAAGAGAAGCAGCTGAGCTTCCAGCTTGAAGACTCTCAGCTGACTCTCCAAGCCAACTGGAACATGCCAGCCCCTACAAAACCACTGCAACCAACCTAAGCCACTAGGTAGAGCAGCTTATTGAGGAGATCTTCGCCAACTCCTTTTCCTTGGACTGTGATGACAGCCTGCTACCTCACATCTGCTCCTGACCCCATCAACCCCCTGTTGCTGCCTTTCTGCCAGGTTCTGACTCTACACATGCCTCTGGCCTTTGGATCTTCATCTGCATGAACTCCAGACTACCTACGATTGCATCCATTGCCTTCAATCCAATGCTTGACCTCCACTCCATCTGTGGCCACATCTGTTTCCCTTCTGATCCTTGAACACCTCTACCTGAACAGGTAGCTCTTGGAGCTAGGTTAGGTCCCAACATTTGGCTTTCATGAATCTTAATATTACCGTATGTTGAATTTCTAATCCTCTTTATTTAGCATTGTTGTTTGCTTGTTTTAACTTAGCCTTCTGCCAGCTGCCTCAGTTTTCTAAAGAACACATTGAAAGGCAGCATCACAAAACAGAAGCAAACACCAAATCCAGCTGATGCAGTTGATTTAATTTACTGATTCAAGTAATATGGACCTCAGTCCCAAAGAGGGTTGAGCTCTACACTCTTTACCAGGGACAGAGCAAGCTTCCATCTATAGAAAACAGTCACAGACCATTTGGGGTCAGTGACTTCTTTTGGAGCCAACTTTCAATTACCTGAATCAGTAACGCTAGTCTCCCACACTGGCTAGATTTTTGTTCGCTTTTTTGTTCGCTTTGGAAGAAAGGTCTTGTAGCACTAACAAACAAAACATTTCTCCATCTGCTCTTCACAAAACAGGGTCTGCAGGGCAGGCAAGAGCTCACCTTATGCTGCAGCAGCCCCTGTGGCCCCAGCACTTGGTCAAAAATGTGTCGTCCTACATGGGAATCCACAGCCGACAGGGGGTCATCCAGCAAGTAAATGTCTGCGTTGTTGTATACAGCTCTGGCCAGGCTGACACGCTGCTTCTGGCCTCCACTAAGGTTAATGCCCTGCAGAAGAAAGCAGCCAAGCTAGGATCTCTGAGCTTTCTCTATGGTTCAGTGCATGGCAACAGCTTGAGCTCTGATTACTTGAGGCAGAAGCAGCCCCCTCCAATGCATTTGGCTTGGTCAGCCTTGACTGATGAAGATGGTCCTGCTGAAACTCACACCACATGACAATGAATACTATAATACTCTACAACAATTCAGCATTTTCCCGTAATCATCCATCCAATCAAATGCCCTTTCAGGACTTCTCCTACCCTTATGCACTCTCCCAATAACAATTCTCCTGCCCTCCCTTAGTCCTGCACAGCTGCCTACATTAACACTTGCTCTCCCCACACCTCATACTGACGTCCAAAGATAACCAAATATGATCAGTGTTAACTCTCAATGACAGTCATAGAAAAGTAGAATTGAAGAGTTGGAAGGGACCCTGAGGATCATCTAGTCCAACCCCACTCAATGCAGGAATATGCAGCTGTCTCATATGGGGATCAAACCTGCAAACGTGGCGTTATCAGCATCACACTCCAACCGAGTGAGCTAGCCATTGGACCTCTTAAGAATCTCCATGGAAAGTTTTTGTAATTCAGAACACAGTTGGATGTTTTTGTTTTCTTCCAGCCTCTCAATGGGCCATGAAAGAAAAACACAGTTACATGTGGCCACAAGAGCACTAGTAACCATTACTATTTGGCTAGGAACTTTTGTAGATATATTTGCAAGGCTGGACCATCACCCACAGCATCCCTTGTTCATGCATAAATCAGAGTCATCTCCCTCCCTGTTCTACTTGCTCCATTGCCCCAGATTACCACCTGCCCCTTCTGCCATTAAGCCCAAGGTTGGCACCTTCTCTCCAATCTCAGTAAGGTCTCCTCCTGGTAGCAGCTGCAGGTCTGGGAGAAGAGCACAAGCATCTATGACCTGTTGGTATCGGGCCTCATCGAAGGGTGACCCAAAAAGGATGTTGTCCTTCAGTGTGGCATTCTGGATCCATGCTTGCTGAGACACATAGGCTATGGAGCCCTGAGGAAGCAAGAGGAAGGAGGAGGAGACATCTATCTAGTCAATAGTACTTGGGAAAATCAGTGAATTGGAGATTAGCTTCTCTGGGGCTTCTTAGCAGAGCCGCCACCTCCTCTCACCTGAACATTGATTTGTCCTTTGATGTTCTCCATCTCTCCCAACATGGCTGACACCAGTGAGGATTTGCCTGATCCCACAGGTCCTACAATGGCCAACAGGTGCCCATGTGGAATTTTCAAGTTTATGCTGCAGGAGAAAAGTAGCACATGGAAGAAGCATGTATATGGAAGTGGACTGGTCTTTGGGGCCAGGAAGGAACCATCCCAATTGAGAGAGACTCTACCAGAACATTCTCATTATCATTCAAGGCCTGGTTTACCTTTCCCTGCTTTATCCAACAGGCAGGTGGGTAAGAAAGGACCCCCCCCCCCCGCTTACAACTTTAACGCAAAGGATCACAGACCCCCACAAACATACAAATCCCCTCCCCACAAACATACAAAATTGGTCTGGTATATGGTGACTTACTCTCTAATGGTGGCATCTGAATTTTGTTCCCAGGCAAAGGAGGCCTCAGAGAAAGTCACAGCACAGCCTAGAGGAGAAAGAAAAGGTAGCATTATCATCAGGGACAGCGTAGGAACAATTCCGGCCCCGTCACAGAACACAAGTCGCACCTGACTTCTTACGCATTTTTACCAGCCTTCTACATTCGCTTCAGAACTCTGCCTGCTATGACCTCCAAACCCTAACCTTCAATTACCAGGGCTCGGTTCATGACATATGGCCGAAGTGTTCAGGTCTTCACTGCCCAGGTAGCGCTCCAGCCGCTCAGTAGATACATTGACCTGTAAGGTGCAGAGGCAAAGTCAGGCATGCCAGGCAGTGATTAGGGTACCAGCACACCTGCAGAATCCAATTCTGATGCCTGTGCCCACTTTAAACATTTTTAGAGCTATGATCAGCACCAACTGATTAGGTTTGGGAGCTTCTCTTTCGATTTCCCTCAATGCCTCTGACATGGGGTTATGCTGAGGCATTATGGGAAATTAAAACTGCAGCACCCAGACTCAGCCATCCAGCGATGATCAGAGTGTTGCCAGTCACGGCTGCCTCCCTTGCCAGGTAAGCCTGCCCTCTCAAAACTGGGGCATGGAGTAACTTGGTACTTTCTGGTGCTCCATGGCTTGTTGAGAGAGACATTTGCCAGGCAGATTGATCAGGAGTCTATGATATGCAACCCAAAGCTAAGGGAGCCCCAGTGCCATTTGCACAACCCAGGACCCAACCATCTCTCTCTACGAACAGGGTGTGAGCACCACCTCAGTTACAGGATATAGGTCCCTCACCAGCCTACTCACCTGTACCAGGGAGGACAATGTCAATGGCAGGAAGCCCAGAGGGAAGCGCAGGACGTTGAACAGAGAGATAGAAGTGAAGGCTTTCTGTGCATCCAAAACATTGTTTTCATCAACCATCACATACACAGCAAATGTTACCACAGAGACCTAAGGAAGGAGAGTCACAGGATGAGGGGCATCTTCTACACTGCAAGGAATGAGCAAAAGGAACAAAAATAGTGTGCTGTCTTACTATGAAAGGAGCACAGGCAAAGAGGAAGATGGAGATGGATTGCAGGTAGGCAAAGCGCAGCAGCCGCTTCAGTTCCTGTGCCCGGATACCTCCGACTCGTTTCTCAAATGACGGCTCCCAGGCAAACAACTTCAGGATCTGAAAGGATGCTTCTGGTCAGATGTGGGGGCTCAGTTCAACAGAGCTTTCTATCCAGGGAAAGCAGGAGCAGGGCTCCATCCTACCATGTCTCATTTCCAGCACAAGCCCCTTCCCGACGCACACATTGCAGGCAAAGGCTAAGCAGGCGGTGACCTTGCATGCCTGCTTTGGGAAGGCATCTGGCAGAGATCAGAGGCAACACTCCCAGTTATCCTCTGCCTTATCTGCAATTAAAACTCCACTTACCAAGTAGTAAGCCTAACTGAAATCAAATGGACTTAATTATCAGTAGACGTGGCTAGGATTGTGCCATTGATGTTTCCATCAGTACAGCCAACTCATCACTGTGTTGGAGCAATCTGGTCTCTGCTACTCACCTTGATGCCGCTGAGAATTTCATTCATTATTTTCATGCGCTCATCCTTGTGCTTCATGTTCTTCACCTGCGCAAAGAAGTTGCAAATAGGGAGTTGATCACTGTTCCAGCCCCACATAATACGTTGCCCAGGGACAAGTCATTTGTGCTTTGTCTCTGACAGTTAGAGGCACCACATTGCCATAGTTTTGCCCTTAATTCTCCAATAGATCTCTGAAATGAAGCTGGGGGGGGGGGTTGATGCTGTGCCCTATGGGACTTATTCTACAGAGGTCTACAGTGCTCAGTAATACACACACACACACACAAAAATACATGCATTGTCTCTTTTTTTCAAGTTGTGTTTTCTACAGATTACAATGTTCAGTCTTGTCCTAAGCTCTGAAACATCTACATTAAACTGGGATAATCAGACGTCAGGATTTTGAATAAATGAACCGGACAGACTATTTTTAATAGGCTGCTTTTAATAGAATTAAATCTACTCACTGAGGCCCAGTGCAAAAAATGACACAGGGCAGTTACATTCAAAATTCAAGGTTAGCATTTGGAGCACACGCTTGACCTACGAATCTGTCCTCTGTAGCAGAACTGACCTCACAGCCCTTTCAAACAAAAAGGCACTGCTGGTTCCCCACCTGCCCAGGACATTCCTTCCCTCACCTGGATGGCTCTGGCCTTTGTGACCAGCACAGCATTGATGGGGATAAGCAGGACCATGACAGCAATCCCAGCGAGCACAGAGGGGCCGAGCTCCAGCCACAGAAACACTATAGACAGCACAATCTGCAGGGGAGCCGACCACAGCTGGTGCATCATGTTTGTGAAGTCCATGAAGCGCTGGGCATCTGCGGACATCAGATTCACCGTCTCGCCCACCGTGGACTCCTTCCGTGTGGCATTGGAAACGGTAAGGGCCTGAAAGCAGATACAACAGTGGCTGTAAAAACTAGGGGTACCAGATAATGCCATAGCCACTAGGGACCAGGGCACAAAGCACTAAGGATGAGCAAATCTGTCAGCGACTTCCTCTCTCAGTGTCTCACTTTTCCAATCTTCACTTTAGTCCTCCACATCGGTTTGCAATTTTTAAAATAAAATCCATGAAAATCCATCAGCATTTTAGTATGAATTTCTCCTAATACACTCATTTGCATGCAAACTTGCCTAATGTACACATCTCTGAAAAGCTGTTTCCCCAAATATAATGCATCTGTGTGTGCTATTATCATGCATATTATATATGCATTTTGTGCACACTTTATCCCAGTGCATGCATTTTTGTATGCATTCCTTGGCTGGATAACTGCACTTCAAAAAATCGAAGAAGTGTGAATGTCAAAGGATCCCTCCATCCCAAGATCCAGGGGAAAGCAGTCAAAGTTGATTGGTCAGCACTAAGGAAAGCAGCCCCCACAAAAGGTGAAGGACCCAACTGACCTTCTTGTAGATGGCAGCCATAAGAGCAGTGCGTACGAGCATGCCCAGTTCAAAGCAGAGTTGGAAATACTGCTGTAGGCAGATGGATTGCACCAGTGCGGTCAGAAACAGCAGCACTGCATAGAGGTAGCCATGCCAAAGGTAGGCATTTGGGTCTGACACAAAGGAGATCATCAGCCTGCCAGAGAAAATATTGATGAGCATCTCTCTAAATTCGACTCAGACTTGCACAAACCACACCCCAATAACACGCCCGCCTCCCACAAGCCCTAAGCATCAGTCTCTTGTTCTTCCACACACAGGCTACAGGCTCCTCCTCAACCAGGCTCATGCAACGCAACCATATGTCACATGTGGACAACTCACAGGCCACATGCAACCTTTGTGGCTCTCTCCTGAACACCTCCATGTCTCCAGTGGAAAATTTAAGTATACATGTCCACCCAGAAATAAGTCCCATTGTGCTCAGTGAGACTTATGCCCAGTCCCAGCTAAGTATATATGTGACAGCAGCCTTAGGGATATATCTCAATTAAGTCTAAAACATAACTCATCACTATTCCTCAATGCAGAGACCAAACTGTGTCCTTCCCTGGAGCAAGCTCTGCTACTTATCCCCTACAGTGGACAACTAATATGAGATAGCTAAAATGGGACCACAGTATAAAACCTGGACCTGGGAAAATCATTTTTCAGATCCAAACCCTGGCTTTCTCTCAGAATGTTCCTCATCTATAAAAGCCATCTTAATGCACCATCTTACAGCAGAAGCGCAAGGAAATTGTTTTAGTTGCACCTGGAATCTTCAGGCACATAGTTTGTGCCTTTAAAATGGTGAGAATATTTTAAGGAATTCATCAGCGTGTGGATGGTCCAGACCGTATAAATGGATTTCCAGCCAGTGACAAGATCTTCCTGCATCAGAAGCTTATTTAAACCCCATCGCCCACCATCCAGGGCACCAGGAAAACTCAGAATTAAAAAGTGGAGCTAGGAGGACTCACTTCAGTAGCTGAGGGCTCACAAACACCAGGAGGTCTTGCACTACCTTGAGTGCCACTGATTTCATAAGGTTCCCAGCAAAGGTTCGGAATATAGAAGCCATCAGCCAGCTCTTCGCGTAGTCCCCACGAGAGTCTTTCTTGTCTGCCTCCTTCTTGCCTTTTTCCTTTTTCTCTTCCTAAATTCAGAGCAGGGTTTAGGTTTGGCAGGCATCAAGCAGCCCCCAACTCTCAGGGTGGGGCAACTGCCACATAAAGCCAGCCATCTTATTTATTTATAAAGATTTATTAATTTGATAAATTTGTATCCCACTTCACTTCCCAAAGGAGCCCCAGGGTGGCAAACAAGAAGTTATAAACTATAAAAACATATTTTGAACCTCTTAAAAAGAATTCCAATACAGATGCAGACTGGGGAAGTTACTAATTTAGAAGGCTCCTCGAAAGACAATGGTCTTCAATAGATGGCAAAAAGACACAGAGATAGCACCTGTCTAATTTTCAAGGGAGCAGGGTTCAAAGGATAGGGACCGCAACACTAAATGTTTGATTCCTACATTGTGCAAAATGGAGCTTCTGATACATGCAGAAGCCGCCCCCCACTTGTAAAGCACAGTGATATTGCCACCGGACCCCCAAATAGCTCTAAGCTGCAGTGGGCTAGGGGATCCTGTGTGGGCTAAGCTGCAGTGGGCTAGGGGATCCTGTGTGTAAGATTTCCTCCCATTCAGCCCAGCATTTGGATCTGAAATGCAAGCCCCCGCTCTCTCTCCCAGCAGCAGTAGTTACCAAAACCAATGCATCCTGACTCTGGGCTTTGCTCAAGCCATTCATGTGCTGGTCAGTAGCTGCTGAATGACGTTTCCTCTTCCGTTGCCGGATCTCCAGTTTCCGCTGAGCATTTTTTATTCCAGCTGTCATGTTCTTCTCTAGCGAGCCTAAAATTTTCCCCGTCTTATGTTCTTCCTTCAAGTCCCAGAGGTCATCAATTTCTAGTGGCTTGCGATAGCCCATGAACACCATCCTGAAAGGTACAGCAGATTTACTCAGGTGCTCAAAACCCTTGCTGCTCTTCACCCCGCTAATTTGTTGCTTTGACCATGCTCAGGCACAACAGTGAAATGAGCCCTGTATCCAAGGGTTGGGGCTTCGGGGGAAGTGAGAGGCTGCCAGCTCCCCATCAGTTGGCACTTGTTTAACAGAATGAAGAATTCCAAAAGGCTAGACCCTCTAGTTAGACACAGCAGAGGAAATAAAAGACTGAAATAGGAGCTTGGTTTCAAACACTACATTGCAGTACGGCATTTCCCACCATGCAAATATTTCAGATCCAGAGCCCTAGTGATTAGAACTCTGTGGTCTTAACCCCTTCATATACTAACTAGCACTGTTAGGTTTGACTGCAAATCTCCCACATGCACAATGGGAGGAGAGCAGGGAGAAGTCCTGTTTCATAAGCTGAAATCCTTGCACTAATGGGATAGATTAGTTGACCCTAACTCTAACCTTTATTCTCCTAGATGTAATACACTTATCTTTTCCACTCAGATTTGCATACCTGCTGTACCACTGGAAAGTGAGGAAGCTCAGGAAAGAGGCCACAATCTCTGGGTTCTGAAAAAGACAAGAGGCAGAATGTCTAGGTGAAAAATTCAGGGAACAACAGTGACGAGGTGTGACTAACTTGGCTAACACCTTTTGAAACAAAGCCTTCAAGACATATATGGCAAATTTTCCTTTTGAGACCACTCCCACCAAACAGTGCATCAGGCAGCCAGGTGTGGCCTATGAAACCCAGCTTCCTGGTGAGCTGATGTGTGGAAACGTTCCCTATCCCATCAAGCCCGCTCTGAGAACCTATACAAAGTGGGAATACCATGCAAGATACCAATGGCTGTTCCTGTCCCAAAGGTTATCCTACAAGTCTAGTACATGTAGCTGAAGACACTCACTTTCTTTGCAGCTTCCTTCATTTCGGGGGCAACGTCGGAAACAATAGAGATGAAGAACAAAATAAGTTGAAGCCCATAGGAGACAAGGAAGAAGCTAAAACGTGGCACATCAGTGATGGAGCCCTGCAAGAGAAGAAAGCAAATGGGAGATACTAGTGGAAGTAACCAAATTGTGGAGCTGAACCCACTTCTTCCCAAGCAGTTAGGGCTAAAGTCTGCACCAGGACAACTCCTTCCTGCAGCTTCTTTTTGGCCTTTCTTCCCACTCCCCCCTGCCTCAAGACTGTCCTGAGAAATAGGGTGGGTGAACCACAGCAGACAGGCTTGCAGAGCTGAATGACCCCAGAGGTGGCTTTGCTGGGGCCACCTCAACCTTTGCCATCCTGGGTTGCCTAGTTTTTCATAGACGTCTTGTGTTTCTGACCTGTATTGCTTGCCGGATGAGAGTCTGGAGCTGAAATACACCACAGAGCACAGAAAGGAGGAGGAAGATGAAGAGAGTCCCCGAGTCTCTGCGGACAGTGAAGCGGCGGCTGTCATGGATCAGCAGAACGAGCAACTGCAGTAGCGAAAAAGAGCCAAGAGTTTGCAAGACTGGGTTGGTTTCAGGGTTAGGAAATGGAGGGAGGCGTGATGTAAACTCATAGTACCAGGCTGGACATCAAACTTGATAATGAAGAGGAGAAGATCCACCTTATTAGCTCGCTGAACATGCTCACTTGAGACAAGCTCAAAACATGGCTTGTGACTTCTAGTCGAGCTTCCAGAATGAGATCTGGAAACAGACTGATGAAATAAGAGAATGGCCTTTGCCTTCATAATTCTAAATTTGTATAATGCTTAAAAAATCTACCTCTACTTCCTAGCTAGCTAGCCAGGGTGTAATTGAATGTGACAAACTAAATCAGTGGTTCCCACCCCACCCACCCCTGCAGAGCACTTGAAAACTGCTGAGGGTCTTGGCAGAATCACTTAATGGTTTTTCTGCCTGTTGTAGCAATTGTGATGTGCTGTGCTAGGTGCTGTATGATTTTATTGCTTCTTTTATTTCTTAAGATATGGCTTTTGATGATAGAATTCAAATTACAATAAAATAAAATATCAGAAATAGAAGCAGCAATAAAAATACAATTAAAAATCTATCTATCTATCTAACACACTTTTATACCAGTGGAAGGGGTATTGAGCAGGTGTGAATCTAATTGGGTTGTCAGTTCTGGTTGCTGTTTTCAACTCTTTCTCCCTGTTGTATTTTCCTGATAAATGCTGCCTCATCTCAAATCTGCTCCTTGCCCCACAGGAGAAGATGTACAGGTACCCATCTTCAGGGACATACCAAATAAGATGTGACTTGAGGTGTATGATGCACCTTGGGGTAGCAGGTTGCCATTGAAGGGACAATGCGAAAGGGATCTACCCTCGTGGAGAAGCACTTTGAGAGTAATATGAGGGTGATGGACGAATTTTGTTCATTGAATATTTGTACTAAGATTGTCCCACTGTTTTTATTGTATTTTAAACCACCCAGCGGACTTGGGCCAATGGGCAGCCACTGTTGTTGTTGTTGTTGTTTTCTCACATGCGGCTTAATGTTCCTTGTTAGTTTGTTCTTTTCATGGTGTACTTGGGAAATATGGGAGTTTGATGATGGGGAATTAGTGTGGGATCACTTTTTATTATGTTCTAGTGTCTGCGTTTTATGTTGTGGTATAAGGTTTGGGTTAATAAATAAATAAATTTATTATCATCCTAAATCTCCCTTAAAAAAAGAAAAAGCCGTTTCAGGCAGCTGCTTTAAAGATCAGAGAAGATCAGAGCGCTGGCATGGGGGGGGACAGCATTTGACTTTTCTTCCTTGTTTTTTTTCTAATGTAACCCCCTCCCTTCAAAGTACTATTCTGGGTCTCATCAGGACTTGTATTCGCACACAGCCCAATGGAAACAGAAGGCTGAAACTGGAGTTGGCAACTCTGTGGTGAAAACAACTTGTCCTTTTAAAGGACACTTTAATTCCAGCACAGGACATGGTTTGATGAAGGAGAGCTCTCACCCAACTAATGAAGTAGAGTGCTGGATTCAAGTACTGGACAACTGGGTTTCGGCTAACAGGGGTTGGGTGTGGGAGGTTTCCTAGGTCTTCAGCAACAGTGAAAAACACTTCAGCAAGGGACATCAGTAAGAGCAGCGCAGCCAGCACCTGGCAAAGGAAGAGCAGAAGTGTCAGATTGCTACCTGCAACGTTCTAGGAGAATAAGGCTGCAAGGAGCTTCTAAACCCATTGTGGAGAAGCTACATATGCAGGGCAAAGCCACATTCCACAGCACAAGTGGCCCAGGAGCACTGCTGTGCATCACACCCTCCATCAAGTAAAAATCAAGTGTACTGATACGCCCCTTTCCTGCAAGGAATGCACTCAAAGCGGGTTCAAAACACATAAAAATCCCTGTGTTATTTATAATATAAATATATGTATATGTTTGTTAGTTTTGATTGAGTATTCCTTTTTATAACAATCACAGCGCAAACTACATCAACAGTAAATACACTACAGTACTTGATTCCTAACAATTCTGTATATACTAAACACCACCACTATCGTGACGGCATTACATAAGCAAGACGTGGTTCAAAGGCTTCTGGCCAAAGGACACTTAAGTTCATCTGACCCTCCGACTTTCCTGCTCTTTCCACCCACATTTCCCAGTTAGCACAGATCCCTACTTCACTTAAACCCTTTCAGGGTTTCTCACATCACCCCCGTCCACCTCCCAGAGAACTGCTTTGCCCTTTGATCTGCATGCCCTTTGCTTCCACCCTGCTACTAACTCCGGGGCACACCTTTCTCTCCCACCTGTTTAATAAGGTAAACTCTTGTGACAGATGATTTCTTCATCCTGGATGTGCAGATGTGGAGAAGCTGCACTGGGCCAAAGAGCCAGAGGAAGCCCAGGGGGATCCAGACCAGAACAGTCTGTTCAAAGCAGAGTGGCAGGTCGGCATCATTCCGGTCCAGGAAAGAAGAGTTCTGGAGGCATCAAAAACAAAAAAAATAAGGCATATGCCAACACTTGCTAAGATCTTTAGCCCACATGTACTACCTGACATAGTTTCACACGTATCCATGCCCCACACCACTATGCGTTGCACCAGGGATGGAGAGCCTGTGGTACTCAAGATGCTGATGGAGTCCAACTCTCATCCGCCCCAACCATCATGGCCAATGGTTGAGGATGATGGGAGCTGCAACACTGTGGTGGTGGTGCCTTACATCTCTGTTCCATGTTCCACTGTGGATCTACACAGACAATTAGCATGTAAACATTGACAGCAATTGCCACAATTCCAATACCACAGCACCTGCCATGAACTCATTACAATGCTATAACATCTTCCAAAGATTTGCTGTATTTGGCCAATGCATCATAACACAACCCCAGGATAACTGATTTCCACCTCCAGTCTCCACTGCTGTTCTGAGGGTGTTCTTGTTCCATTGATTTACAACCACCCTTACTCATCCTTATGCTAACCCATTCAGTATGACTCACCTGCAATCAAGCCAGTTAGTGATGCTTTGTGTTAGAATCCAGTGACATTTTCAAGTGGGCAAAAGTCAATGTTTGTATTCACCATAACACAGCACTGGTGTTTACTACCAGCATGTAATTGCGTTGAACCTTTGTTGCACATGCTATCTAATAAGAGCAGTTATCAATTAGAGATACCCTGGTGGGATATCTATATGGTTTATGATGTACATGTTGTGTGAGCTAACATTGCTGATACTGTGTTTAACTCTCAAACTGATTGGACATCCTTTCTTCCCCTTAATTCAACATTTACCATTATTTCTGCAGAACAAAACTGGATTTCGTTTTTACTACACTGGTATCAAAACAGCTGTAGAAAAATCTGTTTCTTACAGCGCAATGATTGCAGCCCACATTCCCTTTAAAGAAACTTCAGCATGCAGCTTGGTTGAGCAGTTTTAATGGAGCAAATATAATTATTAAGTATTTTTGCATGACTCTTTAGGGCTTGTATTTGTAAAGAACTTTTGAGTTAATTGTTAAATGGGGGAAACAGCTAATGAATCTACAGTGGAGAGAGCGCCACAACAACACAGCCCCATGATATACATGCAAAATGATGTGACAGTGTCCCACTGGAGGCAAAGCCAGTAATGACCCCACTGCTGCCAGCCCCCAGGGCATCCGTCTAGGAAGAGGACTGAGTCCTTTTATGTGACACACAAGCACCATTTTGGAGCAGAACAAACACACACAGGGCAGTGGTGGACCTTGGTGTCTCAAATTTCAGTGGCACCCTGTGGGACACCAAAATCCGGCACTCTCACCTACCATTGGACATAATAGTGGACTGCGCTCCCCTGGAGCTGATAAAACCCCATGCTATACAAGTAATGATGTGCTGTAATTGGGTGCTCTGCTGTGACAATATGGGCAGGATGGTTGTTGTCATTGTTGAGGGAGTGCCTGTTTTTTGTTTTAAATTAAAACCTCCCACTGAAATCTATGGAAAGAAATTCCTTCTACAAGGGTCAGGACGGTGTAAAGTTGCACTGCTACTAGGGGCAAAACCATGATCTGGAGTACAGAATATGTATCCTCTTCCTGTGTCACCCACACAACTCCTCACTGTTTCAGTTGCGCCGCAGACACCCAATTGCCAATGAAACTACATCAGTGGAATATTCTGACTGCGTTATCAGTCATGTGTTATGTCATGTGACTCTAGTCCAGTATTGTCTACTTTGACTGGCAGTGGTTCTTCCAGGTTTCAAGCAGGTACCAATGGGCTTTTGATGTTTGCCCTGACAGTTTGAAGTAATTGCTGGAGACGTCACCATTTCAGAAACACAAAATCTTGTTTTATTGGAGGCACCAGGAGAGTCCTGCCTGTTACGTATGAAACAGACTCTTGGCTTGAACAGAATCAGGGGAAATCCCAACATCCTTCACTGCAAAGGAAGAGTTAGTGTTGTACTCTACTTGCCAAGAGGACCACTAGTAGCTAAGGACGTAAAGAGACAGCGATTTCCACCCTGTCCTCCCTTTGTTGCAATCATCACTGTTTCCATTCTGCTACAGTTCAGTTATAACCTAAGTTAATTTGTTTTGCTATCTGCTATAGCCGAAACTAGCATAATGAATTATGTAACCGATTTCAATACATTTTAATGAAAGGGAAACATCAAAAACAAAATTATGCATGTAATATTCATGGACTTAAATAAACAACAGCTGATATCATTTGTATTTGCATGGTTACTGTTACTGTTCCTGATTTTGGGTGAACATACAAATTGTGGCAATTTCTGCTCCCATTTCTGTTTCTGGTGGAATGCCCTGAGACCCCTATAAGCAGTAGATGAGACAACAACTCTCAAACAAAGGCAGATGCACTCTGATCAGCTTAGTCAGCTTCACTCACTAGCTCTTGTTTAGCAATTTAAATCTCCTGGTGCTCAGGACTTCTCCATCAATGACAAGGAAACAGATCTGGGCAATTCACTAGAAAACCAGTACCTGACAGGGTGGCGCGACAATTTAAATTTACTTCACAGGGATGTGGAATGATCTAGCTCACGCAAAGGACTGGAGACTCCTCAAGTCAACAGCTAACCTACATGGTCATAATTATCAAGCACCAAAAGCCCTGGGAGCATACGACTTCAGAATGGAGCAGGAGAGGACCTGAACCAAGTGAAATGTTCTCTGAGAAGCTAACACATCAAGGAGAGACTTAGGCTATGGGCCCTTTGCCTACGATGGACATCTTTGTCAACTCTAGAATTTGTTGCGAGCACCACACACACAACACAGCACAACCAGTACTGTTGGCTACAAGATCATGATTCTTTCAGACTTAATTTCAGCTGAGGGAGAAGTGGAGGAAGAGGCCCACATTCAGAACTCCAGTGATAGATTTCATGAACAGGAAAGGTGTTTTTTTTACATATGGAATGAAGCACTTGATCTCCCCAGTTGCATTCTGCTATACTATGTGGCATGCCCAATAATGTAGATCACCTAATTGTGACCCCATCTTCCGTTTCTGTGTGAGATTAAAGAACCCTCCTATTTTCTCTACAGTGAATCATTTGAGTCAGAGTTACAAGTGAAGCGGTCATGACTGTATCATACATGGAGTGTTAACATCTCCACTAATGCTTTGGAGCCCTCCTGCCCTCTAAGACACTACAGTGGTACCTCGGGTTACATACGCTTCAGGTTACAGACTCTGCTAACCCAGAAATAGTACCTCGGGTTAAGAACTTTGCTTCAGGATGAGAACAGAAATTGGGCTCCAGCGGAGCGGCACCAGCGGGAGGCCCCATTAGCTAAAGTGGCGCTTCAGGTTAAGAACAGTTTCAGGTTAAGAGCGGACCTCCGGAACGAATTAAGTACTTAACCCGAGGTACCACTGTATTATTATATAGGTGACCCCTCCACTTGCATAGGGGTTATGTTCCAGGCCCTCACGTGTATAAGTGAAATTGAGTAACATGGGGAGAACCTGCTAAAAAGCCTCCGAATGCCTGTTTCTCCCTGCTAAAAGTTGTATAATTCTTTATCTCCCTGACATCTGATGGGAGAGTGCTCCACAGGGGAAGGTGCCACTGCTGAGGAGGCCCTCTGCCTGGGAAGGGTCTCCTCACAAGCCATGAGGACTGTCCAGCTCTCTCCCAACTTCCAATGCTCAGTGCACCCACTGGAGCAGTAAGCGACACAAAGATGATGTTCATTGTAAAACCCCAGACTCGCTACATTCAGACTGCAGGCGTTGCTTTTACTAAGCGTGCACACAGAACTAACACACCACCACTATCCCAACTCTCAAAGTAAACAGCCCTAACAGAAGCGTTTAGCCATCCTCCCGCAATTCAGGACATTCCACTGCACTCTGGCCTTTAGATTTACAGTGTGACATCCCTGCCAGAAGCTGAGCTACCATACACGCAGGGAGAAACCGCCACTCACCCAGAAAACTGAGCCACAGTACTGCTCCAAGGCTGCTGCCATGGCAAGGCACTTCTTCCTCCTGCCTTTGTCCGACCTATGTATCAGCCTGAGAGGCTGAGCAGGACGAAAGTCTCACAGGTTCAACGGAGGGGCGTTGGGCACAGCCTCTCAACAACAGATCATTAATCGTTAACTCCTGGTGTGCAGTCAGCCCCATGGATCAAATTCATGAACCTTGGATGGAATAGGCAGAGGAGCTGCCTGGGTATAGCCAGAGACACTGCAGGAGAGGTGGCGGCGTGGATTCTGGTGGGCAGCAACATGTGCTGTCTTGGATGAGATCCCTCAAGTTGACTCACCACTAGTCTAAGACCCCCTTCCCCAGTGGTGATAAAGTTGAATAATGCCTGGGAAGAAAGCGTGGGAAGACAACCATCACCCCTTTTCCACACCAGGGAATTTCCTATGCTACTCTCCACCTCCACGGATTTCCAGGACAGTCTCGGTCTGATTCTGCCCCATTATTCTTCTGCATCATGATTTCTGTGGGCAAGGGGTTTCTGAAAGTATGCAGCAGGGTCTTCCCCATTCCAGCAGCTAGGTATCCCCATTGTGTAATCCTACACAGCCAGTCAAGCGTCACGGAGTGTTCTAGTGTCCCATCAGATTGGTACTGCACTGGGGGATCCATAGATCTCAACTGGGAAGTACTGAATCACAAAAAGTGGTCTGAGAGGGGGGTGGGGGGTGGGAACTATGAAAGTACTACTCGGGATGAAAGACAAAAACTGAACCTGTCCCTAGCTACCAGCAGTAGTACTGACATCATTGTGTCCCCCCCCTTGCCCAAAGTGCTCCAGAAACAAACTGAAAAAAGCCAAGAAATTCTGCTGTCTCATTCTTTATACAATCAATAAACCCAGAACCGACTGTGATTCATAGTCCTGACAAAAGGGTCCAATGTCCACGGAACAAGCAATTTAAATCCCTCGTGGTTAATTATTAGATAGTTAATCAAATCTCATCATATTATAAACAATGTCCCTATCTGGATGGCAGCGGTCTGTTAACATTCAGGAGCACACAACACAACCTTAGGAAATAGGAAGTGAAGACCACCTTTCCACAATGGACAACTTTCTAACTCCCAATTCTGCCTTACGCTGAGACACAGGGAAGGGCCAATGTGTGGTTCTACCACAGGGTGAAATAATTCCTTTCCTATAAATTGGTGTTAATGGTAGGCTGTTGCAACGGTGTTCCCCTTTCTCAGGGTAATTTTATTTGTAAAGATGGAGGGGGGCAGAGTTGAATTTCATAGATCAGTGCAGACACACAGGTTCTCAGAATTCACATCTGCTTTTGCTCCTTATCTAGTCCTGCTAAAGTAAGCCTAAGTTCATGGTTTGTCTTGCTTCAGACATGGGCCCAGGCTTAGCTTGAAGCAGCAGGCCCAGAGGAGCAATCACAGTCTCTCCTCCTCTGTATGCCAGAGCATTTGTGCCAAGTCATGATTTGGCTTAGCTTTACTTGTGAGTCATTGTGTGAGATCCACAATGGCCTTTAGCAGCAGAAACAACATGACTATCTCTTACACAATCTCTGAATCTCTAAACTCCCCTTACCAGAGTCAAGATAAAACCTCAAACGTTTTCTGAACTCCTCTGAACTTCTGCTCCTCCTCAAGATACTGATTATTCTGGAAGGTTAACTTACCTGAGGAGCTGCCCTGCTTGTCATGAAGCTATGCATATGGAGGCAAATGCCATAAGGGCAAGAAAATGATGCCCTTATGGCAACCTTGCAGCCTGGCCACTGTATTTCATGTATTGATAAACGTGAGGTTGGATTACTGCAATGTGCTCTGTGTGGGGCTTCCCTTGGCCTCGTTCCGCCTGAACCCTTATAATCCCAGCTCAGTCACTAAGATCATTTGCAGGAGCGTTGTTGGTCATTCCCCAAATTGGTGGAGATCTGACAAGAAGCATCTAAGCCTTTAGCGTCATCAGTCCAGCACTGTGGAATGTTCTGCCAATAAGGATTAACAGGTTCATGCAGGAAATCAAGAATACATCTTTCCGTAAAAGTTACCTCATTTCTGATTTTAACTTTTCAATATGGTTTTCGTTGTATGGTTTTATGTATAATTGTTGCAAACCACTCTGGTATATATATTTTTTTATATAAATTAATTACATAGAAACTTCACCCACTCTAATGACTTCTGTAGGACAGGATCCAGAACCTGACAACAATGAAATTTTGCTGTCAGGTGTACAGAACTGCAGTGCTTGGTCACCTTGTGGTCGCTCTCTTAACCCCTGTTCTCAGAGATCCCTCCTGCCGCAATTGCAATATTGCTTTACCACTTTCCTCTATGTACTTCAAAGAGGTAGTCTTCCACTCCAATCAAACTGAGGTGGGGTGAAGGAAGCCTGCAACACCCAATGTGCTCTCCCCCCCCCCCGGCCCATTTCCTTTGGGAGCAGTTCAAAGTCTTGCCATGGCCTCTACAGGAAGAAGAGCCACAGTGATACGGAGTGGCTTCAGGGTTTATTTGAGAAGAGACCTTAACAGGGAGAGTGTTGCCCGATGGTGAGTGCCCCTTTAATTAAGCCCCTCCCCATCATTTGCTCCCCACAGACAAAACGGCATTACGACATCTGAGGGAAAAACGCTGTGGAGCAAGTGGGAATAGGAGAAAAACAAGCAGAGGCTTCTTCATTTGATTGACCCATGTCCTTTAAGCGCTGGCAAGGATGCTGTTGCAATGTCTAAGTCTATGGATTGCGCAGGTCACAGGGCTCTGGGTCTTCCTGGCCCACAGTAGCTTGTTCTACAGGATATTCTTTGCAATTGCATTCAGGGTCCTCACTTTAGCCACATCGGCCACCTTGATGGAATATTCAGGTGGGAAGTACTGAATCACAAAAAGTGGTCTGAGAGGGGGGTGGGGGGTGGGAACTATGAAAGTACTACTCGGGATGAAAGACAAAAACTGAACCTGTCCCTAGCTACCAGCAGTAGTACTGACATCATTGTGTTCCCCCCCCCCTTGCCCAAAGTGCTCCTGAAACAAACTGAAAAAAGCCAAGAAATTCTGCTGTCTCATTCTTTATACAATCAATAAACCCAGAACCGACTGTGATTCATAGTCCTGACAAAAGGGTCCAATGTCCACGGAACAAGCAATTTAAATCCCTCATGGTTAATTATTAGATAGTTAATCAAATCTCATCATATTATAAACAATGTCCCTATCTGGATGGCAGCGGTCTGTTAAAATTCAGGAGCACACAACACCACCTTAGGAAATGGGAAGTGAAGACCACCTTTCCACAATGGACAACTTTATAACTCCCAATTCTGCCTTACGCTGAGACACAGGGAAGGGCCAATGTGTGGTTCTACCACAGGGTGAAATAATTCCTTTCCTACAAATTGGTGTTAATGGTAGGCTGTTGCAACGGTGTTCCCCTTTCTCAGGGTACTTTTATTTGTAAAGGTGGAGGGGGGCAGAGTTGAATTTCATAGATTAGTGCAGACACACAGGTTCTCAGAATTCACATCTGCTTTTGCTCCTTATCTAGTCCTGCTAAAGTAAGCCTAAGCTCATGGTTTGTCTTGCTTCAGACATGGGCCCAGGCTTAGCTTGAAGCAGCAGGTCCAGAGGAGCAATCACAGTCTCTCCTCCTCTGTATGCCAGAGCATTTGTGCCAAGTCATGATTTGGCTTAGCTTTACTTGTGAGTCATTGTGTGAGATCCACAATGGCCTTTAGCAGCAGAAACAACATGACTATCTCTTACACAATCTCTGAATCTCTAAACTCCCCTTACCAGAGTCAGATAAAACCTCAAACGTTTTCTGAACTTCTCTGAACTTCTGCTCCTCCTCAAGATACTGATTATTCTGGAAGGTTAACTTACCTGAGGAGCTGCCCTGCTTGTCATGAAGCTATGCAAATGGAGGCAAATGCCATAAGGGCAAGAAAATGATGCCCTTATGGCAACCTTGCAGCCTGGCCACTGTAGTCCATGTATTGATAAACGTGAGGTTGGATTACTGCAATGTCCTCTGTGTGGGGCTTCCCTTGGCCTCGTTCCGCCTGAACCCTTATAATCCCAGCTCAGTCACTAAGATCATTTGCAGGAGCGTTGTTGGTCATTCCCCAAATTGGTGGAGATCTGACAATAAGCATCTAAGCCTTTAGCGTCATCAGTCCAGCACTGTGGAATGTTCTGCCAATAAGGATTAACAGGTTCATGCAGGAAATCAAGAATACATCTTTCCGTAAAAGTTACCTCATTTCTGATTTTAACTTTTCAATATGGTTTTCGTTGTATGGTTTTATGTATAATTGTTGCAAACCACTCTGGTATATTTTTTTTTATATAAATTAATTACACAGAAACTTCACCCACTCTAATGACTTCTGTAGGACAGGATCCAGAACCTGACAACAATGAAATTTTGCTGTCACGTGTACGGAACTGCAGTGCTTGGTCACCTTGTGGTCGCTCTCTTAACCCCTGTTCTCAGAGATCCCTCCTGCCGCAATTGCAATATTGCTTTACCACTTTCCTCTATGTACTTCAAAGAGGTAGTCTTCCACTCCAATCAAACTGAGGTGGGGTGAAGGAAGCCTGCAACACCCAATGTGCTCTCCCCCCCCCCGGCCCATTTCCTTTGGGACCAGTTCAAAGTCTTGCCATGGCCTCTACAGGAAGAAGAGCCACAGTGATACAGAGTGGCTTCAGGGTTTATTTGAGAAGAGACCTTAACAGGGAGAGTGTTGCCCGATGGTGAGTGCCCCTTTAATTAAGCCCCTCCCCATCATTTGCTCCCCACAGACAAAACGGCATCACGACATCTGAGGAAAAAACGCTGTGGAGCAAGTGGGAATAGGAGAAAAACAAGCAGAGGCTTCTTCATTTGATTGACCCATGTCCTTTAAGCGCTGGCAAGGATGCTGTTGCAATGTCTAAGTCTATGGATTGCGCAGGTCACAGGGCTCTGGGTCTTCCTGGCCCACAGTAGCTTGTTCTACAGGATATTCTTTGCAATTGCATTCAGGGTCCTCACTTTAGCCACATCGGCCACCTTGATGGAATATTCAGGTGTGGAGAGGTAGGCCCCCATGGTAGTGTAAGGGTTTCTAAAAGAATACCAACAAGTCTTTGGTTACTGTCTGGAACCTGGACCTAGAAGAGCCGGAAAAAGAACCATCCTAAGTCCTACCCACTGGGCCATAATCTGCTGTCATGTTGCCATTTGGGTGCTACCTTAACCCATTGCATCTGCAACTATGAACTACAGACACAAGTCCATCCCTAATGCAACAATGCCTTGCTCCCAGCTAAATGCACCTGTCAGGTTCCAGTGCCCCAGATGTTCTTAGTCAAGTTACTACCCCAAACGGTGGAGATGGAAGCAAGGCTTGGGCCCCTCAGTAAGTCAGGACAGAAACTTGCTCAGTTACCTGAACTTCATTCCTGAGTCTTTGACTGAGCGCGCTGAGCAGTGAAACTCAGAGGCGCCAGAGCCTTCTAAGATTCTCTGCAGGTTTCTCTCGGTTATGCCTCCCCCTGGTGAAGAGAACCCATCACTCAGTCACAAACATGAAGTTAAGCAGGAATAGACAGAGCTACATTCTGGGTCATTAAATAGATGGGGGAAATCCCTTTGCTCTGAACCAGGGGCTAATCTTTAGGGTCAATGCAGGCTGCACTCGCAGCTCTGAAGCAGGTAGAGCTCCTAAATATGCCTCTGGAAGGGAGCAGATGCCCATCAGGTATTATCTTATCAGTTTAGCTGCTGATTAGCACAAATGGCCCAGTGCTTTTGTTTTGCCTGACACTTAGTGATCACTCAGGAACACGATAAGGGAACATTAGTTAATGTTCCTTGATGCCTGGAAATCTTTGCCTTCATAATGCCATACCTATAAGACTTTAAGGAAAGGACAGATAGCTAGAAGCAAATTGAATTTGGATTGACAGAGGCAAAGAGTCTACAGCAGCAAGTTAAGCAGGTAGGAGTTGTGCGTGGGTGTCCACACTATTCCTTTAACCTAATGCAGTTTCAGCAGTTGTGACGTCCATCTATTTCTACTACACTCTGTCTGTTTTTATATCTGCAAATAAATAAATATTATAAAGATTAAATCTTTCATGCACTCTCATCCAAAGGGAATTGCACCCTAAAGCTCTGTTCCTGGACTTCTTGCCACTTGGGCAAGTGGGGCTGCCTAACAACATGCTTGGTTGGTGCTACAGTTCTGATCTACGCCAACAAGTGGTACTCACTGCAGAGTCTTACCTGGCACTACAACAATCCTGCCCTTAGCCTGAAAAGGAAGAGAAAAGGGGTTTAGTGGTATTGCTTATTGCACAAAACACACCAAATGGGTAGCACAAATATTCTGTTAAGGAAGATGTAGAATGTATTTATTTGCAATATTTAATTTCATTTTTTTATGCTGCTTTTCAAAGGGTTTGCTCCAACTAATACTGTCACACTGAGTTTCTTACATGCTCCTCTAGGAAAGTATGCTCCCACACTTGTCTATCATTGTGTATATTTCACCTCTGCAAAGTCAAACAACTGAGGATCTACCAAGTTTCACCTCCATCCTGGGACTGTTGAACTTCAGAAACTATATGCTGTCATATCAGTATTAGCAGGACTGCTTCAACTTCACCCCAGTGTTAGAGACTGGAAGCAACTTTAAAATAACTGAGTGACTCCTTCGTTGACTTTTTTGTCTGTTGTGAATTCTGCTGGACAGGTGTGAGATATGGGTGTGCCATGCACATATTGTGTACTTAACAGAGAAGAAGGGAGCTAATTTATTGCAGTAGCCTATGGGAATTCATGCAATACTGAAAGAAGCTATTGAATCAGAAGGTGCAAGGCACAGTTTCTGTATATTCAATGGGGAGGCCAGTTTTTACCCTTAATCGTTGAAAAACCCTCACTCATCTGAAGACCATGAAAGACTGCTAGCTGGCATTTCTCTGTCCCCACCACACACTGTCCAGTTCCTTGGACAGCCCACTCTTAAGTAGGCAAGAAAAGTGTATCAGAGTTACAAATTTGGTAGAGATGACACCTCACCTGTTCTGTCAGTCGTTTTATCAAGGGCAGCCCCTCTAGAACAGAGCTGTCACAGCCACTAGTCAGGACCCGTTCAAAGCCCATCGATATTAGCGTTTCCAAGGCTGCCAAAGGGTCATAGACCATGTCAAAAGCTGCTGAGAAAAATGGAGCATGTCAGTCTTTACTGCCAAATCTTCTGGAAAGCAAATCTACTGACATATTCCAGGCTTTAGCCTAGTCCCAAATCCCTGGTAGACAGACCTAATATGCGCAATTCCCAGAGAACATTCTCATAGTTCCCCCCACCAAGGTAAGGCCATTGTGCCTGAGCCTACGTCCTGCAAGTAGGCAGTCCGGCTTTCATTCCCCACTCCAAGCTCTGTAAGAAGAGTCTGCTGGATCTGTCCAATGGCCTATCCAGTCCAGCATCATGTTCTCACAGTGGCCAACCAGATGCCTGTGGGAAACCAGCAAGCAGAAACTCACCTCTGTGGAAGGTGACTGGCAGAGGGCGGGAAGCAGCTGCAAAAAGAACAGATCCCGGATGGTTAGTATACCTTTGGTTAGGGGTTGTCTTTGTGAAGGCAATGCTTCTGCTGCTGGCCCTGGAAAGAAAGGAAACTTCTCCAGATGGTTCAACCAAGGTGGCTGTAGTCATCTGACACCATTTCTGAAATATGGATTCATAATCCTTTCTCATTTCCACTAAGACTGCCCACTAGCTAGCTCTTTGAATGGCATTTCTTTTCACATTTTGTGTATCAAACCCCTCACACATGTTGGGCTTATGCACTTATTTAAAAAAGTAATCCTGGAGTAGACTGAAGATGTATCCACTCTTCCCTAGGTAGCCTGTGGAATAATCAGCCATGGAGTGAATGGATATTGGCTTCTGGTTAAAACAGTTTAGCTGCTGTATTTCAGCTTGCCTCACAGAACTTTTGCCACCTTTCCTCCTCCTGTGTGCTGTTCTGGGGGGGGGGCATGTAGGAATAGGACAGGCTTCACCCAGCTAGAGCCAATTTTGGGGGGGCATGCAGGGAGAGGACAGACTCCTAGCAAGACTAATTCTTCTTCAGAAGATATACTGTCAGTTTCAGTTAAATAGAGAAAATAGCTAGTAATTATTTTCTTTGCATTTTTGAGGGTCCAGAAAAACCATACAATTATCATTCTTTCAATAAAGTTTCCTATTCTTCTGGATAATTCTTCCTTCTGTGCAGAATTTATGGCTACCTATCACTCTCTCCATCAGATCTGCACAGTGCCCCTCCTTACACACAAAGGTCATTCATCCCAACCATTACAGCATTTGGCTCCTGCTTTATCTGAATAATTCATTCATTTATGGAATGACCTATGGAATGTCCTCCCTCTAGAGCAGCCTTTGTCAAATTAGCTGGGGCTAATGGGAGTTATAGCCCCAAACATCTGGAGGATACCAGCTTGGTGTAGACTGCCCTAGGAGCACGACTGGTGCTAAAGTGCTGTTGTCATTTTGGCGTCAGGTGAAACTTCAATATTTCCCCAGCCTCTTTTTTGGGAGTGGGGAGTCAGAAGTTCCATCACTTCTGCAACTGAAGAGACTGTAGCACCATGGCCGTTTCCCCCCTAATAAGCTCCATTTATATATGTTTTTATAAATTGTGCTGCATTGTTTTTATTCTGCTGTAACCCACCCTGGGATCACATGATGAAGGGTGGATTAGATGTTCTCCTATACTGTAAATTAATGAATGAATAGCTCAATGTAGTGAGGCAGGCTCTAGTATCTCATGGATCTTGCCTCTTGCCTGTAGGAAATATTTCTTAATTTGAACCAAGGAATTATTAGCTGATGGCACTGTACGACAATCACTACTCAAGCACCAAATAAGCCGTATGAAAAGTAAAGCCTGCTCACCCAGCAGCGCTGTGCAGAGCTCTGTATCCACACGTCCATCCTCAGTCAAGGCTCCAAACACCAACCCATCAGCCCCATGTTGCTTGGCAAGTCGGATGTCTGCCTTCATCACCTCCACTTCTCGGTCAGAATAGAGGAAATCCCCCCCACGGGGGCGGATCATCACAAATACAGGCACCCTTGTACACTGCTTCACCACTTGCAAAAGGCCTGCAGACAAACATGTTTGGGACATGGTGTCAGTTATGTACTGGATTGTTCTATGAGATGGACAAGAAGTGAAACCTAGAACATGGTACGGAGGAACTTAGGAACATAGCAAGATGCCTTATACAAAGGGAGAACACTGAGCCATCTAGCTCAGTTCTGCCTATGTCTGGAGTAGCCAACAAGATGCCTTCCAGATGTTGGTGAACTACAACTCCAATCAATTGACCACTGACCGTTTAGGCTGAGGCGAGTTGGAGTCCAACAACACCTGGAGAGCCACACGTTCCCCATCCCAGAGCTAGACCATCAGCACTGGGTCTAAGAGAAGCAAGGGAGAAGAGAACAGGGCAGATGTCAAACCCTTTTTGCAGAATTTAGGAGAAGGGGCTGCTGAAGAAAGGAAGGTGAAATAGGGTGATTAAATAACAGCCTGTCTTGCAAAAAGACCAGGAGGTGCTGATGACACAGAAGAACACAAAAAGAGCAAGCAGAACAACCGGTATTTTCTTTCTGTTCCAGGAGCAGAGGGCCTAGAGGGCAGAGGTCCAAACATTTCTCCACATTGCTTGGCTGCTTAGTACTGCTACATCTTGCAGAGAAATGGTGGATTGGATCTTGGCTTGTATGTGCCAACTCACCTATAGTAGGTGTTGTTCCTCCTTCCATGAGGTTGGCACACAGTTCAAGGCGGCCAGCACCTGCAACAGGGTCACACATTAAACCTCTGAATATAAGTGGTTTGCAAGATTTTAACAGAGATCTACATTATGAAGAAACCATGTGGGCCTTGCTATAATACAACAAGGGAAGTTCACCCAGCTCCATCATTATATGTCCTCAGCTGCCAGGCAAAAACCTTCCTCTATAAGCAGGCCTTTGGCCTTTATCTGCGGCCATTTAGAAGTGGGTGGGATGTTTTTTTAAGTATTCCCTCCCTCCTCCCCTTGGTTTTAATGTATCTATGTTGGGTGTGTTAAGGTATGGGGGTGCTGTTTGTTTGTAAGTAGCAACTAACAAATTTAAGTAATAAATAAAATAAACCAATGGGTAGGAGTGCTGGAAATTTTCAAGCCAAGAGTGAGATCGGTCACCTGTATTTAGCTTATCCACATAGACTTCAACCCCTACTCAGGCAGTAACTAAGAAAGAAAATCAATAGGTGATTTGAGTATCTCAGCCCATGTTTGATAATGAACTGCAGCAAAACAGAGCAGGACAACTTAAGTAGTTAAAGCAGCTAAAGACAAGGCAAATTGACATTTATTCATTTAAATTTGCAGTTTGCCCTACTCTCAAAGGGTAGAGTAATTGGGTTGCAGTCAATTAAAATATATAAATGCATATCCTGAATATATGTGTCACTAACCTAGATCAGAACTTTGGAAGTCTTTACTTACTGACCAATTTATAACATTTAATATCCTACCTTTCAAGCCTAAAAGGGTTCATAAAACAGTTTCACACTGCTTGGGGAAGTAAGTGTGCCTCTCTTTTCAATACATATAGCATGTGTACCCAGGTGTCCTGGCCTAGAAAGACCCCTCAATGATCCTTAAGTATTTTCATCTTCCATCTTTTATATGGAATTACCTCCTCTCTCTGCATTCACAGCAGACTCCACAGAATCAACACATACTTCCATGAGAAAGCCATTGGCCATTCCTAGAAGAGAAACACAACCGGAGGTTATGGGGCAATCAGGCTCTGTCTCAGAGAAAAGGGACAGACAGTGATTGAGAGAGGCGATTCCTTCCACCTCAAGCTCCAGCGCTTGTTTTGTCTTTTAACTGGCTTCTTTCATCTTGCTCACCCAAGCACATCCAGCTCTCAGAAACAGAAGCTTCATAGATTCCCCATCACCAGTAACCTTACAAAGCCTTAACCTGTCAGCAGCTGCTTTAAAGGGTACACACAATAAGAACAGAAAACTTGTATCACCATGCAAATTTAAAGAAGAAATCAAGCTCAAAACAGGTACAGAAAAAACACATGGGAAGTTGAATGCTACTTTTGCTGCAACTCCTGATCCCCTTGCCTTCTTGCTCTCCCTGGATCTTGTTCTCTGTGTTGCATTGTCTGAACAGATCTGCCTGTCTATGTGTTTATATGTTTGTTTATTACCAAATAAGTCACTTTTCAGCCTTGTCTCCCAGAGTAGTATACAAAATTAAACAATAAATACAGAATACCAAATAATTAACAAAAAAGCAACTGTGAAAGTGGCACATACAAAAATCAGCAGACTAAAAACCTGAAAATTCTAAAATATTTTAAAAGACCTGTGCAATTAAAAAATGTTTATCTGGCACCAAAAAAAAATCAGCACTAGGTGAACCTTCCAATGGAGAATTATAAACCTCCGCTATCCCAACACTTCATCAGCTTCATTACTTACAGGGGCACAGGAGAAATTACTTAAAAGGGCACAGGAGAAATTAATACACTGGCAAGTTTATTCAGTAGGTGGTCCTTAATGTAACTGCATCATTAAAAGAGACTCTTGAACCCGATTTCTGCAGATTAGCACAAATCTAAAGTGGAATAAGGGTTTGAAGGGGGGGCTCCAATTTGGAGGATTCAAGGATGGGTCACAGCTCAGCGGTAGTGCTTTGTATTCAGAAGGCCACAGGTTCATTTCCCAGTAAGTCCAAGTAGGGCTATGCTGTTCCGTTTGAAACCCTGGAGAACTGCTGTCAAGTCACTGCAAACAATACTGAACTAGATGGCTCTATGGTCTGACTCACTTTAAAGTAGCGTTCTACCTTCCGAATAAAAAGCCTGCGCTGGTGATCCAGATTTTTCCTCCTTTCAGAATACTAAATTGAGTACGGCTGACTTCCCTTTCAGGATTCAGGTTCTCCAGCAGGAAGATGAAGTTGGGATGCAGGGGAACAGCTGACAGCAAGACCAGCCTGTAACCTGCAGAGTCTCCCTTAGGCAAATGCAGAACTTACTCTAAAAACTCCAACAACAGATGGAACTTTGGCCAATAACATAGTGCATTAAATGTGCATTCTGTAGTTGACGTCCTTTGTAATGTTTTGTTTTGAAATCTTTTAAGGTAAACTATGTCGCTTTGAAGGTACACTTTGTCTTTATTCTGTAATGCTTTACTCAGGATTGCTTTATTTGATGCTTCAATGTAGCTTGTAAAGCGCTTCAACTGCCCCCCCCTTAAAAATTAAACAGAAATTAAATAAATAAATACGCAAGCAAGCAAGCCCCACTGAGTGCAGGCAAGATTGCAGTCCTCAGGCCTATAGCTACAACCCTGCAGACGCTCACCTGAGACTAAGGACCCCTTTGGGCTCAAAGGCGTTTTACGCCTTAAACACATAAAGGCCTGAGCTGTAAAAATGCCAATAAAATCTTTCCCACTTGGTTTTGCTGAATGCGGTCTTGAGTGTGCACAGGGCCCCGCCCAGAACAACCCCATTAAAATTTCTGGCTCCTCTTACACCTGTGGAGGGGGAAAAGGAGGGCTTGAAGCCGCCCGGATTTCCGGCCCCGCCCTCGGGATTCCTCGGGATCCCTGGCGCTTCCTTCCGGTCGTCCCTCCGCCCACTCACCCTCACACCCTTCTGCCAGGCCCTGCTTCCGGTCCCATCTCCTCATTCCGCCTCGGGGCCGCTCCGGAGGCGCGGCGGATGTCGGCAGTTCTGCGCCAAACCAGCCCTGAGCCGAGGAGGAAGCCCCGCCCACCCCTTGGGCCTCGGCTTCCGCGCGGCGGCGGCGCACACGCGAGAGGAGGCGCCGTCCTACCTGTCACGTGGCGTCGCGGTCACCAAGTGCGCGGCCGCGGCGTTTCCGGAAATAGCTCGGGTTCCTTTCCGTGTCAAGAGCGAGTTGCTTCCGGGTTGCGGCTTGAGGAGCGATGCTCTTGCGCGCGGCACTAAGAGGGTCTCGGCTGTTGCTGGCCCCACGAGGAACGGGGTCCCCCGGCCAGGTACTCTAGGGGCGGCGCTTGGTTTCCATAGCAACGGGGACCGGGTCAAAGATGCCTCTTTATCGGCCGAGGGTTGCAAAACGAAGCGACCCCCTGCGGCTCCTCGTTTCTTAGCCTTGCGAGCAGGCTGAGTACCTGCCATCACGCTCTCTAAGAGACGCTGCTGGGGAAAATGCCAAGAGTTTCCGCCCTTACGTATCCTTTGCACTGTGCGAGGTGCTAATCAATGCTACCTCATTTCCCCATAGAGTGGGGAACTCTAATTATGGGTGGATATTCAAGAAAACTACAGACTCCATTGTCTGCACCTGTCACAACCAGGCACGTTAAAGGGAGCGGACTGAAGACTTGTTTCTCTAGGAGTTTCGGTGACTGCCAAAATATTTCGCTTGTATACCTACAGCAAGCCCTCAGCCTATGCGGGATTACATTCTGGGAATCATGCCTAAATCAAAAGTCACATATAGTCAAAACACATTAGGTTCAATGGCAGGTGGGATCGCCAAAGTCTTTTTCCCTGGACGCTTGGCCTCTTTTTAATTATTTTTTATATTGCCAAGCGCATATAGCTAAATGTGCACCAGTTAAATGTGTAAGTTGCAGGCTTTCTCTCTCTTTATATATAACTTTAACAATAGGTGTAATGTTTCATAGTTTTAAGTATTTTAGTATAGGATTTTTTTTAAAAGGTTCTATACCATGAACTACTCTGATCCCACCTAGATGAAGAGTAGTGTATACATGTTTTAAACAAATAAAATAACGATTATGAATATAACATCACATTTTATTACATGGTCACAGGCCCTGTAAAAACATGAACACTTTCTCCTCCATATGCTTTTAGTGTTTAAATAACATACTGGATCACACTTAGAGTCCATGGAGTTCAACCTCTTTTTGCTAATGGTGGCCAGCCAAATGCTTCTGCAGATTCCACAAGCAGGACACATAAGAACATATTGAAAATAAAAATAAGTTTTGCTGAGCATCTCAGTGAATAGCTGTTGACATTCCTGTTGTCCAGTTTTTTTGTGCTTGCACCATTGATGATCTGTTCCTTTATCCTCCTTGTATTTTGTAGAATAATGTCTGGCACTGAATACAACCTTTCTGATGTAGTGAACACAGGTGTGAACTCTTTACAGTAAAGAAAGTTCATTTATCTTGAGTAATGCTCCTCTTGCAAATATACGTTTAGTGGAGTGGCACTAATTATAAATAGCCTCCTCGCTACCTTCTCTGTCCTCAGCAATGTCAACGGTGGTGGCAGCTCCCACAGAGATGGTCACAACACAGCGTAGTGTCAGAAGTTGCTTCCCATCCCAGAGTGGTGGTACCACCTGTCCCCAGTGCTGTGACCAACCGGGCTGTAGGGCGCTGGCTTCTAATATGCAGTGGTACTGTGGCCGGAGCTGTGGTGCTGGGTGGTGTCACTAGGTAAGGAAAATTAGCACCTCCTCTTCAAGCCTTTACTATATTTTATTTACCCTTGACACTGGTTCTCCAACTGTCATAGATTGTATCTTTCTGCAACCAGCAGAGATCTTCCTAGGGGCATTGCTTTCCTCTTGGTCATGCCAGTGTGTGGGCCTAAAGTAACTTCTGGTATCTCTCTGCCCTTTGAATGCCTGTGTCTACCCTTATTTTATAAATGCATTGTAGATAAACAATGCAGGCAGTAAAAGAAAGGTGGGATTAAAGGGTAACAAACTGTACTTACTGTCATAACAACCTTTTGAGGTATGGTAGTTAATTTAGACTATTTCAGAATTTAAAAGGTGTGATTACATATATATTTGCATCTAATTGATCACCGGTATGTTTGTGTGTAGTCAGACTTTGCATCTGCATTGCCTCCAGTGTCTGAATTTTCCCATTGTGGCTTTATTCTGCTTTTCTAGATAGATGGATACACATGCACACACCATTATATCCCACATTGATAGCATCTTCCCTCAGTGGTGTGTCATTGCTGTTCTTTCCTTCTCAGGCTGACAGAGTCTGGGCTTTCAATGGTTGACTGGCATCTCGTGCGGGAGATGAAGCCTCCTCGGACACAGCAGGAGTGGGAAGCAGAATTCCAAAACTACCAGCAATTCCCAGAATTTAAAATGTAGGCATGGGTTGAGCTAAAGTTCCTAGAGACTAAATTTAAATTGGATGTGGTGGGGGAAGCCTATTCTACTATCCCAACAAAAGGGAAATGAGAAAAAAAGAGTATCTTGAATGCTACTTCTTGATAGAACTTGTCATGGAAAGAGGGGAATGGGCAACTACACCTTACTGCAGGGTTTGTTGTTGTTTTATAAACCTTCTCTCTGAATCTAACAGCCTGAACCACAACATGACGCTGACAGAGTTCAAATTCATCTGGTACATGGAGTATTCACACCGAATGTGGGGACGGCTTGTTGGACTGGCTTACATCCTTCCAGCAGCTTACTTCTGGAGGAAGGGTTACCTCAACCGGTCCCTGAAGGGTCGTGTCGTTGCCCTCTGTGGACTTGTCTGCTTCCAGGTGGGAAAGATCACTGGGACCTTGAAATTGTTAAATGAATCATTAAATTACTCTGCCCAAGATAGCTGAGATAGAACATGAAAGGCATTGATCCTTTGCACGCTCCAGGAACTGATTTGTATGTGATCTTAGGTCTCTGGTGCACAGAAGCCCAGCAGAAGCTTCAGATCATGGTGCTTGGAGTGTTGTTAGATCTTAGTTCCTTGGAAGAGAATGTACATGGTATTGGCAGGAGCAAAAGTGGTCTTAGTTTCATGCCTCTATGGTACTTTTTCTTTGTTTTGGCAGGGCCTATTGGGCTGGTATATGGTAAAAAGTGGATTAGAGGAAAAGCCAGACTCTCATGATATCCCACGGGTCAGTCAGTACCGTCTAGCCGCACATCTGGGCTCTGCACTTGTTCTTTACTGCTACAGCCTGTGGACAGGACTCTCATTACTGCTGCCGCAGCACAAGGTAAGCGAAAAGTGAGGCAGACCGGGGGCATGTATTGAGTCCCAGTTGGGCCAAGAAAGCCTGTACACCAATTGTGCCTTTGGAGGGAGGCACACTGCCACTGTGCAGACCAAACTGCCACTGTATCCTATATGTGCTCAGCCTGGAAGAGGAAAATTACAAATCTTGGGAAATGTCAAAGAGATAACGTTCCTGGAAGCACCATCAAAGCTTACCAGTCAAGAACTCTGTTAGCACTGACACTCCAATGCATAGAAGGAGCCAGTGAACTTGCAGTGGGAGGCACACACTCCTGTATCACATGCAAAACTAGCGCCTGTTGCCAATTCTCAGGCAACCCTTCAGGTAGGGTTTCAAATCCCTTTATGGTGATCACAGCCACTGCTTTGGAGCATCACACGAAAAGGGAAGAAAGGAGAGCCCACACAACACTGCACCCTTATAGTTCACTTGGTAGGATGGCCTCTTAAGAGGGTAGTTATTTAAGAAAGCATAGCAGGAGAAATGCAGACTGAGAAGAATTCAACCTGGCATGAGCTATTCCGTTTCTTACAGTGCAGTCTGCCACAACTTCCCCAGCTCTAGCAAGGCCGCATCCTTGCCACAGAAGATATTGCCATGCAGTTTTGCCCTACACATCCAGGCAGTAGATGCTTCTGGGGCCTGTGGATCTGGTCTTGGGTATGGTGACTTGACAGCAGGATTAAATCAAGCATGCAGATGCTATCTGACTGCTTCCAAGAATGCCTGGTGATTTCTATAAAATTTGGTAGATTTGGGTTCATAGATATAATTGGATGTAAGCCATGTCCATTAAGGGCCGTGCAGCATAACAGCTGAGTGAGAAGAGCAGAAGTCCTTGCTGCCTTAGCCATTGAGAGTGAAATAAATACGTTCCTCTTCTGTCAGGAGTCTTATTGGAAACGTGTATATATGCTGAGCCTATGGAACACTAGTTTCCTTTGCACATACTCCCTTTAGAATATATAAAAAGGCCATTGCATATTCTTGTGATCCTCCTCCTGTTTTGACAGTTACCAGAAACCCGTCAACTCCTGCGCCTAAGAAGGTTTGCTCATGGAACATCAGGCCTGATCTTTCTCACTGCCCTCTCAGGTAAAAGTCCCTGTCACTTTTGCACCAATCTCTTTCTTTTGAGAAGCAATAGACAGCATCGTCATGGATGTGTGTTTCTTGCTTCATTTCTCATTGGGAGGGTCTAGACTTTTTCAATTCCAGGTTACTGAAATGCTTCCTCTTCATGCTGGTCAGACAACATCACTGGGAACTGTTTTGTGGCCTTGAGGGAAGGACCTAAAACTCTCACCGTGATGGTTTTTAGGTGGCTTGTTCTATTACATTCATACTTCCAAGTGTGACAGACTCTCTTCTCTGGAACTCTAGGGGCATTTGTGGCAGGACTGGATGCTGGTCTTGTATACAATTCATTTCCCAAGATGGGGGAACGCTGGATCCCTGATGATCTCCTTGCCTTTTCCCCAAAGTTGAAGAACATATTTGAGAATCCCACAACCGTGCAGTTTGATCACAGGATTCTGGTATGTTTCTTCCTCTTTATGCTCCTAGATAACACCTCTTTTTTAATTGGTTGCCGTTCTTGGGTTTGTGTTCATTCCAGGTGGCAGTGTAACTGGGAATGTGGGAATGCAGGCCCCTTAACTCAGAGTAGAGCACTTGTTTGCATGCCTAAAGTACTGGTTTCCATCTCCACTGTCTTTAATTAAAGGGTGCAAGTTACAAAGGGGGGGGGGTTAGTCTAAACATTAAGGAGAACATCATGATGTCATGAGTTTTTTGAAAGAGGAGCAGACTGCCCCAGAAGTGATGGACTCTTTTTCAGAGGCTGGATTGTCAGGGATGCTGTAGTAGTGAGGTTCCTGCATTGCCTTTGGACTAGATGACCTTTTAAGATCCCTTCCAACTCCACTTCTAAGCCCTTTGTTGTCATTGCAAAGCTTCTCTGGTTCCCTCACTGGATATTTACTCTTTTCCCTTTAGGGAGTTTCCTCTGTCGCAGCCATTACAGGTCTGTACCTGTTTTCCAGGAAGATTCCTCTCCCACGGAGGACAAGGATGGCAGTTGCTTCCTTACTGGCTGTGGCATACCTCCAGGTATTATCTATGCCCTTTAAAACACCCTTTTAATTGTAACTTAGTAGTGTCCTCTGATGGAATGGCAAGTTTCCCCTTTCTTCCAGGTAGGTGCCTGCCTTCTCGTCACTGATAATGCTATCTTGGTTGCTGATCTCAGGCATTTAAAACTGAAATTGGTGGGGACCAATTTTTATTTATTTATTTATTTGGCTTTGAAGGACAAAGGGGGGAAATAGAGCTGCAGTCGTGCTCTTCTGTGGAAATATTGCACAGTGCTATGGTCACTGCCCTTCTCTGCCTTCTGGGTTTAAACTGAGAAGGCAAAGGGGGAACATCAGTGCAGTTTCATTAGCATTGTATCCTGAAGCACTATGACAGCTACCTCATCCTGTAGCAGGTTATTTACAGTGGGAGAGAAACAGAACATATAAAAATCCCCATACCAATTGCTTATGAAGCTTCTTGTGTATAATTCTGTGCTATAAGAATACGATGCAGATGTATTTGCACATACTTCTACATTTCAGGTATACTGGTAAGCAAACTTTGCTTATGTCTGAAACTTCATTTTATTCTTGCTCCTCTGCAGGTTACCCTGGGCATCAGCACACTTCTCCTGTATGTCCCAACTCCTTTAGCAGCCACTCATCAATCAGGTTCCCTGGTATTGCTCAGTGTGGCGTTGTGGCTGATGCATGAACTGAAGCGGATCCCGAAATAACCCTGCTTCCCTATTTAGCCAGCCTCTTTGCTAGTGCTGAAGGTTCACGGTTGCTGCCTTTGCCCCACGTGTTGTATGCTCCTCTTCCTGAAAGCCTTAATTTGAACAGAAGGCGAGGCTGAACAGCACCTTGATGTCATGAGTTGAAGTGCTTTGTTGCAAAACTTGGTGAACATGAATCACCATCCTTTGCTTAAGGTGTGAGGTTGATAAGGCGGGCTCTGGCAAGAATGATGGTCGTTTGAGGTGTGTCTTGCTTCCTGCTGAGCTGTCTGTATGAGGCTACAGCCATGAGCCTTTTACATTCTGTGTAGGATGGATATAGAGAATGGATTATGGGGTGAGTGGGCCTAGAAATTTGGATGAACAGCAAATGAAGGCATTTCAAAACTGTATTATAAGGGTGATGGGTGGCATAGTTTGTGGATTTTCTTTAGCAGAATGGGGTTTGAGTGCAATTTTTTGAGTGCAATTTTTTTGCATTAGAATATTGAAATGTGCACTGTAATTAAACCATGCAGAAGACCCACAGTCCTTTCCTTATTTAATAAAAAAAGTTTCTCAATATTTCTCAGTATCTCAGTGTTTTAAAACTGACTGTTCTTACAATGTCCCTATGCAATGTACCTTCATAAGAAACTCTGCTGCAGCAAACCAAAGGCCCCATCAAGTCCATCATCTTGTTCTCAGTGGCCAACCAGATGCCTGTGGCAGCTTTCAAGCAGGCACGTGAGTGGGTTGATTTGGAACACGTTTCATTAACATCAATAGCCACAAAGGATTTTTTCTGGGGAGGGGAGGGGGAGAGTAAATGCTGCAAATGAGTAAATAAACATAACTAGCAGCAGAGAACATATCTAACAATTCTGGTGGATCAGGTGACTTCCTAGACTTGGGTAGACCCCTGAGAAACTTGTATTACACATTTATCCCTTTCCTTCTCAGTGGGTTGACCTGCTACAATGGGTAGATGGCTTTTCACTCATTGCTGAAGCCCTTAATTCTTTCCTGGGCAGTGCTGCTACACTCAACTTCACAGTCTCCCACTTTGCTTCATTTCCCTAAAAAGTCCTATCATGTACCCTACAATTCAGAGTTGTACTACACTACTGCAGTTCCCCACCGCTGCCTCTCGGCAAAATGAGCCTAACATGAAATCAGCCCCAGCCCAGCCTGCTTCAATATTGGTATAATTATGGCAGGTTGGCAGCAGAGTATCTTTTAAAGTGTTTGCAGATGTGGGGGGAGGGGGTTTGCTATGAAATGTGACTTTGAAAGATGATGGACTACTTACTGTCTTTGCTGCTACATTTTTCTTTTATACATTACTTGCCAGTATTGGATACCTGAATTGTTTTCAGTGGGGTAGCATTCACTTCACCAGCAGTGAAGACCGGCATAAAAGGCTTTAAACCAAACCCAAGAGCGGAGACACAGGTGTTTCACTCAAGTATTAAATTGGCTAGATCTAGTTTCCTTAATGTCATCCATTGCTTCATTCATTAGCTAGAAACCAATGAATGCGCTTAGTGAGAGCCCGGATACTGAGAGGGGATGGGTGTCAGAAGGAGAAGGAACTGATACTGGTTTCTATGTATTAGTTATGTTGCAGTAATGCAACATTTTTATACATAACATATTCGTAAAATTTTCTGATCAGCTTGTTTTCTGTACACCACTTAGAGGAATTTTTTGTATATTTTAAGTGTTATAGAAATGCCCTAAAATGGATAGAAACCCTGAAAGGTTGGAGGGGTAAGTCTTCTCACAAAATAAAGGTGGAGATTGGTGCCTGCACATTTTTGTTCATATCTGGGTCTACAAATTCTATAACCTTTCTGTAGAGCGGGGGGAGGGGGAGGGGGAGAGTAGAAACCTGTAAATGTGGTGATCATGGCTCATTAGAGGGAGCAACTACCCCAACCCCGGCGGACGCCTATACGATGCCCTTGCCTGCAACGACTCGAGTAAGATTCGACCTGCCTTCTCCGCTCCTCGCAATACACCCTCCGAGGCAGCAGGGGGCGGTACGAAACAGCTCCATTCGGAACCGAGGCTCCAAAATACGGGGTGGCGAAGGGGGAAAAACACCGGGAGGGCGCACGGAGTTCCAATTGGTTGCGGACCGGGCCAGAAGCGAAGGAAGCGAGAGGCGGAGACTCACTCTTCTTGCGGTCTCGGCGGCGGCGGCTTCTTGTCCTTCATCCCGTCGGTCGCTCCCAACCTGCCTCGCTATGACGGCGCACAGCTTCGCGCTGCCGATCATCCTCTTCTCGGTCTTCTGGGGGCTCGTGGGAATCGCCGGGCCGTGGCTCGTGCCCAAGGGGCCCAACCGCGGGTGAGGCTCCCCGCCCGCGCAGCCTCCGCCCGCCCGATCCATCGCCAGGTCTCCCGGTCATCGCCATCGCCAAATAGATCAATATATACATTGTGATCTATAATTGCGAGGGAAGGGTGATGGTGGTCCCTGCTAAAGGCTTTGAGAATATCTATATCTATATCTAGATAGATGATTGATTGATAATGTGAGAATGACCTATATATCCAAAAAGATCACTATATAGAGATATTGATATATTGGGAGATGACATGACACACACACACACACACACACAGACAAAGCCTTTAGCAGGGACCAGCACCCGCTTCCCCCGCAAGTGCGACACTCGCAGGCTTTCCTTCTCCGCAGCCGCCTTTGGCCTTGAAGGAGGCCCGATCCACGGATGCTGTGGACGGGACTCCGCATCGCTTCAGACTGCCAAGTGGGGGGGGATCACATTTATGAGTGCTACCTCGCGTTGGAAACACCAGCGACCCTGCAAAATAGCAAACTAGTATAGCAGCCAAAGGGCTGGGCTAGGGTATTTTTCTCTTATGAACATGGTATATAGGAGCCGGGGTGTGGGAGCAGGGAGGAAGAGCGTTGAGGAGTGCCTGATCTGGGAATCCTTTCTCCTGTGTGACCCCCTTGACTGTTTCAGTAACAGCACAATGCTATCCATGTCTACTCAGAAGTAATTCCTAATATATTCAGTGGGGTTTACTCCCAGGTAAGTAGGGTTAGGGTTGCAGCTTTACTCAATCTTTTTTCTTTTTCATTTTTTCACTTCACAGAGTGATTATTACCATGTTGGTGACCACAGCCATTTCCTGCTATCTCTTGTGAGTATTGCATAGGGGAGATGGGTTGTGGGTGTAGGGCTGGGTTGTACCCAGCAGGAAACCAACCACCCTCATAACTTTATCTAACTGGCTGCTTCCTGAATATTGGGAATCTAGGAAGGAATCCCAAATAGCAGCAGCTGTCCTGTATGCACCACCTTGGAGATGCTCAAGTTTCTTCATGGTTGCCAGGTCCTTATTCTACACATAGGTGCATAAACAGCCTGCCTCTCTTTCATAAAATAAGCTTTTGAGTAATCTTGGATCATGGTACACTGTCTCTTCCAATGTCTTGGCATCATTCATGCATGATGCTCCCAGGACCCCATATATGAACAAGGAGTGGATTTTGCATCCCATAACAAGGCTTAGACCATCTCTGATCATACACCAAAGCACTAGACTGTTCTAGCTGCCCTAACATCCTGTCTGGCTCAGCTGTTATGCTAAGCTAGACACTCTCAGGCATAATGCACCAGGGCAGATCTTCTTGTAGTACATTTAAAGAACTAGAAGACTTTGCTCCCTATATTATATATCCCTCCTACAGTGATACTGTCCTCTTTATAAGAATAACTGTTACTTGCAAAAATGACCTAGCAGTTACTTGCAAAATATGACTTTTTGTATTTCAGCACTAGTGCAAAAGGAGTTGTGATCCAGTTTATATGTCTCCTTCCTATCTTTCCCTTGCAGCTGGCTTATAGCACTCCTGGCCCAGGCCAACCCACTGTTTGGACCCCAGCTGAAGAATGAGACCATCTGGTATGTGCGCTTCCTGTGGGAGTGAACTGGACCACTATCAACCAATTCAACAGGTACTTGCTCTGTCCAGCACTACCTAACCTACCTTACTAACACACAAATACATTACATGCAACTCATTAATAGCTTGTAAGAAAAAGGAATCTATTTGCTTCCAGTTTACAAAGATTCCCTTCCTTGGTTCCTTGCCTGACTCACCTGTCAATGGCATAGCCCAGGGATGGGGAACTTAATGGTTCTCTAGATGTTATTGGATTCTGACTCCTATTAGCCCAATCCAATATAGCCAGTCAGGGATCATAGTCCAGCCACATGAGAATCATAGGTCCCATCCCTGGCTTAACCAATAGAACCAGAAAGGTACCTGTAATCTGTCTCCAATAGGGTTGCCACTCTGTGGTTCTATAGGACAGGTCACTTTCTCATTGTCTGTAAAAGGTAGCTATAGAAATCTCACTGAAAGGGCAACAGGTTGATTGTTCCCAAATATCTTCTATCCTGCTGGGGTAAGGTCAATACTAAGAAATCTTTTTCTCTTTTTCCTAGGCTTCCTTCTGATGCTAGATAACAGCTCCACCCCTTGTCCTTTCCAGTACTAACTCAACGGATCTTTTGCTTGCACTCTAAATTTCCCCACAGCAGTAGGGCCAAGACCCAAACATATGAAGGGACCATTTCACTTGTTTAACCATCTCCCACCTGTTTTAATTGATGCATCTTGGTGGCATCTGCTCTTGGGTTTGATGTTGTAACTAAATGTCCCTCTCGTGGCAGTTAGGGGAAATGTTTACATTTTGAAAGTCCTGTAACAAACGCTAAGTTTGAATAATTGCTGATGGAGCTCTGGAACACACTCTTGGGCAAGAGACAAGACACCTTCCTTACTTTTACATGGCGATGCTCACCCAATCGATCTGTTCTCTCCCTATCTTTGTCCATTAGCAGTGAAGCTGCTGCACTAGGATGCATTTGCCTAGAATTCCCCCTTCCACTATTATTTATAATGTTGTGAATTTGTATTTATTGAGTGTAAACTGGTATCGTGAAAATAAATTTTTTTAGTATGTGAGCTTTCTTTGTCTTCTGTTAAAGAGATCTGATATGGGGCCCAGAAGTGCTTGAAATTCAGCCAGGGTAATACTCCAGCCTCCATCCATAGCATCTAATTGGTATTGGGCTGAAATCAAAATTGGTGTGTGTTTCCTGACAAGGAGCACTTCAGTAAACTATCCGGGTGGTGTAAGCAACTAAGCCACTGCAAATTTCCAGACTAGGATTTATGATAGTAACCCTATTGTGTTCAGGACCATACAGCAATAAAGCAAGTTCTTTTCCTTAGGCCTACAATTGTAGATTGGTTCTCATTCTTGAGCACAGGTGAGATATTATGGTTTTTACAGCTAGTAGTGATCTACACCAACCAACAAGCTTCCAGCACAACTAGCATCAAGAAACTCTGCTTACACAGTTCAGCATAATTTATTGCTACAGTAACTGGAGTTCAAGTATGAAAACAAATTCATAATTTAACTTAGCCCATAGCTGATTGAGTTTATGGGCTAGGTGTTGTTAAAACAAGTACCAGGGACAGCGTTCCACAGTTCAAGGTGGTCTTCTGTGAAACTTGGAACTGCTGGAAGCCCCAGTGCTGGGACAACAGCACTGAGACACACTGAATGATGGGTAAATGTGGGATTTGAAAGGAGGGTGTGCAAAATGTATTTGTGGGGAGGAGTGTGAAGGAAGGCAGCAAATTATCTGCCTTGGTTTTTTTAAAAGGTTATTTCTTACCCTCAAGGAATCCTGTTTGCACGACTCCTTTTTTGGTCCTATCACAGACATCAACAGAAGTAGGGGGGGGCGTGCTCATAGTAAAGCATCAGAAAGAACCACTTTCTTTCCTTTTGCGGGAGAGCTGTCCAGTTCTTGGCCACACAAGGTCCTTCTCCCTCCCTTCCTGAGTAAATCAAGTTTCTTTGGTCACGTTCAGCTATGCTGCCTTTTGCCCACTGTCAAGGGTAACAGAGATCAGCTTCCCTTGCCTCACAACACCTGCAGCGTGATTCTCCCACAGTGGCTGGGGATTTCAGCCACGGAGGAAAATCCAGAGTCCATTAGGGTTGAGCGGCTTGGGTTAGGGGGCAAGTCTGAGCAGACACTGTTTAGGCCCTGGGGTTGGGCTGGAGTCCTGCAGAATTCCGGACTAGCCCGCAAGAGAATCACAGCTTCTGGCCCATTAAAAGCCACTGCCAATAGGGCAGACATGGAGAGAGTTCACTGAGAGGTAGTTCTTTTGTCAGGAGGCTGCCTCCTGTGCTGGCAGCGGCACCACTTCTGATAGCCACAGCAGGTCCAGCTGTGCCACGTGCAACTGCTTCTGGTGGATGCGGCGCAGACGGAAGAGGTAGAGTCCAATTGCAAGCATCACCACAAGAATGCACACAAAGAAAAGGTAGTGGTTATAAACAAAGGAGAGACGGAGCCAAGGGCTGCGAGGTTGGTGGATGCTCTCCTGGCGGAGATCCCTGAAAAACAAAGAAAAATCAGTCTGAAGTTAAAATGTGAAGCTGCGCTACGCTTGAATCTCTTGCAACTAGCAGACAAAGAAGCATTCCAGATACTGGAGTAAGTATGATTCCCAAATACCTGGCTTTTCTCAGGCCTATGCCCTACAGACCATTTGTAAATAGATGAGAGGTGTCAAAAACATAGGTTTAGTTTTTTAACATTTAAGACACCATGTTGCCTACTGATAAAGGATCAACTTCCTTTTCATGCAGGCTCTGTGCTTCATTGAGAGTGCATTTGATGTCTCTCCCTTAGGTACCTCTTAAAAACATACCAGGTCTCTGCATGTGTCTGCTTTCTCCTTTTCTGTTTTTTCAGAAAAGCACTGCTGGCAGATCAGTTGCTTTCTCAAGTTTAAAAAATGAAACTTCAGACTTTAAACACAGAGTACTGAACTCTTCCATGTTTCAAGCTCAATTTAATGCATGCTTATTGAGAGTAAGCCCTCCTCATCTTGAACTCTGTGAGGCTTACTCCCAAGTTCACATATTAAGATGACTGAACACTCTAATTAGGGCTAGAAAACCAGCATTTTACTCCTAGTCAAATGCCATGGTCCAGTTCTTTACTGAAGACCTTGTTTGAAACACTGATTCTGAAGTAACCAAAAGAACTCTACCACTCTTAAGATGAGAAAACATGCAGTGGGCAGCAATTTAGGTTACCTGAGTGGCAGAAAGCGAGTTTTATAGAGAATGGCTCCCAGTGTCCATTGTACCTCACGATCATACACCAACTGGGCTGTGCGCAGACCAGAATAATCCTTGGGGAAATGAAAGCCTTCATGCAGGACTTGGTGCATCCATGCTGATTTGAAGCACTGGTACCTGCAAGCAGAGCATAGAGACTCCATCACAAATACGCTGGACTGAGGCTCATCAGTTGAGAAGACTGCTGGGAGGCAATCTTACCCCCACCCCTTCACCGTCCATGGAAGAAGAGTTAAGGACCAAGCACATTCTCTGTGAAAGGAAAGAATGGATTCTTACTTGACACGGTGCAGATCTGCATGTGCTGAGTATAGGTGGTCTCGGAACCTCTGGGTCAGTAAGGACCAGCTCAGGCTGCAATAATCCTGGAAGGAGGCAAAAGACATGAGTGGGCACAGAAACAACACCCCCTATCCTGGCAAAGTGATCACATACTTTAGAGTCACCTGGGCAGCACGTGTGAACGTGGGCATGTGGTACAGTCCTCCCAGGCGCAGCACATCTTCGGTGCAGTAGTAGAATTCAGAGAACCCATAGAATTCGCTGTTAACAAAGTCAATTGGTGCCTGATAGGTGTTGCGCAGAGAGACCGTGGTTCTGTTGTCTCCCGCCAGCAGGAGGCGCACTTGCTTCGCACACGACTGCCAGTCCCCCTGGCCCTTGATGTGCAGGGTCTGGCCGCCATGCTCCACAACATCCTCCAGTCCCACAGGCAGGCAGGGGTCCAAGACGGGCACACCAGCATTTGCGCCAAGCTGCTCACCCTGCAACCTGCAACGAGAGCCTAAGCTTCAGGGTTGGGAAAACACAGACATCCCCAGTGGCAAGTTATGATCGGTGAGTTCTTCCGTGCCACCCCGAAACAGGCTAGAGGTATGCATGTGGACCATCAGAAACTTCTCCCATTGATCTCATCACTCAGGGAGCCTGCCTCCTACAAATAAACACACACCCTCTCCCAGGATGCCACACCTTGAACTCCTGGGGGCAGTGGAATCCAGAGCTGCCTTTAGCCAGACCTTTTGAAACCTGGCAGCATGAGGACATCACCTGTTGCGGGTGGTGGTCTGATTCAGCACCAGCTCTTCATAGCGCTGTCGGGCGTAGTTGCCCCCAAAGCCCAGGAAGGTGCTGACATAGACTCGGTACACATGCTTCGTGTGTTGCATGTCACAGCCAAGGTTGAAATCAGCAAGCAGGCTCTTGGCAGCTTCCTCCTGTCAGTAGCAGAGGGGAGGGTGGCAGGGGGAGGGAGAGAGGGAGTAAGAAACAGTGCCCAACCTGGACCATAGCACATATTTCCTTCCCAAGCTACACACCTCCTGCGGGGAAGAGAAGGACGTAGAAGTCGGCACCTCATAGGCGATTTGCAGAGAGGCACCTCCCATGTCAAGGATCCCAACGGTCCTCTTTCGCACCAGGGTTTCTTCCTGGCCAGCCGGGGTCACAGAAATCATTGCATCTTCCTCTACAATCCCAGAGGGAGGGAGAGAAAGAGAAAGAGAGAGTTTCCAAAGCAATGGAAAATGGAGGTGGAAGATGGCACATCCCCATACCTCTTGGGCTGAACACTAGAAATGTCTAGGGTTTGAGGGGGCAGAAGTTAGGGAAGAAGTGGGGATCAGCTCTAGTCTCTCTTGCTCACCTTCACTCCTGCTAAACTGCAGAATGGGAAGGGGCCTTATGTCAGGTCATGTGGGGAAGCCAAATCTCCATTCCTGCTGGGAATCGAGCAAACTGTGCTGGAGATTCCCTCCCTTAAGATGGAACTGAGCCAAAAGAGAAAACTTCTACCTACCCATTCAACTCCACTGTCCCTTTCCCGCAGTCTCACCTTCTTCGTGGTCAAATCTTCCCAATACGAAGTTGATGCCTATCCAAGAATAGACTCCTGGGAAATTGGGGGTGGGGAAAGAAAGAGAATCAAGAGCAGTGTTGGGTTCCTTGAAGGTACAGGACTTTGTGTGATGCTTGAGCAGCACCCTGTGAAGTTTGAGGGGAGGGAACAACCCCAAGGGACAGGCACCGCCAGCAGCAAGTTAAGCTGGTGTAACAGCTAGCTAAACCCCCAGATCCTGTGCAGTGCTGCCTCACTACCTACCTTCCCCCCCTCTCCCTTCACCCTTTGCCAAACTCCCTAAGAAGGAGTGAGCGAGCCTTTCTGGCCCAACACCTACCTTCTTGCTTCCCAGAGATCACTTCTGCCTGAGATTCTGAGAAGAGGAAATCAAATTCCAAGGGCACATCCCTCACCAGGTCCGCCAGGATGGCCGTCTGCTGCCTGCGAAGATCCACAAGCAGACAAACTGAGCAGCTGCCATTTCTTTGTACTGAAATATAATGAGCCCCCCTCTCCACTGCTGAATGGCCAAGATGTCTAACTCCTCCACCTCATTTCAAAACTCCACCTCATTTCAAAAACCTGTCCTTTTGTCCCCCTGTGCAAGTCACCCTTCTCACTTGGTCTCTTTCCAGCCATGAATCTGCAAACACACAACTTCATAAGCAGGACTTAATTTTCAGCTCCACTTGGGGTGGAGATGACCCATTGCTCACTATCAAGTTAGGGAACCCTGTGTGGGAATGTTGTGGATAGTAGATGATATATTGATTAAATATTATCCTTCCTCACGTTAGTGAGCTAGTCTCAACCTCCATCGTTCAGCCCGGACACTGAGGTCCAGCGCCGAGGGCCTTCTGGTGGTTCCCTCACTGTAAGAAGTGAGGTTACAGGGAACCAGGAAGAGGGCCTTCTCAGTAGTGGTGCCCGCCCTGTGGAACCCCTTGACATCTGAAGGCAGCCTTGTTTAGGGAAGTTTTTAATGTTTGAAGTTTTATTCTGTTTTTAATGTTCTGTTGAAAGCCACCCAGAGTGGGTGGGGAAACCCAGCCAGATGGGCGGGTAGAAATAATAAATTATTATTATTATTATTATTATTATTATTACTAGTAACAGAGCACATTCCCTTGCACATTGCTGAAAGCTAGTTGATGGATTTGTTAGAATCATTTGAATTGAGCAATTCAGTCTGGCTTGTCCAGATTGGCTTGTTCCTGGTAAATTTCCCCTTTAGTTCCCTCTTAAAAACAACGACATGACAGTTACAGTTGTAGAGAAAAGAAGTCTGAGCTAGGCCTCAGACTTTCTACCTTGTGGTTTCCATCCTCTGTAAGGATGAGCCATGTGCTGCTGGCTAAGAGCCAGCAGAGGAGTCGCAAAAGAGCAGCAAAAGAGGAAGATGGCTGCGTGACTGGCCCTTTTATAGGGTCTGCTAGGGTCACACCCATCTACCTGGTCACACACAGGGGGAGGATGCTCCAGAGCAGGTATGACAGGAAATCCTCCCTGTCTGGAGCAACATTCCCCTGTGTGTCCACTCTTAGAAACAGGAAATGCTGTATTTGACTTTTACAGTGAAGATACACCCCACACCCTGTCCCGTTCCACTTCAGGATGCAAGTCCACCTGTAGCTCCAAGAGGCCCGGCACTTCCTGCTCCCCAGTCCCAAGCCTACTCTGCTCAGGTCTTGGGAAAATATAGCTCACTCACCAGTCAGGCAGCAGTCTCATTCCTGCAGTACACAAAATGTAGAGGGGAGTCTCCTTGTGCTTGGTACTGGGCACATAGGCAGCAGCAAAGCTGAGCAGCGGCCTGATGTAGTCACTAGCTTTGTCTGGAGTGGCTGCCAGAGTAGAGATCCCTGTACAATGAAAAGGGAATATTCCCTCAGCTACAGAGCAACTCTGCCCACCTCCAGGTGCTTGGTGCTTGTGGGTTCACAGCCACCAACAAAAAAGGCCTTTGGAAATATCCAAACCTGGCTTGATCTTCTTGACAACAGGCTGGCCGTTACGGTCTCGCATCTGCCGGATGTCCAGCAGGTCGTGCGGATTCCCATTGTGTGGTGGCCAAAAGTATACAAAGACCCGGGACCCACTGCTCCCACAATCAATAACCAACCCATAATTCAGAGACGGGTTATTTGTGTCCGTTGCCTCCAAGGTATGAAACCGTTCCAGGTACCTGCAAGGGGAATGAGGAAGATTTGGAGTTAAGAGACAGAGACCAGACCAAACAGTCTTCACACCCCGAAAATACAATAAAAAGGCAGATCCAGCATTCCATAGAACGCCTGCTCTGCTCTTTCAGAGGCTGTCTATTATTGCACAACAGAAATAATAGGAATTACAGGAACACAAAATGCCGATATCACTTCTCCATAGATGCTTCAAGCGATGCTGACCCAGCATGTGCATCCAGTCCCTGCGGAGGCTCTCGTTCCCCCTTCTAGAAACCAGATGAAAGTTATTGGATTAGGCACTGGCTTCAGCTCCCCAGGAACCAGAGAACTGAAGCAGATATCCCAACCCACCCACTTTGTGCCATTTCATCGGGGCAATCAGAAAACAGGACTGAGAGACCACAGCATGTCCAGCCATTAAGAAGAAAGCTAACCAAATTAGTGGGTTTTGCAGATCCATTAGACAGAGAATTCATGCCACCTTAGTTCTTATTGATCCTGCTCCCCTTTCTTGTGCTGAAGGAAATTCTGGTTCAGTCAGCACAGCCTCTGCTGCTTCCCCCACCCAGCAGCAGCAGCAGTGGAACAAAGCAAGGGTTTGAATAAGGCCATCCCACAGGCAACTGCCATAGGGCCAAATGTTCCAACATCCTGACTTTTGCAGAAGAGGGCTTAGATTCCCCGGGCACTCAGCTAGAGCAGCAGCTCTCACAAATGCCATGCACCATCCCAAGTATTCCAGTTGGATTTCCCCATGGACACAGGAGCCAAGAGATGCACAAATACAATTGCATCTTATCTAAGAGGGAGAAGAAGCCAGACCTATCACAGACAGAAGGTCAGGTCACAAAAGTTAAGGCATAAGCTACTATATCAGTCTTTGTTTACATCTGTTAATCAGCATTCACGGAAGGAGGAAAGGGCGAAGGAAGAGGAGAAGCAGGAAGACCCAAGGCCTGCCATGTGGTAGGACTACCATGGCTGAGGCAGTGCCAGGCCCTCTAAACTGTGTCAGGTGGGACAAGAAGTTGATCAGAGTCTGAGTTCCAGAGGAGCCATTGAATGTCACATTATTTGAGTACAGTAATTGGTAGTCTGTCCCAACAAGAAAATTCTGTCCAATCCACATCACATCGAAAAAATAAAAGCCATGCAGCTAAATGCATCTTGTAGGATCAGCTCTGCTCTTGAAGGAAGAGGCACAAGCATTGGTCCCAGGTCCAGCAATGAACCTGCTGAAGGTAAGCTGGTGTGCATCTGATGAATGGCTGGGGTAACCCAGCCAGATGAGCAGGGCATTATTATTATTATTATTATTATTATTGCCAGGATGGGCTCACCTTGGATTCCTATATATGCCACCTTGAGCTCCACGATGAAAGAAAAGCAGGATATACATTCCATAATTAATAAATATTATTACTGCAGGATGTTATGCAAATAAATGCTGGATGTTACTGGATATTATGCAAACAAAAGCTGCAGCAGAAATGCCCTTTTAAAATTAAAGGCAAGTTGCTACCTGCCATAAGGGAAGCTGAGAGAATGTATACAATGTGAATGTATAGTTTAGAGGAAATGTGAATTTAAAAGTAATTACCAATCTCTCCTTTGGTCTGAAAATGACTTGTTTAAGGTGGCTGTCAAATGCAAATAGCTGGCTTTTGCCAAAACATTTACCCTACCTTTATCTTAATGGCCCATTTTAAAGTGATAACATCAACAAGTCTAGACTTGTTAATCTTATAAAGAACCGCAGCTGGAGAGACCCTCTTTAGCATATCAAATTCTGGCTTCAGAGGAAGTACTGTCATTTTCCAGCAGACCATGAGAAGTCTGGTTCAGATTGGGGGATCCTAACTTAGAATCTTAAAACTATCCCTTTATTTCTTAAGATGCAACTGGGGGACAGGCAGTATTGCCTATAGAAAATCAAAAGCTTTCATCTTGACTTAAAAAACTGCTCTTTGTCATCTTATGGACAGAAATGTAAATAATTACTTCCTAGTTTAGTAATTTTTAATTCTTAGTAATCTGCCAAGCATATTTAACACCAACGAAGAACCAGTTAGTAATGTTAAGAAGTTTTGTTGTTGTTGTTTTTTACCTTTTGTTTTCTTTATGAGTTGCTTGTTGTCTTTTATGCTTTCCTATCTCTCTGGTGTTATATTTACTGACAACTTCCTTTCTTTAGGAACAGCAGACTGGTGTTAATACTTCAAGTCACACATCTAGTCATTTTGAAATTTTATTCATCTTAAGAGGAGTGGGTATAGGGAAAAGTGAGGTGTCTGAAGTGGGAAGCCTCTTCTCCACATGGCAGTTCCTTGTGCGATTTAGAAGTCTGCTAAATCAGGACTTCACACACAGAGAGAGAAAGAGAGAGAGAGAGAGAGAGAGAGAAAGCTCTGAACTTTGAACAGATGATGCTGTGGAGAGGGTTTTGCAGCACAGTTCTCCAGCTTCTCCTCACATTTTTGCTTACATGTGAAGCCTGAATACCCAGACAGGGATTGTGTAAAAGAAGGTGGGCAAACCAGCTCAAGCAACTGCTTCTGTGCCAGATACCTCACACTTTCCAATTGCAGAACACCAACTGGCAGCAGAATTGCCAGTCCCTGTGCAAACGTACTGAAGAGCATTATATGTGTGGGTTGGGAATCATTTAAGGGCAAAATTTGGGACTTCCCAGCAGTTAAACCTTGGGTTCTTAATGTTGACACGCTGACAGTCCTTCTTTCCCAACATTTCACTAAATGAAGAGCGCCAACAGAAGCCCTGTGAAAGCACTGCCCAGCAGGACTAGCGCAGCATCTTCCTCCTCCCCCTCCAGCTTAAAAGGGCTTCAGCCTTTGTTGGTGAGAAAATGCCAGCTGAACTCAGACCATGTGGCTTCTTCCCATCACTCCCATTTTGCTATTGGATGGGAACTGTGAAATATGCCCTGCCATTTCCTCTGTGGTTTTTTCCATCAAGCATCTCGTTTTCTACTGCTATATTTGTGTTACACAAAAAAATGCAGAACGATATGCCCAATTTTGTAATCCAAGACCGGGATCGTAGAAGAACAGAGGGGAAAGGAGGGGGATAGTAGGACTTTGTGTGCCATAGAAACTGCCACCTTGTTTGGTGCCACTAACTCCCCCCTTCCCCATAGTTTCCCCAGGAAACCAGATTCTACATTATGCGTAGCATGTATAGCAAGGGTGAGAAACCTGTCCCCCCCCCACCAGGTGGTGTTAGGACTCCCAACTCCTGTTAGTAACAGTGACCATTGTCAATTGTCAGGAACAATGAGCCTTGCAGTCCAACATCTAGAGCAGGGGTAGCTACCCTTGGCTCTCCATCTGTTGATGAACTTCAGTTCCCATCATCCCCAACTATTGGTCATGTTGGCCAGGGATGATGGGATTTGGGAGTCCAAAAACACCTAGAGGGAACCCCAAAGTACAGAATAATCTTAGCTTTGATTAAAAGGCACACAGTACTTTCTAACCCTGAAGACACCTTTATGCCCTTTAGGGTTGGTTTCATTTCATGCATAAACTAATTTGTCTTGCTGGACAATTGCTTCCTTAAACCCATTTCATTTCCTGCGGCTCTCCTCTATTTTAGAGCAGGAAAAAAATAATTATATCTGGCTTTATCTCACAAATGTGCAAAAAAGATATTTTGTGCTGCTGTACCTTACTTTAGAACATACTGTTTTTCAGAAGTCTGTTGGCTGCCCTAGCTGTCTCAGAGCAGTACTGTGCTGTATTCTTAACTAATCTCTCTATGCGTTTTGTAGGGTACAAAGTGGCCTTTATGCCTAAATGAACAAGCCATTTCAGAAGCAATTAATTTAGAATGCTTTGCTAAAGCTTAGCTAACTTGGAAATGCAAGCAATGGAAGTCGATTGACTCCTTTGAAAGCATCTTTTTGCCTTATCTCAGCATACTTCATGCCAGTGCCGTCACATTCACCCACCTTTCAGACTGCCAGTCCCGAGAACTAGTTTTCCAACGCCATAGATTTGTGATTCCCACAAGTAGCAAAATACTGGCTGCAAGTAAGAGGCCCAGCAGGCCCAGCCGCTGACGGAGACAAAGGCTCACTGAAGGCACTGTGAAGTGCCAAGATGCTGGACACAGGCAGGAAAAACTGATCCTGGAAGAGGGGAAAAATCAGATTAAACAGTTGTTAAACGTCTAGCAAAGCCTCATCGGTCAGCCACAGGTCCTTGCCAACAAGAAATCCAAGTGCTGAAGCTTCCAACATACACAGCTAAACCAGCATAGCCTACAGCTGGAAGTTTGGTACAGGAGGATCTTTCTTCCAAAGCAGCTGGGAATGTAACAAGGAGCAGATGGGACCCATGTGAGTACTGAGTACTGCAGTCTTAAAACAATATTTTAAGGGCAGTGGCAACCTTGCATCTAAACAAGCCAATTGAGTCAGCTAGCAATAGCTTGCAATTAATCACCGACAACGCAAGCCTATGCATGTTCATTCAGAAGTACATCCTGCTACATTCATTGGGCTTACTCCCCGGGATTGCAGCCATAATCATTAACACAGCTTTGTGGAAAGGCACACATGACGTGCATTGTACATTTTCAATCTTTCCTAACTTGCAGGTGGGCCCCTGCTACTCTGTTCTTCGTTCCCCTTTCCCAACCATGCATTTGGGACTTGAATAATAATGGGGTTAAAGTGCTGGGAAACAATCACAGATACTCTGCAGAGACCACTTGGAAACACTCTTCTACCCTGCACCGATTAGCACCAAGCTGTGATCTTTGAACTTAAGTGGCTGCTAGCCAGGTTGGCTGTAACAGCAGAGCTTTTTAAGACATACTAGCCTCACAGAGGGAGCAAGGGAAGAGGCTGACAGCGTCATTGTAACTTGGGTCACCAGGGGCAGGGGAGCAGAAGAGAAGGGTAGATGACGCTGTGTGTATCTCAATCTCTGAGCGGCAAGAGAAGATCGTGCCATGAGCACAAATCAAAAGGCAACGCCGAAGTTTTCAGGAAGAACAGCAAAGCAGTTCTAAATGCAAAACCCGTCCCAAAGCCATGCCGATCAACAAGCAATCTCGAACCCAGATCAGTGCTGGGCTATATCTCATTTTCAGATCAATAGATCTTTGTAGGATTCTTCACTTTCTTTGTTGATCTCCCCCTGCGCTTGTGGGTCAGAGGTCTCAAACTCCAGCCCCCAAGGCTCCCACAGCGCACCTGCTCTTCCAGTGGCATCAAGGTCGCCACCGCCCTGCCTAGCAGCAGGGAAGCGACCCACGCCCACGGGGTACGACGACGAGGAGGAAGCCGACAATGCCGGAAAGAAGACGGCGCGGGTAATCCGGAGGGGGACCCGCGATCCCATCGCCTCACCTGGCCATGTGCTCGCCCACAGTCTGTCAGCTTCCAGTGCGGGTCCCGGGAGGAAGTAGCATCTCTTTCGGTCCTTCCAAGTTGCGGGATGATCCTGGACCCTGAAAAAAAGGAAGAGACGGAGTGGTTAAACCAGGGACCAGCGCCGACGACCTTCCCGCCTCTGCCCCCTGAAAGGGCCACAAAATTGGTCCGTTAATTAATGCTCCGCGTTTCATCCCATGCTGAGAGCAGCTTCACAGAGAGAGAGACGCGCCTCTGGCCGCAGAGGAGGCTCCTCCGCCCGGCAGTGCCGCGGTTCCCTTTCCACACAGGTGGTTCTGCCCGCTTCCCCGGGGAGCCGACTTACCGCTTCCTTCGCCCCGCGCTCGCCGTCCGGCGCCACGACTTCGTCGGCCCTTTGCTCCAGCCACGTCCCCAGGGCGACCGGGCTGGGCGGCAGCCAATGGCAGAGCCCGGGTAAGGTTGACGCAACGGAACCGAGTCGGCCTGGGCTCCGCCTCCCGCGGCGGGCAGCCAACCAGCTGCGCTTTCCGAAGGGCACGCCGCGCTTTCCAGGACGGGACCCGATACTCTCCTCAAGTGTCATTCAGTAATTTCCAACACGTCACAAGCTCTGGGCCAACCCGGCGAGGGTCATTCGGGCGGGTTTTCGTTACGTCATGCGTATATTGCCCAATTCGTTAGGCCCAAGGGTGACTTTTCAACGTAGACCTTGCCTTCGCCGGGACGCGCAGGCGCCCTGTTACCCATTCGCAGCTCCCAGTCAACCCTCACACTGCATGTTTGGTCCACCAATGTACAGGCATATTCTTCCCACGGCAACGTCATCACTGAAAGCAAGCCAACCAACATCCACAAACAAACCCCACGCACCATAGAAAACTGCGCAGCCTTATTACAAGCCTGTCACTTTGAACGGCAGGCATCGTAGCCAATAATTTTCTCCTTTTCCTCACGCATCTCGAATAAAGCGGAAAAGTAGCCAATCGGGTGAGGAACGAACGAAAGGTCAAAGAGGTATTGCCCAATATCCTCTCTGGATGGGCGGGAGACAGAACGGACGTTAGCCAATGGAAGCGAGCATGAGTCGCAGCCTACCAATGGACATTGGCTCGGGGCGGCGCGAAAACCGTCCGCGGCCAATGAGTGACATCCATGGGCGGGGCGGACAGAGCGGGAGCCGCAGGACCGAGTGTGCAGCCCGCAACGGACTCGACGGCGGTGCCATGGAGCTCGGGGCGGGCGGCGCGGCAGGGCCCGGGCAGCGCGGTGGGGCAGAGCCGGGCCGCCAGCTCCTCCTGCTGCTGGGCGGGGGCGACGGTGGAGGGGCGGGTTGGGCGTGGCCCGCGGGGGGTGGCGGGGCGGGAGGGACTGGCACGGACACGGAGGCCGGCCCGGAGCCGGACTACGAGGCCCTCCCGCGGGGCTCCGCCGCCTCCACCCACATGCTCGCAGGGGCTGTGGCGGGGGTGCTGGAGCACAGCCTCATGTACCCGGTGGACTGTGTCAAGGTGAGCACGGGCGCCGAGCTGCTCTCGCGCCTCCGGGAGCAGGGCGGGTGCTGGCGGGGGGCGGGGAGCTGAGACGAGACGAGGGAGTTCCTGGGCAGGACCTGAGAGCGGTTAACCGGCACACGATCTTCATTAGTGTTGCACTTTAATCCGCATCACCGGACGGTCCGACACGATCCAAATTTAGCAAAAAGGAAAAAAAACCCCAGAGTTGACAGGCGAAGGAGGTGTCCCCCGATGAATGCGATGGAGCTAACGACTTCGGGGAGGGATGGATCAAACACGTTCTCGGCTCTTTTGCTGGCTAATGGCAGAAGTGCCAACGAACGATCACTTGACAGGAGAGTTATGTCTTGCCGCCACTAGTTGACAAGAAGCAAGATCGGTTTCCTCGATCACGTTTCAGGCCTTCACTTTTGCCGCCAAAGCGACCGACCTGGTTCCAGAAATATTTGGTCTCAGTCATGGGGTTGGGAGGAAGGGGTAAGGTGGTGGTGGGGGTTTGTACACACGGGAGAGTCCTGGCAGACGGGAAGCTCCCCCCCCATCTGCAGACACCTGCAAAGGCTGCCTGCGAGCCGTCATTTGTGTGCAGCCATCAAATGCAGATGAATGGCTCTGAAAGGAAGGAGTGTCCTGGGTTGGGAGAGCTGGGTGTGGAGCGCTTACTAGGCTAAGTCCCTTGGCATATCTAACCTGCTCCCCTCCCTGCGCTGGCAGACAAGGATGCAGAGCCTGCAACCGGAACCTGCTGCTCGCTACCGGAATGTGCTGGAGGCCCTGTGGCGGATCGTGCGGACTGAAGGGATCTGGCGACCCATGCGTGGATTGAACATCACAGCCACAGGGGCAGGCCCTGCTCATGCCTTGTATTTCGCCTGCTACGAAAAGTTGAAAAAGACACTTACCGACATTATCCATGCTGGGGGCAATAGTCATGTGGCCAACGGTATTGTCCCTTCTTGACTCCTTGCCCCACCCTGAGGGTCCCTATGTTCCCAGCTAGGACTGTTAGTGAAATGAAGAACTGGATGCCTGGTTCTTTCTTACTGCTCTTATATTGCTAACTTCTGAATCCTGTTTACTGTTGACATTCTTCCCTGATGCTGTGTTCTGCTTCACTCCAAGCATTATCTAACCATGATCATTAGGAATGTAGGATTTGCCATTGACTTTTGAAAGGAATTTGTGAATGAGAAGGGATTGTGGGAATATGGGGCAGATAGCTGCAGTTTCCACCAGAGCAGACAGAAACTTTTTTTTATTGTGAAGATAGTTTGAAATATGATAGAAGAATGGGTGTGTTGCTGTTTGTATTTCATTTTGACTTTATATAGTGCTCTTCCTTTGTAGCAGCTGTCCCAGATGTGTCCATGTTTGTATCTGCTCTTACATTTGTCCTTTTAGCATCCTCATTTTTGAGTGGGGAGAACCCCAAGCTTGCTGTAACGTGTTGTAGAGTCTGGTCTGCTTACATTTACTTTTTCACACTAGCATGCTTCTGAGGCTCCTTCATCTCTGATAGTCTGGACAGATAATAGGAAGACCCAATTAGCTGGAGATCCTAGAATTTTGGAACTAACTCGTCTCACTCTGAAGCTTGTTGGATGTGTTAGCAGGACGACGGCAGAATCCTAAATAGCTGCAAGAATCCTAAATAGCTGCAAGACGGTCTTGGCTCTTCTCTGCTCTAGGAATTAAAGATGATAGATAATTTACAGTGCAATCCTAACCATGTTTACTCAGAAGTAAGTCCTATTTAATTCAGTGGACTTACTCCCAGGTAAGTGGAGTTAGGATTGCAGTCTTAGTCTTCTGATTCCCCCCCCCCCATCCTTCAATGTGGGTCAAGATTAATATGATAAATATTGCCTGCACTGGAGCCTTGAATATTTCTGATATTCCCTTTCTGAAAACTGATGCTAATTTCTCAATGGACTTTCATTCTGTCTTGGGGAGGGGGTGTCCCTATTTGCTCGCATACACTCCTCCGGTGGCACATTCTGAGAGCTCCTTAGGTCTTCTTCCCACTTTTCACATGTAATAGTCCTTGTTTTGCAGGCGCAGCAGGCTGTGTGGCAACATTGCTTCATGATGCAGCCATGAACCCAGCAGAAGGTAATGTTGCTTCCCAGCAGTCCTGCAACTTTCATGCAGCTTGTGCTGCTCCCTTCTTGTCACCAGGGGGTGCTTTCATGTTGCTTGTGATACAGTTCAGACATGCAGCCTTACCTGCTACAAGGGTTCTTTGGATGCAGCGGGTGGGTGGTGGACAAGACTTTGGCTGAAGCAAAGAATGTATTTGTGTGTCTGCCCTTGCTCTTGGTGTTGATAAATGACATAAAAACAATATTGCAACTTGTCTTTCATATTTGTGTTCCCTACATTGCGTAGGCAAAATCAGATCACATTTCAGTAACCCCCGTTTTTTACTTGGTGTCTCACAATTCCAGAATTGGGGCATTACTGTTTTTTCATGAGTTGTAGAGTTCTGCAGGATTTGCTGGGTGGGTAGATAGATCACACTGAGGCAAGTTTAAGGGATGCAGGGGCCCCTGAATCTATTCAAGTGTTTACATAGAATGCACACTGATCAGATAACTGCACTTACTTACTTACTTACTTACTTACTTATTTTTTCTTTGCTCCTCCCTGCCCTTCTCTCGTCTCCATGGCTGGGCTGCTGCTGTCATCTTGTGATCAGTGGTAAAGCAGAGAATGCAGATGTACAACTCTCCATACCAGCGAGCAACAGACTGTGTACGTGCTGTATGGTGCAATGAAGGGGCAGGAGCTTTCTACCGAAGCTACACCACTCAGCTGACTATGAACATCCCCTTCCAGGCCATCCACTTCATGGCATATGAATCTTTGCAGGAACACCTCAATCCTCACAGACAGTACAACCCTAGTTCCCATATGGTGGCAGGGGCCTGTGCAGGGGCCATTGCTGCTGCTGCCACCACCCCATTGGACGTTTGCAAGACACTGCTGAATACCCAGGAGGCCCTGGCACTGAATACCAACATCAGTGGGCACATTACAGGCATGGCTCATGCATTCAGGACGGTGTACCGCGTGGGTGGGCTGACTGCCTATTTTCGAGGGGTACAAGCACGTGTCATTTACCAGATGCCCTCCACAGCCATTGCCTGGTCTGTGTATGAGTTCTTCAAATACATCCTTACCAAGCGAAAGGAGGAGCGATTGGCCGGGAAGTGAAATGTGACTCCACCTGCTGGATTGGCTGGTGCCAGACTCAGATGACAAGCAAGCCTTTGGAATAACGATGCCGCCTCTTGCCTGCTGCTGCATTTTGCACAGCCCATCATCCTTCTCCCAAATGGATAGTACACAATGAGCAGCAGCTTGGCCTGCCCTTTTCTAGCCTGTCACCTAACAAGCATCTCCCTTGCCCAAAAAGTTGTATTCCCTTAAAAGAGGTGGAGACTACCATGAGCTACCGTGAGCACATTGGAACTTGGGGTGATGACCTGCATACCCTGAACGGGTTGCTGTTACGACTACGTGGTGATGGAGGCAGGGGAAGTGTTAGCTGAGCTGTTGTCTAGTAGCACACACACAAACCTCATGCTCTCTGGGAAGGCTTTGATTGTTGTGGCCCTTGGCACCTCCAATAAAGTCTGCTTTATTGTCACAGCCCTTGTTTGCTCTTATTCTCCTTACCTCTTGTTCTCTTTTTAACAGCTCTATAGGGCTTTGTTACAGGTAAGTTGGACCAACCTATAGCAGGGTGGTCTAAATTGTTTCCTCTTGTGATAGGTGGGAGAGTAGAAGTGAGATTAGTATCATATAATGCCGCATCTTGTATGACTAATATTGATCCATGAAGAACCAGCTTTCTATTGTCATTAAACAGTATTTGGAGAGCATTTATGTTCCTACAGGATACCAGCACCAGGCAACTGACAGCTTTAGGTGATTCTTGTTCCTCCCATACATATTTCAGCAGTATTCTTACCTACTAACGTAGCTCAAACACACATTCTTATAGTAGCAGGGGAAAAGATGCAGTGTCTGCCTCAGTCAGGTGTTCTTTCAACTGGCTTGCAGTGTCCTCCAATAATATATATACTGTGGTGGAAAATACACAGGTGCATGTGTGCACATATGTAAAAAAAATAAATAGTTCTTGTTCCTATTATCCTCTATCACAACAGAGTAGCAATATGAAAGATCAGAGCCAGGCTGTAGTTTGAGAAGAGGCAGACAGGTGATATTGGGGAACACCATTTATCCATCTGCAGTTATAAAGCATGCATTCTCTGCTTGCCTTGTCCTATGATGCTGGCCCCTCCATGTTGCAGGAACTCCAAAAGTACGCACTTAGGTTCCAGGTAACTTTTAACTTGGAATGGCCAACAAAGATGACTGTGTTAATGGGCTTCATCTTACTTCTTAGGGGGGAAGTGTGACAATCTTTCCTCCTACTCTTGATCCCAAGATTTGGAATGTGTCATTTAGGAAGAGGAAGAATACACAAATGAGGCGAATATAAACCTCTGACTGAGCCAGTGTCTTACTGAACAGCCTGTCTGCTTCCTAAGTGTGCCCTTTGCCTTTTGCAGCAAGGAAAGTGAAACCTCAAAACAATACATCTGTCTTCAGTGGCTTATGATGGATATAGCCAAATTTTAGATTTCCTAATGCATACTTTCTGTTGCATTAGGATTATGTGAGGGATGGAGAGAGAACTGATGTTTTAGAGCTTTGAAGTTGAACCAAAAGGGCAAATAGATCTTATGTTCAAAATGCCTGTTAATACATGGGTTTGCTAGCTGTGCTTCTTGCTGACTTGATCTGTCTTGGAAGGGTAGACTTTGACAGGAAATTCTTGTCTTCCTGGGAAAGTAAAGTTGACAAGGCGGCTCACCTGTTGCGGCAATGCAGAGGAGAGCCTGGTACTCCCTGACTGGCATTTCCCCTCAATCTTTGAGGTGGTGTAAACATTAATTTTGAGAAAATTTTCTCTGTGGCCCAGTTCACATGTAATTCAAACCATGAATAAACAAGAATGCATAAGCATGCCAGGTACAGGTGGGAAATCCTGCTGCCACACTCCTGAAACTAAGCCATGGTTTGGCTTAGTGTTCTATCCAAGCCTGGCCTTGTGGCTTGTCTTCTGCAAGCAAACCACAATTGGTAAGCCAAGAACAACCCCTAGTTGCAGCTTGTGCATTGTCAGGAGCAAGACAAACCACGAACCTCAGTATGGGCATAATGCTAAGTCAAGCCATGGCTTAGATCTGGGTAGCAGGGCAACAGGAAAAACACAGAGTACCTGCACACTAGTGGAATTCCTGGCATGTGGCTTTTGCTAATTCTTTCAGGGAAACTATGGATGTGGCTTGGAACTTGTACATAACTTCCAAGTTATCAATCCCTCTTCCTGCAGTAGTGACTTAACAGGCATAAACAGAGGAGCCAACTCTCTCCCCTCACCCCCAGTTAATGGGCATTGTCATTCAAATGGTGTGTGTGCACCATGTCATGTGATCGATTATGGGGGTGGCTTACATGCCCCCCTAGTATTTTATTCAAGTTGGCACCCCTGGGCAGAAGTTGGGCTGGCAATGGGAGTTTCCTTCCCCCCCTTTTCCTGGGACTAAGGTAAATGGTGGGGAGGACTGTACCTGCTTAATTACTGACAGGCTGCTGCAAAAGACAGAAGAGAAGTGCCAGTTAAAAGCTCCAGGTTCAGTCCTCAACATCTCTAGATAGGTTTGAGGATGTCCCCCACCCAAAACTCCAGAGAGCAGCTGTAAGTCAGAGCAGTTCAAGACAGACAACATCTGGAGTGCAAAGCCGGTATGATGTGTTCTGAGGATGACAGCGAGGCCCAGAGGGCTGCATTTGCCCCCTGGGCCTGAGATTCCCTACCCTGCCTTGAAGCAGGAGAATCAACTAGGCAAAAGAAATGAGATGAATAGGATCTGTTATCTGGATCATATTCTATTATAATTAGTGCAGCCTTATTTCCCTTCCATTCTATTCCAGGTTTATGTATTATTAATAAATACAGTAGTAAACTTTTGTGTCACTTTCTGATTTTCTTCAGGGATAAACCTTCCTTCCCTCTGTCCCCTTCCTCAAAATTTTATGTCCCCACACCAGGCTATGTTGGCTTGAGGCTGATGGGAGTTGAGAGTCGTGTCCAACAACGTAAACCTTAACCTGATCTTTTATTCCACTTCCTTCCCTCCCACCCCCCTTTTTATGAAGATTACCCGCTCTGGGATCCCAAAGCTAATTCTCCCCTGGTCTCCTCGCTGGCCCAAATAGGACTAATTTAGCCAGCTAGCCCTGGTGATCATCTAATGTTTATTGGATGGATTTCCCCCTAAATTGATTTTGAATTTTGAATTTATTGTTATTCACGTTTTGTACTGTATTTTATGCTGTTTCGTTGCATCAATTAAGTGTTTTAAATTTTGTTGTTAGTCGCCCTGAGCCCGGTTTTCTGAACCGGGAAGGACGGGGTATAAATAAAATTTTATTTATTTATTTAACAACGTCTTTAGGGAGTAGAATCATAGAATCATAGAGTAGCGTTGGAAGGGATCCCGAGTGTCATCTAGTCCAACGCCCTGCAATGCAAGAATCTCACCCACAGCTGTTCCTGGGTTGGCTGGAACCACCAACTTCTGGTTAATAGCCAGATGCACTGATCAATTGCATCAAAGAGGTTTAAAATCTGGTCAAAGGGATGTGTGTGATTTGCCAACTGCCTCACAGCACACTCAGACTGTGATTCAGGCTTATGGGAGTGGCAACTGCCTCTTTTTCCATCACCCCAACTTCCTCAGGATCGCCAAGACCTAAAGAAAGGAGGCAAAGCGACTCCTATAGTGATCCCACTACCAACTGAGTGATAAACAGATCCCCTAAAAGTTTTCCCTCTGGTGGGCAGCAAATGCAATCTCTTTTTACCCATTGGACTTTTTACCTCAGGATCCCTTCCAACTCTGTGATTATATGGCTCCCCCCGCCCCGCCCAGCCCCCTCATTCCTTCGGTTAATATTGTGGGCAGCATTAAGCAAACTGCTGGTACGGTATCCGGGAGGTCTATTTGGGTGCGCCCCCTCGTGGTTTCTTCCTTGTTCACCAAAATTACTGTACTTTTTTCATTCTGTCTCCCATGCCAACTACCGGTAATTCAGCGGCGGGCGGCTGGTGGTGCCCATCTGCAACAGGCAGGGAAGAAAGCAGGAAGCCCAGACAGTAGACAGAACAAAAAAACCTGTAGTTTTGTTCTCATCAGGCAGTGCTACGCTCTGGACCGGTTGCAAGTGTGGAGGCAGCGCCCCATTGACCCTTAATGGAGCCGCCTCCTCTGGCTAACCTGACACCTTCGGCGCTAGGCTCTTGTTCCAGACCATTTTAACCGCCAAGGGCTCACCTCCGGAGGCTGCCGTTCGTTCGCGGTCCCCGCCGGGGCTACAGTCCGCAGGGTCTCTTGCGGGGCAAGGCGCCCCAGCTCGCGCAGGTTCGAGGCAGCTCCCCTTCGCGCAGCAGTTGCGTCCGGCTATTCTAAGCAGTAAGAAATCTCTTGGCGGCCATTCATGTGCATAGGAGCCAACTCCTAGGGGCCGAGGGGGTATTCGCCCCCCCTAAAATACTTGAGGAGGCTCCCTCCCCCAATGGATGGGCATTGCCATTCAAATGTGTGCCTGCACCACATCATGTGATCGGTTATGCGGGGCGGGGCTTACTCTCCCCCCAATATTTTATTCAATTTAGCACCCCTGTTCACGTGGGAAAAGACAACCCCGCTTTGAAGCAAGGAATGGGCGGACACACACGCCCCACGTGCCTTGCCCGTCCCAGTGAGCAGGGTCCCCAGCACAGGCAGACTGAGAGGGGAGGCCCTCGGCGGTGCCTTTGGCGAAGGCTATCTATCCCGCAGCAAGGGAGATAAAGGTGACTCGAGGGCATCCCGGAGGGGCGGGGCCAAAGCACAACTTACGGCGAGGCGTCTTTCAAGCATGTGCAGAGTACCTTTTCCCAACCACTAAGTAACCCAGGCACATTTCTTCGCGTCAGGCCTGAGTCACACAGCAGCTCTTTTCCTTTACTGGGGGGGATATGCACTCTCTGTCTGCTTCTGCCCGCTTCCCCACCTTCCTCGACCCCGACTCAGGGCGGGGGCGGATCCGACATTGAACTGCGCCTCCTAATCCCCCGCTCGCCCCCCGGGATAAAAAAGGGGAACAAAACCGCAGCTCCCCCGCCCTCCCGGGCGCCGCGGGGGAGGCAGCGCGGGCCGTCAATCTCGCCCTTTGTCCGGGGCCCCCCTCGGCCCGCCTTTTGTCCCCCAATCCAATAAGCGCCGCTTCTCGGCCCCTTCCAGGCGCTTCCTTTCAGAGCCGGCCCGGCCGCCACAATGGGCCTCTCCGCGCCGCGCGCTGCCCCATTCAGCCCCTTGGCACCCTCTCCTCGCCCGGGACAAGGGGATTACAGCGGCCGGCTGGCCACCTATTAAAGGCCCGAGGGAAGGAGGCACCTCCGGCCGCGGGCAGGTAGCCGGCCGCGCAGCCCGCCGTCTCGCGGCGCCTCCACAGCGGCATCCAAATGATAGGAGAGCCGAGGCCACAGGGAGGCGGAGGGGGGACTTTGGGCGGCCCTTCCAACGCCCGTCGACGGGCTAACGGGCCTACCTTCTCCCTTCAGGAACCGGGAGCCTGCGGGCTACGGAGGTTGCAGGACTCCAACTCCCATCGTGCTCGGAGTTGTAGTCCCGCCGCGTCTGGAGAGCCGCACGCTCCGCAGCCCTCGCGGCCTTCGAGCTACTTGAAGCAGCTCCGGGTCCTGACAGGGCGGATTTCCTTTGGGCTTGCCTGCCCTCCGGAGGAACTGACTCCGGATTAAGCTAGTCCGGATTACACCCCCCACTTTTCGTGCCTCCAGGTTGCTGGAGGCGGCATGAATCTACCTCGGCTGGTGGGTTAGGGGGAATAACTGTCCCACAGTTAGAAGCTGCATGGATCTGAGGTGGACTCTGTTGCACCGCAGGGGGAAACGGGTGCCGTCGAAGGAAGAGAGGAGGAAGGAGGGAGAAGCTTCAGAGACAGCCGTCTGTGATGGCAAAGCGGCTCTGTGGCTTCGACTTTTCCTGCAACACTTGCGCATTTTAGGTGCGCAGCGTGGTTTGTTGGTTTGTTTATAACCTGCGCAACAGGAGAGGAGCTTATGCCAGAGGAGGAACCCGGACCTCGCACACGCGCTCGCTCGCTCGACGGTCTTTCCCGCCCCGCCAGCGCAAAGCCTGCGATGGATATTGCACCTGGTTTATTGGATCCTTTAACTTCCTTGCAGCGGTGGCTACATCGATACACTTTTAAGATACAACAACAACAAAAAGGGGTGGCTCGCGGCGGCCTCCACCCCGGCTTTGGCTTTGTACAAGCGAAGCTGCTTTCTGGCAGAGCCTGGCCTCCCCCCGTTCCCGTCCCTGCTCAGCCTTGGCGCGGAGTCTCCCGCCGCGCCCCTTTCCCCAGGAGAGCTTTGGCCGCGGGCAGCTCCGCCGGGAGTGAGGGATTAGAGTCCAAGCGGGAAGAGTGTCCAGCAGAGCCAGTGCCGCCGCGTGGCGATCGAGGCCGTTTAGCACCGTGGACTGCAGCACGGCTGGCTGTCGGCTGGCAAGGTGCTGAGGGTGGAGCCGCGCCCTGTGCTAGCGCGGCGCACCTTCTTGCGTGGTCGGGTCTCCCCGTCGGGAGGAAGCGCCGCTTCTCCGGCTGCCCGCCTGCCTCGCCGGGCCCCAGCCAGCGACCGGGGACTGGGCTCGTGGCTCTGAACCGCGCTCGCTGCTCGATCTCTCCGTCGGCCGGGGCTACCAAGCTCGGATGCCCTGACTACAGGAAGGCCCCGCGGGACCCTGGTGCAGGGGCTGCGCGCCGCCCGCGAAACCGCCCATGTTCATGTAGGGCCCCGCAGGCGGCGGCACCGACGGGCCCCCGCTGTTGGCCGCCGGGTAGCTGCAGCCGTAGCCGGCCCCATAAGCAGCCGCGGGGGAACCGCCGTAGGCGTAGTTGGGGAAGCCATTATAAGGATAGGCGGCGGCGGCGGCGTTGTAGGGCGCGCTGTAGGCCTGCGAGCCGCCCAGGCAGGGCTTGCCGTCCCTCACCAGCACGGGCACGGCCACCCTGCGCGGCGGAGGCGGAGGCTGCTGCGACGGCGGAGGCATCCCCGCCGTCGGGCCGCCCAAGTCCAGGGCCTTGTCCTGCCGCTGCCGCTTGCACTTGTAGCGTCGGTTCTGGAACCAGATCTTCACCTGCGTGGACGTGAGCTTGAGGCTGCTGGCCAGCAACTCGCGCTCGGGGGCCGACAGGTAGCGCTGCTGCTGGAAGCGCCGCTCCAGCTCGAAGACCTGCGCTTGCGAGAAGAGCACCCGAGGCTTCCTCCGGCCGCGCGCCTTGGGCCGCTCCGACGACTCCTCCGTGGGCTCCTTCCCTGCAGAAGACGGGGAACAACAGAGAGAGATGCTTCAGTCAAGAACCGGGGAGCTGCAGGCTGCGGGACCGGTACAACACATTGACACACACCCCCCCTTATCACCTTGCAGAAGCCTCTCATTTACGCATTTATCAAGCCAGATGAATATATTATTTAAAGGGAGAGGAGAGCGCACGCTGCGCGGCACCTGGAAGGGCCGACATCTGTTTTCGTTTTCTTTTTTAACGCACCGAATGCCAGGTCGCAACATAATTCCGTCGGTGTCTTACAGGGCACTCCTAGGCAGGTTAACCCAGAAGTAAGTCCCGCTCTGTTCAATGGGGCTTACGCCCAGGTTAAGGCTGCGTATCACCGCAGCCTTAAAGGGCATAAAGACACAGCTGCAACAACAACCCCAAAACTCTTCTCCCGCAAAATAAGCTTGCAGCAGAAAAGCGCGCCTGTAGTTCTATAGGCGGAGCAAATTAGAAACACGGTTTGCAAAGTATTAGTAATAGTATTAATATTAATATTATTATATAGAAAGTTGAGTCTTCCGCAATGGAATATGGCCGCTGCTTCCCGGCCTTGCAAACGAAGGAGCCAGCGCCGCCTGGCATTCTGCAGGAGCTCAGCCAACTCGAGAAAAACTTGAGGGAGCGAAGTGTGTGTGTTTTCCCCCTGTGCCACCAGGACTGCTTACGGCAGCCGGAAGGAAGCAAGGACTGGGAAATGGATTTATGCCCACTTAGGAAGCAGACGGCAGTCTTTATGCCCCCCAAGATCCCGCAGTGCGAGCACGATCTCCTTCCTTGCAGGGAGGGAGGGAGGCCAGGCCAGGCCAGGCCCGTTACTGACTTTGCTTGCCGCGCCTCGGACAAAACCTTGGCTCGAAGGACCCTCAACTAGATCCCCTCGCGCTTTGACCGTCCCTCGACCCACTCCCCCCCACCTCACCCCGGGTGCTCCCCTAGAAGGGGCTTGGAGCCAGCGGCACCATCATTCCACCAAGGCGGCTCTCCTTGCCGCCAGACCACCAAGGCTGCGAGGCTGGGCCTCAGAGCGGTTCCTTGCCTCTGTTTTAGGAGGTGGATGGCTCGGCGTGGCCAAACGCGTCGTCCCCTTTCTGCCTAAGTCTCCGGCTGAACCGAGCACGCTTACTCTCAAGTAAGGGGCATTGGGATGCACTCCGAGGCAAACTTCCATTGGGGAAGCGGGACTAACTGAGCTCTTACATCCGAGTCGAACAGGGCTGCAGTGTGACCACCCAATCCGGTGCATTTTACCCAACGGCAAGTCCCGTTGTGTTCAGGGAGGCTTAGGCTCAGAGACGTGTAGAGCGGACAGCCGCCTAAGCACGTTTACTCGGAAGTAAGTCCTTCAAAGTTCCAAGGGACTTATCCTCTTATTCTTTGTTAGTTTGAGCCACGGATATTTTGCAGCGGAGGGAAGAGGCGTCTTCCTAAGCGACTTGGGGTTGGAGGTGCCCAAGCAGTCCTGAGCAGCGCTGAACCGTTGCCGACGTGCTCCTAGAGACGCGGATGTCGCGTGTCCCACGTTCAGCATCTCATCTGGCTGGAGAAACGGTGGTTCCAAGCCACGCACGCGCAACCAAGCTGCGATCCAGAAGGGGAAACTTTCGGAATTAGTTATCCTGGCAATGTGAAAGGTTGGGAATCGCTCTGCGTTCCGAGAGGGACTTGGGCGCCCGCCTGGCCCTACGATTCCCCAATAAAGCCTCCCTCTTGGGGTCCCGGTCCCGCTCTCGCTGGTACTCACCGGCTCCGGAATCCAGCGCCGGTTCTCCCTCTCCCGCCAGCGCCTTGGGCTCGCAGGTGCCCCGCAGCACCGCCTGCACGTAGCTCCCTGGAGAAAGCCCCCCATCCGCGGCGCTCTTCCCCGTCGCCGCCATGGAGCTGAGGAAGGGCAGCTTCTCGTCGTCGTCGTCTTCGTCCTCCCCGTCGGAGAAGCTGCGGCACCCCAGCAGGCAGGAGGCAGCGGCGACGGGGAAGGGCGGCTCGAGGGAGCCCCCGAGACTCTGCTGCTCCAGTTTCAGAATATCCTTGACCGAGAAGGGGGTGGAGGTGGCGGGGCTGGGGAGCATCATTGGGAGGGGGTGACGGGTGCGTGGGAAAGAGGGAAGCGAGCCGGCTTGGGTGCAGGAGCGCCGCGCCCTGCCAGCCAAGCCCGGCTAAGGGGCGTCCATGCGAAGGGAAGGCTGCCGCTCCGCCTTTGCAGTCGCAGCCTCTGCGCCGACCAGCTGCAGCCTCTGGACTCGGAGCCGCCTCTGCGGCCAGGGCGGGCGCGTCACGGCGAGGAGGGGCCGGGCTGGGGCGCGGGCTGCGCCCCCATTGGAAGGCGGGGGAGCCTAGAGCCGGCCCCCTAAGTGACACACACACACAGAGACCCTGCCGGAAAGAGAAATCTGCAGGCTGGGCTGCACAGGGAGGCTACGCGAGGCGCCCACGCCGTCGGGTCACACAGGTTGGCGCACAGCCGTCGGGGCGAGAGGAGGCGGAGAAAAATCCGCGCCACGGGGGAGTCCGAACCGAGGTAGCCCACAACCCCTCCCCATGGCTAGACAACCCCCCCTCCGCCTTTCCCTGGACAACAGCGCTGCCGCTGCTTTCCCTTTCTGTGGTTCCGGATCTACCTCCATCTCGTCCCTTGGGGACTTACCACTCGCGGTTTTTCTTTTTTTTAACTTCGGAGGAACTGAAAAAAAAGGAACTCCCTGGGGAAAGGGCCCAAGAGAAACTCGCCTTTCTGGGGGCAAACGGGACCAAGGAAACGCGGGAAGGTGTGTGTGTGTGTGCGCGCGCGCGCGCGGGGTGCGTGGGGTGAGATGTCCTGTCGCGGGGCGCAGTAAATATAGGGACAGGCCCAAGGCAATCTGTCAAATTGAACATTCAACATCCGCTTGGGAACTGGCCTGTGGAGGGACCGCCAAGTCTCTTCCGGCGGTCACCTGCCCGCGAGGAGAAGCAGGTCTTTCTCATACCTTTGGCAAGACAAACCCCAGGACGCAGCTGCTTGCCATTACCATTGTGGGCGTAGGACGAGATATGCATGAGTTTAGTAGTAGTAGAAGAAGTAGTAGTAAGAATAGGTAGCAATAATAGTAGTAATAGGTAGCAGTAATATCCAGAGGCGAGTATTATTGCAATGTGTGGTTATGGCCACCACCTTAGATGGCTTGTATAACATGGATATAAAACAGTCTGCCAGAGCGGCATTTCGAAGCTAAGCTCGTGATCTTACGTACTGGGATATTATTATTATTATTATTATTATTATTATTATTATTATTATTTCTTGCTCCTATTATGTGTCTGTGGTTAGTTAAAAGGGCTCTTGAGTTTCGTTTTTTCCTCCTGCATCTTAATTTTCTTTATTTCTTCTTCTTATAGTGGCTCCCCGGGGACACTCGCGAGGAAAAGGTGTGCGTTTTTGTTGGGCTCCGGCGAGCGCTTCGGTCTGTCTTCCAGGGAACCCAAAAGAAGGTAGACCACTCTGGCTCTTCCGGGGAGCTCTCTTAAAATAAAAGCGATCGAAAGGGTTTCGTGATTAGTGTCAATGACCGTTTCTGAAATTCGTGCGAAGCTCCTTCACTGTCCCTAAGCGCCGGTCCCTCCGTCCTCTCTGGGGAATAGTAACAGGGGTGGCAAAGGGCAGCTTAGGGGAGGCTCTGCCGGAGAGCCCGGTAAGGGGGGGGGTGTTCCCAGGCTCTGTTCTCCCCCCACAAACAAACATAAGAAGCCAGCAAGTCCCTGCTCCTGATTTCTTGGGTGGGGAGGGACGGGGGCTGCAGAGCACTGTACGTAGTGCTGTAACCCGGTGGAAGTTTCCTTTCCACTCAAGAACAGATTAAATAAGGCTTTTATCTTTTTATTAGGGGTCTCTTGGGCAAGGAGTTTCCCCTCGAGGGTGACCTCGGCTCGGTTTCAATCCGAGAGAGTTAATGTTCCCATTGAAACCAACGGATTTTAATGTGCCCTCTTGTTATCAGGCGGTGGTCGCTTTGTCAATGCAGCCATCGATGTAGCATTTATATTCGGTGTCTGTGCAATATAAACGGAAGACACGAGGTTTGCGACTGCCTCGGTTTTTGCCAGCCTGTCAAGAAATTTTGTTATGAGGCAAGGAGGCTTCACAGCCCCTCCATTTGTGTGTTTTGCTGGAGCCCAAGAAACGCCGAAGATCCTCCTTCGTTTAGGGAGTGAAAGAATTAGAGATGAAGGTGTGAAACAGATTTTTCAAGGCAAATAAAAATAAAAATAAAAATGGAACGTTGACTAAACAATTCCTCTAAATAGATTTGATGCAAATAAATATCGATAAGCTTGCAGTGCGATTAGTTTACGGTGAAATTAGTTTACTGCAAGGTTGCATAATATTCTATTATTTCTTCATTATAAAGGTTTATTGCAAAACTTGTAGATATTACCATTGGAAAAGGAAAAACTTTAGCATTTACGTGTCCTCGGGCTGCAATTCTGCACACACTCGACGGGGAATGTCTCCTAACTGAACTCAATGGCGTTTACTTCTGAGTAGACGAACTAACCAGGAGACACGGGCACAGCAATCTGCACCTACCTTTTATCCGCAACTCATTATTGTGGAAGCCAACGCGATCAACTCTCGAGCCAGATATTTCCTGACAATTTAGATTCGCTGCTTGGGCGGCAGCCCGAAGAATACTTAAAGTTCAGTTGAACAACAGCGCTATTTCCTTTTCAGTAAACAGGCCTAGGATCGGCTGAAAATCTACAGCAGCAGATTGAGTGAGAAAACAGCCTAGTTCACGTGACAAGTTATAAAGCCCTTTTAACTGGTTGCAACAAAAGTAAAAGTACCCCGTGGACCTTAAACACGGGAATACTTTCACTGTGGCCAAAAACTTTCTGGGACTTGGGTCTTCACCACAGAGACGCTGAGACGCCCAAGAAGCGGGTCACCAAAGCCGATAGCGGGGCGTGTGTGTGTATGCACAAATAAATAAATGCTGTGGTTTTTTTTTATTAACTACAGGCACACAACAAAAGACTTGGCAATGCAAAACAGCAGCAGATGTGTCAAAACAAGCACAGCGAATACATCGTTGGCATGTAGCCTTAGGAGGGAGGCCTGGTCGTCAATGCGGCCCGCGAGCCGGAGGAGGTTAGCCGTCTCTGGGCATCAGGACTTGGTCAAATGAATACACTATCCAACCAGCTTGACTGTGCCTGGTGATGAATAGTCATTTGGAGATCGATGGTGTAAAATGATTTTACGCTATCAATTGACACCTCATTCAGAGCATCTAATTAACTTCTGAAGCCAACTGACCACTTCCGAGATGGTCCACAGCGTCAAATTAGCTAATTAATTTCGATTATTGCAGCTTTATGCCGGGATCAACATTTGAAGCGTCGTCGTCAGTATGTGGAGATCCTTGAGGATTTCCACAGCATTTTCGTGGGGATTTAAACGCTCTCCCTGGTTTGAGGACGTTCCCCTTTTTAGTATCTGGATTGTGTCCGTTATTCTCTTGCGCGGAAACTGACCCGTCTGGCTCAAGCCAATAGCAGCGGGGTATTGTTGGCAGACGACAGAAGGCATCGCGTTAGAAGGTGGCGCAGAGCAAGGGCCCATGGCGGGCACGGCTAATGTTGTTTGGCCCCCGAAGAGCTTTGCCTCAGTTAATACGGGCTGGCACGCGGCAGTCATCTGTATTCTGGATAGGACCGTGACCCACTTACCACTGCTTCTTGCTTGATCTTCTGGTCTCCCTTTCCCAAAAATCTAAGCTCAACTCCCCGCGACCATCTCTCCCCGCCCCCGCGCCTTTCTCTGCGTTCAGCCTATATATACTTATCCACTTAGGAAACCACTTTGTGCATCTAAGGAAGTGGGTTCTGGCCCAAGGAGATTTAGACTTCAATAAATGTGTTAGCCTTTAATCCGGTGCCGCGAGTTTCTTTGTTGTTTCTCTTTCACTGGAGTATATCCATCCAGATAGCATCTCCTGGGGAGACCTAAAATGTGCACTTTATCCTCGCGGTTTGGCCTCTCCTGGTTCCGTCCTCGGCCAAGACTAACCTACTCCAGCCCAGATCCCGCTGGTTCTACTCCCGGCAGCCTTCCTCCTGCTTGCTGAGGGAGGCCGTCTTGCTCAGGGCTGCCTGGTCCTCATTTGCCGGGGTCTGGAGACAGGGTGGAGGAAGGCGTCCAAGCCAAGCAGCCCGCCATGGGATGGGGAAACAAGGTCTGGCCAGTGGGTCTTTCCCAACCGAACGCAGGACCCCGTTATGGTGGGCTTGTTTTCTCTGACTGCCCCCCCCCACAGTTGGGGGAAAGGTTTCTTGAGCTGTTGCTGGAACAGCTGGATTGTCCAGCTCCGCCGGGCCAGGCCAGCATAACGCAGTGGGAAAGGCCGGCGTCTGGGCAGGAGGATTTGCGCGCTCCAAGGCGGCTGGGCAGAGACTCGCGCGGGGCAGGCCGCGTTCTCCCGCCGGGCCCCTTGGGGCTTGCCTACGGGCAGCCTGAAGCAGAAATCCTTCATTGCCTTTGGAGAGCAACGACGGCAACAACAAAACAACCGCCCTGGCCCGGCAAACGTCCTTTGTAACCGCGCCGTCGACCGCAGCGAGGAGACGTGCAGAGGAGATATTTTGAAAGTACTCGTAAAATTCATAACGCGTCTTCCTCGCCTGGGAGAATCTGGAGAGGGGGCGGGGGATTATTGGAAGCTTGGATGGTTTCTGTCGAGGACTGCAGAGAGTAAGCCCAGGCCGCAGAAAGGACAGCACCCTGCTCGGGTGGTTTGGGCTGGAGTTTGCTCAGCTGCGCCCAGCCCTTCTCTCCAAGGCTCGTTGCGCCCCCGGGCCCCCTTTCCTTCTCCTCGGCTTACCCTTCTCCTCGGCACCTCCAGGCTCTTTCCAAACCAAGGTTCGACTGTAACCACTTCCTTCAACTTTCAGAAGAGCTTCTTCTTCTTCTTCCTGGCAAAGTTTCTCTTTCCACAGGCCCGGGGAGCTATCCTGGCGCTTCAGATGGTGTTCTTTGCGCGCTAGGCCCTGCGCTGGGCTCCTCCTGCTGTTTCGTGCAGGCCTGGATAAATGT